ACCTCAGTCAGCCCTATATTCTTTATATCACCTCTCCATAAAAGATGGACTACTTACACGCTATCCATATTCCACCTCAGTCAGCCCTGTATTCTCTATATCATCTCTTCAGGAAGGATAGACTACTTACACACTATCCATATTCCACCTCAGTCAGTCCTATATTCTTTATGTCATCTCTCTAGGAAAGATAGACCACTTACATTCTATCCATATTCCACCTTAGTCAGCCCTGTATTCTTTATTTTATCTCTCCAGGAAGGATAGACCACTTACACCCTATCCATATTCCACCTTAGTCAGCCTCTCGTAGTATATTCATAGTACATTATTTCTGGAATCGATTTCCATACCTGCCTCTTTTCAACTTGATTACCAAGTTCAGTGTTACTCTTCTCCATAGGGCCCGCTACCACAAAGGTAGCAAAGATCATAGCAGAGAGAACAGTGAAAATTTTCATCCTGCTAGCGTCTGTTTTGTTTTCAGGGGGTTTAGATATTTAGAAAGGTCAGACTTAGCAATAATTTAGCAACTATGCTTGAGATAAATTCATGAAGGTAGCAGAGGCCTGCTTTAAATAATAATAGTAGTAGTACATAAGTAGTCATAAGACACGCTCAGCTGAGCAAAACAAGGGCTAAAAGACAGTGTACATATTAGTTTACTAGGAATTCAGTCCAGCGCAAATAGCGACATACCTTGTTCTTTGCATGTTAAGAATGTATCCCTTTATTTTAATAATATACTCCTCATCACTGCTAGTTTTTGATTCTCTCTAAGCAACCTTACCTTCCTGGCCGCTAGTCAATCAGGCTTACTATATGAGTATATAACTTTATTATATAGTTGCAAAGCGCTCATACTCCAAGACAAAGAATTAAGAATTAAGAGGTGGGTTGATCTAACAATTCTTTACGGTTATCTACACTTATCACGCACCTGGGTTTGCTCATATTGAAAATACTCAATGTGACTAATTTTCGTCCTTAATACAGTGAAGATTTAACTGGTTTAGGCGTCATTAGAATATCTGCAAGGCATGTAAGTAGCTCACTCAGTAGCCAATTAAAGGACGCGTTTTGTGTTCTATAATATGTAGATGTTGACACCGCTTATGATCTGCATTTCAAATGTGCCCATCCTTACATTCAGGGATGCATTAGCAGTTATTCAGCCCAGATATACACTAGCAAAGAGCCCACATATTCCAACACCTCATTTTACAAGCTATATAAGCTGCGGATAATGTCTGGCAAAAGACAGCCAGCGTCGACGGCAATACCAATTTTTTCCCGTTTTCTGAGCAGTTGTGTTTGGCACCCCTTCATTTGGACTGTCACTAAGGAAACGTTGCCCTCAGCGAAAATCCTTGATCGCTTTAAAGGCTGTTGGGGAGATTGTGAGCAATTTTCAGCCTGGCTAGGGGTTTCCTCTTGCTATCTACTTCGCAGCCCTAATTAGTCCAGGATTTACAATGTAAGATTAAGAAATAGCAAATACCAATGTCTTCTTCATATACTTCCAATTTGAATGGTTTACAGTAAGGGTGCCAGTTATTGCAAACTGATGTTTCTTTTCGAATATTTTGTGTCATAACAGCCATCTTTCTATATACTCATTGGCTTTGGCGTTGCAACAAGGCTATGTTTGCAAGTGTGATTAACCTCATCTCTTCAGTCAGAAAACTGAATACAAACATTTACAGCTTTCCATTCAGTATATATTCTATCCATCTAGATCCCTTACGGGAGCCACTATCGACTTGCACAGCTGCCCAGACAAATCTGTCCTTCTGAATGTTGAGACTTACAGGAGCCGATGATTGAGTGGCACAAGGACCCAGTTTTAGGAAGACAATAAATACGAAAACTGTCTAACTGCAATATTGCATCCAGTCTGCGGTGTTTGTGTACGATCACTGAGGTACAATCAATTCACCATTCATCACAGAGGCTCCTTTTAAACAGATACAAAAATAATATGGAGATATGCATACTTGTCAATATTATACCTGCGGTACCAGGAAAGTAAAGGTTAGTATTTAAGGTGATGTGTGGCCATGATCATTGTTCTTAGAGTCCACATCCACCATCCCAGTGAGCGAACTACTTGTTTGGAGGACAAATGCCTCTTTTAATGTAATAGTCCCTTTCACCAGCTGGTAAACTCATCCACCTATTGTAGTCTCACACTCTCATGATTATTCTTGGCAGTCCTGGTTTCTTGCGGAGAATAATATATAGTCAGTGACTGACCCTGATTAGTTATGTCCTTCCATATCAAGCTTTGCTTAGAAAAGATCTAACACCATTAAAATGGAAGTACAGCAAAGAAAGAGGTCATGCAGCATCTCCAGCGCAGCCCAGGCTTGTTTGCCGTAGGCAGAAGTATCACGTGCCTCTTTCTTGTTTGCCCGCTAAGACCACTTCTGGGAAATTCTTCTTCTTAATTATCTCCAAGATCTTCAAGTACCCTTTCATCCATGGCGATTTATGGCCTGACAAAATCTTTGGTTAATGACGAAAATGATCCAAAAATTATGGTTTGGACAAAGCTTCAAGTGCCCTGTGGGGAGGGGTTAGATACCATGAGTTATGAGCTCGGAAGCCAGGATCGACAAGGCCGCCTCGCCGTCTTCCTTACCGACTCCAACTGGATGAACGGGGCCATCGTGAAGGGCTCTTTCCCAATTCGGACATCTCGGTGGGATAATCTGGAGCCTGGCGACGAGCAGCTGGTGTATCTGAAAGAGCTGGGAATGCTCTTCAGCTATTGGAACTATCCCGAGGTGTGGCAGTCGTTCTGTGACAGCTACAATGGGATACGCGACGTGCTGCTTCAGTTTGACAACTGGTACACTGCCAACCGGGGGCCGAGCGATCTAGTTGGGGAGTGGAAGAAGTTCAATCAGCTCGAACTGAAGCGGATTGTCGAGAAAGGGAAGGCATCGGCGCAATATCTTAAGGAAAGTCGTAAGCCGGTGCCGAGCTTCTGGGGGTGGTGGTGGACGCTCAAATGGCAGGAACTGTTCACCTATTTCCCGGGGAACCTCCTGTATCAGTTTGGTACGATCAAGCTAAATCAGACCTGCATGAATTTGCAGTAGCCAGTGACGAGTCCTGGAAGGGTCATTAAGTCAGCTCATCTAGATTTAGCAGAGAGACATATACATCTGGGTGTCTCCCCACTGTACATAGCTTATGCATTCACCGCATGGGGAGAAACGTACAAAGTGTAATTATCTGAGGGAACGCCTAATTCTCACTGTTGGAACCTCATCAGGGGGTTGAAGTCATAAAGGACAAGGAGGAGGATTGGGGAAAAGTTACCAGTTGGTGGAGTGGCTGCCAAGCCCAGAACATGCGACTGAACATATATATAAAGGCGCATTCCACCCGCCTCTCTTTTTCTTTTTTTTTTTTTTTTTTTTTTTTTTTTTATGTTTCTTTTTATTATAAATCAAGTCACCGTCATGGGCGTCAGCTGGTCATCAGACCGCCCTGAGGAGCCCTTATCCTCAGCTGCTGATCTAGAACAGCCCCCCAATCCACCTAGCCAGTCCAAATACCCTCGCTGTTACGGGGATGTGGTCCCTTCGGTCTGTAGCGACCGCCCAGAGGACTTTTACCACGAGCTGTATGAACAGATGTACTTTGTGCAGCATGCCAACCAAGACTGCATCGTGGCCTTTCAACGATGCGAGAAAGAAAATCCCCGTGTCGACCCCGAGGAGTGGTTTATCATTGCTGAGCGAATCCCCCGGGTATATGAATATCTGGCACATAGCACCAATACCCCGAATGTGGATGTAGACCAACCGATTGATCTTCACCCCCACATCGTCAAGTGAGTAAACCCTCCCTGCCTGCTCGTCTCTTGCAATTGCCGCTAGAACACCGCAATTCTGCGTGGTGGGAGTAGATATTTTGGCCGTCTCCCTGTGGGATATCTGCTGGAGAAGCTAGATCACGGCCCACTGAGCGCTACGGCTCTGCCACGTCTGACCACCTTTCCTGCGTCGCGCACGTCTTCTAATGACAAGGACTTCCCCGATAATGGAGACAGAGAGCCCCTCCTCCTGCTCTACTACCGCTGGGCATTGCAATCGCTCGCCATGCTAGCCTTCCTGCATGAACACGGGGTCTACTTAATGGATTTCAGCTCGAGCACAATATGGATACGCGATGATTTCTCGATTGCACTATCAGGATTTGTGAACGCAACCATCCCGACAGATGAATGGCCCTACTCTCCCGACGGGACGAGATACGAAACAGAGATCTATTACCCAACCAATCCCGACAGTGGGCACCCAGAGCTCAGCCCGAAGATCGATCTCTCGGATTGGGCGACCTTTGTCTGGCAATTGATGCGAAAGGATGCGTCCAGTCATGGAGCGAAGAGGTGGGCGATGCCTACCGATCCATTTGATCCGACGGAGATGCCCGGGGAGGTGAATGCATGGGAGTACCATAAGCAACGGCTGAAGGAGGGCAAGCTACAGCTTTTAGAAGAGGAACGATTGGGTCCGATGCTGGTTAAGGCCTGGAAGGGGGAATATGAAAATGCTCGGGAGATCCTGCAAGAGGTACGATCATATCTCCAGCAGATTGGGGTTCGGATGGGCGGAGAGGATGAGGTCCTTCCGGATGATGGGCGAAAGTGGGAGGATGTATTCACGGTAGTCCAGACTGATGGCGCCCGCTGGGGTCGGGAGATTAGATAAATGATATCTATGTGTCCAGCGCTCGAATACCCTGCGGAACATCCTAGCATTCTTTCAAAGTCTATCATGGGCCACTGGCCTCTACCTTAAACCATCAACATATGGAGCAGAGTACTGCAGTAAAAGTTGGCTGGTTACTTGGCTAATATTCTTTATGACTCTAGGTAAGGGACTGTATGAGGTATCTAGGAAGGCTTGGCACTTTTCACCACTGATTCAAAGGGGCACAAACTGGGGTGCAGTTCATCAAGTTCTCGGAAAAGTCCGACAAGCTCTCGGGATATATAGGGTAAAGTTAAGACCTTAGTGAGGTTTTAAGTTACCTCACTGGGTCGAGAACTTCAGTAAGGTCACATTTACACATTTCATCAACAATCAAATTTACCACCCCCAGATGAGGGTCATGACAGAAATAAGAGAAAAGCATCTACAATCATCAGATTCATTGTATAAAAATCAATACTCCGTACGCTGGTCAGCATGGATGATTGGAACCGCCCTTCTGTCAAGTTCCGCTGCAACTACCTCGATTCCGGAACCACCTGGGGCTACCTAGTCATTCGCACCAGCTACGACCCCGCCCTTGAACTGGCATGGCAGCGCACGTTGCAAAAGATTAAAGACACCGTCTACTCCGCCACCGAGTATGAACTCCGATATCCCCAATCATGGATGAAGCTCTCCCGTCAAGACCGCATCCGCATCCAAAACGAGGGGTTCTCCTCTTTGGGACTCCCCCCGCCAGATCCTGCCCCGGTGGATGACCTTAAGAATAGGCTCAGACTCAGCCTACTAGAGGATCCAGCTCAGTACCGCGATCTCTCCGCCCCTCAGGTTCGAGATAAATTCAATGAGTGGTGCATGCAGCACACGCAGCAGCTCGCCAGAGAACGGGGAGTGATATTGGACGACCCCTTGACTGAGCTAGGACCGGCCCCTGTTTCAACTGATGTCTGTCTCTGGATTGACGAGGAGGTTCTCAAAGTTGTGGATGGCGACATCAAGAATGAGTTTGGTGAGGGCCCGTATGTCAAGGCTGTTGAGCGGCAACCTGCGCTGAGTCCTGACTACGATGGCTGGTTCAAGGTGGAAGTGGGTTATCTTTGGATGATGTATGGACGCGCCGTCAACAGTGGCGGATTGGATCAGTTCTTGCCACCGAAAAGGCAGAAAACAGGGGAGAGACCCATCTGGAATGGATCTTGGCCATTTGATGTTGAGATGGAGTCATTGGGGATGGATGAAAGGGAGATGGAGGAGTATTATATGGGGGGGATTGAAGATTGACTTCTGCCGTTTGGGAGCAAGCACCTGGTAACTGATTGCTTGTAGAATGTGAAAGATAAATTTCACTGAATACCCCTTCGGCAAAGACGAGACAGTAAGGGTTTTTTATAGGAACTATACTAGTAGTATAGTAGAGGGCTGTATAGATAAAAGAGAATTATTAGATAGTAACTATCCCCCTTCCCCTAACTAATCTAGACCTAATACTATGGCAACTAAGGTTATTATAATAAGTACTATCTTTCTTATAGCTAAAACTATAATAATATATAGTTCTCTATAAGGAATATAGAAACTACTTTATCTAGGATAAGCTTAGCTATTATTTAATCCACTGTTATAGAGTAACCAAGGAAACAATATAGTTGCTGAATACACGTATTTGCAGAGATTGCAGGGCATCTTTGAATAACCATCGAATATAGACTTAGTCCTTGAGCCGGTGGGGGGATAGTGACTTTTTGTATGACCATAGCCACCCTGCAACATGGAGGCGACGCCTGGGAGGATCTGAGCATGACATACTTGTTAAGGAATGATCATGACTGCATACTTGTTTGCATACTTGACGGGTGAGGATTGGTTCTCCGCTGGGGCTTGTTAGGTAATTTGGCTGTAATACACTATTATGCTGCTCTTCCTCCACTCTCTCTATCAGTATAATTCGCATATAGAAATATTACGATTCTAGTGCAGACTAAAACGCAGAATTGCCCATAGAACGACTTTGTAGAATATGAAATATGATCCCGTGCAATGAGGCAGCACCTTATACTAAGCTAAGTCAGAAATGTCTGGTAGCCTGGCTGCGTCCATGTAGGACGTAACTGCTGACTATGGGGTCTCCAGCACTGAATATCACCTCAGGATATACAGCACCAAACTGGTCAAGCCTGGCGCTTCTGCTTACCACACTTGGTCAAACATTCCTCAACCTTGATGGCCATGGTCGCAGGAATAGCATGCCGGACCTTCTCAATATCCTCACCAGCGATGGTCTCCCCAAATGTGGCAGCAATTACATCATCACTGAGTGAAAACGTCTGTGCAGCGACAAGTCCCACGGCAAACTCATCCGAGGTAAAGGCTGCGGTGAAATTGGCAGGCTCACAGTCTGGGTTCACTTGCGTGTGAAACGACCCAGCCGGAAAGATGGTCACCATGCCAGGGCCGAGCTCTGCACGGATGACTCGTTGGTGGCCTTCAGAGTCAAGGACGCCCGTCTCAGGTACCATTTCAGACAACACGCGCCCCGACGTAATGGCGAAGAGCTCAGTTGCACGGGGATGGAGGTGCACGAAGCTCATGCTGCATGCTATTGAGATGGATTAGCGTAGTTCAAGAAGTAGAGCCATTCTGGTCAAGAATACCTGGCAATTGCGAGATACTGAAGGATATACCAGTGCCTACAAGGGCGGGAAAATTCTGGCTGGTGGCAATCGGAAGCGAGGTTCCGGCGAAATTGAAGACAAAGTCTTCATCCTTTGGGAGGAGCTTGTAACGTTCGATGGCGCTAAACAGTCAGATCATTCGTTCTGCACCATTGAGTCCATGTTGAGGTACTCACGTGTCTGCAAGTCGCAGCTGAGCTGTCAAGCTAAGTTCCGATGTCGAGCGCTTCGTGATCGGTTGAGGTGCTGTCCTCGCCAAAGGGACAAAGGCGAGCATCACCGCGACGACGGAGTGTAGGGGAAAGTCAGGAAGCATGATGGTTGTTGGAGTTGGATATTGAAAGGATGTCTTGTTGTTGTGAGTAACAGGTGATGATGGTTTGTTGTTTAGGAGGCAATGAGGGTCCTTATATATGTACCGACATATGGCTCTTTTCATTCCAGCACATCATATCCGAACTAACCTACCAGGAGGTATTCCAAATGGTATCCTTCAGCCTTGCTTGTTTACTGCGTATGCGCATCAGAGTCCCAAGCAAATTTCCTATACGCACAGCTCAGCCCCCTTCCTTGGCCCTCAATCGGATGGCCATCGCCAGGAATGACTGACAGCACATGGATATTGGCTGGTCTCGTATTGTTGCCGTATCAGGGCTTGATTAGATAGATGCGGCTTGGGCGTATTAGTAATACGCTGTGGCTCTCAGCCCTGTGATCTGATTGACCCCTCCCGGCGCGCATCCCCACAATGGAGCGTGTCATGGCTTGTAGTTGTATGCACTAGCACTAGCATCGTTTACGACAGCGTAATTCCTTCTAGAAGACATGGCGGATCTGGGCCATACGGCGGTGCTTTGTTATTTTACCACCTTGCTTGACATTGCTGCAGCAAGACCTGACGTGAGCTTCTTCGATCTCTGCGAGAACAACCTCAATCTGGTTATGACGGGTTCGAATATAAAAAGGTACAGACAGCGATGGGGCTGTCCATTTTTGAAATCAACAAATACTCTTGAAAACTATCAAAGATCTGAACGCATCCCTTGACGGCAACCACCAAGGTTACGATGTTTACACACCTCCAACACGTCGCTATCTTGGTGCTCGGAGTCAGATTGGTCTCGAGTCAAGCTGTTTCAGCTGCAGCGACACAGTCGACCGGATGGAATGCGAGTTTCGAGCTCAGCCCGCAGCAGCTCAAGTTGGCCAACCTGACAAGCGACCAGGGCGCCATCATCAACACTATCACCAATTTTGACCGGTCTCAGCTTGCCAATGGTGGAGCCCATGAGGATGACTTCTACAATGTCCGGGGCCTGCCCAGGGACCAATGGCCCACAGAGCCTGGGAAGACAATCAAGCTCCAGGAGTTCACGGATCCGTCACCATTCTCCATCCCCGCAAAGACGGCCATGTCCCGTATCATCTATAGCACGACAAATGCAAATGGTACTCTGATCCCTGCTTCCGCCTATATCCTTTGGCCGTTCCAGCCAAAAGTTCTCCAACGCAAAAACCACAACTCTGAGTTATCCGCGCCCGTTGTACTATGGACACATGGAACCTCGGGTTTCTATGCCAATGGAGCTCCCTCGACACACCGTGGCCTTTTCTACGCGGACATTGTGCCTTTTGCGCTGGCCGAGGCCGGATACGCTGTTGTTGCCCCAGACTATGCCGGTCTCGGCGTGGACGTCTCTTGGGATGGAAGTCACGTTCCGCACCAGTACTTTGTTCGCGAAGCTGGTGCTCACGATGCTCTGAATGCTTTGAGAGCAGCTCAGGAGTCCTTTTCCAAACACCTTTCCAGCGATTATGTTGTCATGGGCCACAGCCAGGGCGGCTCGGTTGCCTGGGGCCTGTCTGAAATTCTCGGGCGGAACGATACCAAGTTTGAGGATATTGGAAAGGGTTATCGCGGCGCGGTTCTCGCTGCTCCGCCAACTGACGCGCTATCGTTTACCTCTGCAGGTTTTCTAGCGTGGATTGCGAAGGATCTTAACCAGATTTACCTGTCTTTCAACCTCAGCGACTGGTTTACTCCTCTTGGCGTGAATAGAATAGAACTTCTGAATCAGATTGAAGGATCCCAAATGGTTACATTTGCTATGTTCAGTCCTGAAGAGGCGATCTTGCAGCCTGATTGGCACGACACTTGGTATGCCAAAGCTTTCGAGCAACTCACGAACCCTGGAAAGCGGCCCTTCAAAGGACCAATTCTTCTCGTTCAGGGAACAGAAGACCCAATAGTGCCATACAACACGACAAAGGCTACAGTGCAAGAGACATGTAAGAGCTATCCTGGGGATCTGGAACTTTTGGCTGTACCCCAGGGAAGTCATTTCGCCGCCATCAACGCGGCGAAGCAGACCTGGTTGCGGTGGATTGAGGATCGATTCGAGCTCCGACMTTTGGACAAGCGTGGTTGCATCGAGTCCCAGTTGGATAGCCTCTTGCCTCTTGAGTACTATCAGGTGCTTCCAAATTCTTTTCCGCTATGGGCTGGGGAGTCACATTGGTCTTATGAACTACCGACTGCATTGTGATTTTGAACTGGAGAAGAGAGGAAAATGAAGCATGAATTGAGTTTGTCAGTTAGAGAAAGTCCCTTAGCTGGGCCCATTTGATTGTATTGTTAATATGTTCACTCATTCCTGCGAGTTATCATTCCCTGGGATAGATAAAGTACACTGAGGCCAGTTCTATATCACACACTCTCCTACTACGATGCTCCAAATATGGGGGCTGTTGGCTTAGAGTCATATAATACGCTTATAATACGCCATACCACAACCCTCATCCGGAACTGTAACCCCCATGTCCATGTTGACTTTGTTGATAATCAAAACTTCAAACACGCTGCGCATGAGTAGTAATGAGATGGCTTAATAGTCTGGCATAAAATGATTATTTCAAGATCTACCAGTGCTAGGCACTGGGAGTGAGCTCCCGCTTAACTAAGTACATGGTCTCCGGCCACCACGTTTGTCCAATATCTGCTGACTGACTCGGCAGATCCTGAGTCTTCATTAATGATACCACCTGGCCAAGCTCCCACTCTCCAATATCACCAATCCACCAGACGCCATCCAATAACATAACAAGGACCAGCCAATGGGCAAAGATGTCCATTGCTAGTAAATGCGTCGCGTCGAGCAGCGGTACCTCCGTCCCAGGTGAGTCTCGTGTTATCCAATTCTCAGCCCTCGCCTGCGCGGAGGGTGAATCAAGCACTGACTGCACGAGATTAAGATACTCAGCCGGTGCTTTGTTCAGAAAAGACATGACGATCCGTCGGAGTATCTGCGGCGACTCCATCGAAGTGACACTGATCATGTACCTTGCCACCCATGGTGAGACTCTAGATAATCCACCACCTGATATTGGCTGATATCTTGGTGGCTCGGCGCTTGTGCTACCTTCTCTTGTGGATAGAGCTGCACATGCACATCTCTCAAGTACAGATACAGTCTCCAAGCATGCTCGCAGCTGTGGGGAGTCGGCTGCACCAAGCTCTGACCTTTTCAAACGAGCGGTTGTCAATTCAGCTCTCCTGCATAGACTCTCAAGAGCTCTATCGAATGTAGATGCGACTAGAGGCAGAAATATGCGCTTCGTGTTCTCGGATGGACCATCCTCTGGTGATAAGCCATCTGTGCTACCAAAAACCGGATTCGGTAATTTTGATTGTGCATCTAGAATCGGGCTGGAGGTGGCGGCACAAATTTCATCTGCACCGGCCACAAGACCGTTGAGAATTGCAGTCGACGCTGTATGGGCAGCGCGTGTGAATGAGATCCACTGTGAGTGTTGCGGAAGCACCTCATTTGGCAGCCGCTGCCTACACTTTTTTGCAGCGGCCGCAAGATGCACTCGGACGGAGTGGCTAGCAGAGGCGTACAAGACCATCAATGCTGCGTTTGCAAGAACGTGATCGTACGAATCCGAGTTCTGCATGGTCGCTTGTGTGTGCCGCAGGGAAGCCTGGTGATGGCGCTCCGCAAGCGCAAGTAGCTTTCGAATATCCATTATGCTCTGGGGGTCCAGAAGCGCTTGGGCTCGTTTAGCTATGTCGTGCGACTTGCATGCTGCTGCCAGGGCTAACAAGGACGACATGACCACATCGGAACTGAAAGCGAGATTTGGCACCCCTACCGAAAGAGCGTAGAGATCGAGATCGTCGACAGGTATAGTTCGGCTGGTGTGCGTGAGGTAGTGGCTCAAGAGACCGAGTTCTATCGTATCAAGAGTACCAGGAGTGTGCCTATCGAAGGGTGGTTTTTCATCCGTACTCAGACTTGAAAAGGAAGCAGGTTGTCCACCAGACAAAGGACTGGGAACCGAGGACTGATCACTCAAAAGTGCTAAGGGCGACACAGAGTTTGGGACTGCAGTACTGGGAATTGTGGGGGAGACAGGCAAACTGGGAACAGGGAGTTGGGCCGATCCCTGCTCCATTGACAAGTTGCCATCACTGGAAGGGCTCTCGTACCGACATGTATACATGCGCTTGGTACATCTGGAGCAGCTTGGTCTCAACTCATCGCACTGGGCGATATGATCAAAACACTGCGTGTAGAGTCATCGAGATTCAGAAACGACCTACCTTTTTCCGCTGTCGTTTACATCTGAGGCAACCGCTCCTAGATTTTTTGTGTGTTTTCCGGAGTCTGAATCCGGTCGGCTGCAGTTCCAGGAGCGTCGTATCGCCAGCCATATTGTCGATGCCACTAGATTTCGCGAATCAAGATATCGGCACAAAGGGGGAATTGGGGCGTATTAACCAAGGTGCTCAGAGCTCGTCTTTCATGTCTGTCGAGAAAGCCTTGGGCGCAACTACCGAAATTAGACTCGGGGTCCGATTGTGGAGTCTTTTTTGAGGCTGAAAGTGCATCAGCCCCACGAATGATGACACTCCCAAGCAGAATCAGCACTAACGTACTTAGGTTATTCGTGGAAGGCACTATTCGCCTCCAGCTATTCCAAATCATGTCCTAACTTAGGACTAGCTTATTCTGACAGCCGTTGACATTGGTTGAGTCAGGCGTCCTTGTTCTCTGCTCTTTAGTCAGTATAGTCTGGTGGCGTATCCAACATCCCAAAATATCATCTTCCCTATCATCATCTTGTTGCGGAGTAGTTAGTATGAATGGTATTCATCTATCTCCTCTATATGGCTCTTCCGAACTAGTGTTCAAATTGACATGACCTCTTGCTAGGGCTGATTACCCCCTCACTTATTCTTCCTGACCTACCTCGAATGGGTACAGCGAACTCACCCCCATACAATCAGGCTTGTCATTGATAAGTTGCCTATCGATAATTATTGATCGATTAATCATTGATAATCGGCAGGATCCTCATCGCCCACTTACTGCCTCTAGACTATCCTGAGAAGCTTCATGTTCATATCGCTCTTTTCCACTTCTAATGAATTGTAATCATCCTATTCAAAATATGGATTCTGATGTAGATTCATCCAGTCTATCCTATGTACTCGCACTCGATTCCGTTGAAACCGAGTCTAGATCGGACTCAAATAGGGCGAAAACTCCAACGGCCTCGATGACATGGGCCCATACTCGACCAGCGAGCGATGATGAAGTGAAATTTCATAAAAAAGCTCCAATCAAGTACTGTCTCCATTATACAGATTCACCGCACGGTACTTCAGTCACTACAAATATGCAAAATCATCTTAAATCAAAACATTAGATCTCTATCTAATCTGTTCCAAGCGCACTTCAACAAACTGTAGTCCACCAACTTCAGCAGCTTTATGTTAAAGCAGAGTCCTTGGGTCAAACGCAAAACATTAATACGAAGGGTTTTCAAAGAATTTTGGACCAGGATGTTATTGGTGAGGCATTAGTCTCATCAATTCTTACCCAAAATATTCCATGCCCTACGTGGAGTGCTGAATCCAGAATCAGAGGACTATATTATCACAGCACATGCCTTAGTCCCTAAGAAGATTGAACAATCATGACAGGCTCAAAAGGATATTGTACGGGAAAAACTCCAATCAGCATCATCAAGCATTCATCTTTCACTTAATATCTGGACCTCACTAAATGCCAAAGCCACCGTGGAGACGAGGAGTGCACCATTTCCGATAATTGTATTTTCTACCGCATGCTCGCAACTACCATATTTATCTACTAACTCTCCTTAGCCAGGCTGGCTTTTCATCCGTATCCCCTGACCACCGCCACCAGAGTCCAGTAACTTGCTCCGCTGCATAGTCAATTTCGAACTCCAGGAGAGTCTGTCTGTAGTCCTTTACACCAACTGAATAGACCACATGGTTGTTCCAATCTTCAAAGAAGAAACTGTAGGTATCTTTCCGGTAGAATATTAGGGGTCGCCTTGAGGCCTGGCGGTGGTTGAATACTACAGCCAGTTCGCCATCAGAATCGCCCGGCGCCATGTCCGCAATAATACTCAAAGTGAATAGGCCATCAAAACCACAATACTCTCCCACATAGATCATTGGGTCCCGTTTTGCATCACTGAGCCGTTGGTTCTCCTTCCATGGTTTCAGAAGGTCCTCGTAGAAGAACCTTCGTGCTAAGTCTGCCTCCATCTTCATCCAGGGAGACAGATCAATCCGTGGGGCCAGATCAAACAGTGCTTGGATCAAGATTTGTGCTGCGAAGTCACTCGCATCTCCAAAGCTGCGGCCATTGGTCATGGTCACAACCGCGCTTTGGGTATCGGGAAATGTCCACACTGTCGCTATTGATCCAGGCATGCCGCCGGTATGTCCTATCGCCAGAAAGGGATGGGATTTCATTCCCAAAATGTGTTTTAGATGCATCTGGTGGTCTTCCGCCCGAGAATGGTAATTGCCGCTGAAGGCTCCCAGCATTGAAGAAGGGAGCTCCATACGTACCCATCCCATGCAATAAGCAGCGTTCTTGCTAAAGGATGGGTCGTCGGCCGGTCGAGTCCAGTAGCCGCGGCGGACGCGATTCATCTGCCTTAAAGGGTTGTTCCGCAGATTGGTTTGTGTATCAGGCAAGACCATGTTTGAAATGGGACTTGGCTCATCCATCCCCTTGCACTGGGAATGAGTTTCTCTTCTTTCCGCAGAAAGCACCGCAATGCACCAGTTGAGCATGTCATTGAGACTACTCCGCATCCCCGTCGCTGCCAGTAATGGTGGATGATCCTCGCACGGCCATGACTCGGAGTCCAACTGGACGAATTTTCCATTATCGAGAGTCGCACATGGAACAGCAACATTGTCATCATCCGCGATGTCCGCCCTCGTCAGAGCCGTCCTCGTCATGCCAAGCGGGTTTAGAATGCGTTCCCGAAGAAATTCTGTAAATCGTTGGCCCGTCACCTTTTCAACCACCTTGGCCATCAGCCCGTATGTGAAATTATTATATTCCCAGTGGCGATTAAATTTCTGGCCGTCCTTGTTGGTTGTGGGCATCATGTTCAGAAGTTTGATAACATCCTCTTCGCTAGCAAGAATTGACCCGCGTGGCCCGAAGAAGAGTGCCCCCGGAGAGGCTACTCCTGTCGAGTGGCGGAGAACATCAATGAGGTCTGCATTCTGGCCAATTTCAGGATCGCCAACTGGATTAAATTCCGGAAGGTATTTCTGAATCGGATCCTGCCACTGCAGTTTCCCTTCGTGGACCAAGATCGCGACGGCGGCAGAGGTGAACATCTTGGAACAGGAACCGAGCATATAGATTGTGTCGGCATCAGACTCAAACCTCTGCTCGGCGTCTCGGTATCCAACACTCTGTCGCAATAACACCTTGCCTTCGTGGACCACACCGAAGGAGACGGACGGGACCTGGCATAGTTCCCTAACTTGGTTGATTTGGGATATCGATTCCTGGAGACGCCGGTCGAGAGAGGCGTAATACTGAGACCGGATGGGCATTTGGAACGGATTGCATATAATCCAGACCAGAAATCTCCGTCGAACTTGCTTTAATTATAGAAGACATCTAGTTCTGATGAGTGCTAAATATCCAAGCAACAGTTAATGACCATTTTGACAAATAGCAGTCACTCGCCCAGCCACCCGTAAACCCCTTACAGCTTGGTATTGATGAGCCTCTCCTCAGCAAGGTTCTGAAAATGGGCCGCAGGGCTGTACTGCATTCCGGACCAGAAATCTGGGCGCGGTTGTTGAAAGAGGTTGAAATTCCATTTCACCCACACAGCCCTTGCTTTTCGCAGATTCGTGCGGGAACCAATGTTGTCCAACTCGTTCAGAACCCTGCAGATCCCTGTTCGACATGAGATTCCCTAATTGGCTAGGTCAAATTCATGTGGATGCTAACTGATCGGACATCAGCCCCTTGAAATGAAATTGAAATGAGAAAAAAGGGAAATGTCAAAACTCGAATCTGGTTGGCCAATTTCGAAAGTACAACGTCCCTATTTGGGTTTCCTAAACCCGGCCCGTCGCGGGTTATTGTGGATCATGCAAGAGGCCTACCGAGCTATTGTCTAGTGGAGAGTGTTTTGCTCTACAATTCAAGAATTAGGCCCATCTAGAGCTTAGTATATCAAAACCCGGCCAACAGCTTGATACTTAGCACCTGGTGGAACTAATGTACTATTGCCAACAATATCCAGCCTCTGCATTTGCATTTATAGAACAGGGAAAACCCAAACAGCCACCTCACTTTGTATACTGGGGAAAAAACCTGTCCTGAGGCCAAGCACATCACTCCGTCATTTTCAAATTCCCCCTGGCATCAATATCATCCGGTCGCGACGCCCCTTTACTTAGGGAGTGCCTCTCCACCGCCGCTCACACCTCCAGCACTGCCCAGGGCGGGATCAGCAGGGTACATAGTGACTGCTCAATCATGCAAGTGAGCATTTGTATTACTTAGCTCAAGAGGGTTAGTAGGTTTTACAAGGAGGCCGCTCACCTAATTTCAGTCTCGAAGTAGACAGAATCTAAAAGTGTTGAGAATTAGCGACTAAGCTTCTTTTCCAGCACTTGGGGCTTGTCAGGATAAAGTGTACCTTGATAAATGAAAACGAGGTTTCACAGGGAAAATAGTCAATAGGTTTAGTTGAAGTTGCGGCGAGCGAACTGCCAGCTTTATATGCCAGACCTCGCCGCTTCCGGATCTAAAGGAGCGAATATCTTCCCTACATACTTGTGTTGTATGGTAAGTGAACAGTATCACTCTCCCTCCCTTTGGTTAATGTTCACACTCTTACGTGAGGGCTTCGTCACCAACTATAGACAATATAGTTAGTAAACAATAGATGGCAATGGGATCGCCGCAAGCAGAAGACAGCTATAATTTTTAGATTATAATTAAGGCATTTCAGCTTCTATAGAAATACTCTACCAAGATAAATAGAACAATAAATTAAAAGTGTGCGCAGCCACCAAGCCTCCCTTGTTCATACTGACGACTATGACTTTCGACCATGAGGAGAAAAGGTACCGCATGCGGAATACCGTATACATTGGTCTCAGGCGTGGTTGCATTAATGCAACTTTAATGCAATGGAACAAGTTCTGGGCATACCTTGGCATACTGACGTGTGTAAGTAGGCAGTAAACTTGGATTCAAAATGCTGCGAAAACGGAAAATCCTTTGACATCTTCTACTAGCATCGCTATCATAAAGTATAGGACGTCATCGTAACAAGCCTAATCCAAGCGGTATGGTCGTTGACGGCGCCAACTGAACAGCGCCCACCAGCACGGAGTGGGCCTTGATATGACAATAGGCGATAATGGTGGTATTCATCCCCACCCCTCGCCTTCGGGGTTGACGCCACGAAGGCATCTGTAGTTTGGATAATCATGGTACACGAGCGTACAGGAAAGGCAGGTTGACTGATTTAGACATAGGAAAAGTGCCGATCTAATCCCCAGACGTGACAGCAGCGCTCATACATCCACCAGAACATCTAGTATTAGCGGCATCTTAAATGCATAACTTTTGAAGAATTAGATTCTCAAAGCAGGCGCTAAATCCTGAAATCCCCCCTTGAGTAGGAGAACAGCGATACATAGTATATGCGTGAAATTGCTCCAGGAAGTTGTCAAAGGGTAGGAGGCCTAGAGAACCCCGTGAGGCAAGGTAGTTCTTATACATATTACAGAGCCTGGGGAATCAGGCGTGATTGCTTCCCCGTGTTTGCAGAGTTTGTGCGAAGATTTCCATGGAGTGAAGTATCCCTCGGAGCTATAGAATGCCAGGTATATGTTTATAATGACAATTCGATACTAGATCTCGATAGTCTTCAACAAATCCAACCACCATCAACATTATAGACTGCTCCAGTCACAAAAGACGCTTCGTCACCCAACAAGAACGCAATCACATTGGCCACCTCAATTGGCTCGGCCCGTCGCTTCTGCGCGGTGACTTGCAGACCACGCTTGACATCTTCGGGGTTCTCGCCTTGGGACATGGGTGTGTTGACCGAACCTGTGAGTGTCCATAAGCATCCCGACGTCCCATATATGCAAGCGACTATTGCTTACCAGGCGCCACGCAGTTGACTCGGATGTTTTTGTTCTCCTTTGCTGCCGTTCTAGATAGTCCAATAACCGCAGCTTTGCTGGCACAATATGGAGCTACGCCTGGAGAGCCCATTTGGCCAAAGACGCTTGCAGCGGAGACCTAATCGATGTGGTTAGCAGCCGTCTATAGAAGAATAGGTCATTATTACTTACAATACTACCCCCTGCACTCATGGCTCTCAATTGCGCTCGGAGACAGAAGAAGATACCTCGGGCGTTGACGGCAAAGTTAAAGTCCCATGTCTCATCGGTCTCCTCCGTGATCGGCTTGGCTGGGCTGATTACACCAGCCATGTTTACTGCGCCGTCCAGCTTCCCCAGTTTCTCGACTGTTGATTGAATCCAAGCATCCACTGATTTGCTCTCTCTCACATCAACCACCATGTACATGTGTTTGTTGCTGCCGGCCAAGGACTCCGCCGTTGTCTTCAACGCTGTTTCGTTGATATCCGCCAAAGAGACAGTCGCTCCGCGCGAGGCTAGTAACTTTGCGGTTGCAAGTCCCATGCCGGAAGCTGCACCGGTGATTGCGATCTATTCATACAGTTACAGTTAGAGCTTCGGAGCCTCGTATCGTTAAAGGAATATTGTGCATACCACTTTGCCCTCAAAAGACACCATCCTGCGCACGCACCGTGCAGATAGTAACCCCAAGGCAGTCGTAATATTCTTCCGTTATCGGAAGACAAGGAAAGTTAGCTTTAATCCATATCTCAGGTGGCGATGAGGGCCTGATAAAACAGCCATAGGAGAGCAGGATTTCGAAGCGTGAGGCAACTATAGTCTGCGATAGGAAGGGCTCCGCGCACCAGCGAAACAGGCAGGTTTGCGCTATCGCGGGCCCACTTTTATCGCTTCCCCGCAAAGCGTAAACCGTTGGCAGCAGATACTCACCTTTTCATCGTTGAACGTCCTTATTTTATTTTCTCTTATCTTATAGCATAGATAAATTTAGCAGTGATTAACCTGCAACATGGCAGGGCCTCTAGACCGCACAGAGCTCAATGCACACACACGGTCCTTTACGGGATGCGCGACGGTATGTATAGTCCTAGGCCTGGCGGTGTGGATGACCAACCCTGATGTGATGTTAAGTGTCGGAGCCGTCATGTGAAGTGCGATGAAGGGCGCCCAACATGCTCGATGTGCGCCTATCTTGGCCTGCCATGTGCTGGTTATCAGAAAGATATCTTTTTCGATTCGCGGAATCCCGAGGCCAGGATTCGCTTCCGGCGGCCGTTGCTCACAGTGGAGGAGCGCGAGCGCATGAGTGAGTGGCTGGTGTCGACAGCGCCGCCAAAGTCCACCCTTCAGATCCTCTCACGCATCGATGAAGAGTGCGAAAATTCAGGCCCGTCAGAACAAATGCAACTCTCTGTCGGTCCGTTTGGTGTCTTCAAAGTGCACCAGGACCAAAATGCCCAGGGCGGCATGCCCTGCGACTCGGACTCCCTACCGCCGGTCGAGGACTCTGAGGATACCAGTACCTGCAGCCCACCGCAGGATGTTGTTCACATGATGGACTCATTTCCTATCAGTACAGGTTCCTCGCAATGGTCGCCCGGCTTCCTGCAATCCCTGCTTAGAAACCCCGACCAGGATCCGAGTCCGACCTCTCCCGACCTGCTCGATCTGATAATGGATCAAGGCCACCTAGATGATGCACCATTAGCTGCCCCACAAGAACACCAGCTCACTTCATTTATTCCAGACAGCCACTGCAATCCCCTTATCTCACCGATCTCTCTCACCTCCTCTCCGAGTGCAACCGGGTCCATTCCACAGGATGCCGTCTTCCTACTGAAGCACTATTCATCTACTGTCATCAGTCTCATGACGTCGGTTCGACATAAAAAGACCCCCTGGCATGTCCTGTTTATTCCTCACGCTAAGGATTGCCTCGCAGCTCTGGCTCTTGGAGAAGACCTGAACCATGCCAGTCTTTGTGCCTTCTCCGGAACATTGGCCATAAGCGCACTCAGCTTGGGTGGTGTCTCTGGATCTCAATCATGGCATGAGCAAGGCCGCACATACCTGCGACAGGCCCAACATCATGCCAAACTAATGCTCATGAACGCCTACGATATCCCTAAACCTGCCAAATACAAATCTATCTTGATGGCCATCCTCACCATGGTGCAAGTATCCACCTTCTCCGGAAACCGCGATCAAGCTGAAGAGTACTTCCTGGAAGCCGAGAAGTTCATTAGGTTAAAAGGCCTCAGGCGCAAAAAATCCCGCAAGGTCCGACTGCTTCATCACTGCTACGTCTTCGAGCGAATGTTCCACGAGAGCATTTTCATCCGTGGCGCAAACTCAGACCAGCGGCAACACGTTCGTCTCGCGATCGAGTCTAGCGGGCTTGCCCGAGCTAGCATTGACAGTTTGTCTTTCCGGTTGTATAAGTGGAAGAATCTGAGCCAAGAGATGCTTCGTGTGAGAGATCGCGAAGAAGGCGAGAATGATCTCCATCTGGAGCGCCCCGGGCTATTTTCTGCAAGTCTCTATCCAGAGATTTTTGGTATTCCGGAGCCATGGATCCTTCTTCTTTCATTGGTGATTCGACTTGGGACAGAGAAAGACACCGCCGAGGAGAATCCCGGTCCAAACGCACTGAATCTGAAAGACTTTATCAGTCGAGCCAAATCTCTGGAAGACTATATCAACAAGTTATGGTGGCCCAGTCAGGATACATTTGCATTTGCGAACAATCAGTCTTCCGTTGATCGACATATTCTCGAGAACATGCTCGAAGCTCTGCGGCATGCCCTCGCCATATACTTCTACCGGCGCATCTATGACCTGAACGCCTCGATGCTACAAGAGAAGGTAGTCAGTGTACGAGATTGTTTGTTGCAATGCGAATACGCCGACTCAAGTGTGGTGCACGGGTCTGCAGGCTTCATCTGGCCAGCCTTCATTGCAGCCTGTGAGGCAGAAGACCCCGAGGTGCAGGAGTCCTTCTCCACATGGTTTGAAGTTTGCACGCGGCGCAGTGGGCTTTTAGGGTTTACGCAGACCTTGATCTCCATTAAGAAGATCTGGCAGGAGAAGCAGGCAGGGGATGGGAGTAGTACGACTTGGTTAGACTTAATGAAGAAAGCGCTGCCGGTGCAGCAGCAAGGGGATTCGGTGGAGTTTGGCGGATGCATGCGATGAGGGATAGATGTTCCCCTTGATCTGCTACCATTCATTGGTTGTTCCATTCCCCGTCTTGACGTCTTTACCGTGGGAATCATGGCGTATTCTGTATTGAATTGTATACTCAGCGTGTCCATAGGTAGATTTTGGGTCATTCTGTTACCATAGCGAACGATATCCGTTTGTATTTTCATCGAGTCATGTCTCATGTCTACGGACATTGCATCCATTTCCTCGGAAGTAAACTATACTTCTCTACCTGCCCAGCACATCCCAGACCAAGCCCCACCTCTTTCGATCATGTGGACTCCCCCGCATCTCGTGGCCACCAGGAACGTGAAACCTGCCTCTTTGGATGCGCAGCGACAACCGCCCGATAAGGTCGATAAGCGGGGTTGGCTCAAGTTAGGCAGGCTTCCGCGACAGCCCCGGCGCCGGAGTTGCGCGCTGGACTCTGCTCGCGTTATTACTTATTAGTTGACGGGGTCCCAAACAATCATGGAGTGTACTGCGCGTCCTCATTCTCTGCTCTCCTTCCATTCCTCCCACTCCCTCAGAGATTTCACATACGATTGACCCCAATGGACGTCCCTGGTACCGCCTTGATCACTGGAGCCGCGTCAGGTATCGGACGAGCCTGTGCATTGGGTTTCGCAAAAGAGGGCGCATCTGGCCTAGCTCTTCTTGACTTGAATGAGGAAGGCTTGGCAGCAGTCAAATCTGAAATCGAAGAGACTCGACGCAAGCTGGGGCAAACCAAGCCCGCTCGCATCGAGACGTACCCTACCAACGTGGCGGACGAGAGCCGCGTCAACCACGTCGTGCAAGAAGTGGCGCAGACCTTTGGTCGTCTCGACTACGTGGTCAATGCCGCGGGGATTGCAATGAAGCACCAGGGCGGCGCCGCGTTCGCCGAAACCGCCGATTGGGAGCGCATCCTCAACATCAACCTGACAGGCACATTCTTCGTGCTGCGCGCTGCGGCCAAGATCATGCTCCAGCAGGAGCGGATAAAATCCAGCATTGATGGCCGGCCTTTGCAGCGTGGCTCGATCGTCAACTTCTCGTCCATCCAGGGTGTCGCTGGAATTCCGCTCTCGACGGCGTATACGGCCACCAAGCATGCGGTGATTGGGCTCACGCGAACCGCATCGGAGGACTATGCGAAGGAAGGGCTGCGCATTAACGCTATCTGCCCTGGATACACAGAGACCCCGCTCACAACCAAGTCGCCCGCAATTTTGCAAGCCATGACGGAGCGCGTCGCGACCGCGGTGCCAATGGTGCGCATGGGGAGGTCCGAGGAGATTGCGGACGGAGTGTTGTACCTTGCGGGAGGGAGGAGCTCTTTTGTGACGGGCACTGCGTTGATGGTGGATGGAGGTTATACACAGCGATAAGTTATTGTTGTTCGTTCTTGTACATCTTCGCACAGAACGTGAATCACAATTCAGACCCCTTTCTCTGTGAGAAAGCTTGAACACAAACCCTCTGGAGATATCCAAAATATAGAGGTATTCCCTTCTTGGCAAAGGTGGACAGAGGACCTTGAAAGTGCCGACAATCCGGTCTCTAATTTACTAACTCATTTCCGTGATTAGCGGAGGAGAGGAATGTCTGGAGATGGTATGACAATGAGAATACTTCTCTCATCGTATTACCCAACATGGAGAGGAACGTTTATTGAAGAAGGGGTTTCAATTAAATCATAATAACCTTAGAACATAGTAAGATTTATGCAAAAATCAAACCCTTCCACCCAGATTCCTTGCATTCCGCACATTTGCGACGGTACTCGGCCGCATGTCCCGAGTACCGTGCCACACTGCGGGCAGTCTTGCCCTTGATGTTCTTGTTCACACCGGTCATCCAACTATCGATCTCATTTGCAAGTTGGCCCTTGCTGCACTCAACCACATGCTCTGTCCATCGTTCCACGGCCTCTGGAGTCGGTTCCACATACGAGTATTTGTTATCCTTGCAGTATTGGAGCAGATCCGATACTACTGCTACCGCATGCTCGATTGTGCGGGGTGCATTGCCAAATGGCTGGTGAGGCCCGAGGATCATAAACATGTTGGGCATCGAACATGCTGTCAGACCGAGGAAAGTCTGAGGTCGGTGGTCAACCCAGACAGCTTGCTGACCTTGCTTGGTGTCGCTGTTCCCGAGCAGGGGCCGGCCGTCCTTGCCGTGCCACTCGATGGCACTGTAGGCACCGGTGATGGCGTCGAAGCCGGTGGCGCAGATAAGCACATCCAAGTCGTGCTCTTTGTCATCTGATGTGATGATTCCCTTCGCCATGATCTCTTTAATAGGGGTCTGCTGCAGGTCAACAAGGTGAACGTTCGGCTTGTTATACACCTCGAAGTAGCCGCTTTCCAGTGGCACTCGCCGGGTGCCGAAGCCGTGGTTCTTGGGGATCAAACTATCCGCCACCTTGGGGTCATGCACCCGGGCCCGAATCTTGCTAGCCATGAAATCGGAGTAGAGTTTGTTTGCCTCTCGGTCTGTATATGTATCGCTGAATGTACCCAGCCACTTAGCGAAGCCGGGTTTGGCATAAATTTCTTCCCACAGGGCGAGGCGCTCCTCGGGAGTGACTTCCAACGACTTGCGAGGGTCGGCCTGGTGGAGAAAACAGCCTGGCGTCTCAGCACAGATCTGAAAAAGATCGTCGTAATTTTGCCAGTGCTTCTGCATTTGTTCGAGACTGATATGTTCGTTGCGCAGAGGCGCCGACCAGTTCGCCGTCCGTTGGAATACGGTCACAGATTGAACGCTGGGCTCGTTAGATACTGCAGTAATAGTTTGAATTCCAGTTGCGCCGGTGCCAATTACACCGATACGCTTATTGGCAAAGTCGCGGCTCAGATCAAAATTCTTCGGCCAACGGGACGTGTGAAAAGCCTGGCCCTTGAAGGTGTCGAGACCGGGGATGGCTGGCAGGGTTGGGGAGGACAGGAAACCCATGCAGCTGACAAAGAACCGGGTCTGGTACTGTGTTCCTGCCTCGTCCGTGAATATCCATGTCCTGCTGTGGCCCTGCCAGCGCGCAGACTTGATTCGGGTGTTGAACTGGATGTTTTTCGCAAGCTCGTGTTTCTCAGCTATGCGCTCGATGTATCGGAGGATCTCTGATTGCGGCGCAAACGACTCTTTCCAGTGCCACTCATTCATGAGCTCCTTGTCGAAGGAGAAAGCATAGGACAGAGACTCGGAGTCGACTCGAGCACCGGGATAGCGATTCCAGTACCAGGTGCCACCGACACTATCTGCTGCTTCGAGCACCTTGATACTCCAATCTGGGAACCTCTTGCGCAGATTATAGAGACTGCAGACGCCGGAGAGACCGGCGCCAATGATGAGGATGTTGTAGCACTCGACCTGGATTGATCCCATAGCGAACGATTGTTCGAGATTGTGTACGGTATTAAATTCCATGTTGAAGACATGATCCAAGCGGTCTTTATAGACCATGATTGCGGAGACATCACATCATGCATGTTGTGCGTGATAGATGGTGGCATGTGGAGACTGTAAGAAAGCATCGGCGATACTTGCCTGACTTGCCTCTTATCAAGATTTATCGCGGAGAAGTGATCCACGCACCTTATCTCGGCGTTTCCCCTGGGTTGGCCACCTGACGGCAGGGCCTGCCTAAACAATTTGGAAGGTTCCTCTACTTCGACCATGACATGCCTGAAATTTAGGTGGCTCAGATAAGGTTGTAGTCTGTTTAAAAAGAGACTGAAGTCCCCATAGTCCCCAGCGCGCGCGAATGAACAAGGACAATCTTCTATTTTCACTTTAGCATACAATATCATACAGAAGAGGGTCTCAAACAATGGAGGCCAAGGCTGATCTTTTTGAGCCCGACATGGAAAAGAACCCTTCAGATCTATCACACAACACGGACTTCGCCCAGGCCGAAATCCATACTACAAGTGCAGTGTTCCTCGAGCAGGCCGGCACCAAGAGAAGAATCAAGTCTCGCCATGCTCAAATGATAGCCATTGGCAGTGCCATTGGTACAGGGCTTTTCCTGGGTGCTGGCGAAGCCCTAGCCAGAGGTGGCCCTGGCTTCCTGCTCATCAGCTACTGCCTTATGGCCATCTTGGTCTATGGCGTTTTCACCGCTATGATCGAACTCACCTCATTTTTGCCCATTTCGGGGGCCTCGATAGCTTACTACTCTGGCCGTTATGTATCGCCCTCCCTGGGTTTTGCTCTTGGATGGCTTTACTTCTACTCCTTTGCTATCATCGTGGCCTACGAGCTCACCTCCGCCAGCATCCTCATCAACTACTGGCCGAACGATGTGCCTCTTGCTGTCTGGCTCACCATCTTGCTAGTCGCCATTGTGGGACTAAATCTGTGCCCAGTGCACATTTTTGCTGAATCGGAATTTTGGTTCGCTGGGATCAAGGTCCTTATGATTGTCGGCCTCTTGATCCTGTCCATGGTAATCATGCTAGGCGGGGGACCGACGCATGACCGTTTGGGCTTCCGTTACTGGAATGACCCCGGTGCCTTTAATGCCTATATTGTCCCTGGCAGTGAAGGTCAGTTCACAGCTTTTCTATGGGTTTGGGTATTTTCAGGGTTCTCCTTTTACTTCGGCCCTGAACTCCTCGTGTTTACCGCAGGGGAGATGAAGAACCCACGCAAGAACCTTTCGAGGGCTTCCCTCCGATACTGTATTCGACTTGCTGTTTTCTATATTCTCGGAGCTCTCGCTATTGGGGTGACCTGCCAGTCTACTTCCAGTGGCCTAACATCTGGAAGTACTAACGCCAATGCCTCTCCGTGGGTGATTGCTATTCGCAACGCGGGCATCTCGGTTCTACCCTCTGTGGTCAACGCGGGTATTCTTACCAGTGCCTGGTCGGCAGGAAATTCATATCTTTTCATGTCTAGTCGAGCCTTATACTCCTTGGCAGTGGCTGGCAATGCGCCCAAGATCTTTGCGAAGTGCAATCGCTATGGCCTGCCTATCTACGCAGTCCTTGCTAGCAGTTGCTTTGCGCCTCTCTGCTATCTGGACTGCAGCACGCAAACCGGGGTGGCTTTCAACTGGTTTGTGAGCCTTACCAACACATCTGGGTACACCTCGTGGATTGTGTGCTGCATCGTTTACCTACGCTTCCGCAAGGCCCGTCAGGCACAGGGTGTTACAGTGCCTTACACTTCAAAGATCCAGCCATATGCAGGATGGATCTGCATGTTTACTTTCTTTGTCTTGCTTCTCTGCAATGGCTTCACTGTCTTCTACCCGGGCCAGTTTACTGCTAGTGGCTTCTTGACCACATACCTTGGAATTCCGCTATTCTTGGCGTTCTATTTTGGCCACAGGCTTACTATTGGCAGAAAATATCGTTGGGCCTACAAGCCGGAAGAAGTTGATTTGATCATCGGTGTTGAAGAGGTCAATGCCGACGCGGAAATGTGGACTCGATTGGAGATGATGGAGCAGCAACAGAGGGGCTCCACTAACCCAGTATGGAGGGTGATTTCCGCGATATGGCAGTAATTTATGTAGGAACTTATTAGGATAGTTTTGGATCAGGTGTTAAATACTGCCCACAGGGTCAAAGAATGCCGCTAAATGATCGAATTCACTCAGTTATCCTAGTATTGCCCGGAAAGAAACTGATACGCAGTTTTCACGATTTCGAAATAATTCTCTAATTACTTTCACTCGTCTTTCTTCGGATAGGTATGGCGTGGCTTCTGTATCTCATTTCGAGGGTTTACCGCCCAATCATACATTTTCAAAGTCCCCGACAGTCTAAATTTAGGGATAGTTACAACCTTAAATCACACAAACCCTGAGTAGCTCGGTGAGACGACATATTGAGCCAATCTGCTATCTACAAAGTACGAAAGGTCTAGCGTGCTGGACTGCTGACGGTTGCCTAATTCTGTCAGCATGTCAGTCTAGCCTCCTTGGCTCCGTGTTCTGGAGCGTGCCCCTCTTCTCTTCTTCTCCCATCACTTTCTGAGGTACTGCTGCACAATCTAGATTTGGATTCGATATCATGCGAGCCAAGGCATGCACGAGATGTCGCCAGCTGAAACTTGGATGTGATGCCGACAAAACGGCCCCGAGCGCTTGTTCCCGATGTAGATCGCTCGACCATCCTTGCAAATTTGACCGCACGTTTCAACGCAGCTCAAAGACCCAGCAGTTGCACAGCTTACAAAATGAAGTCTATCAACTTCAAAAAGCGCTTAATCAGGCAAAATGCTCGTCTACAACTGCTGGTAGCTCGATTCATCATGATCATCCTGAAGGCCCCCATACCGCGCCCAATCTTCTCCTGGGACATGAATCATCTCATTGTAGGACGCCCGACAAAGTTCTTGGAGAACTTCGCCTTTCCGAGATTGAGGTGACTGAGCTCTTCCGGGATTTCTTCGGTCGATGTCATATCTATCTACCTTTTAAAATCATTAGATCTAGTGAGGCGCTTTATCGCCGTTGTCCCTTGCTGTTTTGGGCCATCTGCGCGGTTCCAGCGCCTCCTGCCATACGCTCCCAGCTAGAGGCACAGCTAAAAGGACTGATTTCCGATGTACTCCTCGAACCTCCAGGATCGGTGGAGATTGTCCAGGCTCTTCTCATTTTGTGCATGTGGCCACCATCTTTCTCCTGGAATCGTCACGACCCGTCCTTGCTTTACAGCGGTATAGCAATTCATATGGGCCTCCAGCTCGGACTTCACAGGCCCACCCTTGCAAGAGAGTTTTGTCTCGACGATGACCATGTCCAAGCTGAGCCAGACAGTGAAACCAAGAAAACAACGTGGCTCGCCTGCTATATTGTCAGTCAGATGCAAGTCGCCCGCAGTGGGCTACCACTGCCATTCCCGGAGGATTCTATTCTTATCACTGCATTCGATGACCCCAAAGTGTCACCTGATTTGTCTCTTCTCTGTCACATCTATCGTCTTTTGGGGCAATCTGCAAAAATAATTGGCACCAACGGACCGAGCTCATCTGGTCTAGTCGATCCGATTACTCGCGTGAATATGGTAATGATGTTTCGCTCTCAGTTCTGTACTCTCTGGGAGAGACTACTTCCATACAAATGCAACAGACTGGAGCTTAGTTTTCTAGGCGCGCGACTCCAACTGTGGTCATTTGTCCTCCATGATGACATTCAGTTGTCCGCAGAGGTGTTTGATATTGTCAACGAGGCAGAACAAGACGCGATGCGACTGCTACAAATCTCCTGCGAGACCAACCTGTCGTTGGTCCCCTTCTACGTTCGACGTTCCATCTGTTACGCAGCATTAATGCTGGTCAAGTTGCTCAGATACCCTTGTATCCGCAGCGCTCCTGAAACAATCTGGGATCAGATTGAACTGGCTCGGGTATCATTGAGCTCTTCGATTGGCCCGAGCGATGGTGACGTTAATCACGGTATTGATCGACTATTGCAAGCGGCGCCGTACCTTGAGAGTAAGGAAATGGGGCCGCCAACGCAATCGCGAATGACATATTCGATGGTTTTTGACTTCATCCGTTTGTATCGAAGGCACTGTTGTCAGCCCGGCCCCGGCGCATTACCAATGGTGGGACTTGAGATTTTTGGAATGGAGCATGGTATTGGGCCTATTGAGTGGTCTGACCTAGGTCCATTTTAAGACGTCAGCCTTGAGGTAGGTAGTAGGTTCCAACCGCGTATTTTGACTATCCAGACAGTCAAAGATTATTCCTGATACCCGTCAAGTTCATTTTTAACTTTTATCGGTTGGTAGAAAGCAACCGAGACTTTTCGATGCGGTTGGTAAGGGTAGTGCAAGGCACGTCGAATTCACACACAATCTTGGCGATAATGGGTTTCTTTTAGGCTAGCAGGTTTGCAGGCTTCATTTACTGATACGTCAAAATTGAAAGATTTAGGCATGTCGAGTGGTTTATAATGCTAGTGGAGGTGAATAGTCAAAACGTGACCAGGAAACAGGGGATCACCAGGATATGGGGCGCAATGACAATACTTCTCTCCGCGAGGGTGCCAGACTAGGACAGAGGGCGTAGATACGATGTAGATCCGCAACGCTCTGGTAGTGGTTTACCCCGGCTCGGATTGCGAAAGCGCAATCCTTCGGGCTAGCTCGGGAACCAATAAAGGAGGTATTGAAATATTAGGCGACCGCTTATCGCTATGTGATCAACCATGCGCAGCCCCCAAATCAAACCATTTGCAGGTTTGGCATTGCGAACTCGGCATCCTTGCCGGAATATACGGGGTTGTTCAGCGAATGAGGCACTGAGCATGCTGAGCCTCGTGCAGCATCATCGCAACCATTTTAACCGGGCGAGCCGCGTATGGACAGGTTTAGGACATGATGCTTGATTTTATCTTGCAATCAACTTGTTCGGAAATGCGCCGTTGATAAATGGGATTTTTAGGCACCCAGTTTGTGTACGGTATAAATTCGAGTCGATTGAAGATGAACAAGACCAGCTGAACAAGACCAGCATTCTATGAACCTCATCCACAATACTCAACCATGGCTGCGCTACTCTTTCATCTCGTCGGTCTGGTTTACATTTCGTTATTTTCGTTGGCCGCCGGGGCAGCATATAGAGACGAATGCATTGGAGGCTGCGGCGAGGACTTGATTCTTTATATGACAGTGCAGAGTCAGGGAGTCCTGACTCTCTCCTTCAATCCTTCCCAGTCGGTGGACGACAGCATTCGGATCCTAGCAACGAACACAGATGCAGGTTACAGCCCAGGCTGGATTACCCAGTATAAGGAAAATTTCTACTCAGTGTCGCGAACCCAGTATCCGACTCTGAGCTCCATCGATGGAGGAGTGTTTGCATTCCATAAAAGGGAGGGAAACGCCCGCCACTCAAATCTCGACCTTCTTAACTCAGTCAGTAGCGGTGGGCGGGGAGCTGTTTATGTTGACGTCAGTCGAGACGGCCGGACGATCAGCATTGCAAATATGTTTGTGATCCTAAGGTGGATGAAATAGAAGTCGAGCTAACGCATAGCTGATGTCTTCATTCAGTGATGGATCCACCGTATCTATCCACCCTCGTGGAGAAGACGGTACAATCAAAGATGCTTCTCACGTCTTTCATTATACACTGGACTACCCGGGACCAGGGACAAATGGGAGCCAGATCCAAAGCAACCCCCATGAGGCTATCTTTGATCCCTCAGGGGAGTTTCTTTTTGTTGCCGACCGCGGCGCAGATCGCCTCTATATCTACCAGGTTGCTGGCCCCTTCAACGTGACTATAATCCAGACGTTACATTTGGAGCCGGGAACAGGTCCACGGCATATGAACTTCAGAACATTCAATGAGACACGGACTTACATGTACCTTGTCAGCGAATTGGACAATTCCGTCCGAGTCTTTACTCTCGATGGTGTGAGGAACGATGAGGGGTTGGAATTTGGCGCTGGAAGCCCAAGGAATCTAACAATTCATCTTGCTCAACGAATATCGACGCTGGGAGCCAATCTAGGTCGTACCCCGCCCAATAATAGGAACCTGGCTTCCGAGATCGCTTTGTCAAATGATGGACGATTCGCGTACGCGGTCAATCGAAACACAGTCAACCTCGACAGCGACACGGTGGCCATATATTCAGTCCATCCATTATTAGAGGATGACCGTAATCATCTCACGTACCTCGGCTACAATATAACGTACGGGAAGACACCTCGACATTTTTCACTCTCGAATGACCCCCAATCGCGCTTCGGCGCCTTCGGAAACGAAGTGACCAACAATCTAGTGATTCTCGAGCGCGATGTTCAGACTGGGTTTTTCACAAGCATCAAAGGGAACCTCTCAGTGGGCAAGTTAGACCTGACCACAAACTCGGGTCCTACTGCAGTGATCTGGTCTTCCTCTGATTATATGGATCATATGTTCTGAAGTGACTATCTAGCGTGGTCATCGACTTATCACGCATCTGCACCTCTCTCCTGGATGGATATGGAGAGTGACCATGATTTGTATGTCTCGATTATATCAAATACAAAATTTCATCCCTCAGGGTATTTCCGCAATGAATGAAGAAGAATCGGTGGGCAAAAACATACAACAGCCGGGATTCGCTGGTGGTCACCCACCCAACTACTAACCGGCCGGCGTGTGGCTTAAGTACGGCTGAGCGGACGGGAAGCCCTGTTTTCCACACCCTATGGTCGTATGTGCAGGAATATGAAGCTTTGAAAATTATATCGGAAGATCATGACAAAATATAGGAGCTGGCTTCGAAGCATGATGTTGAATCTTGGCTTGTGGATGGGTTCCGCAGGCTAGCATTTAGAATTCTGTATCAGCAATGAGTTATCTGAAATGAAGAATGCATTCTGTATTTACATCCGCCGATTTCGTACAGTCTATCTCCCTTGACAGAAGTGATTGTTTGCTGTGAATCCTCGGACGCGACGGTAGTATGTCAAGAACCGTGGGTCTTTCTATTGAGATCTGTGAAGTAGTGGTATAAATCCAAGATAGAAGTAGTATATTATCTAGCTGATTACTGTGTATATACACCAACAACGGTCAAACTCTCGACAAACTCATCCCCTCCACCACTCAATACAGCAGCTTAGCACTTAGGGAAAGGCTCGCTATACTTGCAAGCATTGCTAGGACCCGAACCCTTCTTCGCAGGCTCCTTGCTATTGTTATCGGTACCCTCATACTCAACACAGATCTCCTTGACGCTGCCGGCGCAGCCACTGATGGAAGCGGTATCGCCATAGTTGGAGTTGATGCCGACGAGGGCCTTGCCGCTGGAGGCCTTGATGCCGCTGATCTCGACGGAGCGCTTGAACTGCTTCTTGCAGTTGCCGCAGGAGCGGTACAGCTTGCCGAAGTCCTGCACGGTGAAGTCCTGGATGATCACCTTGCCGCCGGAGTTGTGCTGGATGACCTTGTCGTCGGCGCTGCGGGCGCCGCCGCCGATGATGCGGTGGGTGCCGCTGCCGCTGCCCTTGAGGGTGAGAGCATCTAAATTAAGTCAGTGAGGTTTTTGTGATGGAGAGTGGAAAAAGGGAAATGGCGTACCCTCGCAGACATCAGTCCACCAGACGTTCTGGATGGTGCAGGAGCCCATGCAGTGGACACCCTCGATCTGGTCGGCGCCGATAATGGCGTTCTTGAGCGTGGCGCCATCCTCAAGGATGAAGACGGCGTCCTTGTCGCCGCCTTCCTTCTGGCCGGTGCACTTGACGCCACGGCCGTAGGTCTTCAGACCGCCGTCAAAGGTGCCGCTGATGGACTTGGCGGAGGAGTAGGTCACGCTGCCCTTGGAGGATGGGATGGGGAAAGAGGCGCGCTTGTCCAGGGCCTGGTGGGTGGTGGGATCATGGGGGGTGGCAAAGGCCGAGGTGAGGAGGAGAGGGAGAAGAAGAAGAGGCTGATACATTGTGATTGTTTGTGTCTGAAGATTTGCTTGTCTGAAGTGTTAATGAGTGTTGTGTGGTGATGAGGACAACGGTGGTAGAGGAGCTGAATTTATACTGTCAGGCCTTAGGATACCCGGAGAGCGACATATATGGCATTCTTGGTATGTCTCACCGCGATGCCTGTCCTCTACGTTTAATGAAGCAAATATCAAGTGAAACGGCGGTAAACCCATTTCCGCCATTGACAGCAATATTTCCAGTGCCCTGGTCCATGACGCCAAGCACTCATGGAGTCCACCGGTGGAAAAGCAATTGGGAACTGTCACCTGAGTCAGGGAGTCGGGGACCCGTATTGCCTGCGATTAATGAATCAGGGATCCATATAACCAGCATTAAGGCATATTAGTCTCACCCATTGGAGGACTCAATCACCCGAAAGACTCTCATTGGTGGAGTGTGTTGATTCTGACTCGTATGGTGCATGGTTTGAAGACGATCACTGGAGACGGTTATGCAACCTTTTCCAGGGAGGTACTTCTGTACACTCCCCGACTCTCGGGAAATTGGGGAAGACATCCCAGAGACGTGGAGCATGCAGGGCAGGAGATGCAGCTGCACTTCCTGGTCGACAACTTCAAACAACAACTGGATTTCGCTCCGTCAAACCCAGCAAACCAGTATCTAGCATGATAAGCTTGGCGCCCTTGTATTCTCTTGGCGGTGGGTCGTTGTTTCACTGGCCCATACTCTGGACTGTTCTAGCGCAGAGGCTGTGCAGCAGCGGACCCTCCCTGTCTGGGATGGGGTACCCAAGATTTATGTAGCTTGGTTTCTCGTGGAAGATACACATAGCACCATATGGAGTACAACTATACATAGATACTTCAGTCGCGGAACACCAGCCGAACATGTCACACAAAGAGATCGTTTTATTAGAGGTCAACTAAACAGTTGACACAGCAGGACAAGAACAATCAAGCAGGTCCTTGGCATTACTTAGATGATCCATTCATAGAGTCATGAAAAATGAAGGAATGTCTCCGTGCCAAGCCCCCGGACGACTGCCAAGAGACTCTTGTGTTTCATCTGCTCCAGATGAGAAATCCCGGCGGACTAAGCCCGGTGTCAATTTGCCGAATACGAAAGTTCTCTTACTCGGTACTGTTTTACCCGAGGTCATAAAAGGAGAAAAAGAGGCTGGTGTTTCCTATTGGTTATTGGAGTCATATTTCGTGCCACTTTGTTGGACATGCACTGCATTACCATTCCTACCAGCTAGAACTGTGGTCCTAGACACCTTAGTCAAGTGTGTTTATATTCGACACGCTTATAGCTACTCAGAGTACTCCGGATACTATGGATACCTTATATTCATCTATTCTTGTACTTTCATTCAATATGTATAGTCCCCCAGGACCGAGTACACCGACACTTTAGAAGGCATTGAGTTTTTCGATCTAGTGATTTTCATGCAAGATGTCTTGCTCGCCTTTTGCCCTGGAGGTATTAATTCATAGTGGATCTAGACGGCATCAGGAGATGACAGCCCTTCAGTATGGTCGACTATCTCCTTTCTCAATTGAGCTCGGGATAGCATCCGGTTGCCTCACTAATATAACCACCTGCAGCGTGTCTCACGCGGGCCGAGTTGATTGGTATTCTCTCATTGCTGCAGTGCTCCGACATGTCTCGTGACAACATTATTCCGTGCAGAAGATATTGCCTCGAGAAGATGTGATCGGCATTAGGACTAGGATACTTCTACAGTGTGTCCACCTCGTCCCTGTTGCTCGTGAAGACCATTGGAATATGCATCCCTTTTCCTCAATACGTAGGAAAGGTATGATGAGTTGATGCTGTGCACTTTCTAAAGTGTCGCGATCATGACGAGGCCTTATACATTTCCGCTCCTGCAGAAAGCGACGAGCTTGGATTCCCCTGTAGCTTCAACTTCGACTATCCTGTCGTAGTAGGTTTGCCGTGTCGAAAAACGTTGCTAGCGATGTAGTCTTGACCAAGACACTCTGATGAAACCTAAATCTAACTAAAGGTCACTGGGTAATGACTGACAAGATGATATGATTCCTTGCACGGGGTTAAGAGTGTATGGCCTGAAGAAAATCAATGCCGAGAGAGAGAAGCATAAGAAACATGTAGGAGGCCACGAGTCTGGATATTCAGCTTTGCATGAACAGGGGACCGAATGTCGTCTTAACCCAATCATGACCAGTGTCATTAGACACGACTCTTGCTTGGTTCTTCACTTGACACTCGCTGGAAGTGAAAGGAGATGGGACCATTTTGATAGACTTTCCATCCCTGAAAGCAAAAAAGGAGGTTAATGAGACAACACAATCCTGCAATATTCCATCAATCGTTCCGTGGTCCTTGTCAGCCACTATTTCTGCATGGGAGGCCATGAATTCGAGAGTGGCTCAAGTAGCTAATGGAGAGACAACCAATATTCATTTGCTACCAATGCGAGGAGGGGTGTTTTTAAACCGAAGACGGGAGAAAGGCACATATTCTGCCCAAGGCTAAACTAAAGATGCATTTTAGCTCTGAGAAGATAGGCTTTGGCTGAAAGGTTGCTCCAATACATCTACAAATCTATCGTGGTTCCAGTTTTCAGGGACGGGGCTCGTAATAGATTGTATTTTGCATAAATTCGATTCCTATTCCGCATTGCTGTCGCTGTTTATCAAAGCTGTGAATTGAGACCAGTGAGTACTAGCAGGGGTTATGAATTTCCGTGGACACACTGACTCCTGAGTCTAATGAGTGGCTGTCGCGTAATTTGTGCAGTCGTCCCAAGGTCGTCGCAAAGATAGCAAAAATGTCCAGAAAATGTAATCATGTCGACTCTTGTGGCAATTTCCCAGGAAGAGAGAGCATGGAAAGAGGTGAAATGCAGTATTCATGTCTCAGCGCCTGCATCCCTGAGTATCTGAGCAAAGTTGTCAATCCCACGACGAGTAGCGAGCATTAATGCGGTCTCGTCTGCTTCGCTGTCGCGCACAGATGAATCAACACCGAGCTCCACGGCGCGTTTCAGCAAGGTCTCTCGTTCGTACGCAACCGCCTCATGTAGAATTGTTCCCTGGTAGCTGCGTATGTGAGGGTCCGCTCCATGAGCAAGTAGAAGTTCGAAAGCACTCTCATGACCATTGGTAACAGACCACCAGAGAGGCGAAAACCCATCAATGTCCAAGGCGTTGACATCGACTCCAGCATCGATTACCATCTGGGCGACGATGAGATTGGGTTTCAAGTCATCCTCAAGAATCACATGCAGAAGTGTTTCCTTGAATTCTGCGACAACCGAAGGGTCGGCCCTCTTAGCAAGTATGAGCTGGACGGTTTCAGCGAGATTGCTGTGCCTGCTGTCAGAACAGGCCCAGTGAAGCGGGGTTCTTCCTAGTCGATCCTGGGCCAACAAGTCAAAGCCAGCATTGATAAGAATTTTAGCAATTTTGTTGCAACCTCCAGAAATAGCAAGATGCAAAGGTGTATAGCCCTGGCAAGTAGCCACCTGATCCTGAGCACAACGTCCGGCAATGAGGCCGACGATTGCTTCAGCATTCTTCGCAACGGCACAATGCAATATGGTATAGCCCCATGAGTCTTGATACCGCAGTTGCTCATCAGTCACGAGATCGGCGAGCTTTAGGATTGCAATGAGAAGCGCTAAGGTGTCGTCGGGCCAGAGGTGATCCACAATGAGCTGGATGATCTCAGTCGGCAGATGGAGTAACTTTGAGGCGTGCATTCTAGAAGGCGCGACCAGATTGACCATACGGGTATATTGCAAATTCTGTCCCTGTTTTATGGAGCAGGAGAACTGGAGAGACCTGTGTGCTGGTAGATGAGAAGAAAGATGATGCTCATAGCGAAGATATAACAGTGAGAAGTCACATGTTTATGTCTTGAATTCCTTCTCATTTTCACTTTGGAATGGGGCTACAAGCTAGATTACATTCACTAAGTCTTACGTGTAGGCTTTAAGTTACAGTGAGCTGACTTCTCCTCTCAGATGTTATGTCCTTTAATGGGCAAACATGATGAGAGATATTCACTATTAAGCCCCTTAAAATAAGCTCATCTTGAATCCTGCTTATGTTTTCTATCCTAGCTAGGAATTACGGGAAGAGTAGAGGGAGTGTCTTTAATGTGAATGCTAAGTGAGTTTATCTAGAATTTAATGCACCTGTACTTCACCCCTCTAGATAAGGCAGCAAATAAGGCTTCAGTAACTTCTATGTGGTGCAGGGGAATGGTACAACTATGAGGGTCATAAAACACCAAGTCATCTTGTATACTCAAGATTCTCAGCAAGGGATCAGGTTTCAGACTTGTTCCTATCATTCTCTGGTTTAAGTCTTTCCGAACTACTAGTGGTATTGTTAAGGACTTTCTTATCTTCTTTATCCTTGTCATGAGGTCAGTTCATGGGCTTTCTATATATACCTTGTGATCATTTGTTCAACGGTTCTGATCATCTCCTATACTACTTTAAGATTATTTAACCTTCATCATCTGCACATCCAAGAATCTGGGTTGTCATATGCGTCTTCATAATGTTATGCATCACTTGTGACTGCTTATGGACATAAATTAGTCCCTGACTTCGTCTTGGCCTTAAAATGGGCCAATCATTCGCAGCGTAACAATAGAGTCAAGAATGTGAGTGGGTCATGCCGCCATCCAGATCTCGTATTCGGGCTTGTGACGTTGGCTCTTCCGACTATTTAAAATCATACGAGCTCGCCCACTTTCGCAAATATTCTATTCCCATCACCAGCCAGAGTCGCATCTCAACATGAAAGCTCTCATTCCCATCACCTCGGCGATCCTCGGCACCACCGCCGTGGGAGTCTACCTCTTCCGCCAGAACCTCAAATCGCGCATCACAACGAAAGCGCAACACGGGCATCTTCCGCGCTCAATATCCCCCAATATCACCACCGCACCCGACGAGGTCTTCACGGAGCAGACAGTGGCAGTCTACGACTCGGTCTCGATATCTGCGCCACGCGAAAAACTCCCCGCCCTGCCGACTGAAGAACTGCTCACGCGCCTCCTGCGGCGGAATATGAGCCGCTTCGCGAGTTTGCCGCAAGCATATATCCTGCGATCGATGAGTACAGAGGAAGAAAAGCCCAGTTTCAAGGTAGCGAATCTCGAGCGCCTGGATTTCAAGGAGGGGGATCTCGTCTGCGGCGCTTACCGGGCCATTCTGCGGACGCCGGGGAAAGTGGAGTTTGAATTTAAGCCGATGGGGCCTGTTCGGGGTCGGTTGGTGGTTACGATTACAGAGAAAGACGATCAGATGGTCTTTATGAATGAGACGTTGATGTGGAAGCCGAAGGAGGAGAAGGCAGTGATGCCGTTGGAGACTGCGGTGGGCAAGTGGTTGCATGAGTTGACGGCGTGGTGGATGATTGATTCGGGGGTCAAGTATTTGATGGATTCGAAGAATTGATCGGTAGGACTAATTGGAATGGATGAATCTCCTCCCTTTCGCTGTCTGTACAGTTATTTTTCTTTCTTGTATGTAGTGATAAGCTTGTGTTCGTTTCCGCTTGCCTGTTTCATGGATATTGCTGTTTAGTGGAGGTAGATTAGCGTTATATAAGGTATGTATATTAGAAGGCATAGTATCTAATTCGTGTAAAATATGCTATTGAGCCTCCAAGGAGGTAAAAGCCGGGGATTGTATCTCGTCAACGAGTTCTCGATATTCCATGTATCCGCCGGGACGAGAGACACGGAGAACAATAGTAGATTGAGAAGCTTGTATTACCCTGCATTTGTAAAGTACGATTGCCACTCCCATGCTGACGAGTTGAGTAAACTATAGCATCTGTTAGTTAGTTATCGGTGTGTCCACACAATGAATGACCGGTCCTTTGGATACATTTGACCTGAGATGGGAGTGTTAACCTTATTATGGCTCCATTTCCCCATAATCATTACATCATTTTCCGTCATGTTTGTGCGCACTGAAAGCCAGTGGATAATGATTAGAAGCAGCTGGACCACGCACTTACTGCTCTGGGAGAAGACGACTGATCTCCGATATCAACAGAGGCCTAGAGACGTAGATTCCCGGAGAAAAACAGAACATGCAGTGTTCCTGAAAGTCCTCGGAGTTCATCGTCTCCAGCGACAGTCTCAGTATTAGCAATGAAATGCATGTCCAACAGTAAAACCAGGCATTTGGCGAGTTTCTGTCCCGTTGACCCCACAAAGCAAAGCTAACAAGAGACTAAGGAAGACACTAAGGAATAGGCAGCAGACCCGATTGGACTCGGTCTCGAAGGATCCAATTTCTGCCCTGATTCATGATCCGGGCTGCCCGTTGGCTCTTCTCACTGGCTGCTGCCCACCAGACCGTTGAAGGTCAATCAGGGAATATGCAACCCCAACCGTGTGGTCTCTATCAAATTCAGGAACTCCGATTTCAGGTGGAACTGGAGTCTGGACCATCATAACATGAAACCCCAATGAAGGTGGACAACTGGGAAGACGAACAGAAAGTTTTGCCCTTCTTAGTCTATATAGACCGACTACATTTGATTGGAATTCAAAGCTGCCTTCGCTGTCATCCAACTCGAGTCTGATTAGCTTTTGATGCGATATAGTCTAGTCGTCATTGATCCCCTTTCTCCGACTTGCAAACTTATTTCGATTTCTTAATATCGCGAGTTATTGAAAAGCCTATGATCATGCCGATGCCAGCCCATTGACTCCCAGCATCTCGTCCCAGTGTTTCTCAATCTGGAGTTCACCCTAGATTTCTATCCATCCGTCCATTGCTCACATTGCTTACTCTCGGTATCCTATTATACAACCCTCACAGTGAGCATGGGAAGAACCATGCTTGTCTGTCTCACAGGCAGTATCACGGCCTTTTCCGTTCTCGTTGACCTTGCTATCTCCGTTACATCCAACATACTTCAAGAGAGCCCATCAAATGAACCCAATCCTACCAACTGGAGTAGCGTTTCTCTTACAGCCGTCAATTTCATACTTGTTGGTCTTCTATCCTACCGATTATTCCTTGAGAGCGAATCTCAAGCGACAGAATGGACCCTGTGGAAAATCCGAGCTCGAGCTCTCTTCAGTCTCATCATCTTCATCAATCTTGGCATCATCAGCGGTGAGAAGGTGAGATATCTCTACTTCAACAGTCCAAAGAGTTCATCCAGCAGCATGTGGCTCTCTATGAACATAGCCCACGCCGTCGTATGGACGATCTCAGCATACTGTCAAGGATTTCTCTGCGCCCTCTCGTTCGTCCTCTCCAACATCCTCGACAACCGTTCCTGTCGAGTGTCCAATCCACCCATAGCTATCGGCCGCACAGCCGAATCAGTCTTTTCAACGACCAACCTCATCTCACCACAAAGTCCACAGTGGAGAAACTCCTTCCTATCACCAGTCCCCTCATTCCTTGAACCCTTACCATCCCCTCAGAGCGAGATAAGCGTCAGAACAAGCATCCTCCGCTCCCCACTCCCGAACTACTACACCTGCAAAGAACCCGAGCCGCTCTTTCTGCAGACTTGCAGAAGGGAAAAATCGCTCCAATCGACTCCATCCATCGACACCGTTGTTCGGTGCCCTGAATCCAGCAACGAGGATAGTGCGGAAGTCATCACGCCGACTCCCGCCCCGGCCCCTCGCGAGTCCCTCCTCGAGGCTATTGAGAAGAACATCCACCCGCTCTTCAGACCTAGCACGCCGCATCTTTCTCCAATGCCGAATATGTCCACTTCGATTATTGCTCCGTTGGAAAGACATGACCAGATGAGCGTGTCCTTACCGCGCCAGAGGGAAATCATCGATCCGCAGCTGTCGCCTGAAACAGCACAGCCCATGCTGCCGTTTTATGTTCTCAATGCGACGGCACGGAATAGCCTTGTGCGGTATGAAGATAGTAAGGTTTAAGTAACTCGTGGATGATCTATCTCATCATCTCCGATCTTTGACATATGGCTTGGCTATCATTATTTCGTCTGCCTCAATTCCAGTGTTTCTGTTCTGCACAATGAGTGGTTCTCTGAGGACAAAAGTACTTACGCCCATCAATGATTCCCTAAACAAATGACTCCTTTATGATACCGAAATGCGTCTCCACCGATATTAGTACACATCCAGTAGCAATCAGACTCTTCTACTGAGTCCGAAGACAATCTACACCCCCAAACACCGCCCCAACCTACAACTCTCAAACCGATACACCCTCCCATCATCCATGATTGTATCTACCCCCGTCTTCTCCAGTACCTTCTCCCCATCAACCCACAACTGGAGATCCCCGTTCCCCTCAACCCCCCACTTCGCCAGAACAGACACCACATGCCACTTCCCCAACTTCACAGTCCCCAGACTAAAAGTGCTCATCTGGGGCTCAAGAGGCGTCCCCGTAACCAGACGAACGTAGAGCTGATCCTCCTGGACCCATATCAAGCCTGGTGTGAGGCTAACGTCGCTGGACTCTGCAGTGAGTCGCGCGAGATTGTAATACCCCCGTAGAGCAAACTGCCATTCTTCCTGGAGGGAGAAGGCGAAGCTGTGGAAGGTTGTGTCGCCGCGTTGGTAGGTGTTGCGGTTGATGGGTTGATATTGATATTTGGAGGTGTCAATGTGTTTGTAGGCGAGCAGGTGGGTTATGTTGAGGGAGGAGGGCCCACTGATGATGACACAGGGGGGTTTTTGGACTGCGCTGGTGCATGGAGATGCATGTGCGATGATACTAATGCTGAATAGTAGAAATACTATCAGGTGTTTTGGGAACATTATGTCGATAGATTGGATTTAGAGGGGCGGGATTTCATTTTTCTCCATGTTGATGTTGTTATCTGGCCTCTTCTCTACGGTCTTGAGTCAGATTGGCGACTCGGTTGTGGGAGAGCTTGGCTCTCTTCGTACGAACAACACGTGGAGAAATGTCTTATCTTCTGCTTATAGGAATGGAGGTTTTAACCAAAACGTCATCGGGCTTTCGATATTCTGCACCAACTGAGACGCAGACGGCTAAGGCTACCGCCAAGACCAACACCGGCAAGGATACGAGGCTAATCCCAGGCTGATTTCCAGGAGCCTGGCCAGTTCTTATTATAATACAATTCTATGTCGCTGAGGCACTATCATATCGACAAGAACTGACCCTGGCAATGTTAGCGATAAGTTGTAACTAAGGATGAGCGTCAGGTCCGTCGCAGAAAAAATAGCGGAGACTCTCCTCGTCGCCCTCTTTATAATCGGCTTGTGGTTCGTCTGGGCAGTGTCCTTAATCTTCACCGGCCTCTGGTATGTGCTTCAGCCGACGGAGATTCTGAAGAAAATCCTTAAGAAGGGTGGCCGTCCACCAGTCGCTCTGTCACGCTCTCGCCGCTCTCTGACCCTTACTCTGCCGCCGCAGCAGGAGGATGTCCAGCAACGATCTCACGACCAGCTTCAGTCCCTGTTTTTCACGAAGCTGGCCCCTGAGATCCGCAGCATGATATATCGCGAGATCCTTGTGCTGTCAAATGCGCTTCATGTCCGGCGAACCCATCGGAGACTCTGCAGCATGCCGTGTAGGAATCTAAATCCGCAGGCGGATATGCAAAATGATACTCACGGCTCCTGTTACCCTCCTTGGGCCGACGACGACACGGTGGCAAGGCGATTGCCCGGCGAAAGCCCCCATCAGGACCAGATATTACCGCTGCTTTGCAGCTGTCGCAGAGTGTAAGCATTGGCTCAGGCTAGTAAATGGCAACGGTTTCATTGACTGTACAGGTACACCGAGGCGATTGGTCTCCTCTACGAAGAGAATAAATTCCACTTCGACAGCCCTCTTACGATTCAGGCATTACCACTGTGTATGGTTCCTCGTCGACTGGCATCAATACGATATATGCGGCTTGATACCCAAGCTTTTGAGGATCGGACCATCGTCGCCAATGTTCTCTCCTCCTGGGAGCAGGCATGCGCTGTCCTTGCGGGCATTGAGGCGTTGGAGGAACTTGTCGTCACCTTACGCTCACTCGACATGGGAACATTGTACAAGCCGCTTCCTCTACTAACTCTCCTGAGGCCTTTGACAAAGATCCGGGCCTCGAGGTTTGTAGTGCAGGTGCCCCCGCATGATGATCCAGAGGGGATTGTCGGCGGGCTGGGAGTTGCACCGTTTACGCTAGAAACAAAGGACTCCCTGCATGGAACGATTTATCGATGCTCCTGGTGGGGATCGGAGAGACCCAGGTGGTTGCCTCCACTATGACTGTGATAGAGCAATAATAATATGATGACCTGTACCTATCCGGGGAGAAATCGACGCTTGAATTTTTGTATCGATAGCCAACTCTGATAGTTCGAATTCATACTACTCTTGTAATCAGACGCTTTTGCTCTAACTGTAGAAGCATATACTACCGCAAACCAGTTGACGGATGTACTGACCGATCAGTCCTATTATGGCCTAAACAGCCAAAATCCCTGAAAAGGCGTTTCTCAACCAGGCGCTGTTTGAGGAGGTTTCACCTAAGTGAGGGTGCGTAATGAGCGGCAGTGGTTGAAATTCCACGATCGGGATGGAAAGCCTAGGCGGGAATATATAGTGGGAATGCGGTGGTCTGGCCGTGTGGTGGTAGGTAACCAGTAAGCGACGCCAGCGAATGCTTGGCGCTTTTCCGTGTGTAAATAGGTAGACATAGATCTAGAGACGTTCTATGAGATGGAACAAACAAGGGCTTTGGCTTTCTGCGAGCAGGAAGTGCCAAAACAATGGTCATCGTGTCTGGATCCCTCCGCTTGGATGATTCTGCTTCATAAGTTCAAAAACTGCAGAGCCTACCAAGAAATCCTCGATGGTCTAACGGTCATGATTTCCGCTTGTCACTCATATGAGAACGAGCGCGGGAGACCAGGGTTCGACTCCCTGTCGGGGAGATTTCTTTTTTCCCTTCATCTTTTTGACTTATCTACTCCGTATATTTGATCTCGTCTATTTTTGCATGGAGTCATTTCTATCCTCGCCTTATTTTTTTTGCAGCTCTTCTACTATCTTCTATGTCTACATGGAACCAGCAGTGTCAAGAATTTTCCGTTTCCGGAGATGGAACGTTTTCCGTCACCGTGACGTGACCATAACCATGGCATTTCCTGCAGTAGTTAAAAAGAGATCTGGATCAGGGCAGGTTCGACATTTCGTAGGTGACTTTATTCAGGCCAGTTCCATGTGTCAGGGCAATTCCATGTGTATCTGCAAGGAGGACGGTCGTGGCTTGACCTGTCAAATGTAGACGCAACACTCGGGTATCCATTGGCAGCATTCCTGCAATTAACTTGTGGACATGATCGTAGAGTACCTACACCGCATATTGTACAAACGCCGATATGACCAAAGAAACACTTGATATCGACTGCCAAGTTAATTGTGGGAACTGGGGTAAAATGGATCGGCGATTAAGGTACGTGCCTTATTGCCTGAACCGGCCGGATTCGCCGTCCCAAACAGAGACGGGCCTAGTACTTAGCTCGCTCTTTACCCCAAACACAACCCACCACTCATTCTCCTCCCCCATCGCATCATCCAAGCCCGCAATGACAACATCGCATAAGCCTCTTCATCTTTCCTGACAATTATGGCAGACCCTTCTGCCCAGCATGCGCCTATCGCTGAGCCCTCAGCTGGACCCTCCTCCCCAACCTCCTCCGTGTCCCCCACTCACCAGTCCAGATCGCAGTCGCCGACCGAGAGTGAGGCCTGGCGACTGTCCGGCCATGGCATAGACGAGAGAGACTGGGTCGAACTCCAACAAATTCCGACTCAGGATGACCAGCTGGAAGATCTCTCCTCGGGATCGTTATCCTCGGGGGAATTCCGAGTCAGGACTCGTCGCACGGTATCCCGGAGCAGCTCCAGTCGGCAGCCACGCAAGGGGGTCTTGGGCTGCATTCAACGGTTCTGGACAAATAACATTTCTTTGACGGTGCCACAAAAGAGCAACCGTGACCATTTTGGTACGTATGCTTATTTCTGATTTATGGTATTGGATGGAGTTTATTTTCAAGGACCATTTATTCTCCGTCTATGGAGTCGGATCAGAGAAATGGCATTAAGCGACCACAAAAAGCAATTCGAAGGCTAACAGCATCTAGCGTTGGAACGGACATTCTTGGCGTATATCCGTACCTCGATCACCGTTGCCATGCAGGGTGTGTTGATCGCTCAGCTGTTCCGTCTGCAGAGCACGACCGCTGACCTTGCTCGCCTGAGTTACTATACAGTTGGGATACCTCTTGCGGTTTCCTGTCATGTGATTGCCATTCTGATCGCTCTGATGGGAGCGCATCGGTTTTGGAGACTGCAGAGTGCTGTAGCTCATGGGAAGATCTATACAGGGGGTTGGGAGCTAAATTGGATAGGGATTTTTATTGGTCTGGTAGGTATGCTTCCTTCTGCCTGGGTGAAAGTCGGCTAATGGAACAGGTGAATCTGGTGATCTTCATACTCTCGATCGTTATTGTGGTCGGGATATCGAACAACAATAACGGATGAGGGCTATGTTTGTCGCATTGTAGATTTCACTAAGTCTGACAGACTGCATCCTGTCAACACAACGGCTCGATTCGTTGATATCAAGGACCGGCCTCCTTGTCCTCATCTGATCCTATCGGAATAGGATGAAGGAAGGCACCGCATCAGTACGCCACACCGAAACTGGGAGGCTGCTCGATCACGAAAAGGAACATCTTGCTGGAAAACGTCTGGCAGAAACAAGAACAAACCTGTGCTGAATCGCATCCCCCATGGCACGGCACACGTACTCTGTCCTTGGGTTCCTGAGTGAAGAATCTTCATCTCACATCTCGTTCCTGGAGGCGGAGTCCCTACTGCGGCGGCCTGCCCCGAGTTCCAAGGAGCCACTAGCATTTATATCGCGGGCGGAACCCCCGTGGATTCCATGGCAGACTGCACCCGTTTGGCGGGCGATCTCCTAAATCTGCCCGATAATCCTCGTTAGTCGATTGGAAGATACGCGTTGCCCCCAGGTTCCGCGATACCATGACCGATTCTTGCACGGCCGGATAAACGCAATGCGTGGCACAGTCCGAAACAATAGCTTGAGCAGAAGCATAATCATTCAACAAGGATGCATATGCACATGAGTGCAAGAAATAGATTGATTGGATATCAGAATTATTAAATTAAGGATGGGTATATGGTGGTATCATCCGTCGACATAATCCGCGTCGCATACACTTTTCTCTCATCTCCCGGTGACAAGCAAGCTGGGTAATCTACTGCTGCTCTCCAGGGACATCGACATCATACCTATGCAGCCTCGACTGTCTGCATCTGGGTTCCCTCCGTTGCAGCCCTCTCCTCCTTCCTCATGCCTGCGTACCCGGGGGCGTCACACTCCAGGACCCCAAGCATGGCAAGAACAACGAGGACGAAGAGCGCGATGAAGAGGAGCCTGCTCACTCGCATTAGCCACGTCAACTTCGGGTGATTAAAGGATGTGAAAAATAAACATACCACAAGAGCACCGCAAACGCAATCACCGCATTATAGTAATCGTTGGCGGTGCCTATCCCGCTCAGATCGGCCGCGATGTCCGCAAAGCATGCGAGCCAGAACACCATCGTCACAAAGTAGACGCCGCCCAGCGCGCCCGTGAGGATCGTGTTGAGTCGTGTTCCGGGGCCGGCCTTGGCGCGCAAGAACCAGGGAAGAAGGAACGCGGCGGCAGAGACGAGCATGGTCCAGACAGCGGTGAAGATCAGGAAGGCGAGGATGGGGGGAGCCGAGATCGTGACGGTCTTGTAGGAGTAGCCCCATTCGCTGGAGGGGTCGTAGTAGGGGATTTTGCGGGAGCCGGTAGAGATGGAGGCGACGTGGCCGCCGAGGCCGAGCTCGATGACGGCGAAGACGAAGGAGGTGCCCAGGAGGGCGAGGGGGACGATGGCCGGGAGGCGCATTTTGGTATCTGTGAACTAGCTGCTCTGGTCTTTTTGTGATTTTGACTGAGAGACTGGCGTGGAGTTGCGGCGGCGCAGGCTGTATTTAATAACCTTCAACCCAAGCTCATGACCATTGCTTGAGCTAAGCTCGTGTCGCGCCATTCATTCCTCTCGCTTGGCCTTCCAATCACGCTGGAAGAAAAGTGCCTTGCCGTTGTTGACTGGTCAGAGACAAAGCGCCACAGGAAGCGCCTGCTCGTATTCCGTAGATCGACAGAGCAGAACCTTTAGGAACGGGATCTGGTGGTATCTGATTTGCGAGTTTTCTGCCTGACAGGAATAGTAGAAAAGTAAACATCGTGATAATGGAGATGAGTGGAGATGAGTTCGTATGGGTAACGATGGACCTTTGGAACGGACGGGGCTAATTATCGGATAGCCTCAACCTTCTTCCGTGCTTTCCTTTTCGGGGAGGATTTTCCTTTCAGCTCTGGGCAGAGCTAAAATTTAGTGCCTTTCTCCTCGTATCCCTTTCCTAATTTATGGTTCCTTTAGCGAGCCCTGTGCAGCCTTGCGCCGTTTCTCTGCATTGACGCCTGGAGCATGAGGCTGAGGCTGTGCCTCATGATATTAATGCATTCAACATGGCAGCAATAAGTCTAACGGGCTGTCATATGATTTGCAGAAGACAAGTTTACTGGCCATCACAGCTTTGGCATGTGCACACTCTTGACACTACAACTCGAGTGGAGATGATCAGCAACGGTTCATTCCGATTCAGACTCAGCCCTGAGGCTATTCTAGACTGATCTCAATTAAAGTTTTCACTCTGTCCGTAACCCGTACACTGGACCTCTCCATCTTGGATTTGCACTGTCAATGAGTCACTTGCACGCGCACAATCATTATGTGATACCTCTGCTACTGTATAGCCATCTTCCCAATATACCCTACTTGAGAATCCTACATGCATCTACTGTCATCCAGCTCCTTTAAGTGTCACTGAACCAAGCAATCCGAAGCGGGACTGGAACGTAGTCAAGTAAAGTTAGTTGTGGACAAATACGAGTCCGACTCGAACCGCACAGGTTAAGCTCAGGCGACCTTCTCCACTTCTGACCTTCTAATTAAAGGTGAAACTGTATTGAGCCTCATGTAATCGGACCACCAGAGTAGATCTCGTCCTGCTCGAAGGTCGAGCAGTCTATGATTCCGCTACATCGTAGAGCTGACTTCATGGGTGGGAAATAGATATAGGAGTTTAGAGCGATCATCGTCTCCTTCAATTCGCTACTACTGAATTCATGGAAAAGCAGTAACTGAACTTGAGAAGACCAAAGACGCTTCGGTTGGATGATCACTTGTATATCTTACCCAAGTCCTTTACTCGCGGGTCGTATACAAGTATCTGGCTTTTCTCGTCAAGTAATTCACCGACCTTGGAACGTTGTCTATCTCTCTATTGCCATTGACACTGGTGATGCGATATCTCTAGCTCTAATGGCCTTCGGTGTAGAGGCGGACTGCGTCAAAGCAAAGAATAGTATCCGAGACCGCATACCGACGTGTTACCATTCAAGTGAATAGGACTCCCCTGAACACCAAAAACGGAGACGGTATTCTCTGACCATCCTGGTACAACCGCAGGATAATCGGATTCAGCCAGACGGGGGCCGCCCATAGAAAGAAGAGGCCTACCCAGACATATCCGATAGCCTTTCTCAAACGGTTATTCATCCCCTTGATCATCCTGTGGCAAGTCCACCACAGCAAATCTTCCACCATGATGCCCGGAATCTGCAGACAGAAGAACCACAGCGCTCCGCTTTGGTCCAGGGATACCCCGAAGCCCAGATCCATGAGAAAGTGGACTAACCCCGACGTGGCAAACGCCATGATCAGCCGGAGAGTCCTGGCGACAATCCCCTGCGGGAGCCGCAGGACGTCGAAAAGCAGGAAATCCGCGTTGGATGTGACCAGCTTGCGCAGGATCTGATGCCAGGCGATGCTACATCGATTAGTATCTAGCCATACCGATAAATTGAACACTCACCCCCAAACTCGCGTCAACGAGTGCATATCGCTCAAGGAGCCGAAGATCGGCGGCCACTCGACGGGCTCGTACGCCCCTAGAGCGACGAAGACCATGGCGAGGAGGTTATACATTCCCAGGATAGCCGCTCGGATGACAAATCCAAAAGAGATGGTGAATAGTGTTTGGACGATCGCGCGACGCGCCGTCCATTCCTCCCAGGTAGGCAGTAACACCTTCTTTGAGTCTGAAATCTCGGAGATCATACCCGCGAGATGAACATCCCCCGCATCTATGGTGCAGAAATGCAACACAAGTAGCGAGCCGCATACTTTGGCCGCACACCGACGCACGTAGTCCCACTTGTCCGGAACGTATCCGKCGTCGTTCTTATCGAACGCGGGGACAGCGTGGATCTGCCACGGGGTATTGACGCGACGGTAGTTGAAGGCCATTTCAACGGACCAGATGAGCCTTCTCCAAAGGCTGTTTGTGTTCACAGTCTTTCCTTGGTTGAGTTTCGTCTTCCATGCGATTTGCTCGTCAAACGAGACCCGACTCAGCATCAGCAGGTCGATCGCATTGAGCACGTTCACCCAGCACATGGCTGCTAAGGGTCCACGCGCGCGAGTCTCTGCGAAGGTTTGCCGGACCTGAGTCTGGAAGGAGTAGGCGAGCGCGATGACAATCACCGTGACAGCCGGTCTAACTTTGGAGTATGGCGGTGTGAACGCGATTGTCCATCCTGTCAGGAGCTGGACAAGAATCCACTGTGTGAGCGGGATGCTCCATGCAGATAGCGAGTTGGGGTCCATTAATGGCTTTTATGAGAAGTGGAAGTAGAAATGGGATATCTGTTGATTTAAGACGGACATGCAGTCACGTCTGTGGGCAGCTGCATGATGAAGTGTTTGATGTTGCTAATATTATTGCTTTTTCCGTGAGACGATTCTTGGCAGCCTTTTTTGTTTACTCATGCAATGGGAGCAGACCCACTGACTATCGAATTTTAATTCAGCTGAACAGGCTAAATAGATGGATAGGTTGGCTAGTTTCATAAGACTGAATGATTGGATCTGATTGGGTAACCATCATTGCTTGACATGCTCATGCTGAGTGCTTATCCCTTGCTAAGACTTGGGGAAGTTGTATCTACTGTTCCACTAATGGCAAGAATTCGGATAAATAAGACAGCATAAAATGATATAGTCTCGCGGAAAATGCAAACCAGATAATGTAGTGTGATCGTACCTTGGCGAGTTTAGTTTGCTAGTAAGCCGATCATCTACAGCCGATGATGTTATTGCACCTCTTGTAATGATGAGAATGGCTATCTGAGAAAGTCAATTGATTGAAGATATCCTGATACATCAACTGATTACCCCAGATCTGCCGATTATCTCACCACTCAGGGTCATCCATCAGGCCACCCGTGGATCATCACCAACTCAGTCTTTCCCCGCAAAGCCAATCACCGTCCATCGACCAATACAAGGCATCATGAGATATCCATGATCTCACCACCGAATCTCATATCCAATCAACTCCATATACAGAATATCGCTCAACCGTCTGATTGCGTGCCATCAAACCATTTATCCGGATCATCTCCAGACGCAATGACCATTGCATGTCTGTCATCCGTCACCTTTTGCGGGGTTTAAAGACCGGTATAAAAGGCATTCCTGCGGTCGCATCTCTCGCTTCATTAGCTAGAGAACAATCAATTCCTTTCTGCTGCATAACACCAACCGCCACCATGACCAAGGACCTTGTCAGTCAAGCACCCCCCGTCGAGCATGGAACCTCGCTAACCGTCTCTAGAGCTTCGACGTCTACTTCACCAATGAACAAGCCCACGCCCGCTTCGGGGACGGCAAAACCCTCGCAGAACAGTGCGTTAGCTCATCATCACTTTCTAGCTCCATTCTGACCGTTCAAACAGTCTCCGTGAAATCTACGAAGGCGAAGACCTCGTTTTCCCCGATACCTTTGAACACAGCGACACCTCTCCCCCGGTGCAGTACTTGACGTAGGCCTCGTCCTCCCAGACAACTTTCTACATCCATACTAAGTTGATACAGTGTTGAAGCACCCGACGATATGACTGTCGAGGAACTTTACGAGGTAGAGGTTCCTCCTGGATTGATGGTGAGGATTGAGGAGTTGCCGCAGTAGTGGTGCTCGTCTTTCCTCGCCACCCCAAATTGAAGTTTTGTGTTGTCATTACGAGATATGATGTATACCTAGGAAATTATTCATATGGAGTGTAGTATATATGTATAAATCAATATATTCAAATTTTAAGTCACTTTGGATTGATTGGCCACACCAATGGTGCAATAATCCATGTTACACTGATTAGGTAAAAGAATGGTACATCAGGCCATACTTGCTTTACGACGTGAATGAATGTACCTCCATTGACCAGTCCATCTGAAGCAAAGTTGCACATCGATCTAATTGCTTCTAGCTGACAGGGTCCTAAACCAGTAGCTCCTTGCAGGCCTAAATTTCTTGCGATGACCTCCCTGAGACAGTGTCAGCAACAGATAGCAGTAGCACACCCAGTCTATTGCCTAAAATTCGAGTTCAAGGATCCAAGACAACCTTCGCCACGATGCATTTAGGCTGGTACTTTTGTAAACTAACATGCTATATATTTTTTAAAGGTAAAGGAAATACCAATAAGAAGGGCTTGTGGTTTAGGGGTATAACGCTCCATTCGCATACGCAATGGGTCTTGGAGAGGTCCCGGGTTCGATTCCCGGCGAGTCCATTTCTTTTTTCCCCCCATTCTTTTTTGCATCCGCAATATCTAATTCAAAGCTATGATAGAAAACATGCAGCCAGATAGAAGATAAATTTTAATTCACTATATAGACAGATAAGAGAGATCACCCTAACTAGCAGAATCTAAGGTCTAAGAATAGGAGCATTCCGGTTATAACCGCCATTGACCACCATTGATGCATCCTTGTCGTCCATGAAAGTCCAGGCCCATGCCAGGGACTGTTGAATATCCCTCATATCCATGTCTTTATCCTTCGCTTCGGAATGCAATACGTAAAGAAATGCAATTATCCCAGCGGATAGAACATACGAGACTCTCGTATCCCTAAGGCACGGCTGGAATGCATGCATTGCATGTTTGCCTCCTCGCTGCAGTTGACCGTGTTGACGGGTATAAAGTCCGCTCTCCAGCCCTCCTCATCCAACTTCTCTGACAGATCCTGATCAGCATTCTTCACTATTACTCTCAAGTAGGTCATGTTCTCTTTATGCTTCGGCAGATACTGACAATGCTCGCAGAATGAAGTTCATCTACCTGCTTGCCTCTCTCACTGCCGTGGCTCTGGCTGCACCGACTCCTTCAAGCCAGTATGCGTGCCATCCAGAAGAGCAGACCTGTGCTACAATTGCTGGTCTGACTGGAGTGTGCTGCCCAGGACTGGAGTGTGTATACATCGGTCCAGACCGAGGGGTGAGTGCTTTGTCATCTGTGAGCTGAGCATGGCTGATTCTTGCTAGGTTTGTCGCTCTAAACAAGACTCCACTTTGTAGTGGATGGTAGTCATTATGGCAGTGATATTCAGTATCTGCGCTCAGTTGGATGCAGGATGACAAAAGTTTCTGTACTGTACTTTGTCTATGTTGTAATGGTTACATAAAAATTTATCCTTGGAATAGAATGCGTTTATTCCTCCCTGCTCAAGCACTGACCACTGATCTCCCTTGCAGGCACTTATCCCTGCAGCTGCAGTCAGCGCAATCCTTAGGGATCTATAATGCGTGAATTAATGTAATTATTCTCTAAAGCATAACCAGGCAGCAATGGCATACGACGAAGCAAAAAGTATATCAAAAACATACAACAGCCGGGATTCGCTGGTGGTCACCCACCCAACTACTAACCGGCCGGCGTGTGGCTTAAGTACGGCTGAGCGGACGGGAAGCCCTGTTCTCCACACCCTATGGTCGTATGTGCTTGAATTAATTTATGACTGGTTTATATCGCGGTATTGTGCTAAGAAAAACTTGACGGGCGCTATACATTGCATCTAGTCACATAAAGGAATAGGCAACGCATGTAATATTCTTTGAGTTATAACGCCAAGTCTAGGATTACTTGATATGGCAGCATCACAAGCATGTCGGAACAATGCATCTGCGTCATGATCGCAGTCTCTCTCTCATAGTGGCCTCTCCCTTCCAGGTCTGTGGGGACATGAAAAAAATGTCAGTAAGAGAGCTGGGATAGGGAATCTCATTAATTCAGGCAAAAAGCCCTTACCTTGAGGGACGAGTGCCTTGGCATTGATAGCAATCACCGCATGGTTGAGATCCACAGTCCCAGCAAGTAGTAAATGGGCCGGAGCATCCGAATGCACAGCAGTTGTAAGGAATGGCGCCTTGATGATTGTCATTAGGCAGAGCTTCTTGGTTCCTGGCATCAACCTTAGGAGCTGAAAGAAGAGCAGTTATAGAGGGCAGGACTAAAAAGCCTGTTAAAACAAAAATTTGGAGACTCCAGGGTCCCTTCATTGTTGTGAGGGTTAAGGGAGTTGATGTTGAGCAAGAGGGTGAACAAACAATGGTATCTTACGGGAGACTGACTAGTAACAAGAGCACCTATTATATTAAGCAGTACGGCTAGGCAGAGCCTTCATTTCGCAAAAAAGAACATTTAGGAAATTACATATGCTTCTGGAAGGGACTCGGGTTAGATGGTAGAATACATTCTAGATACAGAAGTTGGCGCAATTCAATGGATAGATCACTGCTGCCAAGTGCAGAGAATAGATGAACTAAGGTAGTTAATACTTAATAGTTACCTAGGGTATATAGGCAGTTCGGCCCGGAACTTGACCATACATCAGTCCGAGCCTTTAGGAAGCCACCCATGACCGTGCATAGTCCCTAGGCACCAAATCATTTTTGGTATGATAGGGGATCATGCTGGATGTATATAAGACGGTTAGAAGGAAATGATTCTCTGAAATCACAAGTTAATCCATCATACAGTCATCCTTCAAAATTTATCGAAGACAATTGTATAAGTCTACTTCGCTACCTCTTTTCCTCTCTAAAAATGAGATTCCAAACTTTGCTGGTGGTCTCCTTTTCAACTTTACATATGTGAGTGCGCAAGCCTGCTGCGGATATGGTTGTGCTGGACCCTTTATAAGTTGTTGGTATTGTGGGACACAGCCTTGTGGTGCATGCTTTCAGTGCCTTCCCAACATTTTATTTTTGATGAGGCTCTGAGGGTTAATGGATCTGGTAAGTTTATGAGCAGACTGGTAATGGCCATTACTAAAGTAGAAGTTTAGAAACACCCGGCTATACCATTAGCATGTGAACCTATACCATTCCGTCAGTTCCGCGCTGAGTTGTATGACATTTAGAGATGGCTGGGATACCTTTCCTCGAGAGGAAACTGCGTTGTTTACGGCATAACCTTGGACAGGGAAGGACAAGATCAGATCTCTTAGTCTCCATGACTACGCCAAACATATCGACATTTGACCTGTCATTACCCATCTAGCAGGGAATGTCATATATACACCTTTTGCGCGTTTTTAAGTGTCGTTTACTATTTAGTCATTACCAGTGAAGAGTCGGAGTTACAGTCCAGACAATGATGCTTTTGATTCAGTGTGATTGACGGCGTGGCCATCTGAAAATTTCTTGGTCCCCATCTGAAATGTGCAATAATGGCATTGCTACCCTACCTAGGGATTCACCAATTTATGTTCCTACCTCTGGCCGGAGATCAACGTCGTTCAATGTCAAAATCTTCCAAGTGTTCAAGAAGTCGTCCATCCATAGCCCGTGACTTTACAGAGTATCATCTTGGCCAGCATTCGCGAAAGCAGATTGGCGTGAAGGGGGCTTAGCTACGTATTTAAGTCCAGAGATTCCATTCTTATATCTTTTATGACATCACGACTTCAAGATTTCTGAATCCACTGCAGCTCCAGGATACGGATCAGGCTCAACTGTGGCTTAAGGCCTCCTCTCTCTACATAATTTGTACACACCGATAACTTGTAGAAGGAAGAGTAAGGTATATACATAGTGACAAGGTGGTTAGTCTTGGCATTGCTTGCCTCTAGATGTCCTCGGGCAAATGCAAGAACCAGGTCAGTGTTCGGGGCTTACAGCGTTTTTCTGAAGACTCGATCTACTACATATCCTTCTGTTGTTTCTGTCCTCCCAATGGAAAGCAGTCCAAACCATGTTGTAGCGCAGTTCAGACTATATAGTCATCAACGCATTGGCAGCCTTCATCCATGTCCCATCTCTCTCGACAAAGCCGCCAATATTGACCACAACCCGTTGCTCTAGCTCAGCTGATAGCTCATCTTCCCAATTGACGTCCCCACTGTATACTGTGATAAGATTGTGATGATCAACTACTCCTGGGGCCTCTGATGGAGATCCTATTTTATTATAGACCATGACCTTGAGCATCAGTTATGTTTGTTAGCCTTGAGGTACTCTAAACCAATATTAGGACTTTAAGGGTTAGAAAGGATATAGTATAAGAGGGAAACTAGCATTATTAAAGAAGAAATATATAAGCAGGGATAGAGTTAGTGTAAGATAAGTTAGATTATAGGAGCTATAGATATAACTACCATCTTCCTTAATAAGAGATTATAGTAAGTTATAGGCAAGTTTATAGTCACCCTTCTGCTTAAGTTACTAAATAAGTAATATCCTTTATATTAGTATCTAACCTTATTATTACCCATCTAAAAGCTCCTTAATGTAAGAAAGCTAAGTAATAATACCTATACTTATTACTACTATAAGTATATAGCTATAATCTCCAACCTCAGGAGAATAGCTAAAGATAGAGGTATATAAGGGTCTATAGGATCTATTAATTTAGGCCTGTAGTGGGCAGGGCCTGCTAGGATACTCAGGCAGTCTGGCTGAACCATACACAGGCAGTCTGGCTGAACCATACAGCCCTTATGAAGCTATATCTAAACTTGATATTAGCTGCAAGTAGCATACTCTCCTTTTTATATTTAGCCTATATAGCCTCAGTTAGGCTTCCTTAGTGATTTCTTACCATCCAAACCTAGGTTATAGGTTGACTGGCTTCTCTTATGTGTTAGGACCTGCAACTAAAAGCGCCCCTCCCCAGGGCTCATCCTTTAGTGAAACCAGGCCTCCCATTGTTGCTTACCAAGTTACCATCTGCAGTAACTGCTCATAAGGGTAGAGCTATGACGCTGCAGTTATACTATGGTTTAATACATGGATATCAAATAACCCGGACTAGGGAACTCCGAATAGTCACCAACTTAAGTCATCCGGAGCTGATCAAAGTTGCATCCACCGCGGCTTTTGCTAAGAAGTAGACTATTGGATCGATGGAATGCACTCAAGAGGTATCCCAACCGCGAGGTGGCTGCTTTCCATTGCCCCAGTGCCCTCGCACTTATTCTTGCATCCTTCATCTGTCGCGCCACGCTCGTTCACATAGGTCTGCCCTGATTATCACACAACTCGGCTGATTGGACGAAACCAGCCCTGCATGCTAAGCTGACTGAGACCGTCAGATCTACCACAGCAACCGTAGGAGTGCGATATCTGTCAAAGGGTTTTCTCCAGGCGGTACGTTCATCATGCGTCACAGCAATAGATTTGGGACGCTAAACCCCACGGCCAACCTTCCAGAGACCTTCTCCAGCGTCATCATGCATGCCACCAGAAAGATGGTGAGCGGATCGGAAGCACTGTAACCAATTCGGCCCATTACCGCGGTCGAGTTTCCCGCCCCTATCGGACATATGCTATAGTAAAGCTGAAATGCGACGAGGCCAAGCCATGTGTCCGCTGTGTGTCTCGCAGTATCCCCTGCGAATCCATCCAGGATCGGCGAACTCTGCGGCGCCCGGGAAAGATGCCTCCGAAGGTCGGTGATCCAACTCCTGCTGGGTCACAGAGGGAGGATTGCTTGCTCGCCGTAGATTCAGAGGACCCTCCCTGGCTTCTACTCCCTGGGCAAACGTCACATCGAGGTTGTAGACCGCAGGATATCCTCAATTTCTCTTCCGACAGAAGTCTGGATCTGACCCCAGATGATTTGGCACAGCTGGAAAGTCTGAATCGATCATCGCCCTCGCCTAGAATAGAGCCAGCACTCTACACTACGCCCCCCTTTCTCGGCACTCGAGTAGTAGGTGGAGATAGTGGTCGAGTGCTCCATCAGCCAATGCTCGTGTAGAAGTCTGCTCAGTACATTATGATGGGCGCTGATCAAGGATTAGCGCACTCGAAATACGTTCTCTGGGCCCCGATTACGTGCACAACTTTCAAATAGATAATGACTGACTGATTTAAATTGCAAGTGGACCATTCCTAATCAATGTTCGATAATGCGATAAAATAAGTACATCACCAGCAGAATCGAAGCAGACGCTGTCCATCCATGGCCTCCCCTCCACACCCCTTCCATGAGAGGAATACTCTCGCATCAGCAGGCTGTCGCGCATTCAGTTCTGGGCAACACACTGGCTGGTGATCTGCACCACAGTCAGAGTAGAGGAGGACGCAGCAGAGCTCACAGCGACGGACGCGGTGCCTCAGCTGACTCACTTCCACACGCCATCCCCAATAGGCGTGTCCATAATATCCGTCTTTACCTTGCCCGCAGAGTCTGTCCAGAGGTTGAGACCGTTGAAAAGCGTCATGCTGTCGTTGTAAATACCGGGAATATGGTACGTCTGGCTCGGGGTCCCACTGCCGGAGCCGGTGACCTTGACTTGGGCGCAGCTGTGCCGGTCACGTTAGGAAGCTTGTTTTGGGGGAAAAGGGGGGGGGGGGGGGGGGGGGGGGGGGGGGGGGGGGGGGGGGGGGGGGGGGGGGGGGGGGGGGGGGGGGGAAGGAAGTCATCATCCAAGGCTCACCTGTAGAAGAACTCGGCCTCGTTGTTTTGCGCGCCATGAAGCCCCACATGTTCAGCACGAACGAGATACTCGCCGGCGGGAGTCGTTTGGGGGATCTGGAACTCAAACTCCGACATGCCGTAGGTGCACCAGGCACCCTTGGTGAGGTCGCCACTCTCATCACACAGGGTCTTTTCCCAGATCTTGAACCATTCGCCATCGCCTTCATACTCCTGGACATTCCCAGTTGGCGCCTTGGACATATCTGTGGGGAAGTCTCGTTAGTAGTCCGGGGTTCGTCAATATGATATCCGCAGGAAGGGCAACCCTACAAACTTGGCCCGGTCCGGGATGCGCAATCTTGCCGTCGTAGAAGAGCTTCATCGCGATCGTATCGCCGGCCGCGACCTCTGCAACATCGGTCTTGGCGGCGTTGCTGAATGAGCCCAGGTTACAGCGGAAATCGCTGTCACTGGGAGTCAGATTGTCGTAAGTGGAGGTCCACTTGGTGGGCATGTAGCATTCACTCCGAGTCGTCTGCCGAATGTACTGCCAGTCCTGCGACTCCTTGCCGTTCAGCACAAGTTTGCTGAAGATGTAGTGCGCAGTAGCAGGGCGAGCCAGCGCCGCCGTCAGAGCAACTACCGTGGGAATGTACTTCATTGCGATTCAACAGTGGTTGGGGTAAAATGAATGACAAGAGTTCAACTCTAGAGAAGGAAGCTTGAAATGAGAGAAAGAAAGAATGAGAGAGATTATATATGTTCGCTGGGCAACCTTCCCGGTGATTATCTCCCTCCCTGGCCTCTTTTCTATCCTGCTCTGACGCCCCACCAGTCTATAACCCATACCAGCGGGCTGTTTCAAAATGGACGATTGTCGCGGCTATATGAACCATCCCACTTTCTCAATCGGTCTCAGTAATAACCACCTCGAGAAGGTCTAGTCTATGCATTGGCCTTGGGCAGCTATCGGAAGCGGTAAAAGGGGCGGACGTCAGTTCACTCAGATATGGAAATAGACGAGACAAAGAGGGTTGTCGAACGACGAAGGTCAGTTTCAGTAACTTGGACCGAGTTCGGTCTAGATGCCCTCATCAGCATCAGTCACTAGCTGTTTCATAATGAGCTGAAGCCCAATGAACAGCTAAAATGACAATACTGGGGTGAATCGGGGATCCACCATTGTGGCAAAGCCCAGAGTCTCAAGGCCAAGATGAGTCCATATATCTGACGATCGCCGATGCGCCGCGTGGCCGTCTTCCATCCTACTTGATAAGCCTGTGTTGACCGACCCATGTCCGATATGACGGGGGAGATGTGTTCTAGGCTGAAAATCGAGTTACGCGTAGAGTTCAGGCAAGACCATCAGATCCCTTGTTCTCCTTAGGCAGAATGAGGGTGCACATAATCGTCGCAGCTGAGATTCTTCCTGCTCCAGAAGCATGGATGTCAGGTATCCCGCGTTTCCTACTTGCAAGTTGATGGCTACCTACACACAATTGACTCAACAAATCGGAATATCCGGCAGTGTAACCCTTCTCATTGACAATTACAGCATGGTCAATTACACTATACTCCCCATGGCCGACACAGCGAGTGTTTGCAATGTTAGCCGCAAGCCCAGCTCTGCGCCCATACCCATTTGGGCCTTCCCTACGGGGCTGTTAGTGCTACTTTCTAAAAGCATCTGTCAAGATCAGAAGGGGTCATGTCTCATGAGCTGTCGTCTCTGGTCTATCCAGACTTCTCGAGGTTTTGCCCAGATGTCTGGCTGTGACCGACTCTCCTCTCTCCTTCCCCGACCGACCAGGAGTAACAGTCGCGGAGCACTTTGTTTGTATAGTCTACTTTATTAAGATTGCAACAATTGACAGAGAATTACAGTCTGGTGGGTAAATATCAGAAGATATTTGTGTAGAATGTGGTTTTTAGGACCGTCACAGTGTATCCCAACTTACAAATCCACACACCGAAAGAAAGTAAGATCAAAAAACAAAAAGAAGAAAGGCACCGAAGTACCTGCAAGTCACACAGAAACAGAGACACGAAGCACCCACAAGCCAACGCTCATCGGGCTAGATTACATCCTCATAGGGGCACAGGTACCGTACGGAGCTGCACCACCGGGAGCAGAACCACTGGGGCCTCCGCCCATGGCACTGTTCTCGTTCTCGAAGCCATCGTCGGAGGTGTAGTAGGCTGCGGGACTGAGCTCTCGGTCAGCCGTGGGATCGATAGCCACCGAAATCCAGGCGAAAATGCCGTCCGAGACGTCTTCACCCAGCAGGACATACTCCATGAATGGATCAATGTCGGCTACCTCGCCTGCGAGGATGTCGTCGTTCGCATTGGTGGTGAGCTTCTGTGTATTAGTGGTGTACAGGGAGAGACTCTCAACCTGGGAGATCAGGTCTTGGTCGAAGAAGAGTCGGCCAATATGCGAGGGATGAGTGCTCAGCAGCCCGGAGATCGTCCCGTTGGTGAGCTCGGTGGTGTTGTTTGCGTTGTGAGCCAGAACTGGTCACACCATCCGTAAATTCAGTCCATCTCGAAACAGCTCGGGGAGTCGGTCAGGCTTACCATGGATGTGGGTGGCGCGGCCAGTGTAGTGTCCAGGGAAAATGGACTGGAAGCGGACAGCACCGTTCTCGTCGGACTTTTGGATACCGCGAAGGAAGGTTCCATCGAGGCTGGAGTCATCGTCGCCATTCCCGTTGCCGGCCGAAACGCCGGAGTAGACACCCTACCCGTGGAAGCCAGTCTTTTTACCATCCATTGATGGAAATGTGCCAGATGAAATGGATTCTTACGGTGGCATTGCAATGCCAGATATCCATGAAGACATCCGGCTCCGGTTCGCAGGTATTGGCATTTATAATCTGGAGCATCCGTTTCCTAGATACAGAATCCAACCATCTCTATCTAGCACTACACTACTGCTACGTCAATGAGCATTTCCCCAGGAGATCTTCATGTGACTACCATGAATTCACCATCAATTTCCGATAAAATTGTCTTACATCTACCACCATCCACTATCCTATCATCTAGCTACCTCGTCTAGTAATGGATAATACCTACTTTCCTAATAAGCTTTAGCTCAATAGGGAGATCCAATTCACCCTCCACTTAGAAACTAACTGTGAAAATCAATGAAAAGATCTGGCTTTTGAGCAAGGAAGAATCCCTAGATTACCAAGCTACTTCCTTGTCTATTGCTATATTTGAATGCCACTGCTCTAGTGATCCAACTTAGCAGGTATAAGTTATAATCTACATGCAGATCCTGAATAAGGGGACTTAGGCTCTGCCCCCCTAATATATACTGCAGATAAGCTTCTGATAAGGTCCCTAAGAGCTTACAAGAGGAGCTTAAAGCCTATAAACACCTAGCAAGCCACCAGAGTAATTTTACTCCTTAACTCATCAGGTTCAAACACAAAAAATAAGATGTTAATAGTCTGGTCCCAGACAGGTTTATATTTTATATAGCCTACATAAAGGTTTCTGGCGTTGCTCTGGGTAAGAGGATTTACTGCTTTAGAGATGGTTCTAAACTTCTGATATCCCTAATATTAATGTGGCCTCAGATGCGCCTAGTACTAGAAATCCAGGAATGTATATCACATAGTATAGTATTCCTAAAGGGCTGTTCTGGACCATTTGTAGAAGTAAGAGAGACCTAATTCAGGCTACATTTAACATAATTTACAGGTCAGCACCTAGTAATTATCATCTAGCTTATACTGACTATTCTCCTTGTAGAAGGGAACTTCCTATAGTAAGGGTCAGGGTCCATATTCCTTTTCTAAATAATCTATTTTGGGATCAGAATTACACAGAAACTATCAGTTTTCACTTTGACTTTTCACAGCAGATGATAATCTAAATTCTGTGTTATGAATCTAGCTATATTAGCGGTGTATTCACGCCAACAGATAGAAAGGCTCTGGCGCCCGCGGGATGTGGGCTTGTGGGGTTTGCTTTGCATCCTGATGAACCTAAATTGGGTCTTCAGGATGAAAATGACGCCGATTTGTTGCTGCAGGCTGGGCTGTACGGCGGCTCCTTTGGGTCTTAGACAGCCTTCAGGTATAATTCAGGCATAATTCAGGCAGAGTGCGGTTGAGGGCAATGGCCTGAAGATCAGAGCATCACCATCAAAGCAAAATAAAAGAGACAAAAACATACAACAGCCGGGATTCGCTGGTGGTCACCCACCCAACTACTAACCGGCCGGCGTGTGACTTAAGTACGGCTGAGCGGACGGGAAGCCCTGTTTTCCACACCCTATGGTCGTATGTACTAGGGTTGACGTTATTTTACTTGATATCGAGGTATTGTGCTAAGGAAAAACTTAACAGGCGATATACATCGCATCGATTATGCACGACAGAAGGATGTCTGATGATATCCCGGGAATGGCGCGGTAGCGGTATGCCATGTACTTAGGACTAGAACACACAACCTAAGACACTATAAATATGCTTCAAATATACCATTCATAGAGAGCGATGCGCCAGAAAAGGCGTTTAGACACAGACCTACCAGGATAAGCCACGTCCCCGATGCTACTGTAATAGATTTCCGGAGACGGACTTCCGCGCGGTTGTAGTCGCACATATGTTCGATTTACTGTCCGAGCTGGAAGACGCTATACTGTTGAGCTAGACCTCTGCGCTTGTCTCCGCCAGTATCTCTGCAGCCGAAGCCTGACCCCTTTTCTTGTCGGTTGGTGCCCCCTCTCGTTGTAATGTTCGCTAGGGAGGTATGAGCTTGACCCGTCTTCGTCACCTGTATAAAAGCTCCTTCTACTACTCGCGCTGGACCATGATGGTGGCCGTAGACTGGGTGGCTTGCCCCCATCAGCACTTCCACCCCCGTGGCGATTGTACATCCAGTCCTGGAACGCCTCAACCCTCAACGGGGCGAAAATGGCTATACTGAAAAACACGGTCGTCACACCGACTTTCATGTACTATGTTAGCACGGGTCTTTCTGAGATTTGGCGGGAAGTCCTCACAGAGGATAGGAAACAGCCAATGAGGCTGGTACTCGATCGTCCCGTCGTTGTGTGGAAAGCTGGTAATGTTCAGTGCAAACAGGGAAGTCAGCCAGGAAAGAGGAAGCTGTTTTGAGAGTTAGTCTGGGTTCCAGCATGGCTTCTGGAAGCGTAATTTGGGCCTACGAAGAAGATGGTCACTAGAGTAAAGACATAGATGTTGTTCGACTGGCGCGCTGTGTCGTTCGCTTGTAGTCGACCGGCCTCGGTCTCCGCAAGGCTCGCTTGTTTCTGGCGCAAGTCGAGCAGCGTATCGATCTAAAGAAGTTAGCTGGTGAGCAATACAGCAGTAAATGATCTCTAAGGCAAGACACTCACCGAGTCACGAGTCATCTCTGCTTCCAGGATTATTCCATCCAGATCTCGAGCAATCTCAGTAGGAGTGCAACTGAAACGGCCTTGCGTCTCCATGCCAAGGAATGCTTGGTTCCACACGATCTCCTGATCCTCCGCCAATGACCGCAGCATGTGGAGTTCATCGTTGATATCGCGAATCTGGTCGAGGAGTTCTGTCTCCTCCGAGATGATATAATGCGGGTTGTTGGGCAGTTCTCTGATCGACGGGCGACCGCTCCTCGAGGAAATGCGCTCGTTGCGCGCCTTGCGTTTCTCAATCTCCTGCTTGAGATCCTTCAAGAAGTTCTGGAAGAGCTCGGTTTCTCTGTTGGCCTTAATCGGTCGTTAGTGATATGTGCGGCTGAATTTTCGTTTATTGTATAGACGAACCACATCACGAATCGACTCGCGGAAAACCTCCAAAGGTCCTTTGAAAGTGCCGTCTGCAAGTTGTACACACTTTTCTATAAAGAATCCAGTAGCCGCCCCGAGAACCAACTGCATGACTGCATTCACCGACGTAGGCCGCTCTGAGCGGCCTCTGCTCTCGCCGTACGTGATGTCATTGAGGACGTGCTGCAGCAGAGTGCTCATCGATGAATCCCTCGCATCTTGTGACGACACAGTCGACGACTCCTCGTGTCTTTGGGACGTGCTTGTAATGACTGACTCTAATCGATCAAAGTTAGCTGCAATCATAGCTGCTGGAGCGAATAGTCGTACGATCATCTATGATCCAAATCCACAGCTGGTCGACTATCAATATCTGTTTCTTCTTTGACCTGCTCGTTGACACTAGTTTCTCATGGTGCTTCTCAAGGTACTGTGAGAAGACCTGGTGGTCGTCTCGGTAGCTGGTGTCAGAGATCCCAGGGTAGTAGTATTGGTCGAGAGTCAGAGGGACATGAGCGATGTGTCTGGAATCTCTTCTGCTGATCAAGTTATCAACTCCACTTTCCTTTAGTCCGGAAAGAGTTCGCTTCTCGGGATCCTTTGGGTCGTATTCACCCAGTGTCAGATACGGCATCTGTTGTCGGTTTAGTGATAGGAACAAGGGGAGACAGTATGTTCCACGCACGTAGACAGCGGTGCAAGTTCTGTATTTACCGCGCTCATTTATTTCCGCGCGCTAGATATTTCATGGGAATTAGAAAAATAACGTAAGAATTTTGGGCGCAATGCATACCAGACACAGCGGCTTCATATAATGTTGCCTTGCGCCTGCCGCGAGCTCGGTCCAGCTTCTGTTGAAGAACTTCATAAAGTTCCTATGGTCCATCTCCGATCGGCCGGAGTCGTGCGACAGTCTCGTTACGAGGTCCTTTGGTCAACCGTATTAGGACCGATCACTCACGGGCAATGCTGGCTGGCGAACCTTGGTTAACTGCAATTCATTCACAGGCAGATGAATCCAACGAAGCTTCAGGTCCTCCGAGGAGTCACTATAGTCATGCCGCAGCAGGCGAGGGGTGATAGTGCTCCTGACTCCGCCAGATGGAGTTCGAGATCGATTCCAGATATTAGGAAGGCTGTGGTCTTCGCTCAAAACATTTCCCAGCTTCTTCTTCAAGATATTCAAGTCTTTCTGTTCGAGCATTTCCACGTGCCTTGAGAGAGCAGTCGGCCCTTGGCTGTAAATGATGCCGTGGAGAGTATCTCTCGTATATGGCACGACGGTGTTTCCATTCCGAGAGTAAACATTCATGACGAACCCATGGAGATCATGTCGCTGATCCTCCCAGCCCATCGGTCTCGGCGGAAAGGGCCGCTCGTCATCAACCGGATTCGCAATCTCGTACATCTGCGGCGGTGGATTCCGTAGGAGATTCTGAATGATCTGCCCGATTGCGTCTGCTTTCACTAGAGGATCCTTTTGGCAGTCTCTGATCGCATCGTCCGATCTGTATCCCCCCTTTGACAGAAGCCACCAGACCACCACGGCCGCGGATCCGTGAACGGCCCAGTGAAGAGCCGACCAGTATCTGACATCTGTATTTGACGGGGCAGGTAGCCAGTGCTGGAGCAAATGCTTCAGCACAGTCTCGCGCCCCGGCTTTTCCCACTCGGCGAGTATTTCGAGGAGCTCGCTTTCTTTGATTGAGTCGAGGATATTGCCGCTCACATCTCCTAGGGCCTTCAGCTCGGAAAAAAAAAGCTCCTCTAAGCGCTTGTGGTTTCGACTGATGGATAGCGTAAGAGGCGATTCTCTTCGACCATTCCAGTGAATGATTGCTCTAGCCTTTGCGCAACTGGCTTCGTCTGCATTGGGAGAGCCTCTCGCTATAATCTCCAGCAATGCCCGAACTGTGTCGCGGTGGCCATGTGCAGCTGCAACGTTCAACGCAGTAATTCCCCCACTGGCTTCTTTGGCGGCATCAATCTTAGTGAAAAGGTTATTGATAATGCCGCTGTGTCCGTATTGAGCTGCTACATGGAGCCATGTGGCTTCTCCCCCAGTTCTCCAGAACAATGCTCTAGGTCTGTATCTAAGACACTTTTGGATTAGCTCGAAGCGGCCGTGCGATACAGCCCAGTGCAGTAGAGACTCCAGATCACGGTCCGAATAGTCAAGGTCTTCCACGTCAAATCTCTTGAGAAAGACTCCGACAATTTTTGCAGCTGACTTTGGGGGCTCAATGAACGCCGGATCCGCAGCCGGATTGTTTGGAAAGTACTCGCGAGTCTTGACAAGCTCGAGCATGATGTCAACGGACTTGCTATCTGCTGCTTTGCAAAGGGGCGTGTTGCCATCACCATCAAGAGCAGTGACGGGGGCGTTGCACTCCAGCAAAAGCCGGACGTTGCTAATGACCCCCCAGCTACACACTACGTGGAGTGGGGTAGATCCCCCAGTCATGGTTACAGTAACGTCAGCACCGCGTCTCAGAAGAAGATCGAGGCTCCCGTTGTCCGGCTTTTCGCATGCGTAAAAGATAGGCGTCCGGCCCATATGGCCTTTGCGGTTGATATCAGCGCCGAGGTCGAGAAGGGTCCGGATCAAGTCCGGGTTCTGGTACTGGCATGCATCCATCAACGGGGTAGATCCACGATGGTCTTCTTGGTCAACAACAGCACCCCTCCCCTCAAGGTACTCAAGGTACTCCGGGAATGTTCTAGACCCTTCACCAAACGGGTCGTGGCCCTGAACCACATGATGTAGGCAGCCTCGTCCACTAGAGTCGACTGTTGTAGTCGAGGCGTAGTGGTAGAACAGAGTCTTCATCACTTCACCCTGCAGATTCCCACATGCAAGCAGTAGAGGAGTCCGAGAGTCAGAGTCTAGCGGGTCTATCTGTGCTCCGTTCTTCAGTAAGATCCAGACGATGCTGTTGTTTCCTTCCATGCTTGCCATGTGCAATGGCGTGCGTTGATTGTCGCCCACCTGATCAACCTTGGCCCCTTTATCCAGCAGCCACCTCACTACCTTGGGGCAGTTATTCGCACTAGCGGTATGCAGCGGCGCGTTGTTCAATGCGTTCACCTCCACTATCTGTGTCTCAGGGTCAGCCGTCGCTGCCCACAAGAGATCCAAGATCTCCGCAGAGTCGAACTGCGCAGCCAGGTGGAAAGCCAAGTTCTGCTCGTTGTCTCGCAGTGTAGGATCCGCCCCTTCCTCCAGGAGGCACTGCACTATGTCGACCTTTTGCTGCGTGATGGCGTCATGAAGTGGAGTGATTCCGCCAGCCCGTTGAATATCAACGGTTGCGCCCTGGGAAAGCAGCAGCCTCACACTGGTGTAGTTGCCCATGATGGCCGCGGAGTGCAGTGCGCTTATCCCACCAGCTATATGAGTGGAGAATGCATCGACCTCCGGCCCATATTCAAGAGGGCCTCCACGATGCGAGGTTGACGGTGGGCCACGGCCAAACATAGCGGCGTTATAAAGGCTTCTTGCCACTCGTCATCAAGTTCAACCAAGGCTCTTGAATTCGATAACTCCGGATCACAGGCTAGAAGCTCTTCCACTCGCTCGATATGGTGATCTGATATAGCTTCCGAGAGATCTCCGCTGGGTGGGTGCTCCAAAAGCTGAACAACATTGGTTGTCCCGCTTGCCGTGCCCGGATTGGCATCTCCATCTCGGCCATCGTCGCTGCCGGATTCGGTTACTTCGTTCAAGTAGCCGCTGGAAACCGTATACTGATCGTAATCCGCATCATTCCCAGTTTCTACCGCGGCTCTTATAATAGCTTCCATCATCTCGTGATCCAGCCCGTGGCTATTAGCTTCACCTTCGTCTGAAATTTCGGATAGGCCGTCCCCGGCCGAACCATCACCCTCGCCATCATCAGTATTCTGTTCGCGGGATTGAGATACGCCGAGGCTTGCGGCCTCTTCATCGTTCGTGGTCGTCTCGTCGCCCGACTCCCGTCCAGTCGGACTGTTTGCACCAAGCGACTCCGCGCGCCCATGGACTGAATTCACAGCGAATGACCCGTCAGTACGCTCGCTATTTTGACTTTCATTGTCAGGTATTTCACGTATCGAAGATCTCTCAATGCTCTCTTCTTGGTCTGCGGAAGTTTCATGATCGGTATTGCTCGCGGGCCGACCGGCTCTACTGTCCATTATGAGATTGTCGCTGAGCCCAATGAGTATTGTACCGCTAGATGATGATCCAGGCGGAAATAATACCCAGCACGGAGATATAAGCATCTACATCGCCCGGCCCAGCCCGCCCTTTCGCAAACGCCCCGCGCCGCCAAATCTCAAACGCACATGAACCCTGGTCGCCACATCCCCAACCATGACAGGTCAATCAAAACATTTGTTGCGGACTATGCAGTCAGCCTTTGAGCTGCTGCAGGTGACATTTCTGACGGAGCCTCTGGGCCAGTGAAGAATGGCTAGTTCAACGACGTGGCTGGCTGAAGGTGAAATCCCTACGAATTTCTACCAACCACAGCCTGATACGTGGCCACGGCTACGAAGACTTCGAAGGTTCAAGTGACTGGCAGAACATGTGCTCAAAGAACTATAATATATTGTATTATACTCAAGCCCAACCCCGCATTCAGAATCATTGTGCGGCGGCACACCCAATTAAGACCACTCTTAACACTGCTTCTAGAGCGAACTGTAAAACACTTTTGTTTTATTTGTGTTTCATTGCCTTCACTCATATTGCCTCGAGTAGACTTCATGGAATCGATCCATTCGCAGTAAATCTGATAAACCATATCCTATTATTTGCGCTTCTCGCCTATAGCTATGTATGATATTCCTGTCAAGTATCCTTTACGATGGCCAAAGCCTGAGAGCTTAGTAACCTTCCTGAAGTTTAGAGATCTCATGTATTAAACGCTTACTTTAGAGCAAAGAGTTTTTTGGAGATATGAAAGGATTCAGGCGGAGCAATCAAAAATATAATTTTTCAGTTGGGGCTGGCTCAAGTTACCAACCTCTCGAGCACTTGATGGCGTAGATGCTTATATGTCGCATAAATTAACCATCAAACATCACATAACAAGACGCCTGCAGGCTCCTGCAGTACCAATGGATTTCCTGGGCTACGCAATTACTCTGACCTATGCAATAGGTCTGACTGAGGCCCTGACCCTCAAGGGTGAACAAAAAACATACAACAGCCGGGATTCGCTGGTGGTCACCCACCCAACTACTAACCGGCCGGCGTGTGGCTTAAGTACGGCTGAGCGGACGGGAAGCCCTGTTTTCCACACCCTGTGGTCGTATGTGCTTTATCTTGGAGGTATAGAAAATGATATCCTGAGAGAAGTTTGATGTACAGACGTGTGAGCACACTAACTGGTGACAAATCAGGCTGACGGACGCTAATCTACAAAAGTGCCCAGGTATCGCCGACGTGTCCGACCCAAGTCATATCTAAATGCTAAATTTGGCCATTTCTGTAAGGAGTTTATAATTATCTCTCTTTGTATGCCTCCACATACATCTTATATTCTTTAACCACTGGATGTTAGTGTTTTTAGGCCACTTGAACACGCATATAGAAAATAAAGCTATGTTAGTGGCTGGAAACAACCACATTAATCAGGAGGATTTTCTATACCTGCATCCTTTTCACATGAAGCAGTCTTTACTCAGAAGATTATATGGAATGGCTTTGCAGGATCTGGTCTTAAACTACTTAATAAAGACTAGGTGCTTCCAAAATCACTTTTTAACTTCATACACGAACAAGACCTCTTATTAAGGTTAAAGCCTTAAAGGGTTAACTAATATCTTCCGCTTTTTAAACTCCTTAGAATCCTCATTGATTGGATTACAATTGCCGCAGCCTACAGAAAAGTCTTTAAAAGCAAACGACACTATCTACTAGTCTAATTACTCATATCTAATAACTTAAAAAAAGGCTGCCCAGATAGCGAAATAAATAGTAACATTCTTCTTTAGTAAGAAATCAAGCTTCTACAGGCTCAAATGAGTAGAAAATAAAGAAGAAGGCAAGGAGGCATGCTATTCTAGGCAATTATCTATTTATTTCTGTTTAGGAAGGTTATGATTACATTCAGCAGCTTAATACACTGGTTAAAGGGCAGGTTGAAACAGCAGGTTAATAAGACTATATGAGCTTCGGCAGCGAGCTTCGGCAGCGAGCTTCGGCAGCGAGCTTCCACCACACTGTAGTGGCTGCTGGAATATTAGATATAATAGGAGTTGTCCTGATAGGTAGTCATACATCCATGTACGAGATAGTCTAATTGTAATGGCCTTGATGGTTGAAATGCTTCAAGCATGTATTTGGGAGAGGTAAAAATCCACAGAAATCCGCGGTTCAACTGTATCCGCCTCACCCATGGATTACGTTAACTACATGTAGTTATGCACCTTCGCAGACCCCGCACAGATACTCAGGCCCTCACCAGTTCCCAACTTAATCGCCGGCCAGGATAACTACCCTTGTCACATACATTGTTATTAACACTTCTTCTGCAAATTCCCAGTCCCCGATAAGGTAGGTCCCAGATACCCTGTCTTCTTCCCAGCCGACGTCAACAGGGTGTTCACAGCACTTTGCGCGACCTTTGTGACTTTTCCTCTGACCGAGTCTTTAATGCCCCGTTCACAGATCAAACAGGTGCTGTTGGCGGCAACCATCCCTCTGGCTTGACTGGGCGGGAACAGGTGTTAGTGATAGACTCCTCAAGTGGAGAGTTAAGAATGATGAAGTATAGAATGGAAGAGAGGAAGAGGCTGACGACTTACTGCAAACACATGTTGTGTCGACTTGGGAGGAGCTGTTGAGGATTGGGCTCTGAATGGGAAGGGTTGATTCTCTCGTAGGTAATTTTTGGGAACGAAGTCTGATGAAGAGAATGGTGAAGTAGAGAAAGGGTTGCTTTGCTTTTTATATCTATGATGCCACCTGGCGAGGCGCAATAGCCTCGTAATGTAAAATTGTTCTGATGCATCCAAGAACGAAGAATATGCTACAAGTGAAGGCTGCGAATCAGGAGTTTGGTTTCGCAAGGCGGAAAAGATGGAATGCGAACCCTCGTGAGCCTCGCCACGTAGTAGCTCTTGATAAGTCCAAGAAAGCAAAACGGAGCATAATGTCTGCAAGTCTGGAGCGCCCGACGAGGCTGTAATGTCATCAGGTGTTTCTAGTTGTAGTTATGGTTCTCCGTTATGGCTATCCCAGACTCCACGCTCAGGACATAAAATAATAATATAATAAAAGAAACGAAAATTTGCGCTACTATGAATATGAGGTGGGCTATGTCTCCTTTAACGGACGATGTCAGGTTGTATGTGCTACAAACCGCATGGCTGGCTACCTTTCCCTTTCGAGCTTCCTGAACCTGCCCGTCGCCGAACTCAGCTGAACTGTTGAAGCGCCTTCCTGTACCTAGGACTTATGTAGGCTAGCAAGAATAATTCGCCCTCGCGAATCACCCTGCAGACACGGACACAAGAGGGGATTTGCACACTGTGATATATACTTAATATATTTAACCGCTTTGAGATATCCGAAGCCTGAACTTATAGACCTGCATAGTCATGTTGAATCAGATGGGCAGCGTGCTCATGCCTTATCTGCTCTGCTCAGCACGGGTAAAATTGACGTAAATTCAAAAGATCCACAGGGAAGAACACCCCTATTCTGGGCCGTTCTGAGCGGCAACACCTTGGCAGTGAAGTTCCTCACTGAAACGTCATATATCGGAGTCGATTGCAAAGGTTTGACCGGGCAAACACCGTGGTCCGGCCGGGTGGATGTCAACTCCCAGGACGTCAACGGCCGTAACCCCCTATCTTGGGCTGTCGGCCCCTGCTATCCCGAAAATCCTATTCATGGGCAAGCAACTTCGTACAAGTTCGCACATTGGGCTGGTGAAGAGGGTGATTTGGATGTAGTCAAGGCACTTCTTGACTGCCCAACTATTGACGCCAGAATTCCCGATCTCTTCGGCCACGCACCTATGTGGTGGGCTCAGACCTACAGATACTACCAGAGGAAACTGAGGGAGAATTGTTATCCGAAAAATCCGAAAAGTCTTCGTTTCGCTCCCGTCGACAATAATCACCATGCTGAATTTATTGAGCTCCTGGCAGATCATATGTTGAGCAAGTACGATTCGGACGTTAATGCTATACTTCCAATAGACGAGGAGACCTTGTGGCGCGAGACCCAGGAAATAGCGGCATCCTATAAATAGGGCCTTTGCTTTTCCCAGTCCTATAATGTTGCCGATGCCAACCAGTGTGCAAGTCCGCAAATGGGGGCCAGCTCGATGGCAAGCCTTCTGGTTTGATGTACCTGGATGTAGCATGATCTACTGCCTCTGTTCAATTCTTTTCACCTTATGGAGACCTCCCTACAGGAACGGGAGTACGACCAGGCGTGCGCCAGGTACAACCCGAAGGAGTTTTGTATGGTTCCAGATCTTATCAAGGGTTATCAAAAAAGGTAGTATAAAGACGCCTTTACTAGCTAGTGGAAGCTTAGGAACTTCTCCTTTGTTGTTGATCTTATAGTTGCAGAAGTATCTCCTGTTTGGGAATGCTTTGATGATGCTATAAAGTTTAGGCTACTTAGTGGATAAGGATCCCCTCGTTATTTTAAGTAGATAAAGTTAAGGATTTTAAGTAATATTTTACACTTTAATAATTTCATACCAATAAAACTATACGAATCTATGTAACACTTCCCAGTAAGGGGATAGGCTAGTATCTTCTTACTAAGCCTAGACTGCTGTATGCTCATGACTATCAACTATTAGCCGCATCATAGATGACTACTCAGTCAATGTGAACTATGATGAAGCTGCCGGCGTCAATTGGATGACTTGGAGTGGGGATCAATGGTATGGTTTAGACTTGTGTATTTCAAAATCCCGCTAACTTGGCACATAGGGTCTCTTTTGACAATGGCAAAACGCTCAAGCAGAAGGCCGATTTCGCTAATAGCAAATGCCTTGGGGGCCTTTTCAGTTGGGCGCTTGATCTAGGAGGCCCTGGCTCCTTGGCCAATCCTAACGATCTAAGTTACGACGATACAAGCATGGAGGGTGCGAATGCAGACGGAGGCAGCGATGGAACTGGCCTTTTTTATGTCGGCCAGGAGATCTTCGAAGAAGGTCAAAACACCGTGACTGCTGTGGCCCCGGTCAGCGTCATCTTCCCGAAGTCCATTCTAGGATCGCCAACAACCATTGATTTTGGCGCTGGGTATCCAACTTCATTGGAAGTCGCAGCTTCCACCACAGCTACTGTCGTACGTGGAACGGTCACAAGTGTCACAACCACTGTGACGAGGTATATTGTGGAGACAACTATCCCCCTAAACCAGCTCGTTATCGGTACCATCAATTACTACAACTGGAACATCACCCGGGGTATCAAATCCACCGAGACGCTCTTGGTTCCAAGCATTGAAATACCCCCAGCCATAGTGACGGACAATCCTAATCCAATGAATGAGACTGGCGTTTATCACACCCCTCTGGTTACTCGCACAGTGAGCATTCCCCCATGGCCATGGACTACGGATGATATGAAGTTCCCAACAGTGACCTTCTCAGAAGGTGATCCTCCTGGCCCTACTTGCACTGCCAACTGCGGTCACAAATGCTACAGTTTCTGTGACGGACCTTGTCTGGTTAATTGCGGCAAGGAGAGCTCTTCGAGTTTCATAGATCCGCTGGATCCTGACCCACCTACAGTTGAAAAATGCTCGGGACCTGGATGTGTTAACGGGGAATGTGACGATAATGGCCTGTGTATCGAGAAGGGCTGTGAAGGAGATGGTTGTAAGGATCGGGTCTGCATCAGCGATGACTGTACACCCACGGGCTGTACAGGGGATGATTGTACCGACGGTCATTGCTCGGGCAGCAACTGTCAGGATCACGGTTGCATCGGGCCCGATTGTGACAGTAGTGGTTCTGGCAAGTGCTTTGGTCTACGGTGTCTCTCATGGGGTTGTATCGGGTCCGACTGCTCCTCGGTTGATTTCACCTGCACTGGTCCTCTCTGCCGCATCGTGACGTGCTCCGGACGCGATTGTGCCAATGGAATCTGCACAGGTCAAGATTGCGAGTCGGAAGACAACGATTGTGAAGCAGAAGAGGCGGATTCCTGCACAGATTGGATATCCAGTACACTGGTCACGCCCGCCTCGACCTACTCAACCACCACGATAACGACCCGCTGTGATACAATTACTGCCTGTTCTGCCAAAGCTACCACCACGACTAGCACAGTTGACGAAGACGGCCTGATTGAGGGCACTATCACTGACTTCCAATGGGCAACGACCACCGACGATGCGGATCTGACCAGCTACCTCGAGTCGGACTATTCTGCCTTCTGGTCGGCCTTTGATTCTACCAGCACCACTACGACTACAACGAGCACAACTACGACGAAGACGACAACAACAACTTCATCACGTCCAACAGAGACGAGCTATGATTGTAAAGGCTCAATTAGATGTGGATCATTTGCCAACCTTCACAGTTTCTGTAATATGGCAAAGGACTTCCTAACTGAGACCGAGTTATACGGGTAAGGAGACATCGTCGTTTTCAGCCCAACATGGAGTATCTAATAATGGAACAGAACCAAAGATTCTGATGCTGATACTGGAACATGCTACACGGACGGTAAGAATGCTGAGTTTGGCTGCGGCGTCTTTGTCGAGGGAGACGACTGTGAAATGACTGGAGATCAGATGGCAGCGTGAGTGTCCTACATTCGACGTATAGAATGCCTTTATCACTAACACAAAATGAATGTGAACAGAGCATATGATCATATCTTCCAAGAAACCGGTGGAGGATGTGGAATTTGCGGCCATGCTTTTTTCCCCAATGGATGCCAGTTAACGGTCAACTACGTTAGTGGCTGTAAGACGACCAACGGGGCTTTACAGGCTCATGTGGGTAATAGTACGGCCAATTACACCATGTCGGCCGTGTAATCATGATTGGGCTTGCTTATATAGAGTGAAAGGTGCAATGGTATTATATCATTATACGTCGAATATTTGACTTGGAATTGTCCGCCATGGTCCCAGTGATATACAGGCAGTCCACACAGAGCTTTGCTGTCCCCGGGAAGGAGAGCCTTGACATCAAGAGGCACAGCCTCCCGGCACATATTGCCAACAGCAGAGAAGGAAGATTGCGGTGCTGCTCTGGCCGGAGCTGGCATGGGGTGTAATGGCATGGTTTCGATAGTGATGTCGCGGTGTGGTCCGGAAAGCATCGGGTGAGGGCCGACATCCAGGAATACGCTGTTCTAGGTAGCTTCTCGAGGGAGCAGGCGCATCAGGGCACAGTAAACCTTGACGGGGGATATCTGATTCTCCACCCAGTACTCAGGACCAGAAGAGGCCGAATCATGCACGGGTTTGCATGTAACATTTAAGAGGAACAGAGCCTTGTCTGTATAACCATTTAACCAGCTTCTAATGAGTACTATTAACGCTCTGTACAGCGGCCGCGGTGGGTAGAATTTGCATAATCGAACCGCAAAAATCGAATCCAACCCTCACCGAACCCGGAGTGGTTTGGGTTCGGGGGTAAGCCTAGGGAATTGCTTTAGGTTCGGTTTCCCTACCCTAGGCCTGATTTTGGGTTTGGTTAAAGCCGTCAGTTACGGTTTTTGTGGGTTTAACCATTAGGTTTAACTAACCCACCCTATTTTACCTAGAAATCACTCATTTCTAGGTATAACTGCACCAAGGTCCAACCACCGCCATACCTTTTAAATAATCTTTAACCACCACTCATTCAACCCTATAGATATCAAATTAATATCCTAGATCTAGATTATTATGATGATAATTACTATATATCTCATATAAAAATCATAATTTTATATAAGCATATTTGATAGGGGGACCTTAGAGGGGTCCCTAGAGGGGGCCCTGGGGGAATGGTAACATCAAAACAGTTAAAATTCGCGGTTTATCCAAACCGAAACCGAATCGAATCTAACCATGGGTAGTTAGTAAGGGCCTAGCAGCGGGTTTTTACGGTGAAACCGCCACCAACCTAGATCGGATCCAGGTTGGCTCCGGGTTCTAAAATTTAAACCCGAAATCGCAAATACAACTCTAGCGGTGGGCACCTAAACAGGGCAAGTACACTACAATCTGCTATACCCGGCCAAACCTCCAATTGAAAGGAAAAAATATTAGAACTCCATTGAACAGAAGGGATGATTTCGACTTGCATTCCCTACTTGATTCCATGGTCATAGGACCGCACGACTAAGACCCTTGGGTTCTAGTACTATATACCTATTATCCGGCTGGGTATTATTATGGGTGGGTTTTGCCAGTCTAGTAGCCAGAGCTTGTTTCTTCCGGCTTATTTCGTTCGGCTTACTCGTTTACTCTTCCTAGTATGCTATAGTAAAGCCTCGTTTTTCCCTAAGTCTACAAAGCTCTTCTATTTATCTCTTTCTTTCTTTAATTAAGAGTATTATATCACGTGATAAATAGGTCATATAAAAGTAAGCGCAATTATTAGCCAATATCAAGTTACATATAAAGCTCGATAAGCAAGGCCGTTTTCGCTTCGGACGACAAATTCGATAGCTTAATGTTTAAGATAACTTAGATAAGACGTAGTTAGTAATGGTCAGGGGGTAAAAGAGCTCTGGAGTATTTATATCTACAAAAAGCCCTCTCAATCTTAACTTACCCACTCATTTACCCTCGCTCACCCTCACTCCCTATTCGCTCACCCCCTCACCTTGGTTTTGAGAGGCATCATCCAGCCCACCTGCACTCACCCTGTAGTTTAGCGTCCATTACCCACAAAGCGGCAAGGGCTCAAGGGCTCAGGTATCGTTTGACCGCGTTCATAATGCTGGCTTAAGTACGGCTGAGCGGCGCGGACGGGAAGAGCTTCACCTTTTTCCACCACGCCAGAACACACCCCATGGTCCAGAAAATGTGATTAAAAACAAATCAAAATAATTACGGTGAACAAAAAACATACAACAGCCGGGATTCGCTGGTGGTCACCCACCCAACTACTAACCGGCCGGCGTGTGGCTTAAGTACGGCTGAGCGGACGGGAAGCCCTGTTTTCCACACCCTATGGTCGTATGTGCTAGGATTCTTCTACTTGAGATTCATATAGGCATTTGTTGAAAACTTTGAGAAGCATTTTATGACTGGATGTGGGTTATCAAAGTTAGTATTCTATGTCTTTGTCCAAGTATCCCAGCAGTCGAGGAGATCCATGTCTTTGTTACCTGATTATACGCATCTCTACCAGTCTGCACAACCACTACTTTCTTCGCTTGAATGCAATAGGCCAGGACTAGCACTTTCCATGGACATTGAGCATATATCCTGACTAACAGTTAGACATGCTGTCTAATATTATCGCAATTTCAAAAACAGTCAAATAAGTCATACCGATATCTACGGAATCAACTTCCACCCGAGTCAAGACTTGGTAAAGGGCGTACCCATTATTGCATCATGCCGTGGGTCCGGCTTGGTCGGCAGCAACAATCAGGGCAATTGTTATCCATAGAAGTTATAGACCATATCAATTAATTTCATCTGCAATACAGTTATTCAATTCTTGTTTACGTCAAGTAGGATTCCGTGCGGGTCTAGTTGACATCGTCAGAGTACCAGTCCTTCCCTGCAGATACTTATCTAGAGCAATGACGTGGTTTCATGCAATATAAATACATCAATCCTACAATACTACTTCAAACTACCAAGTATAGACGCAATGGCAAACGCCCCCCACACCTACGGCAACGAAGTCTACGCCAACGGCCTCCAAAACATCAAACCGGCCATCAGCTTCAACCCGCACGACTGGGAAACCCACGCCCGAGACGTCCTCTCCGCCGACAGCTACAGCTACATCTGGGGCTCCGCCGGCCTCCGCGAAACAGACACCAACAACCGCGACGCCTTCCGCAAATGGGCCATCGTCCCCTCGCGGCTCGTCAGCGCTGACTTCCCATCCCTCAAGACCACAGTTCTAGGCCAGGAATACGATTACCCCATTGCCCTGGCGCCCATCGGTGTGCAGCGCATCTTCCACCGCGACGGGGAGGTCGCCGCCGCAAAGGCAGCAAGCGCGCAGCACGTCACGTACATCCTGAGCACGGCCTCGTCGACGAGTATCGAGGATGTAGCGGCGGCAAGCGGGGACGGGGCGCGGTGGTACCAGCTTTACTGGCCGCCGAGCGAGCATAATGAAATTACGGTGAGTCTGCTGGAGAGGGCGAAGCGTGCGGGGTACCGCGTGCTAGTCGTCACGCTCGACACGTACATCCTCGGCTGGCGGCCGTCGGATCTGAATAACGGGTATAACCCGTTTCTGCGGGCGGACAAGATCGGCGTCGAGCTGGGGTTCTCGGATCCGGTGTTTCGGCGGCGGTTCCGGGAGAGGCATGGGGTGGAGGTGGAGGAGGATATGGGCGCCGCGGCGGCGGAGTGGGCGCATATGATCTTCCCTGGGCGGAGTCACTCGTGGGAGGAGATTGGGTTCCTGCAGGAGCATTGGGACGGGCCGATTGTGCTGAAGGGGATCCAGAGTGTGGCGGATGCGCGGCGGGCGGTCGAGGTCGGGGTGCAGGGGATTGTGGTGTCCAATCATGGAGGGAGGCAGCAGGACGGGGGCATCGGTTCGCTTGATGTCTTGCCGGAGATTGTGGATGGGGTGGGGGACCAGCTGGATGTGCTGTTTGATTCGGGGGTCCGGGGTGGTGCGGATGTCGCTAGAGCGCTGGCGCTCGGGGCAAAGATGGTGCTGATCGGACGGCCATATGCGTATGGGCTGGCGATTGCGGGCGAGGCTGGTGTCTCGCATGTCCTGCGAAGCATCCTTGCAGATCTGGATCTCACGCTGCACTTGTCGGGGATCAAATCAGTGTCTCCTCAACATCTCAATCGGTCAGTCTTGCGCCGAGTGAGGTAGGAAGCCCCATGATCAAGGATTTCCTGTCAAGCGGGAGATATCTCTGTGTTGCTGTTGACAGGGTTTGGGGAGTGTCAGTGCAGAAATACATTACAATCAGGTGTTCATTATATAGCTATTGTAGATTGTCAGATAGATGCGTCCAATACACAGCGGGAAAGTCATGCACTAATCAAGTCGACTCTCGATCCACTCCAGGAGATCCGTCCCATCGTCCAGCAAGATTGACTCCCCATTCAACCAATCCGCTGCTACCGCATTAGCAGGTAGACCAGACGGCAACGGGAGCGGACTCGTCGATAAGACCTGGTTCAGGATACGGCCAAGGATACGGCGCGCACGCTGGCAGATGTCGTAATTTCCCTCATGCGGTCGAACGACATATTGGAGGTAGGATGCAAAGACGCTCAGGTTCTGGATGCTTTCGGGCCGTTGGAGAGTCGATGCGCGAGGCCGTGACCCTTCACTTTGGCACAGCAGGTCGATGGCTAGGACCCTGGCGGCTGGGATGCCGAATGAAGACGCCTGCTTTGTGGTGAGACACTGCGGTTAAGGTTAGAAAGTCGACTTACGTTCCATCCTATGTTATATGTGCCACTTCCCGATGCAATCTCCCTCCCCATGAGCTCAAGGACCGTGCCCAGTATATTCTGTGAGACATTGATCAAGGAGTCTGATTCATTCTGGGAGCGCCTGACAAGCAGCCGGCAGAGAAGGAAGTCATTGTAGACGAAGTCAAGATAGAGAGGTATGAGAAGACTGCCAGAGTCATCGAGGTTGGCACTACCAGGACGCCAGCGAAGGAAACTGGGGAGTCCGTCCCAAGTTCTGCGGGAGTTTTCAGACACCTGCCTAGACAATGTCAATAACAGCCAGAAGATTTCAAATGTGAGTTTTGAACTCACTTGGTTTTTCGAGCAAGGTCATCGACACAGCGGCTCAGCGACAATTCGAGTATTTGCTCTCTGATTGAGCTGACCAGAAGAGCAACCCGCATCAACTGGGCCGGTTGGATGACACCTTGGCTGTTCCAACCGTTCGCGTCGACTCTGTTGATTGCGGCATCTCGAGTAGCCGGGTCCGCAAGGATCTCATCGTAACGTAGGTCCAGAGAAAGTTGCACATCGGAGTATCTCCAGTTGATCTGAGGCGGTCGTCCCAGGGAAGTGGCGAGCTGCTTATCCATGATATAGGCGCCCGCCATCAAGCGTTTACAAAGCTCACCCAGAAAGAAGGGCATGCGTGTTTTGCGTCTGGACTGGTGGAGCCCGAGGGTAAATACAACAGTGGACAATTCGGCCAATTTTCGCCACGGTCGATAATCTTTGCCTGTCAGCATAGCGAACTAGTTCACAAGATGAGATGACAGAGTCATACCATTGTCACCATAGACCAAAGTAAGCAGACAGGTATGCTGATACAGCAGCCAACCCAGCGGATCATGGACAACGCCTGAGTCTTCGCAAAATTGAAGACAAGCATCGCTGGCAGTGGCCGCAAGCACCCCCAGTGATCTTTGATCGGCTGGTACAGCGTCTGCTAACTGAGACACGGATTTCCAGTCTCTCTCCAGCATTGCACCTTGACCCACGACGGAGAAGACCAACCCGATGCCTTCCCATCGATTGGAGACGCAACGAAGATATTCCTCGGGTGTCGTCGACGGACCGACCTCAATCAGCTGCGAGCGCTCATCAAACAGTTTCTGAGACCACCCTAGCAGGTTCTCATAATACCTCTCTTTTGCATCCTGGGTACTTGCCAGGATTCTATAGGAATCTTTTATGGCTGTAAAGATCATGCGGACGAGCCGTTGGCCGACAACACATCCTTCTGGTGAATTGTCTGAACGATTGTCCGCGACAGTCTCGTAGAGCAACAGATTCTCAAACAATGTCAGCAGTAGTCGCGCGCCCAGCTGAATCTGCTTTTGACTCGAGCTGACCCGACTGCGCTCCACAGTCGCCAGCGGCGCGAGGATCCCATTTAGATAATCCTCGCTGTCGCTGAACACGCCAGAGTAGCTCGTCAGTCCCAGGGTCCCAGGAGGCGTGACCGATTGGGTTATCTTATCCCAATTGAAGTCAGAATTTGCAGGCATATTTGGCGAGGAGACTGGGTCAGAATACCAGCTCCGAGTCATGGGTGAGGGATGATAAACACAGACGTCTGACTTTCCACTGCGAACACACCGTTTGCAAACCGGCGTGGAATGGTCGCAGCGTAGTTTTGATCTGCGGCAAGGTTCGCAAGATGTCTGCACGCCGTTGCTACGATCGGAAGACATGACTGGTGTGATGAATGAACTGGTGAGCTGCAAGTGTTGGATGTGCTGTGTTTAAGTACACTCGGGACTGCGTGATGTCCTCTGTACGTGTCAATGTGCAACCTACATGTTAACTTCAATTGAAGCTGTTGAATGGGAGGCGGCATTGCCTGATGCTGGAGACAAGGATACTCCAGGATGAACCCGGCTTCGACGAATTACCAGGATCGTAGAGCGCGTCATGTCGTACTGCTGCCAGGGCATTGTAGATACGTGTAGAACAGCAGCTTGATAAAAATAGAAATACCCTAGGTATAGCAGTTCAGTTCTCAATTGTCCCAGTGGATTCAGCACAAGTTCTCATAGCGGACAAGTACCTTACTATTTCACTGAAACTGAAGATCAAATTTCTGCCTGAATTCTGGCTACCATCATGGAGATAAAGTGGGAATTTATGCAATATTATGGCTTTTCAATTTGTAGCAAATATGTTGCTGGTCTTTCAACAAGTGGGTTGTGTAGTGTAATGGTTATCACTCCAGATTCTGATTCTGGCAATCTTGGTTCGATTCCGAGCACGACCTCACCTATTTCTTTTGTTTTTTATCCTGTCACATCAATCACTCTCATATTAACCTGTTTCTTGCCCAATTATTGTTTATGTTCTCACTCTTTTTACTGTTCAATAACTTCCATGGTCGGTTATACTTGTGCGAGTAAATCCCTAGCAGAGAAAGTGAATATATTAATTATACCAGAGTGGATGAAATCATCAATCTCTAAATATGCCCTCCAATCCTCGACTTGGATATGAAGCAGTAGAGTTCGAGACAGTTACAGGAATATACTGCAAGCCACAGTCATCATGTCCGACATTCAATGTTTGTTCAAATCAGCACATTTGGTACTATGACCGATGACCATAGTGGTGAGGTCATCGTACCCGGCACCAATCGACATCATAAAAGGTACCAAACCTCACGAGTTCTCGAACGGAGTATTCACCTCAATTAATCATCTACAAGCTCCATATAATTGAACAAAATGGTGCAAATCAGCCGTGTTCAAAAGCGCCCCAAAGGTCACCGTGCCAGAGAAACCGAAGTGACCGACTATGTATATGGCACCCACTTCGCAGCGCAAGATCTGCCGCACCATGAAATGGCAGAGCGTGAAATGCCAGCGAGCGTTGCGTACCGGTTAATCAAGGATGAATTGAGCCTTGACGGGAACCCATTACTGAAGTAGGTCCTCCTTTCTCTGTGCGAAGCATGCATGCTGACGGAATCCAGTCTGGCGAGCTTCGTCACCACCTACATGGTAATCAACCTTTACCCCAAATCAGAGTATTCCTGTTGCTGACATCCTACAGGAAGACGAAGTCCAGAATCTCATGTCCGACGCGATGAGCAAAAACTTCATCGACTACGAGCAATACCCGCAAACAGCAGCCATCCAGAACCGCTGCATCAACATGATCGCGGACCTTCTACACGCCCCAACCGCCGACAGTCCAGACACCCAAGATGCTATCGGAACATCGACCGTCGGATCCTCGGAGGGTATCATGCTAGCCACGCTGGCGATGAAGAAGCGCTGGCAGAACCGCCGCAAGGCCGAGGGCAAGGACTGGATGCGCCCGAATATTGTGATGAATAGCGCGGTGCAGGTGTGCTGGGAGAAAGCAGCGCGGTATTTCGATGTCGAGGAGAAATATGTCTACTGCACGGAGACGCGGTACGTGATTGATCCCAAAGAAGCGGTCAATCTGGTGGATGAGAATACCATTGGTATTTGTGCGATCTTGGGCACGACGTACACAGGCCAGTACGAGGATGTCAAAGCCATCAACGACCTGTTGATCCGGAAGAAGATCGATTGTCCGATCCACGTGGACGCCGCGAGCGGCGGGTTCGTCGCGCCGTTCGTGAATCCCTCCCTAGAATGGGACTTTCGGCTGCCAAAGGTCGTGTCGGTCAATGTCTCCGGCCACAAGTATGGTCTGGTACGTACAAATCCCAACTTTCCAGACGTCGCTGAGAGGGTTAGGTCTACCCCGGCGTCGGCTGGGTCTTCTGGCGCTCATCCGAGTACCTCCCTAAAGAACTCATCTTCAACGTCAACTACCTCGGCACCGAACAGGCAACCTTCACCCTCAACTTCTCCAAGGGCGCCTCCAACATCATCGGGCAGTACTACCAACTCATCCGGCTCGGCCGCCATGGCTACCGCTCCATCATGCAGAACCTAACCCGCACTGCGGACCATCTCGCCAAGGAGCTCCAGAAACTCGGATTCATCATCATGAGCGACGGCGCGGGCAGCGGCCTCCCGCTTGTCGCGTACCGGCTTCCCCCTGATGAAGACCGCCTATGGGATGAATATGCGCTGGCGCATGTCCTCCGCCAGCGCGGGTGGGTGATCCCCGCGTACACGATGGCGCCGCATAGCAACCAGCTCAAGATGATGCGGATCGTGCTCCGAGAGGACTTCAGCATGGATCGGTGTGATGTGTTGGTTGAGGATATGAAGATGGCGATCAAGTCACTGGAGGAGATGGATCGGTCGATGATCGAGCAGTATATTCAGTATGTGCTGCTCCTACTTAATGTGTTTTGGAAGCTGACGGATACTGTAGACACTCTGCTCGCCATCGGGTTCGTTCGCAGGCTGAAAAGCCCGATCATCCGGTTTACCCGGGGGAGAAGCATTCGCTTCAAGGGAAGACGGGAAAGACTCATGCGGTGTGTTGATTGTAGCAGTGCGGCGTTATCGGCGATAATGACGGCTGAATTCAATGGTAAAAGTGCATTCGATAGGTGTTGTGCTGCAGATGCGTGTCTCCACGGTTTGTAATGACGGAAGTACACCGAGCTTGACGATAGTCAAAACCCCTTGCGTGATACTCGTAATCTGAACTACGTCTCTGTCTCCTATGAAGTGTCATAAGCTCATTCGCTTGCTGCTGCTCGTTTGTCAATTACCCAGGACTGCCAGTTCGAGCACGTCTTGGACACCATGACGAACTGGCGGTAAACAAATCCGTACGGGGTAGTCCAGAACAGTCGGTCGATATGAATATAAGCGAAGACCCACCTTAATCAGAAGATGTAGTCTAGACGTTTGAATTGATGTAGCCAAGCAAATCCCATTTAAACGAACCAGAGATTTTGTCTCCACTCGTTGTAGGGCAGTTGACATGTTCTCCGACCCACGGTTCGGCATTAGAGACTGGGAAAGCTCGGTAGAATTGAAGTACTTGATAACAATTCAGCGCATCGCATCTGCGCTTCACAAGTATCTTCCCGACGTGATGATCTAAGTTATCAGAAGAAAATTCGGCTTGTTCGCAAGTTTGTCGTCTCTTTCTACTGTTCTTGTCGTAGTTGCATGAATCCAAAGGGTAGACGCAAGGGCGGGTAAAGTATTGCATATGATAGATGGATATCTCTTCGACAACAACAAATGGTCAACTCTATGCAAGTACCTACCGGATCTGCCACTAGCAAACTCTGATTTAGCTGTTGGCAATACTTTCTCGATGAATGGAGCAGAACAAGATAAAGTTATATACCGCAAGGCTGACCGTCTGTTGCTGCTGATAAGACTTCATGCAGTAAGTTAGTCTAGGGGCCATCTCGCGGGCCATTGGAAGAACCTTAACTTTTGGTCTTGAGCTGCGTGAAATGTCTGACCGCTATGTGATATAAGTACAATATCGAAGATGCAATACCATGTTGGTATCCGATTGGTGCTAGACGATCGATTGGTCGAGGATCTGTGTAGATCGCATCAGAGGTTTCCTACCGTATCTTGATCAGGACGGTCAACATGTCCGTTTCTTTTCCTTCTTAAACTTCCGATCGTCCTGATCGTAGTCCAGTAGGCAGGAGGGTGAAGCATATGTCAACAACATGGAGCTGTGGACGCTTCTCGGGCTGTTAGCTACTATCAGCCATGTACAGGCGAAAGCCGTATTCGCTCATTTCATGGTAACGATAACAATCTTACTTCCATCTTGATATAACTAATATCGATCAGGTAGTGAATGCCATCAACTTCACGAAAGAAACATGGACCAACGACATCTCCGCCGCGCAGGCCGCGCACATCGACGCCTTCGCCCTGAACCTCGGCTACGGCCTGGACAACTACGATCTCATCCTCAACGACGCCTTCACCGTCGCCCACCAGCACAACTTCAAGATGTTCCTCTCCTTCGACATGGGCCAGGCTCCCCAGTGGCCCGCCGACGAGATCGTCCACGTCATCGACAACTATGTCACCGGCAGCGCATACTACAAGCACCACGACGACAAGCCGCTCGTCTCGACCTTCGAGGGCGGCCAGAGCGCCGATCTCTGGAAGGACGTCAAGCACAACGCCCAATCGGACTTCTTCTTCATCCCCGAGTGGTCCTCGCTGGGGATCGAAGCCGCATCCAGCAGCCCCGTCATCGACGGCCTGATGAGCTGGAACGCGTGGCCCGCCGGCGCACACGATATGAACACCACGCTGGACGAGGAGTACATCGCGGCGCTGAACGGGCGGCCGTACATCATGCCCGTCTCGCCGTGGTTCTACACCAACCTGCCCGTGTTCCACAAGAACTGGGCCTGGCGCGGGGACGATCTCTGGTTCGACCGGTGGCAGCAGGTGCTCGAGCTGTCGCCCGAGTACGTAGAGATCATCACCTGGAACGACTACGGCGAGTCGCACTACGTCGGCCCCATAAACGAGGACGACCTGGGGATTTTCGCCGTGGGCGATGCCCCCTTCAACTATGCCGAGGGGATGCCACATGATGGCTGGCGGGAGTTTCTGCCGTACGTCATTGATCTGTACAAGAGCGGGGGGCAGAATGCGAGTTTTGATAAGGAGGGGGTGGTCTCGTGGTACCGGCTCAATCCGGGCTCTGCGTGTATGAGTGGGAAGACCACGCCTGGCCAGCTGGCTACCGAGGGGACGAACACGACGAGCCCCAGAACCATTATGCAGGATAGGATCTTCTACTCGGCGTTGCTGGAGTCGGCGGCCGACGTGACGGTGAGTATTGGCGGGGCCAATAAGACGGGGAGCTGGGCGGATACGCCCAGCGGACAGAAAGGGCTGTATCATGGAAGTGTATCCATTGACGGGATGACAGGGGATGTCGAGGTGACCGTGTCACGGTCTGGCGAGCTGATTGCCCAGATGAAGGGCCAGGCCATCACTACCGACTGTCGGAAGAATCTTGGATACAACAACTGGAATACGTGGGTGGGGAGTGCAATGGGCGAGAAGAATGTGACATCTGAAAACACTGCATCTGATGACAACAAAAATGGCTCGCAGAGATCGAGACCGGCGATGACATTCTTGATAGGCTTGGTCTTGCTGACGCTGGTGTAAGCATGGCCAGAATATCAGCGATATCCGAGGGACGATACTGACCAGTACATAATCTACTGTTATGATAATTCTATAATCATAGTAATAACATGGACAATCATAGATGGCCTTGACTCTTTCATCTGTATCGCAAGATCTTCCATTTTGGGCAGGTGGTTAAGCTCAACTTCCACAGATCCATGGAATGCACAACCAGACCGTGCGAAGCGACATCTTCCTCACGGATCTCAGACAATAGATTAAACCTGGTAGTGTATCGGCGATCCGCGTTGAACTGCGCAATACCCACAGCTACGTCGGCGATTGCAGAATTCCGGACCGAAACAGCAAATGATAAGCAGCAGGGATCGCCGAATAAGCTGACGACCTTCCTGGTCCGCATGCCTTGAGGTACCCACAGGTTGCTCAAAGGATGAAGCGAGGAGCATGCCTTGGTGAGTCCAACCTATGACACCATCTACCCGCCACCCGGACGGCACCGATGCTGCATATATAGATAGAGTTTGCTACCCGGGTATGAGCCTTGGGTCCTCTCGGGCCAAGATCGGTTCCGTACCCCTTGATATCTTGTCCGCTTCGGCCGAAGCAACGCGGCCGAGGCGATCAATATCTTCATCGGATAGAGCTCTGCGAGCTGTACTCAGTATAACTCCAAACTCTGTCGTAGCCCCTGAGGCTGAAGTATAAGTAACCCCTGGTCCCTGAGGATCAAGGGTGAATGGTATCTCTCGTTCATGCTTAACACGGCCTTATACTAGCTGCCAACCGGTCATAATGTCCGGGCCCCTCGAGACCATACCAACTGCCACCATCCTACTCCGCCATGTCTCTCGTTCATTAAACCCTCGGATTCCTCCTATTGCCAGGCACAGCGTCTCCATACTCCCCTGCCGCATTGCCATCATCTCGCGCGACAAACTCAGAAAAGAAACATCGGCTAAGAACCCCGATCTACGCCGATGCGTCGCACACAACAGTCTCCTCCGGCGGTCCATGGAGGAAACACACAGCAATATCCGCAAGAGCATGACTTCACTTCGTTTCGAGGATGACGAAGATGACAGTCCGGGCATGATCACTCAAAGCCCCAGCCAGAGCCCATCCTCCATCATCCGGAGCACAATCAACTCCGCTGTGAAAGCTATGGCGCATCGACGTCGGTCGGAGGATCTTGTCGGGCTGGCTTCCACTTCCCAGGAACCTGATGGAAAGAAACCTATGAATGATTATCGTCGCTACTACGCTACCAGACTTGTCTCTGGTCGGAAAAGACGCCACCCTCCTACGGGATATACAGTACATGCCCGCGTGCCGGGTTGATGACATCACCGCTTGATGCTCTCACTTGACTCTATTTCAACTCAGCATATCAGCATTTACGGAATGGTCTTTATACCCTATAGAGTCATACCCTACCTACTGATAATATCCTCCTTGATAAGATTTCCTCATCTCTCGTCAATTGGAGCTTCGACGAATTACGAAGCATGCCGTACGATTTTTCTATGCATTGGCGATATATCTCTGCTGTACAGTAGCACATGCATAATTGAACAGATATTATAGACATAGTTGTCTTCTCCTGCAATTTGTAGCCCTGAAATATATTAAAATCCCAGGTGGCTTGCAGAGATAGGCCAAAAAAGAGAAGGGCAAAAAATGGTCACTACGAGGGTCGAACTCGCGACCTTGGCGTTATTAGCACCACGCTCTAACCAACTGAGCTAAGCGACCAGTTCTTGAATACCTTCACTCTTTGATCATTTATCAGAGAATCTGTTCAATATTCCACACTTATCCCTGGGCGGAAGATTACTAGAGCACCATTTGGTGAAAACACCTGCATCACCTTCGTTATCAATGGAAGAATCATTGAGAGCATGTCATTAATCATGTCCTCTAGCTCCGAATAGATATATCTATCCGCTTGGCGAATGCCACCTATACCAAATCATACTGACTGGCTGGTGAGCCTACATATATATTTACCGTTTGTATTCCACACCTACCCACTTCAGATCTGCTAGCTCTTGGAAAGAGGGAAGTTGGCAGCTACCTTCCGGGGGTAGTCGCTAGTAGCCATGTAATCGACTTAGCGGGGCTTACCTGATTGATATCACTTTGTTCGGCCGGAGCGAGGATTTATAAACGTCGCTCACTGCGCTTACACTGCAACCGTCCCTCGAAAAGGCAATGATGTTCCTATCGACAGGGATCTGATCAGCAGTTGCTGACATCTAGACAGGCTAACGGATGCTACGTACTTAGCTGAAGGGTTCATTCCCACTGAGCCTCTTATACAGGCGAATAATCTAATCTGTATTGCTTGTGGCTCCTTCATCCCGATGTCAAACGGCGGTTAGCGTCTTCTGCCCGCCCACGATAAATTAAGACCTGTTGCTGACCTTATTAGGTCTTCACAATACAAACGGAAACTGACAGCGATGCTGACAACCCCGCATTTGCTGCCACTATAAGTCTGGTCTTCAGGATTATTTCTGATCATTGCAAATGATCTGTCTAACATCGATAACTACTGTTGCGCCTAGGACTCAGCTTCATCCTCGCACCGGTTGCTCAGCAAACAACAATGATCCGCAAAGAAGTCTATCAACTTCATCCGTACGGCTGGCAGACCGGCCCGGAAGAAGAACGGTTCAAGGTATCAACCCTCGACTACCTGTCTGCTTCCTGCTTCACACACTTTGCCGTATACTTCCGTCTAGAGGAAGAAGCTAAACCGAAGGCGGCAGCTGTACTCAAGGAAGGACTTGAACGTACGCTCGCCCAGATCGGACAGCTCTGCGGCACCATCGAAAAGGATCCGGAGGGAGGCCACTCTTTTGTCAAGAAGCGAGATAGCACAATACAGCTTATCGTGCAATGGCTCGATGCACCCGAGGATGCAGATCGCTTCCCCTCAATGGCGGATATCGAACAGTCAAGCTTTGCCTGCCTCACGCTCGGTGACTTCAAATACTGGGGCCTCGAATCAATGACATACGGCGAGCGACCCGAAGCGCACCCGGACGCCTCTCCCGTCGTCTCGGCCTTTATGGCCAACTTCGTCCGCGGCGGCCTCGTTCTCATCACCCATATGCACCATTACGCCAACGACGTGATGGGCTGGACGGGGTTCATCCACCAGCTGGCTGAAAACTGCTACGCCATTACTCACAAGACGCCATTCCCAACCTGGGATCCAGCCTGCAATGACCTCTCCATCGTCTCAAAGCCTGATCCTCCACCAGAGCAGCAGATCGACGGACCCCCCGAGCCGCAACTCCATCCAGAGCAGAAACCAGGCCAGTGCCTCCTCTTCCACCTGCCAAAGAGCAAAGCCGCGGAACTCAAAAAACTTGCGACCCCACAAGACGGCACCTGGATCTCGACCTACGACGCCTTTGCCGCGTTCATCTGGCGCACCACGACCCGTCTCCGCCAGCCCGTCTTCCAGAAGCCCCTCGACAGCCCCATCTTCTGGTGCGAAGCCATCGACATGCGCCGCCGGATGAAGAACCCCCCCGTGCACCCGCGTATCCAGCACAACGTTCTCTGGGCGGCGTTGTCAGATCAAGCGCCCTTCCCGCCGCTCACGCACGGCGATGTCATATCAGATAAGCCACTGTGGGAGCTGGCGGCGTATATTCGCCGGCTGACCAACACTCAATCGCAGGAGAGTCTCGACGTGGCGCTGACGGCCGTCTCGTTTGTCCGGGACAAGGCGGCTCTGAATATCCGCATCAACTCAAAACCGCCCATGTCGATTTTAACGACTGACCACCGGGCGGCGAATGTCACCGATGCGGACTTTGGGTTTGCGCGGCCGCTGTGCTATCGGCATCTGCAGCGCGGGGTGGGTGTCACGGTTGGTGTGCATGTGGTGTATCCGCCTAGATTGGACGAGAGTTCGGACTCCGATGAAGGGAATATGCTTGCGCTTATGTATGAGAAAGAGCTGGCAAGGGATTTGATTGAGGATGAGGAGTTTGCCCGATACTTTGAGTTCAGGGGTGTTGATAGCGAGTAGCGGGGAGGACGGCTCATGCCTCATGCCTCATGCCTGCAGCCTCAGCCAGATTCTGCCAAAAGGTCTCATACCGGCTTCTGCTCGAGTCAATTGATTCCTAGAAGGCCGACACAACCTCACATAGATTGACAGTTGTTCACTTCTGGTCGAGTGGAATAAGTGATGCAATACCGTTAACATGCATGTTCTAGAGCAAGAGAGATATTACAACATGTTTGTAGCTGTGTGAATAGCAGCAGATACATGAGCTCTCATGATTAGTAGTAATAACAAATTAGATCAGGCTCGGAATGGCATACACCCTGACTATTTTCATGGAGCATGACCGGCTGGTATGGCCAGACTACAGGATAAACTCAAACCCACAAAGCCAATCGTCGTATAACAATTTGGCTTTTGCGTAGGTCCATCAAAGCTCATCAACACCAACCAACTAACCAACGGTAGGATTTGACCTTCGTAAAGAACGCAAAGCCTCTACGGGTGACCAACATTGCTGTCCATTCGCATAATAAGCTGATTGGAGGACTTAATTCTTGCTACGAACCGTGTCGACAAGGATCACAGAAACTAAAGTACAGACTAGTCAGGGATCGCAAGAACTAAGCTAAGGAGGGACGGGACGCTTAGCAGGCTTGATCGATTAGTGGCTGATTTAGGTGGCAAAATGTGGGATTCGTTTATGTGTTACAGTGGAGCGATGGGCTAGACTTAGGTGCACTACCTGAGTTAATCTATAGATAATAATCCAATCCACTTGGATAACAGAGAGCTTCTCAGTAAAAGTAACATTAATTGAAGTTCAAAGCTAATCATCTACTACTATTACTCCGCTCGAACCTTAACCATCGGCCCCTGCCAGCGTTTCCGTCCTCGCACAAGCCAGTCACCAATTGCAAAGACCAGCACGGCCAAAAACACCGGCGCCGCGTAATTCATATTCTGTGCCGTGACAGGGTAATTCGGCGGAAACGGCAGGAAGATGATAATATACACCCCATACACAATCGCAAAGACGTTGACGGGGACTCCCCAATGACCCAGACGGAACGACCCCCACCGGATATCCTGCGGGGCGCGCAGACGCTTGATCAGCAGGAAGATCACCGGAATCAGGTACGAGATGTACTGTCCCAGAGTGGTGAGGGACAGGAGCGCGTTAAAGGCGGTAGTGGAGCCGATGTTGATCAGCGCCAGGAGGACGGTGATCATGGCGACGAGGAAAAGCGCGCGCAGCGGGATCTTATAGCGAGGGGAGATGTACGCGAAGAAGCTGGAAAAGGGGAGGCCCTCGTCGCGGGCAAAGGCCCAGGTGAGCCGCGTCACAGAGGCGAGACCGTTGAAGAGCGCGATGAAACCCGGGAGGATGAGCGTCATCATTAGGACCGAGGCGGCGGCGTTGGATTTGGTCGCTGCGTAGAAGATCTCGAGGATCGGGTAGCCGGTGGGAGTCTCGAGGGCGTCGCTCATGCTGCCCATTGTGTACATGAGTCCGATGGTGAATCCGAGGGCGACGCAGCCGTTGATCAGCACGCTGTAGACCATTGATCGGGGGACTGCTCGAGGGGCGTCCCGGATTTCCTCGGACATGTGTACGACGCCGTCGAATCCTATTCAGGTGTCAGCGCGCATTGCAGATATTGGTGGTGTTGGAACACAGTTCTGTACCGCCCAGAGTGTAGACTGCCGTTAAAAGTCCCACAGACCAGATGACTCCGTCGTTCTCCCAGCCGCTCATGGAGTTCTCGAAATGTGTCCAGACGAATTCCGACGAGTTGCGGGATCCCAGGACGATCAGAGTAATCAAGACGGCTGGGAAGAATAAAATATGGATGATACCGCCAATTACCTCGACGGGCGACAGAAGGCGACGGGCATAAATATTCACGGCCAGAGGGATCAGAAGAACTGCCCAGATAATGAGAGTCGCATGCCAGGATTTAGGAACATATTCCGGGTGATTTTGAATCGCGAGCGCCTGGATCTGGGTGCCGATCAGGTAGGGAGAGGTTGCCACGTTTGCCCACCAGGAGAACATCTATCTCGTCAGTATCATTTAGCTTCTGCGGATATCTTCATACCGTAATCCATCCTATACTTGGTCAGTCAGGCTCATATATTCATCTGTGAGACAGACCTTGGATAAAGCTGAGGAACCGAGGTGCAAACGGTGCGAGATCATATGTCCAGTGATACTGCGCTCCGGCCACAGGAGTACTACTATATTAGAAGATATTCATCTGTTATCTGACAGATTACTCACATTGATGCGAGTTCGGCGAGAGAAAGGGCGATGCCCAGAGAACCCACAATCGCTAGCATGAGCCCATAGATAAGGGTAACAGGGCCGCCGTTCTCTAAACCAGCAAACATACTCGCCCCGATAGCCTCCCAGGACGCTTGGAGGGTTGCTGCGAATGCCAGCATAGGCAGGAAACCGAGATATCTCTGCTTGGGATTAGATCGCAGGCCAGCTTTCTTCCTTGTGTGCATACCTCCAGGCGTGGCTTTGACTGGTATCCATTTTCCTGGGAATGTTTCGATTCAACGATATTGTCGTGGGGCGACTTGAAGCCATTCCCGTTTCCATGGCCATAGGCCAATTCAATCCCGTTGTTATCCATCTTTGATGGAGAATTGTCAGCAGGCAGTTGTGCCACAGTAAACGAGGGAGGGTTTGATGCGAGAAGGAAAAAGAAATCTCCCAGATGACGGCAAGGGGCGGGTAAAAGGAAAATGCCAGCCAGGAGGCAAAGGAGGGGGGAACATAGCTATCAGTTAGTGCGACAAACCCTGGGCGCTTATCCTGGCTTAGCATGACGCCGTTGCGCGCATCCTGGTCACTATACACGGACTAATATCGACCCCAGTCAATTTAAAATTGCGAATCGGCTAGAGTTTGTCTCCGATTGCAGATCTCTTCCATTTGGCGGAAAGAACCATTTGAGATTTCAAATAGGATGCCTGGAGCAGCAAGCACGCAGGGGTGCGAGTGCGCTCTGACTGCTCAAGGTTCTCACTCTTCCGTTCAAAAGATGGCCAAAATCTTTTATATTGATGTTAACGTCTCGCTTTTTTCACTTCACCGGAGTGTCTGATTCTTTGACTGTGCAATTACTGCTATTACACATCTTGCGGCTGCCATGGCGGAGCCCTCTCTCTTGCCGCCACTGGGGGAGATTACGCCAAATAACCATGGCGCAATCGTGTCACTTTTCACTTTTATATTTCTTTCCTGTACAGGAATTGTGGTGCTCGCTAAGATCGCGTCGATGATCTATTTGAAGCGCTCAGTGCCTTCAGTTGATATTCCAATTTGGATCTGCATGGTACGAAGGAACTGCCTTTAGAGCTACTTATGATCACTCTAACAAGCGCAGGTTGTTGCACTCGTTCAAAGTATTCTGATTCAGGTCGCCGTCAATCATGGCATGGGGAGACACCGCAGTGAGGTTTCCAGTGACTCATTTGATGCATATAACAGGGTAAACCAAGTGCATCCCCGTGGTGTCAGGGAGCTCTCATGCTAACATTGACATGTCTTCAGATCAATTACGCGGCCGAGTTTCTCTTGCTCCTAGTGCTCACAGTGTCCAAAGTGTCAACCGGCAATCTCATCCGCTCAATCAGCCCAAGCAAATCAATTCGTCGATGGTGTCTCATGGCAGAGATAGGAGTGGGAGTCTGGACGCTGCTCGCTCTCTTCGGGACTGCTTTTCAATGCCCTGCCCCATACTGGGAATATTCGCCTAGCCGCTGCATAGGAAAGGTAGGCCCCAATCAAAAGCATCATTGCACGTTGCTCAGACTTCTAGGGTGCGATCATATACCCGATAATGATCCTTAATATACTACTTGACGCCGCTTTCGTCATCCTCCCAATTGTAATGCTGTGGAACGTGCAGATGCCTCGAATCCAACGCCTCAAGGTTTCATCGGCATTTGCGTCTCGTTCATTGTGGGTTCACACTCAGTCGGTTAGGGATATTGCTGACGAGCCAAGGGTCATTGTCGTGAATATTATCCAAATGACGTATTTGACGCAATACCTCGATTCAACTGATTCAACTTGTACGGCGGCCCTCTCCAGTACTTGCATTGACGCTTACCAGTGCGCATACAGGGACAATCGTCAGCGTGACGGCTTGCAATCAGTGGGTTCCCTTCCTCGCTACGGTGGGTACCGTATGTGATCTAATAACTGGTGTCTAGGGCAATGATGAACATCAGTATTATCACGGCTTGCATCCCCTGTTTATACCGAGTGATCACCAGTCTGGCCCTGGGGATGAACACTGTCCATATGCTCGAGGGGACGGAGTTGAGCTCCGCAACAAGCCCCAAGAAACCCGACTCGCATTCAATGCCCAAATCCTTCAGATCATCCAGGCCGAGTCGCCGCCGAGAGAGTACCCTGATATCAAACATAAGCACAGTCACGCGCAACACAGAGCGGGACAAGAGCACTGAAAGCACTATGAGGATGGTGAGCCAGCCTTAAGGTTTAAGGAAGTAACGACAGAAGGATGTTGAATACTTCCTGACTACCTAACGAGCGTTCCTTTTTGCGATCGCTGGCTATAATATCATGAAGCTAGTACAGAAGACGACCCATTTTACGAATGAAGCTGCTTATGCCGAACCCGTTCAGAACCTAGTAATTCCAATTATCCTTCCACATACGTCTCAGGTGGCAAGCTCATCGTCTAGGCGCTAGACTGGCGCCCGCCTACCCCAACTACTGGGGCTAGCACCTGCTATGCCCCCCGGAGAGTAAGCGTAGTGGATATTGTATCTAAAGTCTATATAAGAGCTGAAAAGCTGCTATCGGTGGAATATAGCACTGATGGGAAGGGGAAATCCATGGATGGGTTGGAAAGTGTCTTTTTTCATCTCAAATATATTTATATCAAATAGACAACCTCTGTTCATGTACACCCTCTAAGAAAAGTCTCATCTACACCAGCAGCCGCTTCTACATGCTTTAGCGGTACAACAATTAGAAGAATTAATTGCCAGTGAGTGATCGCGTATCTGGTGGAATGGCCCTAAGTTCTGGTTGGGTATGGTTGAGAACAAAACTGTGCCACTGGCATAAACTGCAGGCAATAATCTCTGGGATAATGGCTAATGGTAAGTTCCAGCTTATAATAATTGGTTGACATGAGGTTCTTTCTGAATTTTACGGACTCTGCCTCTCTACTTGCTTTGATATAAATTTGATAGTGGAACTCCACGGATGTTTGGGAAGGTCAAGGGCTCCCGACCAACATAAATGCGATATTTCGATTTAGGCAAGTGCTTACATGCAACACCTTGGAGAATTATATTAGTTGAGTTATAGGCGGACGTAAGTTGGCCACTGATCTAAAAAGATAATCCCTACATAGTGTGTCAAGCCATTAAAAGCCCTTCTAGCCCAAAATAGTATGTTGCATCCATGTAGCATTTATACCCACGCTTGTTTAGGGTCAGCCGCTATAATAGTCGCAGGGACTCGTTCAAACGACGGATTCTGATCCGAGCAGAAACCACGGCACCTCCGCGAATGCCATCCTGCTCCACACGTACCTGGTTGTTATTAGTTCTCGGCTGTCTCTGCATCGGCAGGGGTCTTAACATCCAGAATGCCGCCCCTATCGAGGCTTACCGTGACATGGGGGTCAAGGAGAAGCCGAGCTAGGCTTTTCAACTGTTTCGTCAAGCGGAAACTGTAATTATAATTGCCAACCGGTATCATAATCCCGAGCTGGTCGTGTCCAAGGCCTGGTAAGCCTTGCAGCACAAATATCCGGTCTCAAGAGGCGTCTCTCGCTCGTACAGTGTCTCGTTTGCCAACTACCCTCGGCCTGGAAGCCTCGCTATGCGGAGATAAGACGGATATTGGACGCTGGGTTACATTCAATGTAATGAAGATGTCAACCATTTGACAAATAGGTTGGTTTAATGTCGTTGGCAGGGGCTTAGAACAGCTGGTAATACTAAACATAGAATGATATAGACTTATATGTCATGTAGTCAAATGCATTCGTTTCCTCCTAACATCGTCTGAATTGGTTCATGAGCATGTAATTACTGATATTGTAACCGTCACAGCACTAGGTAGCATAAATCTAGCAATCATTGGGTGAGTAATGGATGGAGGTCAATAACCAACGCGCCATTGAAGAGGTACCCTGTCCATTGGCCGCCTCGCTAATGGTGTTCTAACGTAGCTTGCATACGAACTCATTTCCTGCTACCTCATCATGGAATCTTAGACCTGGCGCTAGCTGAAATACTTTCCTGTATCAGGCCATTGCTGGTTGCAATATAATAATCTTTTATATCTTAGGTTTAATATTATTATTTGGATGCTTTCCCTCATTAATTTTATGGACAAGACCTTTAACGATAGCGTATCTATACTTTTAAAGGCTTTAGGAATAGGGTGTATATTTTATGGCAGGATATTCCTGGATTTTATTATAATTTAATCCAACCATTTTGTAATATCTCCTAATAAAGCCAGAAAGGATCAGGGCTATCAGTGTGTGATCTAAGGGGAATACTCTTGTACTTAAGAAGTGTTAAGACACCACCTTTAGCAGGGGTTGTACTTGCCGCGTCCTCAAATTTCCTTACTGCCACTAGATAGTAGTTGGCATATGCGGCTATATAGGAGTAGGTGATGCTAAGGGATTGCATCTCAACTCATGAGGAACATATTTCTGTGTCTAGTTTCTTGCTGTCATGGTGGCATGCTCCCATTGCCGCTGTCCCTGAGGTTTCTTTCAAATTCTTTCCCTTGTTGTCCAAGGAGTATCCATTCATTGTTGCTCACCTGGATAGGCAATGGAGATTGAGGAAGCGATCACTTTCGTCGTAAAAAGCGGATAGTTGAGAGTTTACCTTGGATCAGGTAGAGGAGGTATTGGGCCACATGCTGACGAGCGAAGTCAGATTTCGTCCAGTGATTACTTTTGAATGAGCGTCCTGCTAGAATATAGCTGCTCCTATGGACGCAAATTATGTGGATAACATGGAATGAGGAGACTCTAGATGTGCTTGGCGGAATGTGATATTACAGAAGAGTTGTAATTGATAAAAGGATAGTAGCCAGTCCACACATTAATAATTACTGTATAAAAATAAGGCGTGTGCGGCTGCCTGCCACAGGATAGATGAAGGTCTCTGCCGATAGGCTACGGAGACTTAAATAAAGCCTCTCCAGTTTATGTGGAGCTTTGATGCGGGTTACGCCGATCCGAGGTGAACTGATGACAAATATCCATGCCAGGTATCTTAGTAGAAGTAGACAGAACCACTCTTTCATCTGTACTAATTTATAATAACATCTTTCATGGATCATTTAAGAACTGACCATATTCGTCCTTGTTTGATGTTCTGAATATTACTACTTAAAAACCTCGCAGCAGAGCACTAGGAGAAGCGAAGCCATGGCCTCTTTGGACGAAGTCTTTAAGAATGCGACAGAGAACGGATCCATCTTGGGTGCCGTTCTTCTAGGCAGAGACACTTCTGGTACGTCTGCCCAGCCCGTATCTGATCTTCATTGACCGTTGCAGGTAAATTCAACTACTCGAAAGCGTTTGGTCGCCGCACATTTGGAGATGGAGAGGAAAGTTTGATGCGAACGGACACAGTGCTTTCTTTTGCTTCCGCCACGAAAATAATTACCTGCATCGCGGTGATGCAGTTAGTGGAGGCAGGGAAGCTCAACCTGGAAGATGATATGTCACCCATCATCCCTGAACTCGCGGAGCAAGAGGTGCTCGTAGGCTTTGACGAGGGTACTGGCGAACCGCAGTTGCGGAAACGTAAGAACCCGCTCAAGCTGCGATATCTGCTCACCCATAGCGCTGGTCTTGCCTACGACTTTCTGAACCCATTACTCCAGAGATGGGCGGCCTTCAACAACCGCACCCCGCAAACTAGTTCGACGGTGGTGAAACGCTTCGCGTACCCACTGACGTACGAGCCAGGAACTGGCTGGGACTACAGCCCGGGCATTGATTGGGCAGGAAAGGTTGTGGAGCGAGTTACGGGAGAGACACTGGAGTCCTACTTCCAGAAGCACATTTTCGCCCCTCTCGATATCACCAGCTTAACCTTTTGGCCGCACAAGCATCCGTCCATTCAACGCAAATTAGCGGCCATGACTACAAGAGCTTCGTCCGGCGGCGTAGAAGCTTACAAAGGCCCGTACATTACCGACGGGGCAGAGGACTGCTTTGGTGGACATGGTGCCTATGGCAATCTGGAGGATTACATGAAGATTTTGACATCGTTGCTCGTCAGCGATGGGACGCTGCTGCGGAAGGAGACTGCCGACCTGTTTTTCACGCCACAGCTGACGGTCGAGAGCAAGGCCGCGCAGAATGCCCTAATCCATGATGCAGAGAAGATAAAGATATTTGTCGGCGATTTCCCCTCGGATGTGAAATATGACTGGGGCTTGGGCGGTATCTTGGTTCAGAGTGACGGAAGCAGGAGAAGGTCCAAGGGCACTATGATTTGGAGCGGCATGCCGAACCTCTTTTGGGTAACTTCCCTGATAGATCGAGACCAGAAACTATGATTGCTAACAATTTTCCAGTTCATTGATCGGGCCAGAGGACTGTGTGGCGTAATTGGCATGCAGTTGCTACCCCCCGCCGATCCGACAACGCAAGAACTGGTGAAATTGTTCGAGGAGGGAATGTACGAGCTTCTTGGAAACCAGGTGGCTTAGCCCAGTAACAGGTCTGAAGCGAGACGGTGTGCTACCTGTAGGGCTCTCGGCCCATATAAGAAGACAGGGTATTATTCTCAACTTCATGTAAGATTCGATTCTGCTTTCTAATGTTTGGTTCGGGAATTATCCTGCATTTGTAAATCACATGCATCTTTTGGGCAGTGTGCCAGCTAAATGTTAGTGCTTTGGCCCAGATAAACTAAAATCTGACATGTACGTATCTGAAACGTTCCTCCCCGCTACGGGGATGATCGGCCGCCTCCAGCGACTAAAGGAGGGGCAGGGATCAGATAAAAAACGAAAAGCGCAAAGGACAAACCAGGGAGAAGAAACCATCAGTTTTCTGGTCCTCCAATCCTTTCGCTCTCTCACACATCAAAATCACATCATCAAATTCCAGTCATAATGCAATCCGCTGCTACAAACCCAGAGATGATTCATATTGTCTGCAAGGCCGACAACAGCCAACACGCTGTGGTGAGTATTCCGTCTGTAGACCAGAAGCTGCCTTCCTCATCGCTCCGTGCGCGACCTGTCCTTCTAGCATTGTCTTCCAACAACCTCAGTTACGCCCGTGGAGGAGACTTACTGCATTGGTGTGCCGGCCTGACAGTCTATCTTTTGTGCTCGCTGACAGCCACAGGTGGAAAACGTACCCAGTTCCACCTAACGCGCCGCCCCCATACAACGACCAGTCTCTCTGGGGCATTGTCCCGGCATGGGGATACGCCACCGTCACCGAGAGTAATGTTCCTGGAATCACGCCAGATTCCCTCATCTGGGGATACTGGCCTACCTCGACGTCATCCACTCTCCTTCGGTTGGAACGCACTGATCTCAAAGGACACTGGGTGGAAGTTAGTAGCCACCGACAACAACTCATGCCCATATACAATCGCTACGAACAGGTACCCTCCAATGAAGAATCAGAATTGGATGAGAGGGCATGGACTGCCCTCTTCCAAGGGATGTGGCTCGCTGGGTACCTGCTGAGTGAGTATGTGTTTCCTGACCCGGGAGCACGAGAACCAGTTCACCCGCTTGGCGCGGTGAGCAAGCTTCCGTGGTCCTCTGACGATGCGGACCTCTCATCTGCTGTTGTAGTGGTTTTGGGGGCGTCTACCAAGGTTGCGCGCTCATTTACGTGGTGTCTCTTTGATTGGCCTAGGGCAAGTGGTCCCCTGGGGTTGGCACAGGTTACTTCATCGCCTGGTGTCTTACAGGAGGTGGCAGATAGAGAGGGCTGGGCGGATGTGTCAAAGGCATTCGCATATACGGAAATTGACCAAGCAACTGGGTGGATTGAGAGTCTGCAGCCGACAAAGGTTGTCATTATAGATTGCGGGGCGCGGGAGAATGTCCTCAGTCAGATATGTCAGAATCTTCAAGAGACGGCGCTCCGGCCATACAAAACTGTCATTCTGCACGTGGGCAGTCAACAGAAGGTTGGTCTCTCTGATTTTGTGTCTGAGGATTCCCATTGACTCTATTCAGGTGTACACAACGAAGGAAGTCCAGGAAGCACGGGCAGCTCTGCAATCACTGGGAAAGATCCAATACAACACGTCTGGCATCCAAGACACAATCATTGAACGGGAGGGGGCCGCAACATATTTCGGAAAGGTCTCGCGCAGGTGGAAGGGATGGTTAGCAGACCGTGGCTCCGCCATCCCAGACATGTATTTGGTCTGGGGACAGGGCATCGAGGGAGAAAATGGTATCTACGGGGGCTGGGAGCGGCTTTCAAAAGGGGAAGTGCGCCCTGAAGAGGGATTGGTTTATGCCTTGTAGAGAGATCTCGTTGACATGTCCAAGGAGTCAATAGTCTCCTTCTATCTGAGCTGTATGTAGGATTGCTCATGGCCTAAAGATAAACATCACAGAGAGTTCAGCCCTTTCTGATGCACGTAGGGCGCGCACTAGGTTAATTCATTCAGTGTCAATCGAGTCCGGTTCCAGGGCCTGGCCCGAGGTGGTGCTCGTTCTATGGCATCGGTACCCCCCCGGGCGCCAACCACGAAGATGGCCCAGTTCGTGCTAGTGCAATTATAGCCCAAGAAACCGAGGGATTCATCTTCGGAGCCGTCCGCCGGTCCAGGAGCTTCCACAGGTCAGGTATATGGCAGGCAGTGCCGATTCCCCTTGAACTAGTATGGAGACGTTATTAAGAGCCCATATTCATACTTTGTATCCAGTAGAGTGCAGTGATCTAAGGAAATGAGTTATGAAATCACAATGCAAACTGGACACGTTTAAACATAGTACTCTCCAGCACTTTCAGCCCAAAATGCCTCTCGACGTTGACGAAACTCCTGCTCAGCGATTATCTGCTCCTCTGTTCGTCTATGCGGAGGAATCAAGCTCCATTCACTGGATTGACCTTGGAGATCGTCCATCATTTGTAACAAATTTCTTTATCTATCGTTGAAAAGCTCTCCATTGAATTCGCTCTCCCAGCCTGTGTCATGATAGAGCTTCTGCAGCGCCCTCCATTCATTAATATCACGGCGTATGCCATCCTGGCCATCCTGTCTCTCCCTGCATTGCTGAACAGCCGCCCAAGGCTCAGTCGGAAGGCGGATTCCGCTGGGGAAGATATTCTGGAATAGAATGGGATTCTCCTTGATTTTGCGTATTGGGACTTCTGCTCCGTCATTTGGGTCAAAGAATGGGATATATTCAAGAGTCTGGAATTTGTCAAAGATCTTTGAGAAGAAGTCTTCACATGGTTGGCGGGGGCAGTCCTGCCATCTTTTTTGGTTCAGATGGCACCATTCCATTATAGTCTCTGTGCGGAGGTCAGTTGGATCTTTAACAGATGAAGAATGAAGCTTGAGAGGAGAAACAATGTATGGTCATGGACATCATACAGCACGTTTACTCCATAAAAACCAGGAAATGTCAGCCGGAGGATCGAAGGAGGAAAGATCCCCTGCGCATCCTTATCCGTATAGTCGACCCATCGCAGGGTCTCCAACATATCATGAGCCATAGCTGCTTCTGACTGTTTTAAATAATTAACCAGCTTAGCATGAGGAATTATCTCTATTCCTTCATTGTTATATCCCCAGACCGCCTCACTTTTAATGGCCGGCAGTAGTTGGACGAGATCAATCACTTCAGGTTCGAACCTAAGTCTCTGAAAAAGTCCGACATCAGTGTCCTGAGGTGGATGCAGGACATCAGTAGGGGTGATATAATGCGCTTTGATAAATACAGTGAAGAGATTAGTGAGTCCGTTGATCAGATCCTTGTGTTTTTCGCGAACTGCATCCATGTTTGCTTGAGTAAAAATCAGATGGGAGTTGGAGAGTGGAGCCGCTGGAGGGAGAAAGCCAGAGGAGCGGATGATGGATCCTCGGCATCTTTTCATGTGTCCATATGCACCGAGTAAGGTAACGGCCGAGCCAGAGTAAATTATAACAAAATGGATAGAATAATTGAGAAATATCTGATAATTGGCCAAGAGCAGTCTTCTATTATGCTGGAGCCACTTTTAATGGCTAAGGGTAAAGCATAACTAGTTATGGAGACATGGATGGCCTAGTACCACCTTGGCCGCTTCAAAGATGGTAGGTTGCACATATACGGATTCAATTCAGCCGATGTTGATGGAGGATGATCATGGCCTCTGGAATAGCAAGTAGAACAGGCAAAGGACAAGGGGAAAGAGACAGATTAGAACCCACTGGAGCTGGGCCGCTCTTGACCTATTGGAGCTGCTATACTGCATCGGGCGAGTCTTCGACCGCTCTGGCAGTGGAAGGAAGTCGATCGCATGGCCAAAGACGAAAGCTCCGGATGTCTTGAATACGATGTAATCGGCTATACGTGGGTAGATATATCGGCCGACCAGAATCTTTAAGAAGCTGTCTCGTGTGTGAATCCGGGTCCAGAAATATGAAAGCTGGCATATTGTCTTTGCTCGATCATATCTCGATGTTTGATACTCCTGGAGCAGGCTATTTATGTCGGCATTAGAGGTGGTATCCGATTTGGCTAGCCTATTAATCACTGAAGCTAGTACCGCAGCATCTTGTATCGCGGTGTTTGCGCCTTGTCCCATGTTGGGCGTCATCTGAGAATACAGTCAGGTAACTAGTGGGCTTGCATACGTCGAAGGGATGGAAATGGTCTGAAGCGAGACTTACGATATGGACGCTATCCCCGAGCAGAACTATGCGACCAAAATACCATGTCTGGAAGATGCCCTCTTCTAGCGCTGTCGTGGATGCGAAGATCCTGCTTCTCCATAGGTGTTCCACACGAATATCCCCCCAGACCGGTAATTTCGACAGTCTGCCACAGAGATCGGCTGTATCGTCCATGGAGAAATGAGGACTGTCTGGATAGACAAACGGTTTGGGAAGCTTTTCAAGTATGAACCAGAAGACGCGGCCATCTTTTCCCTCGAATGTTATCACACAGGACCCATCATTATAGGAGTTTACGTGTTCTCCACTCGCAAGGTCCGGTATTGGCGATGATACGCCAAAGGCGCAAGCGTATCCGACCGTCAGGCCTAGAAGGAAGTTCACTTGGTCAGCTCTGGAAATAACGTTCCCAAAAAAGAGGAGATTGTTTGCAGACTTTTCCTCTCCTGTGTGGTGATAAGGCCCGGGCTCATTGCATCTGCTAACCGCCACATTTCAGAACGCGTCGAGCTATGGACTCCATCGGCACCGACAATAAGATCGCCCGTATAGATGTCTCCATCTTCAGTTAACACACGAGCTCCGTGATCTAAAGGCTGTACTTCAATCACTTTCTTTTTGACAAGGATATTCGCCTTAGAAGGGTACTTCTGATGCAGGACCTCCAAGAGCTTTCGCCGGTCTAAGCAGATGACAGGATATCCAGAGCTGTTCAGAAATTAGTTGAATCTCAGTTTCGGATAAGGGGAATGCCAACCCTTGGTTGACGAACTCGAGAAAGGAGGTGCTGAAGGAGAAACCATCTGGGTGACGAATACGCAGACTGCGGAATGGTGAACTCTGTTTCTCGATATCATCATAGAGACCAAGCTGTTCGAACACCCTGGCTCCAGTTGGCCAGATAGCAACGATTGCCCCTTCCTGGGACGCAATTTCGCTTCTTTTCTCCAGTACGACATGGTCAATATTGGCTCGATGCAGGCAATGTGCCAAGGTTAATCCAGCAATGGATCCGCCAACTATAATAACCTTGAACTTTGGCTTTTCCATTGTTTTTCTGTGTCGTGGGCCTTGTCAAAAAGATTGATAGTCTTCACTAGTAATCTGTATACGATCCAGAGAGTCAATAATGTCTCATTCTTCTCAAAAAGTGACTATCCAGGTCATTTATATACTCAGGATGTGGTGAGTATAGGCTTTTTCGTTCCTTGGATTTATAGGATATCAACCGTCATTTGTAGAGCAGATGGATGATTAAGACCGAGCATCTTGCTGTCATGTTGATCAGTGCAGATATATAGAGAATATCAAACAAGGGAAAGTCTGCTAAATAATCACAACTCAGTGAGGGGTAATCGATGTCTGCTGTCGTGTCCAATGATGTAATAAGGTGGTCCTTATGAATTACTGGTTCTATATGATTATTCTGCTGACCATAACTAGTTTTTGTGCACGTCCATGGACATTAGTGCTCCCTTGCTGCAAAAGTACGTATTGTCCAGTTGTATCCCTTGATGGATGTCACTAATGCTTTCTTGTCAGACTAGAAAAACATTGGGATAATTCGATTGGCAGAAAACGTTAGTGTGCATTTGACTCAAGCACGTCTTAGTTTGATTTGCTCGTACGGCATAGCATAACCATGCACGGAGCCTTGGCTGACCCCTCTTTCTCTAATAGTCATTATAGACGCAGGTATGCCCAGAGCAGGTGTAAGGTCATGTTATAGGCTGTCTTAAGTCAGCCTCACTCTGCGCTATAAAAGGGCAATATTTCTGGCCTTTAGTTATCTGGCATCCGCACAAAAAAGGAGAGGTCTTCATACATGCTCAGATGTTATAAGGACGGGCGACATTCAAGAGAGTGATAATTATATGAGACCTTGCTTCCCTTCACCGACATTTAAATAATATGACCAAAAAGTACCTGACGCTTATTGACGATAGCAGAGCTGGACTATGCAGCTGCCGTCAGCTAATTAGCGCAGTGTCCGTATAACCAATTATAGCAATGATTATCGTCTGCTGACTGCATTTTTAAACTTTTCCCTGAAGGATCACTGGACGGTGTTATTTCCTAGCTTGGGTGGTCTAGACTTGTTAAAGGGCAAGTGCATTTTTCTAAGAGGAGGCCCTCCAGAGTGAATATGCAACATCAGTGAGTAGCTTAGGAGATATGACATGCATCAAGTATAGTCCACTGATAAAACACGGTGCAAGGAGCACTAACTCTATAGATAACGGAAGTCATACCCCCGCAATTTCAAATCTCATTAGGTACTCAATGCTGACCACTCTCAACCAAGCAGAACAGCCTTGAAGCCCATGCATTCCCTCCGATGCATATCTGGCTGCTGATAACAATCTGGTCTGCACTGACTCTGTTGCAGACTGTATCAGTTGGATCTATGCAGGTGCCACCTGGATCTTGCGCCATTGATGATCGGTAGCAGCCAGCTTGCCTTGAGTTGTGATCCTATCACAGCTAGTCCTTTGTTTTCATGCGTATTCGTAGCCCAATGAGACTTAAGATTTCTTTACGACATCGAAGTAAAATAAGAGTATATGCATGTAGTTCATATGATTAGTGAGATTTCACACATAAATCCATGCAGCTCTAACTGCATGATCATATAGTAACTAACAGCACCTAGATCTAATACCATAGAATTAATTGAAACTGGGTTCTGCTTAGTTTGTCCAGCTGCATCCTTGTTTAGTGTTTATAGATATATGGTCCTGGATAATGACAGTGAGGCCTTTAGATGAAAGAAAATGCCTCAATTTACAGAATACTATGTATCCATACCCTCTTTCACCGGAGATATTGCTTTAGATTGAGCATGTCCGTGCTAAGATCAGACCTTAGCATGAACTCAACCATCTGATTTGTGGTATCAGTGTATGGCTATAAATGGCTACTCCCTGCAGGAGATACATAACTATCTATCTTTGTTAATCTGGGAGATGTCTGTTGCATTATGCCCAACAGGTAATAATACCAAGAGTCATCAGTTAGCAATTCACCAGCTGGTGAATGAGGGGCACAGAACGAAAAATCAACAATACAAGATAATACAGGTGATGCGCCATTAGATACAGAGAGAGAGGCGATGCTGTTCTGTACAAAGGTGATTGGAAGCACTGCAGACACGCTTTTTGCCGATGAAGACAGTATTCAGAAATAGGAAAAGCCCTCGAGTGTGTATGACACAGGCATCAGAAGAAAGGGGTGGGCAAGCACTATTTATGAAGCCGTAGAGGGAGCAGTTTGGGCAGCAGGACGGAACTTTTCGCTTAGAGTTGGAAGGGGTGGACAGAAGACAGAAGAATTTCATGTTTAGAGAAGACGGGGTGTCATTGATTATTCCTCCAAAGTTCTTCAGGGAATAAGTGGGAGGATGCGGGGTACCTGTCATTCTATGATTACTTTTTATTCCACATACACTCTAAACATTGCCATCGAGTTTCCTAATGGTTCATGGTATATGCACATAGTGTACCTAGCTGAACTTTGTTTCCTTTCCCTGCAAAGCAGTAGTTGGCTACTAGGTTTAAGCGAGAGGATAGATAGAATGTGATATGTAAATATGAGGCTTGACTACACAGGGCGATCTAGACCCACCACAGATCGTGTATGTAGTTGTGTGGATTGTCCAAATGATCTGCACCTGCACGAGAAAGACTAAGAGCTATTCAATGCAGGTGGAGCAATATGACGAATTGATCGTCATAGAACTACCCCTCCTTGTGCCTAGAAATCAATACCATGCAAGTCTAGAATGCACCACGCAATTGCTAACATCCCACCCGATGTTCAGAGTAAATTCAGGACAGTAATGCTAGCTTAGGCAGAACAGTCCTCCACTAGGCAGCTCACTTTGCACTCGGTATTAGCTTTGAAAAGGTGGAACACATGTAACAATTTTTCATACTCCTTTCAGAGGCAACCGACTTCTACTGACCTATCCTAAAACTCACGAATTCAACGTCAGTTTCTATTTCGACAATGACGTCGCCTATTAAAAAGGTCATCGTCGTCGGAGCAGGCGGGCATCTCGGATCACATATCGTGGCTGCTTTCGATGCCGATCCGCACTTTGAAATCTCCATTCTGAGCCGTCATTCATCTAAGTCCACATTCCCGCCTCATATCCCAGTCCACCGTGTCAGCGACAACTACGACGAAACCGAGCTAGTTGCGATCTTGACCGGACAGGACGCAATCATTTGCACGATCGCCACGGAAGCCGTACACCAGCAAAAGGCCATAATAAATGCAGCTGTCAAGGCCGGCGTGAGACACTTTGTGCCGTCCGAGTTTGGCCACGACACGCGAAACGACCGGGCGGCTGAGCTGTTCCCGCAATTCTACGCGGCAAAGAGACAGATAGTGGAGTACTTGAAGAGCAAGGAGGGGGATGGGCTCAAGTGGACGGCGTTCGTGACGGGGCCGTTCTTCGAGATGTAAGTGGGCGGTCGCCTTCGACATTCGTCGTACGGAAAGAAAGCTGACCCGAGTAGAGCAGTATCCAATTTCCTCGGATTCAACATGGAAAGAAGGCACGCCACGATCCTTGACAATGGCATGAATCGATGGTCGGCGACAACTCGCAGTACTATAGGACTTGCAGTCAAGAATGCGATACTGAGTCCGGAAAGGACCTCCAATAAGTACTTGTTTATCGAGTCATTCAATGTCTCGCAGAGGGACATTCTCGCTTCTCTGGAAGATGTGACAGGAGCAAAGTGGGACGTAACTTACCACGATGCGGAAGAGGAAAAACGGACGGCCTTGGAGAAGCTGGCCAAGGGGAACTTTAGCGGAATTCCCGCGCTCATGCGATATATAACGTGTGTCAAGGGGTATGGTGGGGATTATATGAACGGTGAAGAGAGCGCGAATAAGCTACTGTCATTGCCAGCAGAAAGCCTGGATGGGGTCTTGGCCGGATTGACAAGGCATGAATGAGACTATGAAGATCATACTCTGTTCTGGCAGCGCGAAAGGGACAGATCCAGCTATGTCTGTAGATGACTGGAAGTTTAACTGCATTATACTTGAAGGATCATAAGCGCGATTCCCACCAATGCAAAGAGAAGACTGCTCATTATCCACACCAGCCCGATCCATGCCCCGCTCATTTTCAACCCAAGTGTGAATACATTGGTAAAGCAAAGACTCCCCAACACACTCCCCACCGACTGTAATATCTCGATTGTCGAGTAGAGTCTTGCTGTTTTGTCCCTCTCTACCAAGGCTGTAGCCAGAGACCGTGCGACAAGCGGGAATCCTCCTCCAGCCGCGTGCAGACAAAGACTTGGAACCAAGACGATGATGTGCGGCGCAAGACCAACACCGAGTGATCCAACGGCTAGACAGATAATACTCATACGCGCAAGGTAAAGATCCCTTCTATGCAGCGATAGGTAATGCAGAACATGTGTTGAAAGATACGGAAGGAGGAACAGGAATACGGGGATGGTAGCAGCAGTGTGGAAGGATTTGAGGAGATTGGCCCGCGCTAGAGTCCAGCTGAAGCGTGTGGAGATATACTGCGCCAAGAACTCAGAGGAACCCCCAGCGAGCTGGGAGACGGCGAAAGTGAGGAGTAGCAACAAGATCCGGGTGTCGAAGATGCAGATGCCATGGTTGAGGAACCGTCGAATCTTCCCCAAGATAAGATGATGTCTCGACGTTTTCGGGAGGCCCTTCGGGCTGGAGTAGGACGCTTCCTCATCGACAATCAAGCCGCCCATGCAGGAAACTGGTTCATTCCCGTTTATTGGGGATTTCCCCTTCACGCAATCGTTCATAGTCTCCGGCAGAAAGAAAGTACAGCTCAGTCCGATAGTAACGATTCCACTACCGACCATCATCGGGATCCAAGGGTTCAAGGTCATGAGTTGCGCGCTTAACGCGCCGGCAAGAAAACTAGTAATGTCCATGATAACTCCAACCCGGAAGAAGAGTATCGCAAGGTTTGAATCTGTCGTGGGATCGGCCAACATTGTCCATATCAGCGCCATTGCGATAGCTGGCCCTCCCCCAATAGTCCAGCTCAGCGATCCGAGCCAGATAGCCCTGAGAGGGAAGATATCAGAGAACCACAGTACGGAATTTGTGATGATTGAGTTCAGGAGAAATCCAGGAATGGTAAGACGAATCGCTCGCCTGCGCCCATATCGATCCGCCAATAGGCCGTACGGGATAGCGCAGAGGACGGCTATGCCATGGTCAGACAATGAGATTATGCGGACGGACAAGGGCATTGACACGAACAGAGTAGCCCCTCGAAGAAATCCATATACCCTTTGATAGTTGTGACTTCCTCCTGCACCTCTTTTATCTTACACAGCTGCTCTACTACATGGCCTGAAGCCGCGAGCCGACTTGGGTCGTGTGCACGCCAATAGTCATCACAGGCGATGGCTTCGATAATGCGCACCATGGGGCCTGGGATCATCTGACCCCCGATCGCAAAAGTGAGCATTATCGCAACCAGGGTGATCACCAGCCGACGACGGCTTTTTTCTGGTAAAACAGTGTCTGAGCTGGAATCATCGGGAGGTACATCCCCAGCCGCGGGCTGGCTCCTGAGATCTTCTAGGAGAAACGGAGCATCTTCGCCACTGAGCTCGATGTCATCTTCTGGCGAAACAACATGCCCTACCATCTTGGATAGCCTAACAAAGGGAACGAGAATCGTTTAGGATTCATGGAGACACAGTTATGGCCTTTCATACGAGTACAGTACATTAGGTGAATGACGTATCCTGCAATATCTTCATCGGTTTGGCACATTGGGTTGGCAATTGAGGGGCTGTGGACCTGGAATGGCGGTGACCAGCATCCATGGTGTATGATACATCACATAATTGCAGACTGCTTTAACAGTGAAGGATCTACACCGTGGCATAATGTCATTAGTCAAGGCTAGTAAGATAGGCAATTACATATCATTGATGACAGTTCCCCACATGTCGCATATTAATACTGATTGGCTTAGACAGGTTCGTGTATTAGAGTTCGCCTTTAGCCAAGTGTGATATATGCATGTTTTACTTTGTGGATAATATCGACACATTTTTGGGTCCAAAAGCAACAGGTTTACTATTGATCAAGAAAAACTACTGTTTTAGTGTCTCTGCAGAACTGGTCACGTCTTAATTAATTCCCTGCACCGTGATGATGCGCATGCATATCGCCGAGACCTTCCTGCATATGATGCTGACCCAGCTTCTCACCCAGCTCCGTCTCTTGCTTCTTCCAAGGTGCAGGCCACACGAAAGCGTTCTTTGGAACTGGCATTTGGTCAAATTTGTCGGCATCAACGGCATTATTGCGTTGCCAGTCGACCAGCGCATTGAAATCACCACACTTGCGATTCACACTGAAGTCCGGCCATGGAGCCTGGCGGTCTTCCACCCAGTTCAACGTCAAGAACTCCGTATTGGCATTGCATTGGATATTTTGCAGCAGGATGTCGGTGCAGTGACCGAGGTGTATCCACCACATTTTGTCCTTCTCGTCTAACCCTGGCTCGTAGCCAGGGTAGTCGGCAAAAGCTGCTTTGCGCAGCAGGTTAAGGCAGTGGATTTGCTGCCCTCTATCAGTACCATGAACATCACTGTAAGCTGAAAAAGATACTTACATGCATCACATCCATCTGTGCCATGTAAGCATCATCACCCATTCCCCAGTAGTCATTGTCGAAGCGAGCCACAGTCTCCGGGTTTTTGCCCAGCTTGAGGATTTGCTCGCGAGTGAGGACGTGTGTCAGGACCTTTTCATACTGAGCCCAAGCTGCGTCGTTCTCCGCGCTGGGCTCTTCTCGGGCTATTGAGACCTCGGGCTTGGCGAAGAGTGTCCCGTTCAGCTTTGTCTCGAATCTCGGGATTTCAATGTCATCGAGGATGGGCGCTTCAACGGATTAGCTACAGCTAAGACAATCAAACCCCAGTTAGACTTACACCACCATGAGATCGGCCTTAGGACAGCATTTTTCTCACTTGTCCGAAAGATGCCTGTACTGATGATCAAGGAAGCCGTGATGCTTAGGATGATGAGGTTTGCAACGGTAAAGTAGATCCAGGCATTTGAGGTAGCTGCTTTTCGTCCATGTCCGTTCTGAAGGAGATTTTCTGACTCGATGTCAGTGTCATCGTCAGCCTCTGATTTGAGGTTTTCAAATTTGTGCTCCCCAAAGAAGGGTTTGAAGATTTTTGAAAACATCATGTCGGCTAGGACTCTCAAAAAGACTCAATTCAGGGTGAGAAGGAGAGTAAATGCCCTTCGGACTTAAATCTAGTACGTGGGCATTTCTATGACGACGTAACATGTACAGCGTGGATGGACCTCTGTCAACGCAGACAAAGTAGGAAAGTAAAATAGCCGAAGAGTGACCCGTGCCGGCGTCTATCACTACCTAGAGGGGTATGGCTGTCAATGCAGATCGTGTTCGCACCTTGGCAAAATCGAGATTGATCTACACTCAAATAGCTCTGGAGGAATTGAGTTCAACCTAGGTTAGACCGACGGGATTAGAATTGACAGACCCCTTATGTTATTGCTGGCTTATTCGGCATCTACCCTGTCAGTAGCCTGTTGATCAATGACGTGGCAATATGCAATGTATCTGCAGCCGACATAAGTATAGGCAAAAGCTAGACTGCGATAGATAGATCACATCATCCTTCCATCAGCAGCAGTTCATGCGAACTCTTTATCCACATAGAACATACTCGATAACAGTAGATCTACGCGATCAAATCAGAGGAAAGCACGGGGAGGCAATGGTGTCGATCTCTTCGAATCCCCTCTCTTTTTCTAAACCCTGATAGGACGCCTCTCGTTGAGCAACAAGTGGAAAAGAAGTGTAGCCTGAACTTCAGCTCCAAGGCACAATTACCTCATGCACGGGGCCGCAAAATGATGACGACTGAATCCTTCAGAGACTGAGTGACTGTCACCTGCAGAATGCAGCCCCAGCTTTCAGCTATGCTGTGCCTATCGGAAGCTGTGTTACCACAAGTCCGTTCAGAGGTGACTAGCTCACCAGCTGCTCACTCTATATAAAGCATAACCCGTCTTCTACCCCGTCAACCCTTCTTCATAGTCCTCATTCTCTCTTCTGTTCCATCAAGCCCTTAGCACCGCCTGATCTCATCATCAATATGCAGCTCTCTTCTTACCTTTTGGCTCTCCTTGGAGCTTCGAGGATTGCCTGGGCCGCCCCCGTCGCAAGCAATGACCAACTCGAATCAGCCTCCGACGATGTAGAAAAACGCTTCTACTACACCCATTATACCCCCGAGAAGCGTGACGAGGACGTTGACAAGCGGTTCTACTACACCCATTACCAAGCTGAAAAGCGTGATGAGGACGTCGACAAGCGGTTCTACTACAAGAATTACCAAGCTGAAAAGCGTGATCAAGACCTCGACAAGCGGTACTACTACACCCATTACGAGCCCGAGAAGCGTGATGAGGACGTCGACAAGAGCGACGAGGATCTCGACAAGCGGTTCTATTACACCCATTACACCCCAGAGAAGCGCGATGAGTAGAGCTCATAGTGAACTGCGCTCAGCTACCAATCGGCCTGCAGGTTGAGCGCAATTTGAAAACCAGTGACACATGGCTCGGGTCCAAGCACCATGCGTCACGCCTGAATAGAAACAGGGTGACGATGGTTGATCGCCAACTGTAGTATTTGTTGGCTTGCTTTTGTTGAGTACTTGGGATTGAGTAGTATTGATTGCAATATGAATGGATCTTATAAGCATTCGTTAGGACCGGTTCTGTGGTAGTTTCTGACAAAACAGGACCATTCTCTTATGTCTCTTAGACGTAGAAGTAGTCTTCAATGTGTGATTAGCGTCCCCTATAGGTCTGCAAGCATGGATGCCCTAATGTCTGACCTGGAAACAATGTAGACATGATTGGCATAAGTTGATCTCTATCTACATCTTGGCCTGTCTCACGGCCAATGCAGTCGTCAGAGACAAAAGACTGTCTCGTTCCTCGGGGGTAAACTCCCGTCTATTAGGACCTCCACGGCTGCCATCTCCTCCCTTCCGGCTCTTCTCCCCGGTGAAGATGTCTTCCCGGGGACGGTCTTTGTACTCGGTATGGAACCTCCATTTCTCTGTCAACTCGGGGGACAATTGTCTCTGGAACGACTTGGCAATGTATTTTCCGATGTTAGGGAGGAATTTGAACGCACTGCATTGATGTTAGTATCTTATGGCAAGGATCTGGTGGTGTACATACTGTCCGGTCCCGCCGGTAGCGATAAAGAGGTTGGGATGGTCAGGGTGGTAGTCGAAGATAAAGTCTCCTGTTGGCGTCTCGTTATACCAGCACAGGCATGTCTTCTCAAAACCTCTGTCTACCAGCTGAGGTAGGATCTCCTTGAGGCCTGCAAGCAGTCTCTGCATGCCTTCCGCGGGGATGAAGTTTGCCCGCGCTGAGATAGCCCGACTGGGTGGTGAGGATATTTGCTGGTCCGACGACAAAGTATATCCAAAACTGTGGCAGGCGACCTTGAGATATCTTGTCTTCTCATGCGGTGGGAAGCTGAAGAATCCGGTCGAGAGATTAAAAATAATAGGCAGATCCTTGAGCGCCTTGACTTCCTGCGGTGTAAGCCGCACAAAGCCTACAATCTGCGCGGTCGCCACCATCGAATTCCACGAGGGAATCAGTCCAGCCGTCCATGCACCCGTCGCCAGGATAAACTTGTCTGCTGCGATCCGTCCCCCATCGGCCGTCTTGACTGCTGTAATGGTACCGTCCGAGCTCTTCTCCAGCTCCGTAACCTGGCCATGAGGACCCGTCACAAATGACACCCCAGCAGCAATACACCGATCTCTCAGCCCCGCAATGGCTACACCTGCATCCGCCCACCCAGCCGCATTGTTATAGAATCCCTCGAACCCCTCCCCAATCGGCGTCCCACTGACAGCGGGGAACCGCGCGTTCAACTCTGCCGCATCCGCTAACGCGTGCCACTCCGCCCCCATCTTCGTCAGAATCTCCTTCGTCTTCCGGATAAAGTCCGACCCCCCGACTTGGACAAGCCCAGCGGGACCCGTCCTCTGCGCCGTCCAGACACACGGTGTGCGGTGGAACGAGTCCGCATAGTCAGGGCTGGTGTTCCACAGATCGTACGCTTCCTTGCCTAGCTGCGCATATACGGGATCCCCGTAGTCGAAGCGGATTACGCGGGAGATATCGTTACTTGACCCGTCCGGGACGGGAGGCATGTGTCTATCCAGCACTGTGATCGCGGTGAAGCCATCCTGGGTGAGGTTGAGGGCGGTGGAGAGGCCGAAGACGCCTGCGCCCACGATGACGATGCGTTGGTTCTTGTCCATGGTGTGTTGTTTTGATAGCAAGGATGGAATTCTTGCCAGGGACGATGATATTATTATGACTTGTGATCTTCTCATTGGAGGTGGGGTGCAGGATAGACGGTTCGGACACAAAGCCGAACCGTCTTGGCACGGCTGCTGAGCCGGACCCACAGGAGCTATAGCTGTACAGCTGTACAGCTGTGGCGGAGAGATTGCACTCTGCTGTATGGGGCTTCGGGTTATGCTTATCTGGTGGTGGGGTTGCGCAGGATATCCCTGTGCAGTGAGTTGGCATACTCCGTCTGTAGTTCATTCGGTCCTATTCATTCATCGAGTGTCTTTTACTGGTTAGCTGAACGTCGTGGTATCATAGATGATAGGACTAGGGTAGATAATAGTAAATTTCTCAATTAGATTTTATTTGTCTTCCCGAAACGACATAATACGGAAGTAAAGTAGTATACTCTCCAGCTATCATGGCATCGGAGCAGATTCGACATGGTTCAGGCCCTTAAGGGGGTAAGATACACCATGCTAAGCTAGGGAAATGATTTACCGAGTCCATGGAAAAGAGAGCAAATAGCTAGTCCCTGAGCAGAGTGTTTACAATATTGTCGTACTGGTTGGTTACTATTATTGTCACTTGCTGTCTAACTTCCGTCAGGCCGCTCGTGACAAGGATAGGATGCCTTTTTCTGGAAAAGTCAGCCTATAAGCTTTATGTCTGTGCGAGGTCTGGACTTTCAACAATGAGTACCGTTCTAATAATGTTCACATCACAATAATTAGCCTTTAGCAGCTGTCGCACCGGTAGTCAACCGGCTTCGGTGGAGCTCAACCGTGTCCGGCGCCACCGTCTACCATCCTCCACTCCCGAGAAACGCATGCACCTAAAGTGGCAACAATCTGAGAGCACCATGATGCTATCACAAGACTCCGGTAGGTAGGCTGAATACTCCGTCTCGGTCCTCTGACGCTATCATTCCTTCCGATCCTGCGGTTCTCCAGCCGTTTCCGCTTATCGAGCATCTGGGGTCAAGATAATGGAGTAATGGACAGCGTTCCATGGGTGTTGCCGCTATATATAAGTCGGTTCGTCCTCGATTAAGAATCCCTTCATAGTAAACAACATCATATTGGCATTAAATTAAAGAAAACGTCTACGTTTATACACCAAAATGGGCTCCCTGTGGAACTATCTTGGCCTTGCCTCCAACTCCACCAATGACGAGAAGAATGCCATGCGCGCTCTACCATCCTCATGGTACACCTCTCAGGAGATGTTTGAGCTAGAGCGCCGGGCCATCTTCTCGCGCAAGTGGCTCCTGACCACTCACAAGCTACGCCTCCCCAACACCGGCGACTGGCTGCGCTACGAGGTCTCCGGCTTTCAATTCGTGATCGTCAAGGATCGTGATGGGAACATCAACGCCTTCCACAATGTCTGCCGCCACCGTGCATTTCCCGTTGTCACCGAAGAGAAGGGAACATCCCGCATCTTCGCCTGCAAGTACCACGGGTGGTCATATGGGCTAAACGGCAAGCTGGCCAAGGCCCCGGGATACCAGGACCTCGACGGCTTTGACAAGAGCAAGAACGGCCTTCTACCAATTCACGTACATATCGACACGAACGGCTTCATCTGGGTCAACCTTGATGCCAGCGAGAAACCCGAGGTCGCCTGGGAGGATGACTTTAAGGGAATGGATCTGCTGCCGCGGTACGAGAATGTCAAGTGGGACGAGTACACCTTCGACCACACTTGGGAGCAGGCGGGAGACTATAACTGGAAGATTCTGGCGGACAACTACAACGAGTGCTATCACTGCGCGACAACGCACCCTGATATTCCGTCCATTGCCGATCTGAGCGCGTACTGTGTCCAGACCAAGGACGGCGGCATCATCCACGATGGGGCCAGCAAGCCGGAGCAGGTTGCAGCCGGTTTGAATCCCGCCAGCACATATTTCTTCCCCAATGCCTCCATTACCGTCTCGTAAGTCTCTATCCTCTAATATGCCAATTATAGCCCAACTAACAGAGTAAAGGCCCCACTTCTTCTTTATGCAGCGCTTCGTCCCCCTCTCGCCCACACGATCCATCATGAAGTACGAAGTCTACCGCAACAAGAACTCCTCGAAGGAGGACTTTGAGACAATCAACCAGATTTACAAGCGCATCATGTCCGAGGACAAGTACCTCTGCGACCTGACCCAGAAGAATTTGAATGCTGGCGTCTTCGTCAACGGCGAGCTGCACCCCGAGATGGAAAAGGGACCGCTGTACTTCCAGAAGGTGGTCAGGGACCTTGTGGTGGAGCACTACGAGCGCGAGCAAAAGGCCAAGCAGGAGATCTGGCCCGCGAGACAGAACTTACCAAAGAATGCGACCGTCAGCGAGAAGGATATTTCGTTTTGCTCGAGTCTGAGCTGTCAGACGACCGAGTGCGTGCAGCCGCCTGCGACTATTGCGTGGTGATTTCTTTTCCTTTCTTGCATTTGGCGTGTTTACTCTGGTAATGATATTGTTTTAGATATGAGTAATGAAGTTCTATTTTTAAATATATTTCATCACCTCTCCCTCGTCTGAGTGTGTCTACGATCAAGCACTTCCCAGCCCTGTCCCCACAAACACAACCATAACCGCGGAAAATCTGGATGCAAATGTTAGGACCAGCCGTGGAGACAAGATTTCTGACGTACGCAGCAGTAGCAGCAAATATCTCTGAGCTTTTTGCCCTTGTGAATAGGGCGAGGAGGGTGGAGAATAAAAAAGTGAAGAGAATAATGCAGAGCAGTCGGGCAGCCGGACTATGGACGAAATACAGAACGATGACCGGGATAAGTAGAGACGAAGAAGACGCGAGGACAGTGGCGACTTGCATGGCTTTTCGAACGCGGTCGTCTGATGCATACAGGACTTGACTCTCATCCCATCGCTGCTCTTCCTAGTAAAGAATCGACATATGCCTCAGCTGGTGGGACAAGGAAGTACAGTTGACAAGACTCACTTCTGTTTGGAAGAGCTGCACATTTCCACTGCTGTCAGTATCTCGCCAGTTAGAAAGCTCAGAACATGGAAGCAAGTACCCTATTCAGCCATTTGACCCGAATCACAATGGTAGACAACTTGCTGACTATCGTCTCGAGGAAGCCAAAATCAGAATTGTACGCGCGCGTGGCACAAAGATCCTGGCGGTTGTGGAAAGCCATCCTTTCATCTTTGACTACTGGCTTCATATTGTCGAGCCAACGGCGGAAGTGTCTATAATTCCTCTTTGTGGGCATGTCAAAGTTGAAGATGGTGCGGTATCGAATGAGAAGGTCATCTAATGTTCTCAATCATCAGCATACTATACTGGTAATGTACTGAGACGATACTACACCATATTCGCGCAGCTGCACTCTAATATCCGCCATAATGGCTTTCCGTTCCTCGTTAGTATCGCATCGTCTGGAAGTGTTGTTCAGTTCGTCTGTCTCGCCCCTATCGACCTCATGCAGGCGCTTCTCCAAGTGGGTAAGCTCTTCTTGCAAGTATAGAAGTTGGCGCAGGTGAAGGTAGTTGAAACATCGAAACATATTGAAGATGGGGTCACTTTTCATGAACGCTGCCAGTTCCGGGTACCCTCTTGGACATTCATCATCTAATTCAGGTCGTCAGTGTCCCTAAACCTGCCGTCCGTCATCAACATATGCAACAGTGCGTACATCCGCTTGCCTCGGTGATATTGATTGTTGGCCCCGGTATTGGAGGACTCTCCAGTGTTGCCATCTCAGCATTGCCTGACATGGCCGAGTTTCTCGCGTCGGTAAATTCTGACACAATAAGATGTCTCCAGCGCTGCTGCATAGAATGCACTGCCGTTTTACCTCGAAAATACTCGCCTCTTGTACAACTCATCAACAAAACCAGTCCTATTGGCTTGGTCGGTCAATCTGGGATAGTTTCAGCCTCACAGTACGCCAAACATCATACAGGGTTGTCGTTGGTCCACGTCGGCGGCTAGAGGAACCTTGATCTCTCCTCAAAACAGCCTGATCGGACACCTCTTTTTGGGCATTAGCAATATGCAGCCAGACAGGACKGCCCTGCGCTCTGCCCAAATATATACAGTTTAATTCTGCCTGGAAAAGTCCTGCGTCCATCGCTCTGTCTGGTTTTTACCTCACTTATCAGTTGAACCATTTACGTCAAGAGTCCACAGGACCTTTAAGGGACAAACAGTATACATCCAATACAATCCTTGCTTGGATCTGAACGCAAAAATGAGTGTGTATTCACAAGGTGACTCAGGTACAAGGAAGCTAACGAAGGGACCGTGGATTTCAGCAGGGTTTCCCGCGTGGGGTTATGCGACAGTTAGAGAAGACATCGGTTATCGAAGCGAGCCTGGGTATGACCGCTATATGTATCTTGCAGCTCAAAATGTCGAGAAAACCGTCGACCGGCCGCCGTCCTCCACCAATCCAAAACCGAACGAACAAGCTGGGGATAAGCCCGCGCATCAGCTGAATCCCGGAGATGGAAAACCATCAAAGGACAAGTAAAGGTTAGAAGATCCCTTAGGGATCTTATCGAGAGAGCATGGGAGTCGTTGGGGCATGAGATCGTTGCTGGGTTGACTCCCCATGCCGCGGATGTTATCGATGCTCGGGGGTGGTATACCAAATATTAGGTAGAAGAAATATTATGTTTCTGCATTCTCCAGCCATTTTTTGCAGATTTGTGTCTTTACATATAATTTTACAAGGGTGTTGATGGTGTTGTTGAAGAATATATCTAGACGACGTAGTATGCCACTTGGTAGTAGTACCGGATAAAAATATATACTTGAATGTATTAGTGTTCAATATACTATCATGTAAGTATTGAAGTTTGATATCTATTATATGATGATTTGATGTCCCTACTATATGAGTGTTTGATATCAATACTATATGACGATGCGCTGTTCTAATACGATACATGTGGTTTGATACTGTGGAGATAGTGGCAGTTAGTAATACCAGGGATAACTCCCTAGCAAACAAACAAGCTGAAGAGAGGGGAATGCGGGGCCATCAAATCTTAGCTCAAGAGATAGTCATCTTGTTTTCTTCTGATTGGTGCAGCCCGCTGATAGCATTTTTATGGCACAATCCGCCATCCAATAGGCCATTGTTCCGTCATATCTTGCCACTGTTAGGGCGCAATTGTGGAAGATCTAGCCCGACGTGGACAACACTTCCCCGGTACAGAGCAGCTTTTCCAGGATCCATCTAGTCACAGAGTGACAGCTATCTAATCAGGGCAATATCACGAGGCCAATCATGCTGTCCTGCAGGGGTCAATGCTCGACTTCCCCGCGAGATTGTCGTCCCCTACTTGGACGGTTGATCTCGCTCCTCGGCGAGCCTTGAATGTCATCATCGCCATCTTCTTCTATTGATCAGATATTCGCTCTATATAGCTTACGAGCTTGTCTTTAATTATTTAGGCTCATTTCGATATAATCGCCGTGTTTATTAATAAATAATGACCCCGCAAGAAGGCGCTCGGCGAAGACTTCGTTCCAACCACGCGTGCCTGAATTGCAGGTTAGAACTTCATTTATGATTTACGATCAAAGACTGAAAATAAGAAAAGGAGAAAGAAATCTCGATGTCCTGGAGAGAAGCCGGCCTGCTCGTGCTGTGTACGGCTTAACCAGTCGTGTTTCTACCCACCCGTGTCCAAGCCAGGATCAATAGGTGGCCAATCTGTACGCACCTTTTTGCTCACATGAATCGCGCTAACGAGGTCCAGAAGGATCGACTTGCCGAGCTCGAAGAAAAAGTAAACCTCATCCTAAAGGGAAGCATGTATGTATCGCCCGAGTCTGCTGCAACTTATTGCTCACGCCTGGCGCAGACCAACCCGAGGGAGGGAATCAGTCCTCGAAGATGCCAAAGACGTCACAGAGGCAAGATTCACACAAGGTAGCCAGCCTCGAGATCGTCGCGACTCGAGTTACAGCGACCCGTCTCCTCCCAACTTCGCATTTGATGATACCAGTCCCCAGCCTTCCTCCTTGGCCGTTGCCCGAGCGGTCGATTTGTACATGAAGTATTGCCACCGACAGCCTGTCTGGTGTTTTAATTTTGAAGAACATGGAGATCTGGAATCGTTACCAGAAGAGCTTATCTGTAGTATCCTTGCGCTGACGGCTCGGTTCTCGCATGAGGGGGAACACGCACAGCACCATGCGGATACGGCGAAGAGTTTGATTATGCTGCGGATTGCGAACGGGACGGTGGAGTTGAGTACGATTGAGGCTTTGTGCTTGCTGGCGTATTCTTCGTTTATTGGTAGGTGTTCATACTGCACTTCAGCCTGCATACGAGTTTCTGACTGAAGTAGATGGCGATATGCACCTTGGTCGATTTCACCTCGGACTTGCATTTCAGCTCTGTCGATCCGCTCTACTCGATACCGAGTCCGCATATACACCTGGAGACCCCCACCTGGAGCGCAAGAAGAGATTATTTTGGAGTCTACAGCTACTAGAACAATCATATGGCCGCCAGACCGGACTGCTGAGCATTTCCTCGGAGATCTGGCGGCCGGCGGACTATTTCACAGGCAACGGTAGAGAGCCACAAAGAGATACTGAGAAGCCTCCCCCATTGCCGCGAGACACAATAGGCTGCGCTACGCCAGATGATACTGGCATCTGGAGCATGACGATCCACTTTGGCTGGGTGTGGAGCAAAGTACGGACATATGTGTCTGATTGTGCAAACAACCGCCTACGCGAGCCTTGGCGCCACGAGTCGATGTATTCCATGGTGCTTTCCGACCTCACGGAAATCGAGAACCAAACACCTCTTTGCCATCGATACGACCATGTGCGTTTCTATGATCGACAGCCGGACGAAGTGATCCTCAACCGTGCGTACTGGGTCCCCTGGCTCAAATTACAGTTCATGTACCATGCCATTCTCACCGTCCTCAACCATCCTTTTCTGTATATCATGGCCTCACGGCATAATCCCAACCTGGCCATTCCGAACAGTTTCTGGCGCCGGTCGTCGGAGTTGGTACTTCTGCATGCGACGTGGATCGTGCGTATGATTGACATGCTATCGGACAAGGACGTACGACTGACCGATCCCTTCTTCGCGCATGTGGCTGCTATCGCCGCGACGGTTCAGCTATATTACTGCTGTGCTGGTGACCCCAGACTAAAGTACAAGTCCCGGGCGGATCTAGCCCGCTGTAGGGTGTTTTTGCGGTCATTTGTTCCGTTTTCACGGGCGTGTGCATCATTGGTATGTCTCCTGCGGCAGATGATCAAAACAAAACTGACAGAACAGAATCGATCGCTCGACCGCATGACCCGGATTGCAGCAGGCACAGAGAATGTAGACTACGACAGCTGGGTGCCATCCAAGATTCATCTGAATATCCCCTTGATGTGGGATATCCTCCAGTTTACCTGCAGCGACGATTCGTATCCCGCTGTCCCGTCTGGGAGCCTCTTGCATTCCTCGCTCAGTGCTTCTGCAACCAGAAACGACGCAGAGGAAAGCTCTACACTCGAAATTATTGTGACCACTTCGCCTGAAGTTACCGTCAACACCGCAGACGGCGGACAGGGCGTACCTATGCCTCTGTATCGGGCCCCAAATTCGTCAAAGGACGGCGATATGAGCCCAGCTACAGCCCCACGGTCTATGCCTCCTTCAGACGCAGTGGTAGCTCCCATCGACAGCCTCATGCTCAACACGCCCTGGCTCTGGGCTGATCCAGCCCCATTTGGAGACGTGGATGATCTCGACTATAGCACGTCCGCTCCGGCGGTAGGCGATATTGAAGGTTCGGCGTGGTGGAATTTGGGAAATTTATAACCTGCATGCAAGCGCCAAGCGTTATGAAGTTGTGATTGATGACTCCATGGTCCTCAGATTGTGCACTGCTTATATTCCATGACTAGGACTAATGAGCCTGCCGATACGCGACTTACAGCCTGGCCATCAAGCCACGAATGCACCACTGAACCAGCGAGTCTCTCCCGTGCGACATGAATTTATCTTTCCACAGCAGAGCAACACACGAAGCATTCAGCATTCCTGCCAGCGAATACTACGAATGCAACGACTAACCGGATGAGTCCCAAAGCGACTGCCTCTGCCCGCATTGATAGCCAAAGCAATTCATGAGTCCCCATCATTACGCTGAGCCCCAACGCAGATTGTATAGCTAAGGCTCGGTATTTAGGACCAGGCACTTGCCGTTATCGCCACGCCGGTTGCTCTTATCAAACCAGCTTCCATTTACGTTCATCTGCGACCCATGACCCGATGCCGATAGCGACGCCATATCGATCATCATGAAGGCTAGGTCGGTGTATCACAATGTCTTAAAGTGACAGTACAGGTGTGTGAAGAAAGAACACACATCATTTGTATAACTATAGCAGGCAATTACTCTGGTCGTACATATTGAAATTGACTAGAGGAACCTGTCAGTGCGTTGAATAGCGTAGACGAACCAGTAAAAACGCGACATATAAGTAGAGGAATGCCATTCCCGAACCGGCAAACTTTTCCCCTCTGAACCCCACATGGAGACGTTTGAATGACGAAAGTGATTAGATAGGACAGGCAAGACGCTATTTTTACCCCTCTAGTCTGGATCCCGGCTGCCGTTCCATGGCCGATCATCTGGTCGGTTGGTACGGTTGCCTTTGCCGCATCCCACGGTTCGTCCATCATGACCACCACATTGCACGGAGTTGGCTATCAAATTGCGGGGTAGTAATAGATGAATATACACAATCATGTACATACAAGTATGACCATGTAGAGTCCACCACTAGCACTCAATGCACCAACATGGCACCCTCACCACACATCGTCATCATCGGCGCTGGTATTGTCGGCGCAAACCTCGCCGATGAGCTGGTCGCCCGAGGATGGTCCAACATCACCGTTGTCGAGCAGGGCCCGCTGCAGATGCCCGGTGGCTCGACGTCGCATGCTCCAGGCCTAGTCTTTCAAACCAACCCGTCCAAGACGATGACCCGTTTCGCACAGTACACGGTTGAGAAATTGCTTTCTCTGGAGAAAGACGGGCAGAACTGCTTCAACCAGGTTGGTGGCCTGGAGGTCGCCACCACACCGGAGAGACTTGAGGAGCTGAAGCGAAAGCATGGCTATGCGTCCGCGTGGGGAATAGAGGCGCGGCTCGTTAGTCCTGCGGAATGCGTGAAGATGTATCCGCTTCTGAACGAGCAAATCGTGCTCGGGGGACTGCATATCCCTAGCGATGGTCTGGCGCTCGCAGCGCGCGCCACACAACTGCTGATCGAACGCACGCGGCAGGCAGGCGTGCGATATCTAGAAATGACGCCCGTCACCGGTATCCAAAAGTCCGGGACCGGTGTCACCGGCGTCAAGACCGCCAACGGCGTTATCAGCGCAGATATCGTTGTCTCCTGCGCAGGGTTCTGGGGCGTCGAAGTGGGCGCCATGGCCGGCGTGCCCATCCCCCTCCTCCCTCTGGCGCACCAGTACGCCAAAACCACACCCGTCCGGGCGCTGGCAGGCCGCGACATCAACCACCTTCCCAACGGATTGAACGCCACATTCCCCATCCTCCGCCACCAGGACCACGACCTCTACTACCGTGAGCACGGCGACGCCTACGGCATCGGCTACTACGGCCACCGGCCCATGCCCATCGAGGCTGCCTCCCTCGGACATACCCCGCACCATGTCGACGAGAAGTCCATGCCCTCCAGGCTAGACTTCACCGCCGACGACTTCGCCCCAGCGTGGGCCGAAACGCAGAGACTCCTCCCCGTGCTACAACAATGCCAGCTCGCCGACGGCTTCAACGGCATCTTCTCATTCACGCCAGACGGCGGACCGCTCGTTGGGCCTGCCCCAACTCTCGACAACTTCTATGTCGCCGAGGCAGTCTGGGTGACGCACTCGGCTGGCGTTGCACGCGCACTAGCCGAGCTACTGACGGAGGGCTCATCGACCGTCAACCTGGCCGAATGCGAGCTCTCCCGCTTCGAGGACGTCCAGCTAAGCCGTGAATACGTGCTTGAAACCTCATCACAGAACTTCGTCGAGATCTACGATATCCTGCACCCGCTGGAGCCGCGTGAGTCACCCCGGCACTTGCGGGTGAGTCCGTTCTACGCGCGCGAGAAAGTGCTCGGCGCGTTCTTCCTTGAGCTGGGCGGGTGGGAGAGGCCGTTCTGGTATGGAGTCAATGAGAAGCTGGTGGAGTTTCTTCCGGCTGAATGGCGGCCTGTGGAGAGGGATGCCTGGTCGGCGAGGTACCACTCGCCTGTTGTGGCGGTTGAGGCGTGGAAGACGCGGAATGCGGTCGCGATGTACGATATGACTTCTTTCCATCGCTTTGAGGTATCCGGGCCGGGGGGGAGCGAGTTGCTGTGCCGGTTGACGACGAGCGGTGTTCCGGCAGTAGGACGAATCGCTTATACGCTCCTGCTGAACGAGCGGGGTGGCATTCGCAGCGATATTTTCGTCACGAGGCTCGGAGAGGACCTGTTCCAGATTGGCGCAAATACAGCGACTGACTTTGCATATCTCTCCCGTGAGGCTCGGCGACAGTGTCAAAAGTCTCCAGCGCACTGGGTTCAAGTGCGCGAGGTGACGGGACACACCTGCTGTCTTGGTCTTTGGGGCCCTCGCKCGCACGATGTCATTCGCACGCTTACGACTGACGACCTTTCCAACACCGGGCTGCCATATATGCATGTTAAGCGCAGTACCGTCGCCGGTCTCCCCATCACGGTCCTCCGCAAGTCCTATGTCGGCGAGAGCGGGTGGGAAATCCAGACGAGCGCCGAATACGGACTGCGCCTGTGGGATGCCATATGGACTGCAGGCCAATCGCACGGTCTCATTGCCGCTGGACGAGCAGCCCTCAACGCTTTGCGGCTGGAGAAGGGGTACAGGACCTGGGGCGTGGACATGAACAGCGAGCATGACCCGTTCGAAGCGGGCGTGGGCTCCGCGGTACAGGTGGATAAAGCGGAAGACTACGTGGGTAAGGCTGCTGTGCAGCGGCTCGCAAGGAGACAGCCTCTGCGTCGTCTGCGGTGTTTGACCATCGACGATGGGCGGTCGATGGTGATGGGTAAGGAGCCCGTGTTTTGGAAGAACAAGGCTGTGGGATACGTCACCACTGCCGCGTTTGGGTATACGATCCGCAAGCCTATCGCGTATGCTTGGCTTCCTGCATCGATCAAGGAGGGCGAAAGGGTGACGGTGGAATATTTCGGGAAGAGGATCAGGGCTACGGTTACAAAGGAGCCAGTTTATGATCCTAACGACCGGGCGCTTCTAGTAGGGGAGATGGTGGCTGGGCCTGAGTTGAGGCCGTTAAAGCATCTTCTATAGGCATATTCGTTGCATATAAATCCGACGTCTACTGAATGAGATCATGACTCATCTTCTGTATCAAGCTTGCTATTTTGCGTGATCTAGGAGATAGAATCCTAACACCATTTACCTACATTCACTCATATAACTCATCACTAACAGGATATTTACCTCGTATACTCTGCCATCAACAGACAAATGACATCTTTGCAACCTGACGATATCCTCGGCCCCTTCTGTCCCGAACTCATATCGACTATGCACACCAGATTGGTGGGATTTGCCAACCCCAGGATTCCCCGCATTATGACCTGGGGATCGATTAGCGAGCCCCGCGATAATAATAATACCGACATGATCCTGTGGCAGGAGCTACTTATGATGCTCTGGGGACCCCGCGCTGGCCAAGAGCCAATAGGTGGAACTAAGAATAGTTCAGTGGAAGCCATATTCGCATAGATTCACGCGCACCGGGCCAAGGGAACGCCTGCAGGATCAATGGAGACACTGCAAATTGCTGAGGGGCTGGTCATCGCCCGCCTTGGACATCCTGGGTATATATCCTGCGGCTTCGGCTGAGATTCCGTCGGAGAGATAAACAGTTCTGTCCCGTAAAGTTGAGAATTCAAACAAAACAGTGAACGAATATGAGAAGCTTCAGCTCCTTCTTCTCTGCCTCCATAGCGATGGCAGGCTTAGCCTCCATAAGCAATGCGGCACCAACTGCGCGTTCCCAGCGCCAAATCCTCCTCTGCTCCGACAGTACGACGATGCCATATGGCACGAGTAGTTTAATCCAAGGGTAGATTCGCCTTCCAACAGGACAAAGAATGTACTGACTCTATAGATGGGGCTACTACATGCACAACTTCTTCGACCTGAACATCACCAATCTCGCGCGCGGAGGGCGCAGCAMCCGCTCCTTTATCAACGAAGGGCTCTGGGCGTCTTTACTAGAACGGATCGTCCCCGGTGAAGGCACGTTCGTCCTCATTGAGATGGGCCACAACGACAACGGTGATCCGAGGACCGACGCGAAGAACCGAGCTACGCTACCCGGCATCGGGCCCGAGAGCGTCGTCGTGGCTAGTAATGCCACCGGAGGCACAACAGAAACGGTGTACACGTTTGGCCATTACCTCCGGAAAATGATCAGTGATGTGCGGCAGGCTGGTGGTGTTCCGTTGCTTAGTGGGATGGTCCCGATCATGTCCTGGACGGGGGATGTTCTCCAACGGGACTGGCCTTTTGCGGATTATGCGCGTGAGGTATGTGACAGCGATATAGGGTAAGCGTGCATGGTGATGGTGAACTAAGCGATGTACAGGTGGCCGAGGAAGAAGGGGTGGAATATATCGATCATACGAAATATGCTGTCAATCGCTGGCAGGCTTTTGGTTCGGTCAATGCTACCATGCCCTATTACCCGCTAAATGACTATACGCATACAAGCTGGCCCGGAGCTGAAAGTAAGTCTTGTGCTGAAATGAAGAGGAACTCGCTGACTCTGGTATAGTCAATACGGAAGCTCTGGTGACAGCTGTCAAGTGTGGCCGTTACCACTGGAGAAAATCGCAATTGGCTCGCTATCTGAATCACAATGCAAGCAAAATTGACTATGCTTGCTAGTTTACTTCGCCACAGATAGCAGCTGTTGCAAAAATCGACCTCGGGTGGAAAAGCGTATCCTCGGGATCAATCGACTATTCCTGAGTCTCTGCATGCATTTCGCGAAGTTTTTGTATCAGCGAGATAGACCAGATGAATACATTTCCCCCAAAGAGCGAAAGCAGGAAGATATTCCTCAAGATCCAGTGTTGTCCTTTAACCGTAGTGTTGTACGCCATTATTGTGCCTCTCAGGTATCACTGCTCTGAGAAATCTTCCCAAGTACTATGGAAGGTACCCTCATTCGACCGGAGACTAGATGAACAATTCTTGTCATCTTTATTGAAGATTGTTGAAAACCTGGGGTCGTTTGGTCTCTGCCCGAATTAATATGCAAGGCCACAACAACTTTGAAGGCATTTATATTCTACAACAAAACAGGTCCGGTATTATATCCGTCTGCAGAAGACACGAGGTCTTTATCCAAACGAAAGCCCAGGGCCTTGGCTTGCTAAGCGATGAATGGCGAAGCCCACATGGGGATTAACGGGGTTACCCAATTGGTTGAGGAGGCTTGACCTATAGTATCAAAACCACTAAGGCAAGCTTGAATGCCATCTTCTCCAATGATAGTCTATTTTTACATTTGATTGCTGCTATATCAGGTAATATGGGCATCTTTACAATGTAGCTCGCGGACAAGGAGATTATCTGACAGGGTAGTCCATGATCTGACCACTCGTGAACAACTGCCTGCTGGCGAGACCCTAGACTGTGTCTTAACTTGGCTAATGTCGCCGCTAACTGGCAATAAACTAGTCAATTGCCGGGAGCCCCTGTTCATCGAAACGAGGCTGAACTCACTATATTAAAACGGCGTGGCCCGCGGATTTGCGGCATTATTCTAGGTCTTCGGCCATCTTTCTCGTTCACAGTCGCTCATTACTGTAGTCCTACTGCAGACCTTCTATAAGTCTTTAGTCCGTGCAATCTTCGATATATTGAAATCTCTCAAAGTGCTTACGCCTCCATTCTTTATTCAGCTTCACTATACCATCACAAAACTTCGAATCATTAGCAAGATGCATACCCAAAGTATTCTTTCTCTTATGCTCCTGGCTGCAATTACCACTGCCGCAATTGCCGAAGAGGTCGTCACTCTTTTCCTGCCCGAATTCGATTCTCATTCCCTTGTAGGAAAGGTCATCGGTACTGTATGTTATTTCGTGCAGCTTTGGTATCGCACGTCTCTTCAAAGAGTAACAGGATACATTGAACCCCGCCGCCAGATGCTAACCCTACACCTAGGACGGTCCCTTGACTACCTACGTAGTCAACTGCAATCCCAAACCCAATAATCAGAATTTCTTCGAGATCGGCGACTGTGCCGCCTCATCCAGCGGGTTTAGCATCGTCCATGGACCTTCCACCTTCCGCGGTGTGTTCGAATATCCTCAGTAGTAAGATTTTCCATGGAATATGCCTACATATATCAAGTTTACTCTAGTCGCTTCTTCCGTATAAGGCTTACCAGGGGATAGTACCATGGCCGAGGACTGCGCAATCAGTGACTCCACTTCCGTCTCTTGTGTTGTGACCATGGCCTACGGCTCATCTACTAGCGTCGAGGCTATGGCTACTATCGGTCCTGTGGAGGATATGTACCAGACGCTGACCATCACGGGGACCGAGATTGCTAGTATCTCGGCTACTGCTCAGGCATCTACAACTGCTGGAACTGCCACGGCTACAGGATCCTCGAGGGTGACGACTACTACGGGCGCTTCAACGTCGATGGGGGAGACGGGGAAGGACACGGCTGTGATCAGCAAAAGCACAAACGCCGCTGCGGCGCAGATGACGGGTCATTCTAACTGGGTGGTTGGTGGTGCGGCGGCTATGGCGATCGTTGCAGCGATCTGATAATTAAGGAATATAGCATGACCAAGTCCTAGTTGTTATGAAGAGCTTGGCGTTATTCGGTAAGTGGCAGCCGTCCATGGTTCTCAGTGAATGACAGCATGACCATGTCTACATCATATTTAGCGCTTATCAGAGGCACCATTCACATAATTTCCTTTTCTTAACAAATTTGCTCTCCAGTTCGAGTTCTGCAAAATGGCAACGAGCCCTGACTCTTTGATCCTCCGGTATTCTGGCTCGGAATTAACTGACGAACACTCTTTCCACAATCACTTAGTAGAGAAGATCTCCGAGGCAAGGGCAACAAGAGCAACAAGAGATGCCATCTACGCCGAGCTTGTTTACGACAACATCGCTCCTTCCTGGATGGAAAATGTGGGGGATGCACTTGAGCGGGCAAAAGCTGGCTTCTGGTAAGCGAGTATCGTCAATGTAGTAGCATAAAAGAACGATAAAGCGAATAACGTATTTGTTGCCGTTAGCAAGAGCTATAGCCCTTTCACTCTGATCCTCCGAGTTGTAGCAATGCCGTCTTTTCTGCACAATGCCGACCAGGTCTGGTATAACCGAAGCCAGACTCAATGGCTTGTCTCCGGACAACTCACTCAGAATGAGTTTGACATGCTGTATGTCACAGCAAATACCGGTAAAGCTATGCACCTCCGTTCGTTCCGTCTCCTGCAGTTCTAATGGTGAGAAGATTACGAATTCCCCGATGGGCCATTTGCGGGCATCCGCAAGTCACCCAATGTAGCAGTCGACGTGGAAAACGCCATGGTGCCCAGAATTGTCATTGAGAGCGGGTGGAGTGAATCCCTCGACGAACTTCGTGAAAACGCAGGAGAATGGCTCGTGGGAGGAAATGGCGCAGTCCAAGCTGTTATCATCATAAAATGGACACCCAGCCGGACAACCCGCCGTGTCCGCGGCCTCGTGGAGCTTTACACCCTGGACAGAAGTGGCATGCCTCGGCTCGAGCAAAGAGAAGTGCGGATAGCTTATCCATCATCGTCGTGTTTAGCGGACTAACGACGAAAGAAGGAAATCTTCCCGATCCCACCGGGTATTCAGCCAGGTAGTCAGGAAATAAGCCTAACGCGGCGGATGTTTTTTGGTCGCTGGGTCAGGCCTGGCGCTAGCCCAGAGGATGTTCTTCCTCTGGACGTTGGTAGGCTCCGCGTCATAGCCCAGGTTGAAATGTCAAAGATGGGGTATAGCCCTGCATGACTGAAGACTAGCCACACGAGAATAGTATAGTAATACTGGCAGTTTCCAAAGAACTATGGCTATTTGACAAAATATTTCCATCCAAGGTAACCAGACACACCCAACGCAGGCACAAGTAGCGCCCCCAACCGGAGCATAGCGGCTCTGGTTCTCTCCTTAAAGTAGGCCCCCGCCATGGCCTGGAAATTACCGACGTCGTTGCGCAGCGGATATTCCTCGTCTGGAATGGACACTCCCAGGAACGGGCAAATCTGCTCCCATCCCAGCCCATCTTCTAGCTTGACGACCAGGAGACGCTCTTTAGGAACCGTATTTTTGACGGCCTTGATGCTGTAGTCGAGTTTCAGCAATCTCCTGTGACAAAGTCATATCTCAGGGCACCTACTACTCAATATAGTTCCTCCTGAGAGCAGCCTCATTACCCGGCTGGCCCGGCTTTGTGCCGTCAGCCATGGCGGCGTACACGGTCACGTTGAGAGCCAGAAAGATGCCTAATTCCTCGTCGAAATGCTTGAGAACGTTCAATGGAAACGAAGCCGCCGCCTGGACGACAAAGCCCGCCGTGCCGTTGATCGACTTGGCCCACCTATCGGGGTCCCGCTCCGTCAGGATGAACTTGACCTCGGGATCCTGTGCGTACTCGTCGAGGAGGGCTGGGCCTAACCAACTCGGGATCTCAACAAGGCACTGTTGTCTGATAAGTATCCTGAACGCTGAATCCGTTAAGTAGACACGTACATCATATTCGGCAGTCAACTTGTCCATATCAGCCTTGTCAAACCGTTTGATTCCCGACAGCCGATTATGCTGCGCGGCTACGGCCTCTCGGACGGCTACCATGTGTTGTTTGCCCTGCCCATGTACCACTTCGTACATGTGGTAGGGCTTGTAGCCGAGTATCTTCATTGCGAAGTAGAGGCCAAGCGTCCCAGTTCTGAAGGTTGCTTCAGCGACATGTAGTACTCCACGCGAATGGTAAAGGTATAGCTTACCGGCTACAGCTGGCGATTATGACCTTGGTCTTTTTCTTCTCCGCTGGCGCAGGCAGCTTGTCGATTACTCGCGACATGATGATGGTTGTTGCTGTTGGGCTCTGGTAGTTGAGTTACAGTCCCTGAAGGGGAGGTCCCAACTTCTTATAGAAATTATTCTCAGGTTATCGAGCTTTGCTTACTTTTAAAACACGTACGTGCGACAACAAATGAGCAGTAAGCGCTAGAGGGTAAGCTCTTGTCGGCTGACGACTCGAGGTCTATCATGATATCCATATCCAACAGAGAATACGCTTCGAGTCAGGCGTTCCATGGGCTTCCTGGCTGAGGTCACTGGACCAGTGCTGACCGCTGATTAGTCTGCCGCTCCATGATTGGGACGACGCGGTTGTGTCACTGGTTGATTTGCCAGCCATGCTTACGTTACTTCCCAAGTTGCTGGATAGACTTTGCGTTGGCGTGGCTACGCTCGTACTCCGTATACCGTATCTACTTACGGAAGGTGTCCGAAATGAGAGTGAAACATTCGGCCCAAGATAGATTTCCCCTTTAGGCATTGACCCCCACAAATCTAAAAGTAGAATTCGCCAGAAAAATATTCCTTCGTATTATGCCGAGAATATTCAATTAGATATATTTACTCTGTACCGGCCCCAAGTTAGCGACCAGCTATTCCATCTGAAAGTCAATAATATCAACATGCAGTCCAGGTGGCACTTCCACCTTCTGCAGTTCCTCGATCTTTACATCATCCGGTGCTTCGACGCTGATGGGATATCTATCAGCCTCGTCCTGCCCAGGAACTTCAATAAGGAATGGAAGCAGCATACGACAGAAAATGTACAGGCGGAGTGGTCAATGTGGAATCAAAGACATCGGGGAACTTGAGGTTGCGATCGTGGTATATCTCGCGAAGTCTGCAATCCGCATTAGCTCTTGCACTGCACGGCTGCTACGTCCATACTTCTTGGTCAGCTCTTCCCCGTCGCCGTAGTACTCGTGCGCGAGCTCATTGTCGAAATGGACATCGAAGGTCTGTCGCCAGTGAGAACGATGCCATGCCTCGGATAATACTCCCCGACGGCGAGGCTTACCAAGTCCTTTGTCATTTTGCAGTATGTACAGAATGGTTTCAAATTACATTGAATGTACAGTTATTTGCTTTCACCACTTATTCGATAGAAAGGGACACTGTCTAGTTATATGGACGATGGTGGTGGCACATATGCGGAGTGTTTTGAGTTTGTGGATGACGTCTGCGATGATGTACTCCAATCATTCTCCAACATCTGACAATTGTAATACTATGACAAATGCTTTGTCCATCGCCCTTTGCTTTGATTTTTGTATTGTACAGCTGTAGGATCAAAAAACGTTGTCATTGGTACTCGTCATGGATTTGTAGCAGGTCGCAAATATATCTAACGTGGTATATACGTGGCCCCAACACCTGCCTTAGGACCTTAAGGTGGCTAACCAGGTATAGCTATGGAGGTTTTGGAAATGTAGTCGCTTTGTAATATGAACATAAATACAACCTCGCTTTACATGGAAAAGATATAGCAGAATTTGTGCTGGTTCACTTTTCTGAATTTTCATGCTTTAATAAGTACGCATGAAGCGACTGATGACTTGCGCAGCACTGTGAGACTGTACTGGGGCTGCGGAGAATATTGATGACAGTGGTCCTTTGGCTTTGAGATCGCCCAAGAGCGTTAGATGCCAAGCTTGAATCAGAGAAGGCCATTCATGCATGCTGACTTAAGAACTCCTGGAACGGGATTGTCAAATTCCTAACAATTTATAGATTGAGCGAGAACGTTTCTTGGGCCCCTGTTGTGCCGGGACTACTTCGCCATCTGGTGTGCGTCTGAGGAGGTCAGAGTAAAACTCATATTCAGAGTGACCTAGATGCTTTATCTCCATGATTAGGCACATGTATCAGAGTCGAACACAGCCGAGACATTACGATATCTAACCTTCCCAGCCTTGTAGTACACTCACTTATGTTTGTCTTCCAAACAGCCGTTACAATGATGGTCGAGCTGATATTGTCCTCGCTTCACCCAGTTGTGAATGAACTTCTGCAGCAGATTTGCATCGAGAGCTACATACTTGATATCTGGTCGGTCTTGCAACGCGCGGGCCGTGTTCGTTGGATCGTAGACAGGAGTGTTTCTGCTCGTCTCCAGCCGGCTCAGGTCTTCATAGACAGGCTCATCGAGCAACGGCATCATCGATTCCAGTGCATTCTCGGGCGAGTCTCGGATCTTGTCCACCCATTCTTTATAGTCGATCATCTGCACAGGATATCCAATTTCGCGCAGCATTTTGTACTTTTGGTCGTAGTCAACTGACACGGATCTGTCAGGCGGCACAATGTGATATGCTCGACCAAGATTCTCCCGGCTGGATGCAATGTGTAGAATAGCCGCGGTAACATTTTCCACTGTCACATACTCCAGGCGCTGGGTGGGAAGATGCGGAAAGTAGCCACTCTGGATGCTGCCTATGATCAGCCGGGAGAAAAAGTCATTCGCGTTTGTAATACTCTTTTGGCTGTGGCCAATGATGAATCCAGATCGGTAGATTGCAGTCGGTAGCCCACTAGCCCTCGCTCGCTGAACGATTCCCTCGGCGACGAATTGACTGGCCGAGTATCCTGTATCGTACGGGACGGCATTCGCGTGTGGCATTAGTGGCTCATTCTCATAGACGCGTTCAATCTTGTTAATGAATCCAGTGACGGTCCAGACATCGATCGAGGAGACATAGTGCAGGGCCTTGCGACGGCCCAACATCGCAGCACGAATGATGTTTCGTGTACCCACAACGTTAGGGACATAGTACGCCTCGTACGGCTCGCACCAGTTGACCCGTGCACCGACGTGGACGATGACGCTTGCCCAGTCGGTGAGCCATTTGAATTGTTCTTGCCCTTGCCCAAGGGTACTATCCGACAAATCGTCCTCCAGAACTATGATCTTCTGCGTTGTCTCCAGCCGACCATCCCAGAGGTCATATTTTTCCAGCGTCTGCTGGATATGGGCGCCGGCACTGAGGTTAGCCCGGCCTCGTGCAAGGCAGGCCACTTTCTGGACTGATGGTATGGTTAAGAGCAGATGGAGAATATGCGCACCCCGGAAGCCTGTGGCGCCGGTGAGAAACACGCGACCTCGTTTTCTGTCTACCAGTCGGGAGGCAGGAGATCAGTATCCAGGTGCTTGGAACCCTGCACGCATCGCTCCAAGCTGGGTAGTTCGGTAGTCTTGTCATCCGAGCTGGACAGAAACTTGGAAAGGCCCTCGACCGTTGGGGTTTGGTGGAGCTGGGCCAGGGTGATGCTTTTTTCGCGATCCTGCCTGATCTGCCCAATGAGCCGAGCAGCATGGAGAGAGCTCAGTCCATGGGAGAGGAAGTTGTCGGTGGGGGTAATCTCCGATTTAGTCAGGTATTCCTGAAGTACGGATGCAAGCCAGTCAACCAGGTCCTCCATCTCTGGACTGTTGACCTCTTTTGGCTCCTGAGTTGCATCGCTCTGCGAATGGCTTCCATTCTCTTCGTCGCAGGGCTGCTCTTCATTGTCTGGCTGAAGTGCCCTCCTGTCAACCTTCCCATTCGCGGATAAGGGGAAGCTGCGCTTCTCGTACACCATGTGTGGAACCATGTAAGATGGCAACCTCTGTTGCACCCAATAAACCAGCTCGTCAGATGGGAAATGACTATCCCAGTCGGCCGGAATCACATATGCTTCGAGATAGTCCACGTCGCCTTCCTGAACGTACTTGACCACGCACGAGTGGACCTGTCGGTGTTTCTCAATGCAGCATGCAATGTCCCCCAGCTCTACCCGATATCCCGAGATCTTGACCAGGTCATCGGCTCGGCCGATGTACTCAAGGAGCCCACTATTGTCTCTCCACTGGGCGAGGTGGCCGGTTGGATAAAGCCGGACCGGCTGATCCGAAGTGACACCCATTGTGGCCGCGTCTATAAGAATAAAACTCTTCTCGTTCTCTTCAGGTCTGTTCAAATACCCTGGCGACACCTGAGGACCTGCAAAACAGATCTCCCCAGTGTGCCCTGGCTCGACAATGGGCTGTAGGTTATCACCTAGGAGTTGTTTCCTCATACCACCGCCTCTGTAAAAGTCTCAGATGCAGCTCAGGGATTTATATCCGCTTCCTTGAAATACCGGCATTTATATTCCGAATTTGTCGACCTGCATCCCCCTGATCGTTTCCCCGTCAGTTCACGGACAGTGAAGAGACAAGATGATACTTGTTTGACGTAGCACTCGAATATACAGAATAGCAGCTTGCCTGGATGTGTCATCGCAACAGTCCTCCCTCCTATTGCAAGCATTCATGATAATACAGTGAGCTCACTTGATTGGTATTTAATGGTTGTCTGAGTAGTCCCAACTGGCTTGACAATGTCCTTCTAGTCAACTGCTCTGTTCCTCTCTCTCATGCCCCTATTGATTTCACGCCAGCGTCGAAAGTGGAAATCCAGTGCCAAGGCTGTGGCAGCAGTTGGATTTTATCACAGATTCTAAGCTTCTTACAGCTGTGTGTCTTGCCACTAGATTTGAACATTCTAATTGATATGACGCACTGAAAATGGTAAATAGTTCGTGCATGTTGCAAAGCAATAGCTAAGAGCCCGGCGCAAGATTGTATATCTTCTTGATATCCCGCAAGGTCTCCTCGAAATCAATCTCCAGATCCCTAAGGAGACCAGTCTCCACATCGAATATCCAGCCATGCACAACGGGAAACTGCCGCTCATGAAAGCTCTGCTGCACCGCAGCCGTCTTGATCACATTCCTACAGGACTCGATGACATTCAACTCCACAAGGCGCTTATATCTGGCAGTTGCATCCTTAATCTCATCTAGCTCCCGCTCATGCAGACGGTACACATCGCGCACATTCCGAAGCCAGGGGTTGAGGAGCCCCAGATCGGAGGGCGTCAGAGCGGCTTTGACACCGCCACAGTGGTAGTGGCCGCAGACGACAATGTGCTTGACCTGTAGATGGCGGACTGCGTAATTGATGACCGACATCACGTTGAGGTCCGTATTGGGGACCAGATTCGCGATGTTCCGGTGGACGAACACCTCTCCAGCTTCGAGACCCATGATCTCGTTGGCGGGGACGCGACTGTCACTACAGCCGATATACCTGGTCTTGTCAGTACGAAGGCTAGATTAACCATTGTGTTTTCTTACAGATATTCGGGGGTTTGTCCTGCCGAAAGCTTGTCGAAAAAAGCGGGGTCTTCTTTCATTTTCGCCGCGACCCAGGCGCGATTGTTCTCGAAAATACGCTCATGCGACTGTTTGAGATACTGCGGGACAGAGTCCCGTTTCTGCTCGGAAGACTCCATCATGGACAGACGTGAGAAAAAGTGATTCTACAGATGATTTGGGAGGAATTACGCCACGAATATTTGTGGGTACGGAGGATGGCCTGATTGATGTGGATATACGGAGTAATGTGGCGTTCATCGTKGGGCGTGTTGTGGCCCAGATACGTATGCCTGAGGCATGCATACTGCCAACTGGCTTAGAAAGCTCTCAATTGTGTTAATCGAAAGGTTCTACAGCTAAGCTCCCTCTTCAACACCGTATCCATGGGTTCTCGGTCTCGTCTTATACTTTTCTTTCTAAAAAACTGTTTAATAGCCGATCACCATCATGCTTCTACTAACTGGTAACCTGTTTTCGACGCCCTGTCGTAGACCATGCCCCAGATATTCAGCTGGTCCTTCTGCAAAGCCTCTGCAGCCTCAGGAGACTGGCTTAACGAGTGCACCTGCTCAAGGACATTTAGCTCCACCAGCGCGCGGTCGCGTTCGTTTCCTTTCAGGCTGTCGAGGGTGTGATGATGAGACGAACGTAGAGTGTCAAGTATACTTTTTCGTCAGTATAAACCGCAGAGAGAGATATTAATAGCTTACCTGCTCCAAGGTTTCTGCAGACCAGCATTTACTTCTCCATTCGCAATATGACACCCGTAATGTCCGCATATCACGATATTCCGGATCTGACTGATGTTAGTCGCACCCACCCTCTCCTAGGAACAACGAACTCACCTTTAACGAGTCCAAAGCATATCGCAGGGTCGTATTGCAAGATAGGTCGTCCACCATCATGTTTCCCAAACTCCTATATTCGAATATCTGATCTGAAGGCAAACCCAAGGTCTCCAGTTCATCGCACCCGCTATCCGAGCAGCCAATCAATAATACCTGCTGCCCCGGCTGTCGACGCCACGGTACAGAGTCTGAACGCAGCGCTTGGAGTTGATATCTGTCGGAAATGTGTTCACCCATCTTGCAATACGAAGAGGCAAAGCGGTTCGAGGTTGGGTTGTATCTGGCAGGAGTAAGACTGCGGAAACTGAAGACTCGGGAACAAGACATAGATGTGCGTGCTAGATGCGCTCAATTGCACCACGTATCTAGGGGGCAGACTCGATAAATATGTGTTTTACGCCTCGCAGTTTCCATAGACAAAAGCTTTGTCCAGGAAAAAGTGGAACAACAAGGAATAGATCAATCTCCGAGCCCTTACTTTGCTTTCGGCCGAAGCGGCGATCGCTCGGCTTTTGCTTAGCTTCGTCCGAAACGCAAGTACATATCTCGGATGATCTAATTTTAATAGACACTAGAATACTGCTTAAGCTAAATGTGGATCAAATGAGGCCCTAGTCCTATTGCCTGATGAGTGTTGAATCGAGTGTGGAATGAGGAATGGACCGAGGCTATACCAAAATATATATTCCGCCTCACACGCTGATCCCAACCTAGACTGTGGTCTGTCGGTAATTATGCCTAAAAAGGACTCCACGATCATAAGTTATGACCCCTAGCCAACTCTTCAACTGCTAAAGACAACACTCAAGCTACCAACCAGTTTCGCTAAACCAGCGATGCTGGAGTGTCTCCCTCGCAGTTATCCTCTTTGTCGGGTCTAAATTCGTCATCTTGCCAATCGGGTCCCTAAGATGAGGCTCTACATAGCCCCAACGCTCAAAAGGCTGTCTAGGATTTTCCGGTCCAAATGTGTTGGCGAGATCTTTCAAACGTTCGTAAAAGGGTTTTCTTCTCCAATATTTCAAGAAACCTATTGAGGCCGTCTTCGTCCGTAAAATAGGATATATGCCGGCGAAGGACATGACACCATGAGTCCGCGGAGTCTAGTTCATCTCGCTGACACGAAAGACCCATCTCATTGACCGTCACAATGATCATCTAAAAGACATTAGCAACGTGGAACCACAAAGTGGGTAGAAAAGGGTAGTCATACTACAACCCCAAAGAAAAGACATCCGAGGCTTGGTTCTGGCGTGATCGGCGTCAACTGTCAGGGCTCCTCCATACTGCATTACCGTATAGTGGACCAGTCAGCCATTTCCCTGTAGGTACAATGACTGTATCCTCGAGGTCTGAGGTTTGCACGCTTTTGACAACGACTCCACCCTCAGCACTTTCCACATAATCTACAAGAATGTTATTGGGCTTGATGTCTACAGACGGTCAGTAGTATGGACATGTCATTCTCTGAACGTGAATACTTCCCGTTATGGAGAATATCCCTATCATGGAGATCGACGAGGCCTTGCAAAGCACTTCGGAGAATATATCTCCTTGTATCTTCTGATAATTTTCTCTGACTTAAACGAAGCAGGTCTCCAGACAAGTACGAATAGATGAACATCTCGAGATCTTTGACGGTATCGACCACCCCTCGCACGTTTGGGCAAGTCGATAACAATTTCTGGAGGCTCAGCTGGTAATCAAACTCGCCCTCAATCATGTTTTTCGCTATGAAATTCTTTCCAAAGGCACTTGCGCGCAGTTAGCAGGAGGCTTCAGGCGGCTCAGGAGCAACGTACCTCGCACGGTATACACATAAAAGCGGCTTTCTTCGCTCAGCAAGCACTTCTTCAATCCTATAGGTTCGCCCAGAGTCACTTTTGAGCATCGCACCGAGGGTGAGAGGCTCCTTGCTCAATTGGGACATGTGTGACATGGGGTAACCGCGTGAGATTCGCTGTCCAAGACAGAGTATTCGGGATCGTAGTGTTCCTGCATGCAACATATTTGAATCAGCAGGGACCACAATGACTTAGGGACAAGTATTGAAGGGCAGAATGGAAGGGGCATAGTTGATGCGTAACTGCAGCCAGGGATAATAGCTTGGCAGTGGCTGGTGTGCCAATCACACATAACTCCAGTCCCTGATGACATGAAGCCATCATAGCATAACGACCTGGGTTTATTTGTAGGGCCGTGCCCTTGAAGGATCCAGTGATACTCTTTGGATAAATGAACCTACTGTGGTAATTTTACATGTCTTGATGATCGTAAAATTAGTAGGCACATGACTGCAGGACTTGCATAATTAGCTAGCATATTACATACTAGACAGTACGCTATTCCCGAAGACTAGAGTCGCCACAAAAGATCAAAACGGGTACACCTAAACCCGGAATCAAGAATGTAAACATCCTAATACTAAGCCACAGCCTTCTCGGGATGGTTAGCAGGGAGAACATCTGCTATGGTCTCGTCCGTGCCCGCAAGATCTTCCTCAATATCAATGTGATCGCGGATCTTGAGGAAGATGACGGGGGCAGCGACCACGAGGGAGGCGCTGAGGAGAACCCAGTTGCTGATGAATTCCTTCTCGTACGAGAGCTTGCGGGCATCAAGGTTATTCACAATAGCCGAACCGCAGGACTGAATACCCTTGTAAAAGCCGACGTAGTTGGCCGAGCGACGACCGGAGTTGGAGAGAGAGCCCATGAACCTATTCATTTCGATGACAATTAGTCAACAAATTGGTACAGTTTAAAGAGATATAACATACCAATAGACGCTGGCTTGCCAAGCGGCATCGTAGAAGCCATAGAAGATGTACAGAAACATTGGGCCCACATAGCCGGGGGTCGACCAATCAGTTGGAACGAAATCGGGGTTGAGCTTGGGATCGACGCTTTCGCGGGTGTATGTCTTCTCATACGCGTATCCGCCGCCCCAAATCGCAAAGGTGAGTATGAAGAGGACGGCCCAGGTGATCTTGGCCCGAACAGAACGGCGGACGCCCTGGACATCCAGAAGGTATCCCCAGATGGCAGCTGCAGCTATCTGAGCCAGGAAGTATAGAAGACTGTTAAGAGCCTTGGTTCGGGTATCAAAGTGAGCGCCGTTAACTGCGTTCTGCTGGTAGACGTAGAACCAGTTTGAAGAGAAGAACATGGGGAAAAGGAGGACAACAAAAGGCTCGAAGCGGAGAGTTTCCCAGAGGCCGAGTAGCTCGGACTGCCAGCTAGGATGCTTCATCAAGATGACACGACTGCCATCGGGTCGAATAATGTCGCTAGCGTTGCAGAGGCAGAGAGCGAGGATTGCACCGACGAACATCAAGACGATGAACCCGATGTAAGTACCGTCAGACACAGTAGTGTTTGTCTTGACATGGATATTTTCTCCCAGGGGAATCTAAGTCGCGCGTTAGTCAGTCTGTAAGAATACATTAAGCAGATAGACGTACCAAGCTGCCAATAACAGCACCCATGTTGAATATAGCCCAGAACCAAGCAAAATACCGGCCCTTCTGTTCCTCAGTGGGGTAGGAGATCATGATGGTACCCTGCGCGGTCCACAGAAGACCGGCGCAAATACCGAGCCAGGTCCCAGCGAAAATATTGAAGCCGGAAACGCTGGCGTGAACAGAGACCAACAAGCTGATGGCGTAGATGCAATATCCGATTCCCCCAAAAGCGAGAGTCCATCTTACACCGAGCTTGTTGATAAAAGTACCACCAAAGAAGCCAAAGACTGCGAAAGCACTGTAAAGCGCCGTGTTCTGTTCAATTATCAGTGGTAATATTTACAATTCGAGTGACATCTGACGCACCATGTTGTCTGCCAAAGTCGCATCCGTCTTTCCACCACCGCCTAAGCCTCCGAGGGCGTTGAACATTCCGGGGCACATGAAACAGACGAACGCCACCAACAACAACTGGACGCTAGGCGAGGCATACCAGGGAATGTCGAAGCCAAAAATTCGGCGCTGTCTGTACTTCCATCCTGCTGGTAGATCTAGAGGAGCGTCGATGCTCTCAATGCGTTCATGGGGAGTGATTTCCACAGACATGGTGGAGTGTGCGCAGAGATAATTACCAATGCGGATAACGGGGACTCTGAACGAAGATGCTGTTGATGACGGGAAAGCATCTTAATTTATTTCGTTCTTAGTGTTGAAAAGCGATGAATGAAAGGAATAGCTTCCCTGCAGAGCCACGTGAAACTGATACTACACTCCAACCCTTCAACGTAGTATTCAGTATTAAATCGATTGTTTCCATGCTGACGGTCCCCAGTATCTGTCCAATAATACAGCCCGGATTACAGGCTCCGAGTCACGGGTGGCTGATAGGAAAGCAGTCGGGTAGCATAGCAGCGTCAGCCTTGCTACTTGACCCCCTGACCCCGCATGGATGGACTAAGCATCGTCCTGGCCTGTGCCGGTCCCACCCCCGCAACCCATCGGTTCGAGACCCATGGGACCAAGCTAGGCGAAGTGACATGCTTGGGAAGCTTTGAGATAGCCACAAGACGCTGTAACATATGCTGGCCAAGCTTTACTTTTCTGAAGGGGATGGAACGCAGCTTGGCCAGAGGCGCTAGCCGCTAGGCAAGATAAGGTATCAGATAGGAGACTTTAGCGAAATGTAACGTTACCAAAAGTGTAGCACCTGAAAAGTGTTGAAGATAAGAGCTAATGCGCTGTCTCAGCTGTTGTTCTAAAATACGAAGCTCGACAGTATCATGTTGGAGCTTGCTTATTCTAGTCAACATTATATATCTACTGTCAGCAAGGCAACAAACCGCTGGAGTCTGCATGGATGTAACCATAACAGGAATATGGTGTTATCTAAATAGTGATAGATTACCATTTTTCTTACTTTCCTGGTCAAGGTGTGAGTGAGAGGACTACTGTAAGCTATTGTTCCAGCACTGATAAGACCTGGTCCACTTTACAGCTGTTGAAGGATGGAAGTTCTCCAGCTGAAGGGTTGGATGAGTATCTTTATCTCCTATAGGAACCAATCAGCCTAGCATTAGGCCGCCCATTGTGTTCACCTTGTGTCAGACGTAATTGCTCCCAAGGACAGCATTTAATGCGGGGAATCCTACTGCTGACCAATGATTTTCACTACGGAGCACTGAGCTATAAATAGCTTCACAGATAAAGGGTCAGAGCGCGGACATGACTCAATTATCTCACTGATACAAGCGAAATTGTCCATTCCAGACTTTGTTCCTTGATAATATATCTATCTAGTCATCCTGGTCCATATAAAAGGCGAGGCCATCACAACAATTCTCAATACATATGTGAGCATGTATCATGAGAGAGTCATATAGAGTAGCTAGTCATATTATTGTTTAGTCTTGGATTTCGGCTAGTAGTCTGAGAGACGCCTGATTGCCTAAAGTCCACGGCCAATATGATTCCCGCGGCGAGCACCAGCCTCGTTGTGGTCGCGACTCACAAGTCTCCTCTCTCCATCCTTAGCTTTTTCCACAGACGACCCGCAAACATATATAAATATCAGTTAGAGCCCATATTCAAGCTTGATTCTCGCCATGACAACCAGAAACCTCAATAGAACCTGGTGCGACGTTGTCTTCAATCAATATGCCGCTGATTTCGACGCCGACGTTCCATTCCCCGTTCGCTATCTGATCAACGCTCCTGTATGGAAGAAAGATATATTCATCGAAATTCCAATCAAAATCCCAGTCGCCACCTTCCGCCGCTCCGTCTTGACGTTCGTCCGCGCAAAGCGCCTGGACTCTGATCCGGCCTACCGCGATGAGAACATCTCTGTTAGAGCACGTGTCTCTTTTCGAGAGAGACAGGCTCAAGAAGCCAACAAGCAACATGATGGTCCGGGAACGCAGGATCCTGCTACCGTTGCTGGCGACGCTCAGGACAGTCGCTGAGTGTGGGAATCTGGCGCCTACGTTGACGTGTACTGCAAAGCCACTCCATCGGCGCTCTACCGTATTTGTCGGTGATAAGTCCAGTTTCAGTATGATACTTAGCACAAGTGCTAGGGCCAAACTGTTCAAACAGTCCGAGAAAAGTTTTGCTACGTCAAAATCCTTGGTCTGCGACGACATCATAGTAGACAACCTGGGACATGTCTACGTAGAAGTCATGATAGACTGGTTATCGTTAATTAGGAAAACCTCGCAAGTAGATAACAGGATGCAACAACACTTAGCAAGCACAGTTAACTAATTTCAGTAAAGAGGAGAATCAACATCAAAAAGTGATTAGGGAGAATTTGGCGTGCATCAGGTCAGACCGATTTTGCGCCGATATTGGCAAGCCAGCCAGCAATAATCTCATTAATGGTCTCAGGGCCCTCCATTAGAGCCCAGTGGCCTGTATCGATCTTCTCAATGGTTAATTGAGGGATGGCTTCTCCCATCCCTTCAGCCAACTGCGGGGGCAGAGAAAGGTCCTTGAGAGCCTGGATGAAGAGCACCGGAACGTTGATCTTACGGTCGATGATAGCGAGCTCATCCTTCTGATTGATTTCCATGGTACGATACCAATTTACTATATGATCCATATGCGTGAGAAGAGTGTTCCAAGGTAAAATGTGTGCAAATGAAGCTGAAGATCAGGAAGGGGGGCATCTTCGTAGACTTACGAGGTCCGTGGATACCGTGCTGAGCAATTCGGTCTGTATAGTAACTGATTTCCTGGTTAGAAGAATTTTCCGTAACTGTCAGCCTTATAAATTCTTTGGCATCACTGTTAAGAGACTGTAAATCAATTGTGGTTGAACAACTATTTGTTACTCACCTCTGTGCTCATATACGGGGGAGCTTTGAGCTGCATCAAGATCTCAAGCAGAACTCCTTTGGTGGGATCGAAGCCATACTTCCCATCCTCTGTTATTCCCCCGAACATACAAATCAGAAACTGTCTGATCTGCTCTTTGGTGGCGATTGCTTTCTCGAGTTCTCCACTCTTAAACTGTATTTGATACTTAAAATTTGGGAGAACATCCTCCACAAGTAGTTCCAACGGAATATACGTCGCAGAAGGCGGCATGTAGGGGACGCAAATCGTAACAACGTGGGAGACCAATTCCGGGTGCCATAGCGCAATACGATAAGTGAGTGCGGCGCCCCTTTAATTGAGAAACTGGCTGTTAGATGGTGTCTCCTATGCGGAATTTGAATTGGAACTCAGGGAAACATTGGAAAAGGGAGTGTTGTAAGGAAGAATGTACCAATCATGACCACAAACCACGATCTTTGATTCTCCTAGTTGAGATGCCAGTTCCTTGACATCGTGTGCCAGACTTTTGTGACTGTATAGCGTATAATCATCCGGGGCGTCCTAAATGTGCTTCATTAGAGAGAAGAAACCTGCAACACGGACAGTCTAGCTGGAGGAAGCTAGTGAGGGCAAGGAGATGGAGGGATGAAGGTGGAGAGGAAAGTGGAAATGAAACGTGCTCTTACAGAATTGGCATATCCTAGGCAATCAGGAGCAATGACACGAAAACCATTCTCGAGCAACATGGGGATCTGGTATCGCCATCCTATGGACAGGTCAGGGAATCCATGGATCTGGTTTCACCCCAGTGTTAGTATGTGGGACAGGCAAGAAAAACATGCCTACAGCTAGCATGTATTGCAAGGATAGCTTCGAAGGAGATAAAGAAAGACCGTACCAGGAATACGGTAGCTCTATAACTGCCGGGTGCTGGCTGTCCAAGGAGGTAACCTGATAAGCATTCTCAGTTTAGTCACGGCATTGTGCGTGGGTTAAATTATTGCATTGTAATGGACCACTGCGGAGAAACTGGTGACATGCGCATCCACAGCAAGAGAACATCGGGCATTGACTGAATATTTGGTGAGATCCTACCATAGGTCTTCCCGTTGACATTTGCTGTTTTGTGCAGGATCCTGTCATCCCCATTGAGACTGATCTTATCGACGGCCATTTTATTGAAAAGAACTTGTACGGTGTTGAGAGATATCCGCTTGTTTCAACTATCAATGTCTGCAGACATACCGACTCTGGTTTTATATCCTTTCGCTCGGTCAGTTTAAATAGACATTACTGTTACTACTATCTGAACAAGGTGTTTCGGTCGTAGGCTTCCCCGACTGTATAACTAATTCCCCATCCATGTTCTGATAGAGTAGTAGCAAAAAAGTGCTTGGCGAGAGTCCTTTGACTCAGATTGATAATCAAAAATTCCAAGCTGCGAAGATTGGTATCTGAATTCCTCCGCGGACGATCAATAACCAGTCACCAGTCTCCTGGGAAGTGGACACACTGGAGGTCAGACACTATGTACAATTAAGGTTTCCGCGGTGGGAGATCATTCGCCTTCTGGCATCTGGTACTTGTCTCTCGCTATCTGCCACACGGTTTTGCAAACGCTTCTTGGAACTTGAGGATGTGGAGTCTTAACATCACACCGAAACGCGCAGATTGATTTCATCGGAGGAACTTCAAATTAAGGTCGCCCATTTTACAAACATCATCAGTGGCAATAAATGTGTCTCGGTCAACTGAATAAGCCACCAATATTAGGAACTTGGTACCGTGCAATATCATTCAAGCCAAATCTGGGTGTTAGAAAATCACGTCTCTTGAATACTTTATATCACGATGGCCTCCATTTTAATTACAGCTCAAGAAGAGAACACTCTTTTCTTAGTTAATTATGCTACTCCTTTGCCTGGGAAAGCTGAGTAAGTAAATGATGTAGAAGTCTGACTATAGAACTATAGCTCTCTAGTTAATAGGTTGTACTGCAAGCTAGGGATAACCAGGGAATATACATTTATCTTCCCCTGTGATCTGGGCGAATCCCGCAGAAGTAAAGAAAGGGGGAAATATAATCAGCTTCTCCAGCTCAACAATTAGACAAGTCTGATAGCCAGAGAGGAAACTGCAAAGTAGAGATAAGAAAGGAGGTGGAAGGCGCAGCCATAGTTTCTGATGGAAAGAATAATGGGGGGAGTGGGGTTGGTAGTAGCTATATGGGCAGACGAACAACAGCAATGACTGGAAGGGTGCAGAATATTGGGGGGATTTGGGGGGAAAGAAGAAGTTAGGATGGAGGAGGTTAGAACAGCAAGGTGATAGTTCTTACATACTCGAACTCGTGATGATGGCGGTGTTTATAAGACAGCATATTGGGAGCTCATACCCAAAACAGGGAATTCACAGATCCTCGCTTTAGAGTCCAGAAATAAGTAAGACTTGTTAAGCTTAAACCTTCTATTGAGCTCCGGCCTCCGGGTAAGACAGTTCAATGACTAGGGCAATATTCTGAAATTTGCATAACACATCGTGGCAGGTCACTTGGCCAATGCTTTCATAACCAAAGATCTAAAACGTGATGACGCAGCGATGAAAGTAACTCTGACAAATCACGGAGGAAATGAAGATCAACATAGTTCTTGATAGACGAACAGGTTCTGCTATGGCATGGCCACAAAACAGAAAACGGCGTTCATGGACACCTTGCAGCACCAAACTTGGAGTTCCACCAGAACCCACAGCATCGGATGTGAAACCTTTACGTAGTCCTGTCCAAGGGGGCCCACCGGAGTATGTTGAGTACTGGCAATACAATATATGCATCAGCAATGGCAGTTGTTCCCGAGTCCTACCGCGTATTTTCCTTGGCTTCGTAACTCAACTCTAATCAGTTAGATGTAGAAGATGACCTGCACACTAGCAGGATGGGGTATTTCATTTTGCGATTCGTCAACCTTAATCCATTTATGATCCAGGAACTCCGGCCCGAAGACCGATTTCCCGCTGCAGAACCCCCAACAGCCTGTTTTGGATAAATAAGCTTCTTTACGAGTCGATCTGCAGAATGATTGCCGCGTGGAATGCGGGGAAAGGCCGCTAACCTTGTGCTAAGCAATACAAATGTTTGAGGATGTCTCACATATCAGTCTTCCTTTTGTCCGATTGCTGCAGAATAGAATTTAGCCAGAATTGCTTGCCTTGCTGGGATGAAAAGCCGGGTAATCAGCTTCCTGATGATAAAAGCCGACCTTGCCCATTGACCTGAATGTATTATGTTTCTCTGAGCACAGGTTGAACAGAAGGACCTGTTCTACAGAACGACACCATGAGAGCCCTATCTCTTCTCTTTGCCCTGCTCTGTTTCCTGGCCCTATCCTCTGCCTCTCCGGGCAAGGATATGGCCAAGCGAATCACCAGCGGCTCGCTTCAGCAAGTGACTAGCTTCGGATCTAATCCCTCTGGCACGCTCATGTACATCTATGTGCCTAAGAATCTGGCCACTAAGCCTGGAATTGTCGTTGCTATTCACTACTGTGGGTGGAGAAATCCTCATTGCTGCCATATCCAAACGTTGTTGACATTATTCAGGCACCGGAACCGCACAAGCATACTACACAGGCTCTCCCTACGCACAGCTGGCTGAGCAGTATGGCTTCATCGTCATCTACCCTCAGAGTCCCTATAGCGGTACCTGCTGGGACGTTAGCTCCCAATCAGCCCTAACCCATAATGGCGGCGGCGACAGCAATTCGATCGCCAACATGGTTACCTGGACCATCAGCCAATACAACGCCGATACCAGCAAGGTGTTCGTGACCGGGTCCAGCTCTGGTGCCATGATGACGGTAAGCATCACAATAGAAACTGCAGAAACTGCAAACTAACGGAAACGACAGAACGTTATGGCCGCGACATACCCCGAACTCTTCGCCGCCGCAACAGTCTACTCTGGCGTCTCCGCCGGCTGCTTCTACTCCTCCTCCAACCAAGTCGACGCCTGGAACAGCAGCTGCGCACAGGGCAATGTCATCAGCACCCCAGAGGTCTGGGGCGGCATCGCCAAAGCAATGTACTCGGGGTATACCGGCTCGCGTCCTCGCATGCAGATCTACCACGGCAGCGTAGACACGACTCTCTACCCGCAGAACTACTACGAAACCTGCAAGCAGTGGGCTGGTGTGTTCGGGTACAATTACAACTCTCCCCAGTCCACCGAGAGCAACACCCCGCAGGCAAACTACCAGACTACCAACTGGGGTCCCAATCTGCAGGGGATCTTTGCAACCGGCGTCGGCCATACGGTTCCCATCCACGGGACGCAGGACATGGAGTGGTTTGGGTTTGCGGGCGGGTCCTCGTCATCGACTACGACCACGGCTACTACGACGAGCACGACGACGTCGTCTGGAAGTTCGTCGACTAGCACTGGCGTTGCGGCGCACTGGGGTCAGTGTGGAGGGAGTGGATGGACGGGCCCAACAGTGTGTGCGAGCGGGTATACCTGCACGGTGATTAATGCGTGGTATTCCCAGTGTTTGTAGATAGTGGGCTACACATCCAGTCTTGGTATTGGCAGTTTTTTGAAGAGCCAGCTCGCTAAAGGATATTATTCAGAAGAAAGGACGTTACTACATCTCAGCACCCCGCGTTAACAACTCCTTCAATGGCCCTGTAAACCTCCCTCTCCCCCTTACGGCCCAATCACAAATCAACAGTACGGTCACACCCAGGAATACCGGGCCGCTGTAATTCATATTGGTCGCCGTCACAGGAATCTCCGTCGGAAACGACACAAAAGTACATATGAAGATGCCAAACACGATAGCGTAGATGTTGATGGCCAGACCCCACCGGCCCAGCGCGAATGGGCCAAACGCAATCCGCTCCTTCCGGATCCGTTTCCGGGCCATCATGGCAATGGGGATGATGTATGAAATGAAAAGGGAGCTGGTAGTGAGCGCGAGGATGGCGCTGAGGGCGGTGGTTGAGGCGATGTTGACGAGGGAGAGCACGAAAACGGTGCAGCAGACGAGGCAGATGGCGCGGATGGGGATGTGGTATGTCTGGTCCACGTGGGCGAAAAACCTGGAATATGGGAGGCCCCCGTCGCGGGCAAAGGCCCATGTGAGGCGGGAAACGGATGCGACGACTGCGATGTTGGAGACGAAGCCGATGAGCGTGATGGTGGATTGCATTGCTGTTGTTGCGTGGACGGACCCGGTGGCCTGGTAAAACATTTCGATAATAGGGAAGCCGGTTGGAGAGTGTAAGATGGCGTGGATGTCTCCGATGCAGAACAACATGACCAGAATGAAGCCAAATGCTAGAGTGCCGTTGATGACAATGGTTTGGATGAGAATGCGAGGGACCACTGTGGCCGGGTTGTGGACCTCTTCGCTCATGTGGATAGCGCCGTCGAATCCTGCATAGGTCAGTGGAAGTACATATAAGTGATATATCTTACGTATATCTTACCGGTGAAGCAATATGTGACAGTCAACATTCCCAGACACCAGGAGACTCCATCGCTACTCCATCCACCTTGGTTCAGTAGCTCTGTGAAAACAAATTCGGGCGTACTCCGTGGCGACAATAGCACCAGAGGTACGATCAGGACAATAAAGAATACGACATGCATAAGGCCACCCAAGAGTTGAAGTAAAGGCAGGATGCGAACCGCAAAGATATTGATGGTCAACGAGAAGAGCATCACCGCCCACATCAGCAAGGTTCCATGCCATCGTTGCGGTTCATACTCCGGGTGGTTCAGGACGATGAGACCCTGGATTTGCGTCGCCACGAGGAAGCAGATACTAGTAACGGCGGCCTGCCATCCAAACACCGTGATCCAACCTGCGTGATAAGTCAGTATTGTCGGTCGGATTTTGCTTGCGCTCATACCTTGCATCCAAGTGCTGAATGCCCTGATCCTCGGGGGCGCCAGCAGCGCGGTCCAGTGGTACTGTGCTCCCGCGAGCGGACAGATGGAAGCCATTTCGCCCAGCGACAAGGCCAGTGCCATCGTTCCTGTCATTGATAGCAGCATACCCCAAACCAAAGCCGCTGGACCTCCATTCATCAAACCGGGGGCAAATCCACTAGAGAAAGACAATTACTACCAGCTCAGGCAGATGTGGCTTCTGACATACCTGGCGATGGACTCCCATGATGCCAACAACGTGACTGACAAAGCTAGGATGGAGAGTGAACCGAATTTTCGCTTCCATTTGGACAGAAATTAGCGATCGTCTCTCACTGTGAGGTGCTTCATTCGTACCTCCATCCGTTGCTTTCCACTGGTATTATTCGACGAAGTGCCACCCCCACCACTGGCACTGTTGCCAAAGCCCTTCCTGTCGCTTGTCTCATGTTGGTTTCTCAGCTCCAGCGCATATCCACGGGCGACCTTCGTCCCAAAGGGCGACAGCTCGATTGTTTCTTCCGACATGATGGCGCTCAAATTTCATCTGGCCTTTGACGATATCAACTTGAAGTAATGCATATATACATTACAAACAAGGATGGGGGATAATCAGGGGAAATGCACTCCACGCGAGGACAGCACACAAAAGAAAGCAAAGTAATTTAAGCCGATGTCGACTGTTGTCTGGTTGGTTAGTTTCAATAGGTGGAACACTATTAATCTATTAAAATTAGTCCAGATCGTGATAGAATAGTGCCCAGTCCATTGGAGGCTCTTTGACAGGCCTCGGAGACACCCATGTCTGGTCTAGCTTTAGACTTTTGATTTTTGAGCTTTGAACTGTCCAGTGTAATAGTGATTGGTAATATTAACGAAACACCAGGAAAATATGCGCCTGCCAGGCCTTATCATTAGAATTGACTTTTTTCGTAAGCCTGTCAAAGGTGCTTAAACCACGGTTCCGTTGTGTTAATTAAAAAGTCAAACCAATGGTGGTTTCAGGGCTGGATGGAGAAACGGACACGCTTAGAGATACCACTTTGGACAGCCAGGTTGGCTCGTGGGAAATAGGAACCTTGTCCGCATGCACGATGTAACATCGACCGCGTAGTCCCATCGTCTGGTAACTCTGGTTCGCGGAGACGGCCGAGGTCCGACGGACTCCAGGCCAATCCTAAACAATAAAACGGTGCCACCAAGAGTCCATTGAAGCTTCAAGGATAAGCATTGGCAATCCGCCTATCAAATGTGACAGATAGGAGTTAGTTTGGAGCCAAGGACCAGGTACTCCACATATCTGATTGGAGCGTGCTTTTATAACTTTTTTGATTGCTATCGACCCATCCAGGCCAACCAGAGACCATGCCCCGGACTGTGAACTATTGCTCCGGTGCTGCCAGTGCGCCCGTGATATCCTTCCGATTTCGCATATATTTCTCCGCCGATCTGATCGACTTGCATCTGTGCTTCATAGACTGACATGGCAGGCACGCTACCCCCCCTGTTCCCCATCACAGCTGATGATCACAGTGGGTATGTCGCCGTCGCTGTGTATACTTTGCTGAGTTTGACGGTGGCCACTGTCTTTGTGCGACTTTTTACAAGATGGTACATTGCAAGGGTGGTCTACTCGGATGATATCTTGCTCGCAGGAGCCACGGTATGATTTTCTTGATCGTGTACAGGGTCGTTCTGCAAGGTCTGACTTTTATCGCGTATAACAGGGACTGGGAATTATCCAGAGCGCGCTTGTTCAACTATCCATCGATCATGGACTCGGCAAGAGCATAAACTTGGTTTCGGCCAGCGACTTGACTTCCTTCGATAAGGTGACAATTCATTCGAACCGTCCAGGTGGCCTATAGAGGCGACTAATACCTCCCAGTACATATACGGAACGCAGATCCTCCTCCTTATAACCGTCACCTGCAGCAAACTCTCCGTCGCGCTCCTTTTCCGCAATTTGACGGCCCAGGGCAACGTTTTGCGGCTTAGCCAGGGCTTGATGGTGTTAATTGGGTTATGGGCATCTTCCTCTATCTTCGCTCTGGCATTCCAATGCGCTCTGCCTCATCCGTGGGACACCACAGGCCGTTGTGTCAATCGAGTGAGTGATGGAATCTACAGCCTAGAGGACTCCAATTGATAATAAATCAATCAGGAAGCACTCGCAAATTACATCTGGACTATGAATATTATTACCGACGCAGCGCTGGTCTTCCTTCCGTGTGTCGTGCTCCAAAAAGTCCAGATCAGCAGGTTGAAGCGACTCCGCATCATGGCCATGCTCGCCAGTCGGTTGATGTGCGCATCTCAGTTCTAACTTCCGTTGAGGCGTTTAAGCTGACAAGTATCCAGTGTGTGTATTGCAACCGGAATCCAAATGCACTACGTGAATATTGCAATCAGTTCGCCTGACCGGACATGTGAGTGTCTTTACAGTCGTGCACAAGGCATGGCGCTAATCAAACACAGGGACAAACATCGACTCCACAATATGGGCCCAGTAAGTAACCAGACCAAATGCAATGGAGAGACCCAGCAGCTGACCAGAGCAGAGTGATGATGAACCTCAGCATCATCACCACCGCCATTCCATCGCTTGGCCGCCTCATGATCGAACTCCAACCGAGTCACAATGCATTCGCTATCACTGAGCGTCATGGCTTCTCAGGTGACAAATATGCCATCTCGTCGCTTTCCGGCAACTTTGTACGCGATCATACTATCAATGAGGCGCTGGGAACCCATGCATCGGTCCATGGGCAACGTCAAGCGCAGAAAGGCGATTCCGAAAGTACCCAAGGCTTAGTTGGCGATACAACGGAGGGGAATGCGATTACAAAAACCGTTTATTTCGAGGTCAAATGAGGGATAGAGATAGAGGTACTTAATATTTAATGCAGAGGGCTCTTCTACAGGAGCATCCATAGTCTACAGCTCCCAGTGGTCTGCTAGTGTGACCAAATCATTCCGATGTAAGGTACGGTGTAAGAGCTTCGCTTTGCAGACCGGGTGTGTGCTGTAGGCCTATCATGCCTGGCCCAGGTAAAAGCACAATTCCTTAGAATATTCTGATTCTTAAACTTCGCCAATAACGAGATTGAACAGAAGACAAGTCCCTTGCATTAGACGCCGATCGATCTCAAACGGATATAAGATGCGCCGATCGCATCAGTAGAGTCCAATGAACGCTTGTGGAGCCACATATTTCATCTTAGCTGCTCGCTGATCTGCGCATTATCCGCTAGTCCTGTAGGTCTATTACACTGTGTCAGTGATTGTCCAATAGTAGAGATCTGTGATGGAGAAAAAGTGGAATTTCCTTCAATACAGAGAGTCAAAAGTTAGATCCTTGCTATCCCTTACAACGGATCGTTTGATGAGTACGGAGTAGAACACCGACATTCATTCCTCCGTACTGTGATCGTCCGGTGGTATGTATAGGCTCCTCCTCCCGCAGTATAAACGCGTCTCTTCTTCACGAAGCAATGATTCCTAATTTCTATTTGGTTTTCCTCTAGGTCGATCAAGCTGACTCCTGATCACTTACACCGCGAATTTGCTTTATCCACTGCAACATGAAGCTCTCTGCTATCCTCCTAGCTGCCGTCCTTGGTATGCCCGTCTACGGGCAGGGCGAAAATGGGGCCGGTGAGGGTGGCTCCGTGTGTGGTGCTGGCCTAATTTACACCCTAGCCCAGTGCTGTAAAGCGCAAGCGTTTGATTTGGCAGACGTTGACTGCAAGCCCCGTAAGTTCTACTACTGGGTGACTCCTCGCTATCATGTCACGATGGCTAACATTCCGAATATAGCGAGAGAACCTCCTTCATCCCTTGAATCATTTAAGGCGTTATGCGCGTCTGAAGGTATGTTTGCTAGGTGTTGCACAGTCCCAATGGTAAGTGCTGCTTTTATGTAGATGAAATCCCCCTTTTATAGTTGACTCTTTCTACACCACAGACTGGACTAGCTCTCCTATGCCATGATGAGTGAAGCCGGCCACAAGCAATGACGTGGGGAAGAGGCTGAAGACAGAGTCGATCCCGAGCTTTTCAAGATGAAGTTGCTTTTCTTTACTTTGGGTGGTACTATAGGGAATACCAAATACTGCACGATCATTTTTAATTGTCATGCCTCGCTCGTCCATGGGTGCTGTCAAGAACAGTAAGACGAGCTGCAAAGCGCGCAAGGCTTAGGGGGACGCGATGGAGAGCAGTATGATGACGTTAATAGCTACTTTGAGCTCAACCGAAAGTGTCCTTCTACCGGGGCATCCATTCCCATCTGCAGCTGACAGTGGTCAGTCAGCCCCCTACATGTGGCACAGACTGACCTTAGTCAAATGCTTTCTTCTACTGTTGATTGAGCTGGATCAATACCATCGAAATCTAGTTGAGCTACTCCCATACACTATCGAAATTCAAGCGACTACCCACATTTGGCTCTGCATATCACGCTGCCTGAGACTTCATAAAGTCAACAATAGCCGGGATATCTTCCATCAATGTCGCCCCCTCAGGAGTCCACCCCAACCGCTCTCTCGTCTTCGCGCTCGAGGCCACATTATCAGCTGCGGCACCGAACCAGAACCAGCCGAAATGCTCCTCTGCCTTCTCCGGCGGGATACTGACAACAGGTATATCCAGCTGCTTCCCGGCTGCAATCGCAATCTCCTTCGTCGGCACACCCTCCTCACCCACCGCATGGAAGATCGACCCAGGCGTGGCCTTCTCCGCTGCAAGCCGAAACAACCTAGCCGCGTCGTCACGGTGCCCAGCACACCAGCGGTTCTGGCCGTCGCCCACATACACCGCGATACCCTTCTGCAGGGCGACTGTCACAAACGGACCCATGAAGCCCGAGAACCCAAGGCCATGTGTCGTAGGGGGAAGTCGGACAACGCTGGCTCGCACGCCCTGCTTGGCAAAGTCGAGACACACCTGCTCCGAGGGGCCGCGGGCCGCAGACATCGGGTTAGTCATGTCCGGCGCATCGTCCTCATGTCCTAGCTTGCCGCGCGGGAGCAGCATCGTGCCGGAGGTGATGACCAGGGCGCGGTCTCCGCCTGCCTCAGCCAGAACGGAGCCCATAGCGGTGATGGCGGCGCGGTCCGTGGCGCAGGAGCCGGCAAAGTCGGCAAAGTCGTGGACGAAGGCGAGGTGGATGACGGCGTCGCATTCGGAGGCGGCCTTCTTGAGGAGTTCGAGATCCTCGATGGTGCCATGCAGGGCTTCGGCACCTTGGTTTTCCAGCTGTTTGATTCCAAGGTCGCTGCGGGTTAGGCCGAGCACTTGGTGTCCTGCGGAGAGCAGTTCTTTGACGACGGCTGAGCCGACGAAGCCGGTGGAGCCGGTGACGAAGATGCGCATAGTGAGTTAAATGGATTAGGAGCCTGAATGTGAAAGAAATGTTTCTGTTCAGTAGGGAATCTTGGTTGAGCCTGAGAAGTTCTACTCTGCTTCGTGCCTGGGGTTTTGCTGGCAATTTATATGTCTGTCGCTTCTACGCACTCTAAAGCAGTATGGATATCTTTCTATTCATATGCGACTTCATATAGGCTTGGATTGGTCAATGTGGCCCGAGTGGACTGACATATCTACTAATGTGGCAGATGATGAAGGCTCCATCAAGTACCAGCCAATCATCAGAGTCCAAGTCCGAGCAGAGGCTAGGGCGTTCAGATCAACCTGAGATCAGACAGGCGGAGATACCGGATGAGAAGAATCGGAGATAACATAGCACCTAAGAGCAATCTGATTGACGTTTTACGACACGGCTCATGTTAACAGCCCATCAACTCCGACCAGTCCGCATTCCTACGTGGACTAGTTGTATCGCCGTCCTCCCGATCCATCATGAGTTCGGGTGCCTCAACAGTCGAAAAGAATATGACTCTACGCGCAAGTCGGGGTTAGGATGCCGAAATCGCAAACTGCAAAAATCGAAGATCAGTTGACACTCCCGCTCCCTAAGGATATCATAAGGCTAAACGAGGAGAGCCCTACTTCGTAGTACTGGAGCCCACGCTGATAGGGAGTAAATTCAAAAGTCCAAACGCCAAGACCTATTATTCTAATTACCCGTGGCCGTACACAGACCCTAGCTTACAGCCTAAATCTAGTGCTCTACGTAGGAGAGATATAAATTCCAGTCGATATATATGTTCGCATCTTTGGTCTGCAAGACCACATACGGCTTCAGATGGCCCATGTGCGTACAACGTAGAATCTGCGCGGCCCGTAGCCAGTCTCCTGTTTCGGGAAAGTTAATCTGTCGTCTATCGAAATTTCGGCCGCGTGCCCTGTGTATATCACGCGGCCACGCCTGACCGAGCAAAAGCAGTCCACGAGCCTGGTAGGGACCGGCTGGAGCATTGGCATTCCTCTAGCTCGACGTCCGATATAGAAAGCTCCTGTAGTTGACAGTTGGTAGGTTGCATATATGAGAATGCAAGAGGGACTACCAAACATAACCTCTGAAATGCTTCTGCAAAGTCTACTACAGCACATAGGGTGCCGTTGTCTAGCTTAGTATCTTGTTACTCTCCTTACTTACCTTGTTGTCCTCCTCCCAACGTAGGTGAAATATTGTTGGGAGCGGTGCCAATATTCTTCGGTAGTTCCCGTCGCAGGTCTCGGAGACTTGAGCATTATATTAGCATATGGACTACTATCTCTCTAACACTGCAGGCACCTGCCATCGTCCAGGAAGTCAAGCAACTAGATTCCTATATCTCTCCAGCCATGAGTGGCCCGTCCAGGAGTATGTGAGTAGGTACGCCTAGTTCCGCGGCAGCGAGCCGCCCATTCTTCAAGCACAGAGTGAGGGTAGGGTGGTGCACCAGGCTTAGGAGTTTAGTCAAATTTCGCAAGCGCACAACGCAACGCAAACTCTTGCAGGGTCCAAGATCACCTTACAGAAATTTCTACTCTGCTTTTTGCTCGACTGACCCTGGTTATCTGATGAAGAAATAGTTATCCGATAATATAAGAACACAAGAAATAGATCGTGAAATATAATGTTGACGTGACCAGTACCATATCAGACAAAGTTGTCCTTGAAGAGAGAACCTTTATGCGACTGAGATCCCTAGATGTTCAAAAATAACACTGTCATATTTTCTGAAGAAGCTCCATGCAATTTCGGGTGCTCACATTGTGCAACAGAGACTTATCCTAGGAAGGTTCCGCGGTGATCAGCTGTTGACGTCTCCGATACCAGAACCGGCGCTACCCAGTCAATGCTAGCTAAATCAGCTTCTTCCAAGAGGCTTAAGTGGCGGACGGCGGGCATACCACCGGTGCCAACGGCTGTCACATTCGACAGGACCTCTTACCACCTTTGGATAACTTAGCAGTGATTGAGGTTTCGCGGTCATGCTCCGCAGGTCGGAGGACGAGATGGGAGAATGATCTGATTATCATCTTTAGTATACTACAATGCTGTGCAACCCCTGTCCGGAATTTCAGGACAAAATGGTCATCAAGAGCTGTTCTGTATGGCTGACTATCCGTCAGACCTCTCTCCTTTGAGCGCATACGACGATAGACATGCCTTTTTGCCATTCCACTGCGTGCTCATTCAAGTGGGCCCTGATACATCTTCTCCTAATATCCACTATCGCCGAGGTTCTCTCAACTAATAGACCTTTACAGGACCTGATGCTGTACAAGTGAGCTCAGAAGTTCACCTTATTGGCGTTTGGCCGTTTACTATCTACTTTTTTCACCATTTGGTCCCTGCTTAACATGTGAAATGTTTCGGGCCCGTATCTCTCCTTTCGCCAGGAGGTTTGTTGCATCGCTTTCAGAAGTTCAACAAGATTTCCTTTGAGATCCTCTTTCCCGGCACTTCGTATTACCTAGTGACGTATCTCAGGCATGCGACAACGCTCCTTGCGTGAACAGCGGGCTATCTAACAGAATACTCAAACTCAAACGACGTACGTGCAGAGGTCCGCTTCCACACAGTTACACCTAGAATGTGAGAACCTGTGAAACTGACGCCGAAAATGACAGCTACTGAGGCTTGTACAGTATCGATATATGATCCGTTAGCGGGTCTTTGAGAAGCCAGCTTAAGATTTGGGATGCTATTCTAGGCCTGCTCTCTCTGGGATACAGTACCCGACGTAGGAAGTGTTGACAGGTTATCGGTTAAGCTCAGTCTTTTGAATAGTAGCCGTGTGCAAAGTATATTGTGTGATATTCAAACAGTAAATACCTAGGTATATCACGTTATACCCAGGGGGGCGTAGGTTATTATTACTCCGACGGGATGTATTGGAGGAAGCATTTGCATTTGCTCAGTGGTCAAATATTGGGACCAGGCCAGACATACTAAGGGAGTTTATTTCATTGTTGGTATACTATTATTACTATTATTACTGCTGACGGACCCATCGCGGTTTCATGTGATTGAATGAGTCATGCCGTCAGCACAGTCTAAAAGCGTGAACGCCGCCATCTCATTCTCGATGATGTACATATTCTTATAATATTCATCAGACTGAGGTATGCTTCCTCCAAGAATCAAGGTGTAATCTTATTTGAAAGTCGAGAGGATAGATCTCATTTGATCGCATAAAACCTGATCCCTATTCCCGGGCCTGAACTATCCATCATCTCGAACGATCGATTTACCTGTCCCCGTCTTCTCAATGGCCCAGCCGACAGAGGCGATCTTATATCTAGAAAAATGCCTCATCCGGCCCTACTGTGAAAGCGATGCCGAAGATACCTCCCGAGAAGCCGACAACCCCCGGATAGCACAATGGATGACCAATCGGTTTCCCCATCCATACGGTGTCGACGATGCCAAGAAGTGGATAGCGAAGGCAATCTCGCAACCCGAACTGAATGCCTTCGCCATTTGCCGAAAAGATAACAACCGAGTGATTGGCGGAGTCGGGTTGGAAGCCGAAGGAGATGTGCAATATCGGACGATGACTATGGGGTATTGGCTGGGTGAAAACCACTGGCATCGTGGCATTGCCACTGAAGTTGTGACGGCCCTCTCCCAATGGGCATTCGAAAGATTTCCCCATGTGATTAGGTTACAGGCGATTGTGTTCGAGGGTAACGAGGCAAGTGCCAGAGTCCTGCAGAAGGCGGGCTATCAGTTTGAAAGCAGGAGCAGGAGCGCGGTGGAGAAGAACGGTGTGGTGATGGACTTGATAACGTATTGCATGTTGCGGCGTTGAGAGAGGTTATATTTAGCCGTTTGCGGAACTATATTAACAACATGACTCCTGTAGTCGCAGGAGGTCCGAGGAKACATCGAACTCGGCCTTGACTCCCATGGTATACAGAACTCTATAGCATCGAAAGAGCCGTCTATTTAACACAACTAGACACACATCCAGAATATTTCACGCATCATCTTCTATGGCCTGATACTGGGGTTCTAGCACTGGGACCTTTGTCCGAATGAGTGCAGGATATGGGAGGGTGGACGGACGAGGAAGGAAAAGTGGGGGGAATGATGGTAGACTGCGAAGGAGGGTTTTATATGGAGATGGTCTGGACTGTTGTTTACAGGACGGTGAACCGGCCCGACTAGGGATCCACAGGTGCTCGAATTACGGAGGCCATTCGGGGCGAGGAGCGTATAGCCTTATGTTTTCGTTCAGTTGAGAAGATTATATACCTATTATTATCCTTGGCGTAGCGGCATCTAGGTAGTTACCCAGACGAAACCACTGTCACCAATTCTGTTCAAACCTACATCCGAGCTCTCCCGCAGAGCTATCTTTGTTCAACCCGAATTGCCTTCCCGTGGTAACATGGAACCTATGCAATATTGGGAGTACGTGCCTTCCCGCTTGAAACTCTCTGACAACCTTAACGCTAATAGAATTAAAGCGGCAACCACTGCTGCGGTTTGAATAGAGACAAGGAATGTCTCAAGATGTAAGGATAGGTGATCATGCAGCTAATTCTGGCTTTTCATTGCTATGATTCGGGCGATTCCCATGACTCGATGATCGTCTGCACCTAGACCTAGTATATGGGCTTTGCCGCCGCTGTGGGCAAGGCCGGTGCGTCTATCGACACGGAAGTGTTCACGCCTATCCAGAATGCCTTCGGGTCCACCGCCCAGGGTCAGCAGGCCGTGTTCCTGATCGGGTCGGCGTTTACCCTAGTCGGTGGTTTGGTCGCCTGGTTCTTGAACTTGGATAGGTAGCGCCAGTTGGAGACGGAAGATGCACGCTTCAAGGCTTATCCGGAAGAAAACACGTGGCCCATTGGACACCAGGGCTTACAGCTATCACAGAGAAGTTTTGATGCTGGGTGATGGTGCCACCCATTCCTCCCATGCTCAAGCCGTCCACCTCCGGGGCAAAGATCATCCCTGTAATCACCGGCCTAAATACACCGATACAGTCCCTCCGTGGGAAGCCAAAGCTGGCCCCGTCGATAGCTGTCCTTGAGAATATGAGGCTTGGGCTTCTGCCGTTGTCCATGGCTGATGTTATCGGCACTGAGTGGTAGTAAAACCGATTTATGCCCCAACTGCGGCCTACTGAGAAGACGACCTTGAAATCACAAGCGGAGTAAAGGGCAAGGTTTGCATTAGCCAGATCAGACATCAAACCCCATGAACTGATTTGCGTTGGTGGGGCTTTCATTTCACACAGAATGTCAGTAAGACGATGGTGCGAGCTCCTAGAGCCAGTTACTCTGTTCATACAGACAACGTAGTTCATAAGGTACTAGGTGGGGTTTCTGACAATTTGGAAGACATTATAGTCGACCTCGTCGGTGGGCGTCTTGCATCCATGTTTTACTGTAGTTGAAATTGCCTTCTCCGGACTTCTCTTTATCGGCCCCACGTTATCACGAAATTCGAAAAGATACCTAGTATAGTGCTGGTAATGTGGGTGAGCCTTATAGGTCCTCATTGTCCCCCTTGATGATAGTGCCCTTTGGCACTGGCCAAATAACCACTCAAGCAAGTCATGTTCCATTTGCTCGTAAGCAACCTCATTGCTGGTGAAAGATAAGTGATAGTGATTCTTATTTATGTGTTATACTAATCTACTTTATTATTATCTTATAAGGAATTATTATAGGGTGTCTTAAGAATCTTATAAGGCTACTTATTATTAGGATTAAGGCTAGAGTTGCATTCAGGCCAAGTTCAGGCAAGTTCAAAATCAGTTGGCAGTTTACACAAACAATGAAATTGGTATTATACAAATAGTATTCTAGTTACTATATAACTTATACAATTATAGATGTTATTATTCCTATAGTTTTAAGATATATTAATAGTTCTAGTTAGACGGCTAAGAGACTCTTCTGTGCCTGACGCTGAACTTTTGTATAAGCGGGCAGCCATGCGCGAATATCCAGCAGCGTTGATATGTTCTTGTCGCTGACAAGATGTCATAGCGCAGCTACAATTACTTGTGATGTGACACATAGTCCCGTTTTGTTGGATGATGTCGCTGTGTTATGTTGCTTAATGAGCATAGTTTGCATTAGCGTGATCCTTGGTGTTTGACAATGGCCCTCCGTGAGGCTGACATCTGGAGGTGCTGATAATCCTCATTTTTACACTTGACGCGTCTTACTCTCTTACCTGGCACAGACCTTATCAGCATTTTTACTAGAATACAGAATTCCAAACTTCAGCTCAGTCCAGGGTTGTGTCAAATCCAAGATGCTGGCTGGTATAAAACCAACCCAGTCCAATAAGCTTCACGCTTTCGTGTCCTACCTTGTGGAAACGCTCGCCAGAATCCTCAGCGCTGTCCGAGGCTACGTCTTCGCTTCTTGGATCAACATCCTCCTACCATGTGTGCCCGCCGGCTTTGCCGTGAAATACAGCGGCTGCAGCGCACCGGTCATCTTTGCGATCAACTTTCTGGCAATATTTCCCGCCTCCGAACTGCTCGGCCTTGCCCTAAAACGAATCCAAAGGAGACTCAATACCTCCCTATGGGCCTTGCTCTATTCAAGTTTCGGGTGAGCCTACACACTCTGAATATAACCAAGGTGACGTCCTAGTAGTAACCATTAGATAGTAATGCTGTCCAACTCATCACCTCAATACTCCTTCTCCGAAGCCGCCAAATTCGCACCTTGCAGATGTCGCTAATCGGCGGAATCTTATCAAACATGCACCTGATGCTGGGGCTGTCCTTCTTGATCGGAGGCATACGATACTCGGAAGCATGTTTCAACACGTTCGTCGCAGCCGAAATGGGTGCGTTGCTTCTCCTAGCAATAACAGGGATTATTATTCCGACCGCGACTGAGCTACTTGCAAAGCCTACGGACGGAGGGGTGTTACGGCAGTCCCGGGCGTTGTCTGTGGTGTTTTTGGCTGTCTATTGCTGTTTTTTGTATTTTCAGTTTCGATCGCATTCGGAGCTTTTCGGTCCACCGGACTATGATTTCCCTGACGAAGCAGGTAACTCGCAGGACCTTGAAAGAGGCGAAGCAGAAGGGGAACCGGAACAACAGGAAGAGAGCATCGTGTTCCCGATCACTGTCATGGCAATTTCCACGACACTTATCGGATTCCATGGCCTCTTCGCTACTGATAATCTTGAAGCCCTGATGCATCAAACCGGGATGACCGAAACATTTGTTGGAATCGTTCTTCTCCCACTTCTCACCAACGACTCCGAACCGGTAAAGGCAGCGGCGAAAGGCGAAATGGATATTTGTTTGCTATCAACGGTTGGGAAATGCGTTCAGACAACGTTTCTGATAATACCCGTGATTGTGATACTTGGGTGGATTATGCAGGTGGACAACATGACGCTTAGTTTTGATGGATTCGAGATTGCGACGTTGTTTGCATCGGTCATCTATATTAATGTCCTCATTTCAAACGGGAAATCAAACTGGTAAGTTCTATTGGTGAGAGTCTTCGGATGTGGTTGCTGACTCCATGCAGGTTGGAGGGTATTGCGCTGATTGCTATGTTTATGGCTATATCGATTGCAGCTTTCTACATCGAATAGCGTTTAGATGGCTCTAGTTTCTGTGATATGAGTCAATGCCGTCACGAACTTGAGTACGGAGTTATGGGGAGTCTCTTATTCATGCTTATAAAGCCGTAATGACTATTATTGTCATGGTTGTCTCATAGGCATCATTTCTCCCTATTGCATCTCCTGGCGTTCCTCTCAGATTTGAAGATTGTCGTTGTTCTCATGAGCCAGTGTGGATAGAAAGGGGACCCCTATTTTGCTTGCGGTTGTGCCTCTCTTGTTGCGTCTCAGGGCTACTTAACTCACTGCTGTTATGTGATCCCAATGGTGTCTACCCTTCGCTGCTGCCTCTCGATATATGAAAAGAAGAACATTAGGAATCACCTTTGGAAGTGATCTGGTCGAGGTCGAATGTAGCCTGGATAAGCGTTGCAGGCTGTAACCCCTGTGCGCAGTCTGTCCAGGACCATAATGCTGGATAAGTCTATTAAGACGGATCCTTGTAATTTTACCCTACTGCGATGGTAAGGAGACCGCAGGCGAGAAATTTAATATACTTTCTAGAGACGATTAATGTTGATGCAAGGCCATTATCGACTTAATAACTATTAATGGCTTCCACTAGGTATAGTAGTTTATCTTTTCTATATTAGAAATCCTTTTACCTATAGCTAGTTAATAAATATTTATTTAGTTTCATAGTTAATTAGTATTTAATATTAGAAGTAGATTCACGGTTGAGCTGCCTGAGTCGAGACGTTATTATATAACTACATGGCTATGGAAGAGTCGACTAGGCGACGCTCGAGATCTCCCATCCATGACGCTGCCTGATACCACCAACTGCCTTTTCCGAACCACATTGCTGTTATAAATTCCAGTATTCAGGATACCAGCCTGCAGCCTCCCAATCCAGAAACCCGGATAAATGCCCTTCTTTGTGACAAGGATGCAGATGTCCATAGTTAGGCGAGTTACCTGAAGATACTTGTTCCGTATTCACACTGCGCTCTCCGATGTGGCGAGATTATTGTGACAACACCATCATCCAGGCGCGTATACCCGGGGCAGAATAAGGGTTTGCCATATGAGTAAAAAAGGATAAAGGGTCTATTCCCACCATTCGAAATGGCTCCATTTTTCGGTCTTCCCCAAACGCCTAGGCTGAATCCCCAACTCACTGTACACAGATTTAACCCGATCCAGCGCCTTTATATCCTCTGGCGTCTCATCGTCATCAGATTCATTAAAACACTGAGTTGAATGAAAACGGAGGGAGACAACGATATCAGAGGCGACCTTCTTTCCCATCAGATGTTCCATCTCCTTCCAGAATGATAGCCCGTGCTGTGGGATTCGTTTCCACCATATGATATGCTTCAGGCGACATGTCGCAAAATAGACATCGTCATCGAACACCAGCACCTCAAAAAAATCACCCATGCGCAAGCCATCTGCAAAACCTCTTGGATCTTCCTGTGGCTGTTGGTTAGTGCCTGAACCTATAATCTCACAGGAGACACCTGTTCTTCAGGATCGCCTACAGGAACCTCAAAGAACGTATGCGTGAACCCAAATGCATTAGTCGAATAGAAGTAGACCTCAAATTTGCACACTGGGGGCTGTTGGAGCAGCATCCGTCGCCAGCTTGCTTCTGGTCGTAGATACGCGGCTAGCTTGGAGGAACTTTTCATCATGTCGAAGGCGGCGAGGGTGGGTTCATCGTACTCATAATCGTCTTCCGGGTTACCGGGGTCGACGAGTTTGAAAAGGGCTGGGAATGCTTCTACCAATAAGGGATTCTGGACTTTTTCCTGGCTGGGGGTATTTTCTGTAGGTGTAAAATACAGCGCTTTTTGTATAGGCGACGAGTCTTGGATTATGCTTAACCAGGAGCGGCATGTTCGCTGAATGCAAAGGAGTGTTCGCATGTCCAGGTTGAGGAGAATCATCTCGAGGATTTCGGGAATCCCGAATGCTGCGTGTGTTGAGGAGGCCATCTTTGATTGCTCTAGTGGGATTGCTATTAATTGCGATGCGGTGGTAGAAAGACTGGCTTGCTAGTAGCTTATTAAGGACACTAATGAAGCACTAAATAATAGTATTGTTATCCGTGAGTCATAAATACATTAAGTTGCCAATAGTGCAGAATCATGTTTTCCGCTAAGGAATATGATTCGTCCAACCGGCTAAAATATGTTTCTTTGAGTGTGTCAAAGAGTACAGCCTGTCATACAAGTTAGTCATGGATCAACTGCTACTCAGTAACATACAATGACTGCATCTTTTGTTTTATTGTTTTCATTGACTCGTGGATGGTAGGTTCCAGTAACACATGGACATGGCTAAAAATTACCCAAGGTGCTGCCCCTGCCCCTAGTGGCCTTAGGCTAAATATCTTGCCTTACTTCTTAGTTTCTATCTGGGTGCTTATAACCTAGGGCCATAATTCATCTAGTCTGTATACTTAAACTTAGCTAGTTTCAAAAGTTATAGAGCCAGGATACACCTCATTAACTATAAGTGGAGAGTTGGTGAGTTACTACTAAGTAAATACACAGCTTGGCTCTTCCCCGCAGACCCACGGGACCCGCAACAAGCCCTGGTGATTAATAACATGGAGGGTGTTCGGTTGATTCGGAGGCCGAGCTGACTACGCAAGGCACGATTGGATAAAATAAGGTGCCTTTGTATTCATAATACTCGGCAATGCCAAGACCGAGTCGTGACAAACATTTGTCATAGCCAGGCTGATGAGGGCAATGTCAAGTCATGTATACCTTCAAGATGAGGATAAAAGGACGGCATTATCCTTAGGAAACATGTCTGTCAACAAGTTCTTCAGTTCCCAACAACTCGACGTTCATCGACTATCATAGCCATCAATTCATCAAAATGTCCAAAATCCTCACAGTCTTCGGCGCGACAGGAAAGCAAGGCGGTTCTGTCATCCGCACAATCCTGCAGGATGCAAAGCTTTCCCAGGAATTCAAGATCCGCGGTATCACCCGTGACGCCACGAAGCCGGCAGCTCAAGCGCTGTCCAAGCAAGGCGTTGAATTGAGAAATGTATGTATTTCCCACCCACCAGACCAAACGCTGAAACAATGCTGACTACTACCCAGGCCGATATGAACTCTAAGGAGTCTCTCGTCCAGGCACTGCAAGGCAGCCACTCGGTCTTCCTTGTGACCACTCCGGCTTGGGGCGCCGCCGGTTCAGATGCAGAACTGGTGCACGGCAAGAACGCGGCCGACGCGGCAAAGGCAACTGGCGTCCAGCATCTGATCTTCTCCTCCTTGCTCAATGTCACCGAGTCATCGGGTGGTCGGCTCAAACATGTGCCCCATTTTGATCAGAAAGCGCAGGTGGAGCAGTACATTCGCTCCATTGGTGTGCCTGCTACCTTTGTGCTGCCGGGGTATTTCATGAGCAACTATCCCGAAATGGGTATGCTGCGCAAGGGCGAGGATGGCGTCTACACCCTGGCGTACCCTGTGAGCCAGAATGCGAAATTCCCGCTGGTCGACATCGAGAACGATATGGGTATGTGACTGCCATCTGCGAGGACAGTACTGAATGGCCAAGGCTGATAATCTGTATAGGCAAATACGTCGCTGCGGCGTTGAAGAATCGTTCGGAGTCCCTCGGTGCGCAGATCCTCGCGGCCGAAGACTACTACACCCCTACTCGAATCCTCAAGGAGTTTGAGGAGGTTACCGGACAGAAAGCCCGATTTGTGCAGGTGGATTCCGATACTTATAAGAGCTTTATGCCTGGTCCAATTGCCGAGGAGATGCTGGAGAACCACCTCTTCATTGAGAATCCTGGTTATTACAACAGCAGGGATCTGAAAGAGAGCAATGATTGGCTTGAGAAGGCTGGGTATCAGCCAACGAGCTGGAGACAGTTCCTCGAGCGAAACAAAGCTGCATTTCCCCAGTAGTGAGTGAGGTGAGCTTCCAAATGGTAGTGGTATGAATGAATGGGGCAGGTGAAAGCGCAAGTCATTTGACCATATCTAACACCAGTTGAATGATCACCCATTTGCTGAGTGTTTAGAGCATGAAGGAAAGAGTATGTATCAACAATTGTATCGTTATGTTTGATTCCACGTCATTTAGCCAATCCTGCATAGCTCTGTCAGAGTAGGCTACTGCTCTATATCAAAATATATAATTATGATGTTACTCCTCAAAAGATAATTATTAGCGAGTCTATTGCAACACTACGCTGAAGACTACACCGAAGAAACTCGAGGGCTCCTTGGACATTTTGATTCTGATATGCGGTTCCCTAGTAGTTGCCCCTATTGAGTATGTTGGAGAGTGGAGACAAACTCCATATCGCGGGGTGTAATGAGCACATGTAATTCGTGCAACATGATCTCAATTCTGAAACCTTTATCGTTGGCTTCCTCCAGTCAATAGTGATCTCGCTGCAGTTTGACGTCGTCTGCAAAGTCCTCCGCGGAGGAACTCGCTTCCTAGCTGAGCCACGGCAAAAACATCGTCTTAATTCCATGTGATGCTACTCGACATCTTCCATTCGATTAATGATTATGGAACAGATATCGCCGTTTTCTTTTTTGTCCGGGCGATTATTCTTACTTTTTCCAAGGACCGTCTGGCCGAGGTTAAAGCTGAGCCTAGACTAAAATAAAAGACCTTCGCTGGTGCAACTGGCAATATCCACTGCTTCTGATCGATGATTATTCCACTACTGATTCAAGGTAGTTAAAACAACGGTACCGCGCCGCTTCCCCTAGCTGACCGTGGCTTTGATAGGTGGTAGCAATGCACGGTACAGACGAAAGAAGAACAGTTCTCATCACAGGGTGCGGACACCCTGGCACTCTACCTCTTCCTCTGGGTTGCCAGTTGCTAAACATTATGAATATGTTTTAGATGCTCCCCTGGAGGAATAGGCTACTCGCTTTGCTGTGCCTTTCAAGCAAAGGGGCTCCGTGTGTTTGCGACCGCGAGACGACTTGAAGACCTTGCGAGTCTGGAAGCCAAAGGAATTGAGACCTTAGCACTCACAGTCGACGATCCGCAAAGTGTACTACAATGCTATGCCGAGATCGAGAGGCGCGTAGGTTCCAGAGGGCTGGACTACCTAGTCAACAATGCGTATGTGAACACCCGTGAGCTCCTCATCTCCGCTATCATTCAAGACTGACCGTTCGGAATCGCAGTGGTCGAAGTGAGAGCACAGTCTACCAGTAGTGTTTGGGCTCTCTCTCGTCTATATGCTAATATTCTGCTTCCAGACTATACAGTCCCTGCAATGGAGGTAGACCTGCAGGAAGCCCGGCAGATTTTCGAGACGAACTTCTTCGCCGTGATATTGATGTGCCAAACATTCCTGCCGCTGCTCCTGAAAGCTAAGGGGACAATTGTGCAAATTGGATCAATATCTGGGGTAGGCCCGGCAGCCATGGAACTATACCTAAGAGACTATGTTGACTGCTGTAGGTGATGCCATACGTCTTTGGTTCCGTCTACAACGCATCCAAAGCAGCTTTGCATTCCTTGAGCGACACGATGCGTATCGAGCTGGCTCCATTTGGGTAAGTTTTCACTGTCCCCTTAGAACTCGCGTCTTGTACCAGATCGAAGGCTCATCGTGTGATGCCTGTCTACAGAGTCAAAGTCACCACAGTCATTACAGGTGGCGTCCAGTCGCGACTTGCTCGTGAGGATCGCCAACTGGCGCCAGATTCTCTTTATAAGGGCATCTTGCCAGAGTACAATCGCCGCGTTCAGCACAGTCAGGAAGGTGCAATGAGCCGCGATGTTTACGCGCAGAGTGTCGTTGCACAGATAGTCCGACATTCTGGTTCGCGATCATACAAGAAATGGCTGTGGGAAGGAAATAAAAGCAAGTTGATACAGTTCCTCGTTGGGGGCTGGCTTTGGTTTGGTCTCTTTAATTGGATATTCGCGCGTATGTTTCATTTGAAGAAGTTGAAGAGGGATTGATTCGCTTGCTTGGCAGGCTGTCTTTGATGCTTGGCCACCTTCTAGCTAAGCCTCAAAAGGACGGAATCTCTGTGATGTCTTTGTATGTATGAATGTAGAATAAGGTAATTCAGCATTCCCTCTCAATGCGGAGTGCAGCGTCGAAGTTTGTCCGCGGAGGAACTCGATGTTTGGTGCTGCCCAATGAGAGAGGCTGCAATGAGTGGATCTGGTAGGTGGCAACTATTCTATCTTGGATCGTCCGATTGGTTAGATTTGGTGCGGTAGTTGGAGAGACAGCGACGTCATGTGACATCAACTGTGCATGCCCGCAAAAGCCAACGCCTTGCAGCCACAAAAACATCGTCTAGCACCAGAGTCCTGAACATGCAGCAATTTGTTTTAGATTAAACAGAAAGGAGAGCCGTATAATAATGCCTCCAGCTGCCTCTAGCCGGACTGACGCGACAGTAGGTCACGAACAGGTCTCGCAGAGTCATGGGKCTGGCAACTTGCGAGTATGCGACAAATGCATTTCGTCAGTGGTTCCGTTCATACCCCGGATTTCGGCATGACTAACCCTTTTTAGGAGAAAAGTAAAGTGTGAGTGTTTTGATTGAAGGTCCCGGTATGAGAACTATCGTCACTTAGACCCATTGAAGGTGATCAGAAACGGCCGGTTTGCTCTCGATGTCATGAAGGAGGGTTTGCATGCGTCTATTCGTCCTCCAAGAAGAAGCCGGGTCCAGCCAGAGGAACACGAAAGGCAGCAAGGCGTACTGCCAAGTCCCCAGCAAATGCTGCTCATTCATTCGTCAGTCCTGAGCACGGCAATGGCGAGCACGTGTCTTCATTCTTTTCCGATATCTTTGTTGCTTCTCCGGCGACAGGATTGCAGTTGAGCACTGATGCTGGCTTCTCAACGGGTGATAGCACCTCACAGACTCAGTCTCTCCTGTCAGGGTTAACACCGCTTGTCCCTTCACCTGGGCCATCCGTGTCTCCGGAGCTGGGGATTTCCCCAGAGATGCAGGCGAAGCTGTAAGTCCTGTCACGGACTATTGTTGTCTCAAGAGTTGACGATTCGGTGAACCTATTTTAGGGTGCATGACTTCTTTGACTTTGTTCATTACTCCATCCCATTATTTCGGAAAGAAGAATTTCTCCAGCAGTACGAGGACGGAACGATCAACCGTTCTGTTCTGCTGATTGTCCTAGCTGTCACGGCAAAGTCTCTCGGCCTACCGCAAGGTTGGCAGGTAGCTAATATCGATGATTGTCTTCAACGACTGTTGATGGCAGACCCGTTGGATGGCCCGACCCAGCCGGCCCTGTTGCTGGACGCGTTCCGGCAAAGCTGCCTGCTCGCATTTTATCGTTTCCACCAGGGTCATGGTGGGGATGCACTGGACTATATCAGTCGTCTCTCGCGCAAAGCCCTGCGACTAGGTCTGCATCAGCTGGATTCCACTGATCGATACGACTCATTTGGCGACGTCTTGGCAAGCCCGGCAAACCTGGAAGAATGGAGATATGTTTGGTGGTGTATCTACTGCTTGGACTCGTACTCGAACATTACGGCGGCCACCCCCTTTGTCCTGGAAAAGGAGAGCATACGGACCGCCTTGGTGGCTACTTCTCTGGAGAGTTCAGGTGATAGCCGCGTTGGTAGTCGTGTGACACAATTTCTGCCCACAGATACTAGGGACCTGTGGCGCATTTCAGAGGAAATGGGCTCCCTTAGTACCCCTGCCTCTTATTTCAACATGCACATCGTCACAACCACTCTCCTAAGAGAAGCAGCGGCTATTTTTCGGTTAAGGAGGCAAAACCCGTCAGAAGCTCTTCGAGACCGACGAGCTCAATTCGGAGATCATCTCTCGGCCGTAGTGCTTTCATTGCCTCCCCAGTTTCTCCGCGAAGCTCGCAACACTTTTGCCAACGAATCCAGTCTAGACCATCATGCACGGCTTGTCTCTCTACTTCATCTGCACGCGGCACGGCTTTTGAACACTATCACGTTCGATCTATCGGACGATTTGGCGTGGATGACGTCGTGGGAGCGATCGCTGGCCCTTTCCGAGGACATTGTGGCTGTCATCAGAGAATGGGACAGCCGGTACTGTTCGACTGTCGATCCAGCCATTTGTCTCATTGTGTTCTGTACCTTGATTCTACTCTACCTACATGAAATACACGAGGACACCTCCGGAATGCCTGCCCTTTCTGAGAGACTCCGCGCAGAGAGGAACATACTACTGTTGTTTTTSGAACAATTTGCCCGAATCTGGGCCCTTCCGAGATCACTCAAAGGTGAGTCCACAATCTATACTTTGATTTCATTTTCTTCCAACAGGGCTGACTTCTACCAGCTTCATTTGAAAAATTCACCAGTGCTGTCCACGGTCCCCTCTCCTCCCACGACATCGGCCAGCTCCTGATACAAGTGCCTGGACCCTTTCGGCCATGGAGGGGACTCCTTGGTCTCGCGCCAAATCCGCGGGACCCGTTGCTCACTCCACAGGAACCCGCGATTGACCTTTCCGGGCTTGATTTTCCCTTCGACTTTTTCGGTCCTTTATGATGCTTGTGTTCTAGGTGTTGAACGGTACCTTTGTCGGTCGCGTCCTTCATCTCCGGCAACACAATTATATGCCGTTATGGAGCAAGTATGGGACAACGCATACATTATACATCAATATAATAATATTACATATCAGCCAACATGACCTTAGACCAGAACGTTCCTATACCTCTGCATAAGGATCCCATCCTACCTTGCCTTATTCTCCCCAAAGTCCTTCGGCAGTTCAGGCCCCCAGATAGATATTGGCCCGACAGGTTCCCTCCGGGTGGGATTATTCTCATTCACCATGTCTCCATCCGCATAATGCTCGATCTTGAACCCACTGCTATCATACCAATAGTCAAAAATCTGACTGCCCAGGATATGCCGCCCCACACCCCAAACCGACTTCCACCMTTTCTTAGCAAGATACCGGTGCCCCATCAACTGCTCGTCAAAGTCGGCGACCTCGAACGAGCTGTGGTGAAGATACGTCTCGCGGACGTTTGGCGGTGCCCGCTGCATGAACAAACTGTGGTGGTCGGAATACTCAGCCCCCAGATCCAGATGCATGAAAGTCAGGACGTCGACGTGCGGGAACTGCGGGAGGTTGAGAATATCCGAGTGTACGAAGTTGAAATTCGAAGTGTAAAAGTCCAGCTCGGTTTCGAACTCTCGACACACGTACCCGTAGTGGCCCAGCTTGTGAACCAGCGCGGGGGCCTCGCGGTACCGCTGGAACTGGCCGAGACGTTTCTTCTGGAAGGGCGTGTTGTACGGCCCTTGCGACTCATGTGTCTCGGAGGGGGGCTGCTCCATTGTGGTGTCGACGTTGCGCTCGGTTTGCCCGTACACGACGTGGAAGAAGGTGCCGTTCGGCCGCGCGAAGGTGATCATCTTGCCGCCGCCGGGGGCCTCATCGAGGTCCTTCAGGACGGCGCCTGGGAGCGCTGCAGCTTTGTTGAAGTTGGCCTCGTCCTTGGCTACCCAGGCGCCGCCCAGGAACCGTGATCGGCCGGTCTGGCTCTGCGAGGCGACGTAGACGTATGGGTCTTTGCCGTAGCCTCGGTAGTAAATTGTGTTTCCCTTACGTTCTGCTGGGATAAAGCCAAAGTCCTTGGCGAATTTGTCGAATTTCTCGAGATCTTTGTGTTCGAAGTAGACGTGTCCGATGCGAGATAATTGGACTTTGGATGGGTTGTTGGTCACTGTAGGGATTGAGGACGGAGGGAGGAACCAGTCCTGCCATGATTTGGGCAGACGGGCAATCACGTCGAGGATAAATAGAGACATTGCTCTTTTGGAATTGCGATAGCTGCCTTTTTTACCAACGTTCTGTGTATTTAGGCCTGGTAGATGCAAGCTCAGCTGTTTTGTGTTTATTTAATCCTGGAATGAGGCCAGATAGACTGACAAGATGGAATAAAGAAAGCGGTCTATTTTTAAATTATATCTGAGTAGCTGAGACATGTGGGATCTATTAACCTCGCCATCCCATATGTTCCCGCGGGAGAATTCACAACTGTCGGACTTGGAGTCGGACATCAAGACTCGCCGCGGCACAACTTCGGACGTCAATCACTAACTATGCGGATGCGGCGATCTACAACCCACACAAAATGTCAACGTGTTTAAGCCTAGTGTGGTCTGCAGAAATAATTGCAGACCTTTGTAATGTACTTAACCTAGCAGTTACAATCTTCACCTTCTGCATTTACGTTCCGCAATGAATACTGACGTGGTTATTGTTGGCGGTGGCCCGTCAGGCCTGACACTAGGGCTTGCTTTGGCAAGGCACCAGGTTAAGGTAATTAGATGTATGTGACCACAGTCATCAAAGAAATCGAACTAATTCTGTTCAAGTCCATTATTCTTGAGAAAGAGCATGATATCACCCAGGACCCCCGAGGAGTCGTACTCACAGGTGATGCTCTTCGGAGTCTATGGACACTAGGACTGGGAAAGCACGTCTCCTGGATAGGACAGGGTAAGTGTTATATTTCTAGGCCTGCAGTCATTTCCAGAATCAGTACCTAATGTTACCTACMTGGTAGAGCTGCACTCCCTCAATTTTCACACCACTACCTATCAGAACGAGCCTTTCTATATAACCAGGCTTGACTCGGACGAGCTCGAACATGCTCTGCCGAGTACCATCTTGCAGAGTCAACCGCGACTGGGTAAGATTCGCACTGAACCTCGTATAATTGACGATGGATCAAGTCTGACTGGTTGCGCAGAGTATTTCCTCAGGCAATTGGTGGCCTCCTCAGAATATTGCACCCTCCAATCATCCTGTGAAGTTATTGGACGTGACGAGCACGTGAACGGGGTGACTGTCCACTACCTCGATAGCAACAAAACACCTAGCCAAATCCACGCCGCCTGGTTGGTCGGGGCTGATGGGAAAAGAGGCATCGTCCGCAAGCATTTCCTCGAGCCGTCCGCGGGTGTCCGTCAGGAATCCGGGATCTTCGAGTACGAAGGCACTTGGATAGCAGCCAATCTCAAAATCACTCTCCCCACGCCGCAAAGCCATCCAGATCTTCCTCTCTGGGCAGCTGGACATAATCCAGAGTCGGTATATGACCTCTTTTGGCCGGCGAACTGGCACTTCTGCCGTCCCCCAGGGAAACCCATTGCCTGTGGTCGATTTGGTCCGCATTCGGATCGACTGTGGCGTCATGAATTCGCGGTCCCAGAGTGGAATGACTCCATGGATGCAAGTGCCATTTTCTGGGAGAATCTGAACCCGCTCATCACCCGGAAAATCCGGCCGCTTCACGGCGGTTGTCCCGTGGAGGCGACTTTTCCTCGGGATTGTATTGAGGTTCTTCGCTGTCGTCCATTCCGCTTCAGTCACCGCGTGGTTAATAAATGGTTCGCCGAACGGACCATGCTGATTGGAGACGCGGCGCACGTCTTCCCGCCGTTTGGCGGGCAAGGGGTAGCATGTGGGGTTCAGGATGCGGTCGGACTAGCCTGGAGATTGGCGATTCTCACCAAGGTTGGCTCACTTGCCCACTCGCAGGCTCGACAACAAGGACTTCTTCAGTCCTGGGCGGATGAACGTCGATTGGGCACTGACAATTCGGCCCGACTGACCCGGCAAAACGGTGAGTTGTGTAACAAAGAAGACTCATGGTCGTTATCGGTGCAGCTCGCCTGCGTGAACATTATCCAGGGTTTCCTCGGGGCCCTGGGTATGCGATTCAGTGCGTTTGGGGCAGACAGCCAAGGGTACCGTGGTTGTGACCGTGGTGGCTTCACTACGGAGCACGGCGGAGGGATCAAGCTGGGCCAGGTCTATGTTCAAACGCGTCTTCCTGATAGCCCTACCCTGAAGATTGAGCTGTCTGACCAGGCGTTGCGCCGCGTTCCCACTGTTTTGACTCTTCTTGTCGTCGCAACCCCAAAGTGGTCTGAATCAGAGCAGGAAGTGGTCACTCTACTTCGGGTGCTTCGGCAGTCTGGAATAGACCCTGCTGTGTTATCGGAGAGATCACTTGTGCAGTTCGATCCTTCCGACTCCTTGGACCACCTTCCCGGTGTGAGTCGGTGGCCCGTTTGTCGTATCGCCTCTGCGGACCTTCTTATTGGCTACCCCGTCCGGCCAGGATATAGCTCCAGCCAATTCATGCGTCGCCTTGGTAACTCTCGCGCTCGATATGTGATTGTCAGGCCGGATAACATTGTTATTGCCATGAGCAGAGACCTAGGTGGTCTGAAGAATTGCTTGGACGCGCTGGAAAGGAGTCTTTCTTAAAAACCGATTGATTTCATCTGTATATTTCCCATCTACTGCCACTTCTTGCTCTTTTGTCTGCTCTTATCCTGCTGTAAATTATCTGCAAATTCTAGCATTACAAGAAGCATTCTTCATGTTCGAAGTGTGCATTTTCCTAACCTGCCACGGGACCTCGGACATTATTCCACGGTTGGCCTACTCTCTGACATACATAGGGCACCTTTTGAGGCATTACCAAGACCCACAGATTGGCAGACACGGAGTCTCGCCTTAATCCTTACTTTGATCGGTGACATGTGGTAATTCGTCTATTTCATCTTCAGTAGCATCGCGTCTTTCGTAATCGGCCGGCATTGTTTGCACCCCGACCAGTGCTCGACTTAAGGTCATTCATCTAGATGAAGACCTCAGGAGGAGATTCTTGCGAGTAAGATTGAATTATGGTGGCCAAATTTAAATGACAATATTTTTCTGGATAAATTCCTGGGACCGATCGGTCGTCGAACCCTGACTCGAGCCAAATCTGCGAGCCAAATCTGTGAGCTAGACGAAGTCGGTAGGCGGCATTTGAAGTCATGACGTCAAAAATAGATGTGCCTTCGTCTTAGCAGTGTAGGATGGTACAATATAAGCTAGCTATAGGGGTCTATTTTGATGACGTGGCCCTGTGGGTGGCATCGCATTGACCACTGAGCCAATCTGGTAGGTAATCGTGTGGGATATTTCTATTTTCGGAGATTGAAAATAGCACGCAAATAACGGGCGTAATGATGATATTTGACGGGATTCAAAGCTTCAGGGGTCAGTTTTCTTCAGTTATGGATCCATTTTGCCTAGGCTCACGAGGTGGGGCTGGGTGGAACAATCAAGCATGCGATAATAAATAACCTGAACATCTAGACACTAGCATACGCCCTACACTCTTAAATACCTTTTAAGGAAGAGTGGTTAGCCATTGCCACAAATCAGTCACAGCACATACTTCAATACAGGCACAGCACTCGAAGCTTCTGCCTTTCAAAGACAATCATGGATGAATCATTTATCCTGTCCGAGTTCGACAGGCTTGTCAATTCTGGCACAGTCATATACAATGGCAACCAAGAAATGTTTGAACATACTGATGGAGAGCTCAAGGTATGCTTCACGCCATGTTTGAGTATGTACACATCCCCACAGTAATCCTGATCATATTCTCCTAGTTCCAATTCTTGCTTACCTCTGCTCTTGCCAAAAAGCCAACAATCCAATTGAATCCATCAGCGGCAAATGGAATCGATGAGCTGGATCAGAAGAGAGAAGGAAGCGATATCAGTACTCATGGCTTTGAGATTGGCGAAATTAACACCTCCCACTTTCTGGTCGCCAACAAGTTCTCCTGGGCAAGGCCACATCTCATGCTCCTAACCTCTGACGGCTATCAGAGGCAATATGAGAGTCTCAATCTCGATGATATCAAATCTGTGTGGTCTCTTTTGTCAGCCTTAGACACAGACTACGTTGCCTTTTACAACTGTGGGCAGGATGGAGGATGCAGTCGATTGCATAAGCACCTGCAGCTGATTCCAACTCCTCCAAATCACTTTGCGTCCTTTCTTGACTCAAAGGACGGTGAGCCACCTCCAGTTCCGTTCGAATGGTTCTATCGTCGCTTGAATCCCAATGACTCGACGCCAGAACGCTTACTAGAGATCTATAATCATCTTCTCGAGCAGTCAACCAAGAAAGGGAAGGGTCTCTCTGAAAATTTTGGCACGGCTCCACCTAACGCTGCGTGTCCGCATAATCTTATTCTCACAAAACGTTGGATGGTGGTCCTCCCCCGGCAACGCGCTGCTATCAATAAAGAAGCTGGGGTCAATGCAATCGGGATGCTCGGGTATATAGTTGTTGCCACCCGGAAAGAGGTCGATAACTGGATACGGTTGGGGCTAACTGATTCTCTACGGGAACTCGGAGTGCCCAAGCAAGAACAAGCCTTATAGGCAAGATATCCATGCTGGCAGATAAACAGCTCCTTTCTCTTTATCTCGAGTTGTTCCTGGATAGGTAAATGCTTCAGTGAATTTTAAGTCCTATAATCACAATTTCTCGGAATTGTTTGACTATCTTGCCCAGTAGAATCATATAATAGAATGGTAAATGTGCAAGTCATGACAATCTGGTCATTCAACGGAGTCGAGAATTACCCATCCTATCCATTAGACTTGAGCGGGACGTACATAAAGTGTGTATTGGAAAGGTATCAAAACCGGAAGAACAAAAGCAGCCAATGGCTGGACAGGATATTCCTTCTAGATTAATCTTTATTAAGAAGTAGCTATAGCTTACTGGCCGTTGATAATCGCGTTCCAATCCGGCAAAAACGGTATCTCCGGCATCAATAGATTCAGAGCTGAAGACTCTATTTGGTCAGAATCAGTAATGAATTCGTGACCCCACTCGGGAAGGATGGATGTCCCATGATCTGCTACTGTCGTGCTGGGGGGTCGCGGGATCTCGGCATCTGGAAGTAGCTGGGAAGTAAAATACCTCCCACTGCTGGACAGCTCAACCCGGTTATCTGCGGTGGCCGTAGATAGCTGGGCATGCTGTCTCAATGACCAAGCTTGATGTCGAAGTAGCTTGAGAAATTTCCAAATCCTGCCGTGCCCATGCTCATCATGGATTGCCGCTGGATGACCCTGATGATTCGTTCCGTGAGGGAAAAGCCTTTCAACCAAAGCCCAGGCACGGTCCGCCTCGAACCCGCAAGGGCCGCTACGGAGGCAGCGCAGAACGTAGGCCAGGGCGTACCATTGCGTGTACATTTTGAAGAACCATTTGAACTTCCCAGCAAGACCCTCCAACAACGCAAGACTGCTTTCCAGCCCTTCACAGGCCAACTTGAAAGAAAGCCTGAGCACGTCGGGAGTCGCATCATTTTGCGCCTCCTTTTGCTTTCGCATGCAAATCTCTTCTCGTAGTTGCAATACGAACTCCATTTTCTTACAGGCAGTGGTGACATGTTGAGTTGCAATGCGCGGCAGATCAGTCGGTGTTCCAGACCCAGGTGAAATACCATATTTAGCTGACAGATATTGGGCAGGGTTTTGAATAATTTCGCGCTTTTCTCTTATATCAAGAAGAGTATCTGCGGAATGCTGTTGTTGAGTGTCAAGGATCGGATGTATCACTCGACACGACTCAGTTTGGATCAGGAAAAAAGACATTTCCGTCCATCTATCTGACTCCGCCGGGAAGTGTGTCATATCTGGGTAAATTTGATCGTCATTCACATTCAAGGGAAGTCGTAGTTCCTGGTTCGCGAAATCAACCGTGGGCTGAAACCCCTGGTCCTCCGGGGCACGAGAGTCAAGCACACATAGATGCCACCAAAGACGAAGACGCATCTCTGTCTCAAAGGGGCTCAGCCCGAGGGAGGTTCCGTCTCGGTGCAGGCCAATCGATTGGGCCAGCCGGATTACTAGCCCAGTGAGGACCCATACTCTGCGGCCAAGTTCATGAGCCCGCAAGCAGGTCTGGAGAAAACGCGGTAAGTTAGATGAACCAACCAACATGATCGATTACAGGGCCGGGCTCGGTACTCACCACATAAATTGCGAGAGCCTGTAAGCCCGCTATTTCAGGTCGACTCATGAAATCGGGCGTCACGAGAAGTCGGTCCAAGGCAGTCTGGTAGCGTTTCAAAAGGACCAGTTTCTCCCACGGTAGGTCAACAGGCTCGTCACTATCATCGTGACAGAGGGCCGTGACGGCGGCATAATAGATGGCAAATGTCAACGCCACCGTTGAGGGTTGTGCAGATCTGGGGTCCAGAATGGTTGCCACAACGGCAGACTGTACCGTTGGTATATGCAAGATTTTAAGGACCGGATCGACCGATTTAACGTACACATCCCATAATCGGAGGGCTAGTTGGGTATCCGGATAGAAATCCAGCGGCTCGGAGTCGTTGTCTAGAGGGGCACGAGCACCTGGCTGCATAGGGAGCCTTTGCTGCACTGTTGTATTCACCTGAAGGTGCGAAGGTGCTGTTTCCAAGCCGTTAGATTCCTGGTAAATGCGTCATACATTAGCTTGTCGGGTTATGTAGGGTCTCTTCGTAGAGGGAGGAAAAGCTGAACGACCTTAGGAAATCCAGGCTTACATCTTGTAGCAATGGCTCGATATCAGAGTTGTTCAATAATATCTCCCAAGTTGATTTGTTTGGGGGTCTATCGGAAAGATGCTGACTAGCAGTTTCAATTGCATTGACATTTGCACTATGTCGAGCCTGGGTTTGGAGTTCGGACTCGGCACGACCAGGACCGCGACCACCACCAGCACCATCAACTGCAGATCCCGTAGTGACTTCGCTACTCTCAGCAAAACGTGAGAGCAAAATCTCCAGTCGTTTCAGACGGTTGGAGATGTCTTGGAGAGTAGGAGTTTTCCGTCCCGCGTCCAGGTCCCTTGTTGGATACACACAGGTCATACCATGCCTCGAACAATTGGTGCAAGGTACTCCACGGTCACAGCGGACCTTTCGCTGATGACAGCCTTCACAGGACCGCATCGCAGGTCTGTTAGTCCGTGGGACCGATTTCCGGGATGGACGTGCTCTGTCATCGTCATCGGCAGAGGAGGCAGACCTTTTTGGTGCTCCAGTCATGGTGATTGATGTTCGATACTATTCAGTGCTCAGAACCTGGGGGGAAGAAGGAGTATTGATTCTAGCAGCGCAATGCTGGAGACCATGCTGACGGCAGGCTCCTCGGTTTCTCGGAACCGAGAGACCCGAACAGGGATTAATTGTGGTCTAGCGGGTCAGCCGCACTTGTGCTCGCACACCTCGCTCTCAGCGATCCCGTGAAGGTACGGTTCGATCGTGAGGACAACAAGGTCGGTGTCTTGTCGAGAATCGAGGATAATAGACAGCCGGCCGAAGCTGTAGCATTGGACCGGAGGGAAGGCAGGGGTGATGAATCTGGTTTGTTCGGCCTTCGGCCCCGCTGTGTCTTGACTACTCTTGCCACTGCTGTTAAGCTTGAGGGAGAAGCCGGTCTTCGATGCTACGTGTGGCTGGGCTGGCTTGAGCGAACGATCCCCATGATCAGGAATGCCGACTGGTGAATATCACTGCGCTGGAGGGCCGGCATTTATAAGTCCTCCGTTGCGTCGTCGTCCTCGTCCCGCACAGGACAAGATTCTGCTGCGCATACTCAGTTTGATATCGACACAGTTGTTCGAACTGCAAGGCCCTTAATTGACATCACCATGGAGAATAAGAATTCTGGCGCTGCCTTTGCTCCAGGCACAGATTCCAGAGCCGCTCCGAAACACGAAGCGCAGCCTGAATTCAAAGAGACCACGGTGCCTGCGGTGCGTTTCTGGATCCTCAGCGTCGGGTAAGTCTGCCCTAAATATTCCAACAACCACAGGACAAAGTACTCAATGTCTTTAAAAATCGCTTCAGAGTCTGCCTTGGGCTCTTCCTCTCCATCATCGACACCTCCATCGTCGCCACTAGCATCTACAGCATCGGCGTCGAGTTCCAAGACGTCCGCCGCGTCAACTGGGTCGTCTTGGCCTACACGCTTGCCTATCTCGGCTGCGCTGTGACCTTTGCTCGCGTCTCCGATGTGGTGGGCAGGCGGAACGCCTTTGTCGCTGCCTATATTGTCTTCTTCGCTTTTTCCCTGGGTTGTGGTTTTGCGCAGAGCCTGGGCCAGCTCATCGCTTGCCGGACTCTGCAGGGGATAGGCGGCTCTGGTAGGCGATGGCTCATTTTGCGAGGCTGTGCCGTGCTGATTTTGGCCAGGCCTTTACTCTCTTCCCATGATAATTTTGCCCGAGCTCTGTCCCGAGAATCTTCGGCAGTATATTGGCAGCATAATCGGCCTAGTCATCGCTGGGTCGGGGGCCCTTGGGCCTGTTCTGGGAGGTATCTTGACGCACTACGCCACCTGGAGATGGGTCTTTTGGATAAAGTACGTTTCCGGTCGGGCTTCCTCATTTGCAGCACTGACTTGTCATTGATGCTTGATAGTGGGCCCATTGGTTTCGTCTCCTTGATCATCTTCTTTCTCTCCTGGCCTAAAGCCGAACACCTGCCTTCGACGATAAGACGGTCTTGGAAAGAATTCGACTATGTCGGCTCCATTCTTATTATTGCCGCAGCTGTCCTGGTCGTTTTCTCCTTCCAAAGTGCGGGTGAGTCTCCAGGCACAACATGGGGCACCTCTCTCTTCATCGCGCCCTTGACCGTCGGCCTTGTCCTCTGGCTGGCCCTCCTAGCTTGGGGATACTTGGCCGGACGTGTTTTTGAGGACCGCCTCGCTCCCACCTTTCCCATCGGCCTATTCCGCAACAGAGCATACGCAGCCGCTGCGGCCTCTACGCTATTCCTTGGCTATCCCTATTTCATAATCAACTACGCTTTTCCGCTCAGGGCCCAGGTCGTGGATGATAAAAGCCCGTTGTTGGCTGGTATCATGCTGCTCCCCATGGTGGGCTCCACTGCTGTGGGAAGTATTCTCGCGGGAGTCTTGAGCAGGACTAAGAACTATCTTTTCGAGACGATGCTCGTTGGTGCTTGCCTGATGACTCTTGGGGTCGGACTACTTACCATCGTTCACGATGCCGGCGACGATGCCAAAGCGCTTGGTTTCATTGTCTTCGCAGGTCTTGGGTTTGGATTAAACGTCGCGTCCGCAACGATGCTCACGGCGGTCGAAGTGCCCATCGTAGATTATGGTGAGTTTCATCGACGTCCTCCCCCATCTGTCAAGTTACCCCGGGCTAATCAAATGCAGCACCCGCGCAGGGAATTATAGCACAATTGAGAATCCTCGGGGGCAGCCTGGGCATCTCCACCTCGACCGTCTTCCTGAACACCAAAACCAGCGAACTGCTCTCGGGGCTTCTGACGCCACAGGAACAGGCCACACTCGGTCACAGCGGAGCGCCGCTTTCGTCGGAGCAGCGCAGTGCAGTGCACCGAGCCTTCTCGGAAGCTTTCCACGACGACATGGTGGCTGCAGCGGCGGTATCAGGGGCGGCCGTCTTGGTGGTCCTCGGCGCATATCGTCGTGGGCGGATGCTTGTGACGGATCAGAAGAATGCCCGGGTCCGGGAGGAGATAGCGCGCAGGTCGGATCAGTATAAAGCTTCTGGGAGTGATTCGGCGTTGCGGATATGACCGCATGGGTCTATTGCTATAGACGATGATGTGGAGTTTGAGTCGACGAACTGGGCACCTGAGCATTCCGTGATTGACGTTGCGTGTGTACCGTCCGCCGTACCTGGAGGTTGTTTCCCATTGAAAGGCCTCTACAGCACCGAGTGCAACATCGTCTGGCTTCTCACGAGTTGGGAGACGAACTTTAGAGAGCGAAGGTACTTTGAAGAAAATGAGACAACACGATGATAGCGCTGAACTGAGACTATTCATAACTTTACATAAAAGTTTAATAAGATGGCTAGTTATTAGCAATGGTTCTGCCACAAGTTTGCAGGTACTGACAAGTGTGCAGGTACTGGTTGGGTAAGAATCTAGAGGCTCTATCTTCATACAGATTAGGGAATCTAACCTTGTTAGAAATAGGAGGTCTAAGTCTGAATAGCTGTCCCCTCCACAGAATCTACACAGCTTATGTTAATGCTTAAAGGCACACAAACCAGTCCTGTCAGATTTAGTAGGATTGAAATAGGAGAGAGAATGGTTAGAACAGTAAGGGATTGGTTCTATATACTCAAGGTCATAATGAAGGCGGTTTACAAGACAGCATATGGGAGGCCATAGCCAAAACAGGAAACTAACCAGAAAAGAAAAGTCACAGGTCCTCGCTTACATGATAAAAGAATTTATACAGATTTCGGAACGGTGATGACTCCCAGTAGCTCAACACTTATACCAGCCACAGACTGAACCGATACCACAATTTACACTTGATAAATTTCCATATAAAGGCCCTGGTTATCTCATAAGAGGAACATAATCAGTACAAGCGTTTGCCATCCCGGAGCAAGCAGCCCAGGTGATCGTCGACAGTCTTCGAGGTAAAAGGTCATCTCACAGCATATTGTCCTGGCCTTCTTCGAACGCAATTTGGTTTTTTAGCACTCCGAGACCGGTAATCTCGATCTCGACCGAGTCCTTATCCTGGAGAAGTTGTCGGGGGGACTGAAATACACCCACACCCGCAGGAGTCCCTGTCATAACAATCGTATGCGCTGGGATCGTGGTGCCTGAACAGAGAATTAGGCCACTTTGCTCGTAGTCTTCAATTCGGGGGTCGTTAGAAGAAGAGGCCCTTACCCTGTGACATCCAACTGAGAATCCTCGCCGGTTCGTAGATCATATCTGTGCTCACGTGAGAGTCCTGCTTGACTTGTCCATTGACGCGCGTCACCAATCGCGCTGTCTTCTGAACCTTGCCCCAGACGGAAGGGTGCGCCAGCACCGGACCAACCGGCGCAAATCTATCAAAGGCCTTGGCGTAGAAGTATTGGCCGCCGGACTGCTCGGGGAGCTGGAAGAAGCGGCAGGATAGGTCATTCCCGATGGTATAGCCCAGAATACATGACGATGCCTCTTCGACGGTGAGGTCTCGACATTCGCGCGAGGTCACGAAGCAGAGCTCGCCCTGTTATCCGCGATATAGGTATGATTAGTCTCATATCTGACAGGCGTACTAATGTACCCGCAATATTGTAGAGGCTACACAGCAAATCAGGACAGCACTCACCTCCCAGTCTGGTAAGTGGGACGCACAGAATCGGTTCATCGCGATTGTCTCGTCGGGACCGGCCAGAGCGGCGGCAGGCTTTGTCCACACTGGTGGATTGGCGGGGACATTCAGCTAATTTCTTGATCAGTCTCTGTTTGGGGACCATGTATAGTAACAAACTTACATTTGCTTCTTTTGCATGGCTTCTGTAATTAAGTCCGACACAGTAGATCGGCTGATCGTGTGCAGGGACAGGAGGCAGGAGCTGTTCACGATGTGAGCCTTGCATTCAGAAGTAAATATGATTTTTACGGGCTTGTTATACCTTGGAAATGGTGGTAATTGCACCATTTTTCTTCTCCTTCAGGTCTTGGAATGAACGATATGCATTGATTTGAGCCCCAATGGCGGGCTCTGTAGAGTCGATATCGGCAAAGAACCTGTCTCCCTTTACATCTGCGAAGTGGATCAGATATTTGAATTCAGCCATTTTCAGCGGTCTTTCGTTTCTTCGCTCGTTTCTTTTGTTGACACTGGATATTTCTGGAGGTATCTTGGGGCAAGGTTAGAGTGAGCAGGGAATGCAGGGATCTGTGGAAGGAAAGAAGGGCTTGTGCAAGTGTAAGAACATGAGATGGAAAGCTTCAGACGAATTTCTAGGTCTACTGATGCTGGTGGGAACTATGTTTTCCTCGGCTCCTGATGATGGTCCGTAACTAGCGGATAAGGTTGAGATTCTCCCGCGGAGGATCTTGGGGCGGAGCGGAGTTCAAACCCCCGAATCTCGATTTCTCAGGACTCGGACCAGACGAAATAATGTCACATAAAAATAGTGATCTGTATGTAAACCCGAGTGCCTGGCTTTAGTTTTCTAATTGGGTACAATGAAAAGAGAAGATCTCACCTAGTCAATCTACAGCCATGCCATCATCAGCCTACCACCTAATTTCATTTCTATTTACTTATACTTGCATATACATAATATTAATTTTACAATAAACCAGAATCTACTATATACATATATAATAAGCATAAATCTATTAGATGTTAAGGGGTAATTAGGGCATATAGGTATGTGATTTGGATCTAATGCTATTTAAAGGGCTTTCGTAGTCAGTGGCAATAATAGTGCCAAACAGGTGTCGTACACCTGCTGACCTGTTTTCTGCCGGACCATGCCGACCCTTTTCCAACACAAGCCAGGCTGCGAGCCCCGTATGGAAAGACATTCAAACAAACCTCTTAAGAAAAGAGAACAAAACTCCTTCACACTGAGTTGGGAAAACGATGACAATCATGGATAAAATCAAGTCCCTCTTTCATGTCTCTAACCGTTCCAAGAACGCCGAGTCTCGAAATCTGACCGACAAAAGGAACCCTGGGGATCGATCAGCTCGTGACAATGATGATTGGGACCCGTACAATGCCCTTAGCGAAGTGGCAGCTCCAGAACCCGTGCAAAGGCGCACGCCAGAAGAATTAGCACGCCGTCCTTCTCTGGAACAAGGACTTTCGCATATCTCGCACTCGGGTTCATAACGGCAAGGAATGTATTTATGGGATCTTGAGAAAACTTGCAGCACCAGGGCCCATCGAGAGGGTGTCCGCAAGCGCTTATCCGGCACCTTGGCGTGACAAAAGTGTTGGGATACCACAGTATTTCTGGGAACAAATTGCAGTCCTGAACTGGGCAATGAGCGACTATCTATTATGATGGTGTTCCTTTTGGACACGTAGTACTGGTCGGCTACATTTAGCATCAGTATTGCAACGGCGACTGCTCCTAAGGACGCCACTTAAGCACAACTTTTATTACTGGTTTAATTGAAACAAGTCCCCCTTGTATTGATATTCTCTTCATCTCAAAAAAGAAATTCAATCAAGTCCAAGAGCCAACGCAAATTACTTGGGCTTCTTCTGATATCATATGGAGCAAGTAAAGTCCACAAAAAGAGTGTAAAATCAGCCTGAAGAAAGCAGTGCCATATCTGCAAAGAGTCAATTTTTAAGAAGTCACTATTGTAAAAATCGTTGACGTATTAACACAGAAAAGAGCAGTGTTGCAAGCCATATTGAAGAGATTAAGCCAGGGTCATATGCGGCCCGCAGACGCCGTCCCCAGTCCCCACTACGGTTGGGGCTATCTACCCGTTGCTCCGGGCTCGGACCGTCTAAAGTTCAGGCTATTCGAGGGTACTCCACCCAGGCTACCCTAGCAAGCAGGTGGCCTGGCCAGGGTAGTAGTGAGTACCTAAACCAGCTATTCCATATCCATACTAACTGTTTGATATCCCTACGTAGTGAGAGCTCGCTAGACAAGGCCAATCATTCCTATGGCAACGATCACTCGAAAGTACATGAGCGTATCACCGGCTATCCGACGAGAAGGCTGCTCAACCCCTTACCCATCGGATAATTACAAGCATTTACATTTAGTTGGACATCGATTGAGAATGTCTCCATTCGACACATGATCTATTTCGCAGTGAGCTCATTTGTCATTGCTCCCTACCGTTTAACAATGAACGATGTTTAGTCCTTTAATCTGGCGGAATCAGCCCAGGGTTTATTTGACCAAGCCAGTGCCGGTCGTACTACCTACGCAATAGATTTAGTCGCCACTACTCGACGAATTTCCTATTAAATTCGGGCTATTGTGACGGATAGAGAATGCGCCAGAGCATTCAAGTTGCTCCAGAGTTGCATTATCATTTTCATTTGATTCTGTGGTGATATCAGAATCCGTACTGCTAGTGGCAGCTTCGTTTCTGCCCGAAGCAAGCAAGTCTATGCTCTTTGGACCTTCAAAGTGGACTATCTGCCGAAATGCTAACTAATCTTCTGAGGGTGTTTGTTTGTTTTCCCCTACTTTCAATCCTTTCATCATCCACTCGTCGTATAAAAGTTCCAGAGCTGTCGGTCGGTCTGCAGGATTCCACTGCAAAGCTAATCGGAGCCACCGCAAGAATCCCTCCTTGTCCTCCCCTCTAATGTTGGTAGCTAGACTCTCAAGTGACTTGCCAGGAATCGGAGCGAGATCTTTCCAGACGAGATCTTTCCAGTTGCCCGACGTGTCCCAGAAGACAGAGCTGAGATGGTGGCCTTCAAGAAACTCGGGTGGTGGGGAGCCTAGGAGTGCGACCAGTTCTGCCAGATGGACCCGGTCATCAAATACACCATCCGTGTTCCTATCGTCAACAAGGGGATGGGGGCTGACAATATCCCATGCCTTCATCTTGAGTATTAGCATATCTGTTCAGGTCGTAGCAGAGTGACTCTCGAAGAGTGGAATAGACTTACAACCATAGCGATATTCCAAATATCTACCTTACAATCCCAGTTCGACTTCAGAATAGCTTCAGGAGCTCGGTATGGGTTTCGGCATGATATCTGCCTTGTTCTCTCCGTCAGAAAACCGGGCTTCTCCGAAATCACTGAGAAGGGGTAGCCCAGATTATATACAAGAGCGAAGCTTAGCAATGAGAGCCATCATCGTGCACATCATAAGTGACACCATCATGAAGAGAAGTGTTAGAAACAGCTGACAATACCTCGGAAGACCCACTATTGGCGAAAGGTTTTTCATACTTTCTCATACTGAGGAGCATGAAGCATTATTCAGCGTGCAACTTTCCAGAGCATGAGGATTATTAGGCTGTTGTTGTCTAGAAGCAGCAGTACGCGACCAGTTGGCCGACCCTGCCCGACGGATTTACTGGGTGTGGGGGTGTGGGCCGTGGGCAGGCAAGGTGGGGCGCTTGGACATGGAATTTTCAGGTAGGGATTCGGGCGGATAATTTAATCAAGCCGTCACCGACCACGTTGCAGGAATCCTAAGCTTCCCAACATCCGCTGTGGTGGATCCCGCATCTCTAATGGTGGTCCAAGGTTACATATGCTGCCGTTGCATCATCAGATTTCTAAGTCATTCTGGAGCAAGAAAGTTAGTCCGACTGAACAACGGTGCTGCTTGGATATAGGAACACTCTTAATTCCAGCGGAGATATTATATATTTCCTCAACTCTGGGTTCTCAAGTCAAGAATTCTTATCTCAAAAGGCATTCGTACCAACATGTTGTCGATTAACATCCCTTCCTACACAAAACCGTCCGGCTACCAACTTTCCGAACTGCCCAAGCCGGAAGTTCAGGACCCAAAAGATGTCCTCATCAAAGTCCACGCTGCCAGTATAAATCCAATCGACGTGAAAAAGGCCGATGGTATCTTAAAGTTCCTGCAGAAAGACGCGTATGTGCACCCATCTAGATGGCTAAAAGATGCCTCATTCTGATTGACCCAGTTTTCCGTACAAGATCGGCTATGATTGCGCCGGTACAGTCGCCGAGATTGGATCAGGCGTGACGCGGTTTAAAGTCGGAGATGCAGTCTATGTTAGATTGCCGGAGGCGAGTCGAGGTACTGTGATAATCGACAGAGCTGGTCATCGTACCTGAGCTGATAAAATTAAATCTAGGGGCGTGGAGCGAATATGCCAAATGTCCAGAGGACTACCTCGCTCTCAAACCACAGTCGTTGTCATTTGAGAGCGCAGCCTCGATTCCATTAGCTGGAATGACAGCTCTGCAGGCGCTGAGGAAATATGATGGCGATCTTTCCGGAAAGACTGTATTTGTACCCGCTGGATGTATGATATACCCACTCATCGTATTTACGTTGTGTGCTAACGGAATGACAGTGGGCGGAACCGGCCTATACGCCTGCCAACTTGCAAAGCATGTTTTTAACGCCGGGAAGGTGATCACAACCGTCTCGACATCGAAAGTTGCCAAGGTGGACGAGCTCTTAGGAGAGGGAACCGTCGATCAGAGTAAGAAGTCGACCCCATAACTCGCCTTGCAATAACTGCTGACTCGATGCAAGTAATCGACTACAAAAAGGTCGACCCAAAGACTGCGATTGAGCACGGTACTGTTGATTTCTTGTTCGACACTGCCGGCGTCGCCATGGATTACCTTTGTTTGATGCGACCAAAGACCAGCTGGATTGTGTCTATTGCAACGGCACCTTCAGGGAGCCAAGTACAGGATTTTCTTGAGCGCCCTGTCCCAATTTATGTCAGACTCGGGCTGAATTTGCTGGATTCCATCCGCAAGATGCGCGCTCGACGCTACGGTGTCAACTATACATACATGTTCCTGCATGAGAATGGCAAGGACTTGGACGCGATGCGGGAATATGTTGAGGAAGGTAAATTAAAGACAGTCGTGGGCACTACAGTGGATATGTCCGATATTCAGGCCGTGCGAGCCGCCTGTCAGGTTGTATACAGCAACCAAGGGGGCCTTGGAAAGGCTGTGATTAAAGTTGCTCAGTCCGAGAATTGACCATGAGTACTTGTGATGTCTGTACGCATCAACAAACCCGAAGGTGATGATGGTACCTTTTTTGAAACTGTGCTGCGGAATGTTTCGCTTTGCTTTTGGTCGTCATTAAATATTTTTGTGACTTAGTCAACTTGTATACTACTCTAATTCCATAATATATTAATAAGTAGTTGCGTATCAGAACCATTCACAAATGCCAGTAATAGAGCAATTTCCCTAGCTCTAGTGAGGAAGTATCAGGCGCTACAAACGACTGATCCTGCTTGATCTTTGTTGTATCGTACTCGACACTGCATATGTTCGCGCGATTAACCCTCAATGATTTTGCAGATAATCCGTCAGTGATCGAGCCTAGAACTACTAGGTTGACATTGCTACCACCGCGTGGTGTATGTACGGAACTAGACCCTCCAGAACCCGCCGACCGGCAATCTAAGATCCCAGGGGATATATCGGGATCTCAGGCCTCCCGAGAATCGGTTCTCTCGGGTATCGGAACGCCTACAAATTGTAGACTGCCTCTATCGTCTCCTGTTGTGGTAGGTTAACTGTTCAACTTCTCTCGAGTATGAAAGGCCATATTGGGCGGCCTAGGTGGTGCCTCGGTACATACCCAGGATCCACTGACAAGCCCTAGGTTCGGGGCAACAGTCTATCCGTGTTTGCCATGTGGGGAATTAATCAGGGACCTACTCCGTACGATCTATAGTTTGTCCTTCTCATACAACTATCATTTGGAGATCTTGACTAGCTCGATCAAGACAAGGTTGCGAGTGTTCAAGAACACTTTATTTGCCACCAAATGCGAAGAGGGAAAAAGGGATGAGTATGTAAATATTTATATAGCGCTGAGTCACGTGACCATTCGTATTAGTTATCTTCGCCGCTCCCCCCTTGTTAGGTAAGGTACTCACCAATATCATCGTTCCGTCTCATTTGGCTTCACAGTAGGCCCGAAGATATATAAGTCACTGCAGAGAGTCAATGCCTCTTGATGTATAGAGCTCTAAATTTCGACAGTTTTCGTTTTATTATTTGAATTCAATCGAATACATAGAAGAAACAAGAGACAAGAGGAATAACACGACCCCGTGTGATAATGGCAGGGTTTGTTACGGCATTCCTAAATCCTTGCAATTACATAGGAGGTGTGAGTTTCGATCCTGAACGAGATATACCAGACTTGTCAGGCAAAGTTGTTTTGGTGACTGGAGGTAGGTAGTGCTCCTTGATTTTTATGAGCGTCGGCGGGGAAGGTTCTAACGTTTCTAGGAAATGCTGGGCTGGGGAAGGAATCCATCCTCCAGTTAGCGAAGCATAACCCGGAGAAGATATTCCTTGCAGCACGGTCAAAAGCAAAGGCAGAAAGCGCTATTAGCTCTATCAAAGGCCAAATTTCGAATAACGTGAACATTACATGGCTTCCTCTGGATCTGACATCCGTTCAATCCATCAAAGATGCAGCCCAGCAATTCTGCGAACAGTCATCACGGCTCGATATCCTAATGCTCAATGCAGGTGTGATGGCTCTTCCACCAGGGGAAACAGAAATGGGTCATGAGATCCAGCTTGGCACAAACCATACTGGCCACTTCCTTCTGACAAAGCTCCTGCTCCCAACCTTGTTGAAGACTGCTCAGGAGCCGGATTCAGATGTGCGAGTTGTCTCATTATCTTCAATTGGACATAATCTCGCACCACCTTTTGAGTCCATCTTGGACCAAGACAAGTTGAAAAAGGTCCATACAAACCTTCGATATGGCGCCTCCAAGGCAGCCAACATTCTGTTTGCTGCTGAGCTCGCAAGACGTTTTCCTTCAATCACTTCTGTATCCGTCCACCCGGGCATCATACTCACAGACCTTTACAGCCCTTCGAGCGAGCACTCTACTGTCGCTGCCTTGGGTTCGAAATTTCTAGGCCTTTTTGGAACGCCAGTCCATGCAGGAGCTTATAACCAGCTATGGGCGGCCGCAGGTGCGAAGAAGCAGGAGCTCGTCAATGGAGCATATTATATCCCAGTGGGAAAGCTCAAGGCTCACAATAAATACGCCAAAAACGAAGAGCAAGGGCGCCGTCTCTGGGACTGGACTGAGGCTGAGTTACACAAGTTTGGAGCGTTTACTTGAATCTTTCCCAAATCTCTCTGTCCACTTTGCCTTCCCTTTTTGGATGAATGTTTAACTATATAGGATGTCAATTATAAAGTATACCTGACAGACAAGCTTTGCATTTGTAAGTTCCTCTTGTAACTAACTTGTATCCGCTATTTCCGAACAGGACTTTTAATCGCTTACCTAAATTTCTAGAAGGCTTCATTCTTTAATTTCAGTTGCTTCAGAAACTAGGAGCTTAGGGTGCGATATGGGCAATGGTGTACAATTAGAAGAGTTACTAAGCCAAGCACTAATAACTGCAGTGGGGCTTCAAAAGGATTGGAACCCCACCCTTTTTTCCCGCTAGAATCACCACTTTCCATCTCTAACTATTCTGGGTCCTTTTAAGCATCCCCGCGTTTCTGTCTGGTACCAGAGATCATTGTGATCAGACAGCACGAAACACATCAATATTCCGCACAACCACCGTTGGAAGCGTCAACCAGAGCTTGTTAGCCATCTAGTTCTATTGAAACTCCAGATAGGTCCTCATCCACTACCAAATCTGCGTTGTCTACCATGCCCCGCGTAAAACGGAAGACCAAGGCAAGGGCGCTCTGAGGCCGTTCTCTACTGTTACAACATCTGACCCTCCTACTAGGACGAGGACCTCAAGCGGATCCGTGACAACCAGCGCAAATGTCGGCAACGAAGGCGTGACTACGTGGCCGAACTGGAAAGCAAAATCGCAACTTATGCAGACGCTGCCGCTGAGGCAGATAAGAGGCGGCAGGCTATGGAGGAGACCCTCCGCAGGGAAAACGAGGCACTGCGGACCCTGTTGGCCTCCAGCGGCTTCGACCACCATGCCTTGGAGCATTATACGGCCGAGAAGCATCAAGAAGTTATCTTAGACGAGATACGAACGAGTCTCAGCTTCGCGGCAAATACTGTGACGACCACCCTTGAACCGCCCTCTGACTCGATGGTCCCGCAGTTGCCGAACGTATGACTATCTGACTATCCACCGCGTGCACAAGATGTGTTCGGTGCCGCTTGCAGAAGGCATGACTGACTAAACATATGTCAGGTTACTCCTAGCTTTGGATTTACCACTACGATACGTGAAGTCGCAGATACTGGACTTGCGGCGCCTTCGACTGTCGATTTTACGCCCTGGCAATCTACAGATCTTCGCACTTGCCTGGACTTTCCGGTACCCACTCTACATGAACCGACTGTACTGGACAGAGAATCGCAAACCCGTCTGCTTGGGCTCCTGCCTCCGACCAATCAGAGTACAACCGGTGTTGATATCACCACAGGATTACCTGATCCTATTCTACAAGACACAACACTCTGTGCTGTTGCCATTCAGATCGTCCGTCAGTGTAATAAGAAGGACCTAAGCATGGTGGAGCTGGATATTAAGCTCCGTCCAGGGTATAGGAATGCTAGGTCTCCTTTGGAAGGTTGTAGGGTCACTAACTGGGTTTTACTGATGGTCCTTGCCGAAATTATACAATAGTCCCATTTGTTTCTTTGCTCACTCTTGCGTTACTCTTATGAATGAATTATTTAGTAAATTCATTGAAGGATCATCGACATAAGGTGGCCAATCATACCAAACTGAGAGAAAAAAAACACTGCTGAAATAATAGGAACAGATACGAAACCGGTGACATATCAATAATCTTTTTGCTGATTGATGCTTCGGGAGGGGTAACGAATATGGTGACATACCAGTTATACGGCTGGCCAATCACCAGGTAACTTAGCCGTGCCTCACACATCGTGTTGCTCCCGATGTACGGGATTCCTGACTTTGGCAGCTGTATAATCTGGCTTAAACATAAATACGGACTGACTTCCTCTTCCCTGCTTGCTATCGTAGTTTTGAATCAATTCTGTGTCAAAGGTCGCCGTGTCTCTTTCCTTTTTACTTCACCTATCCACTATCTAAGAGCGTTGAAGTTGCCAGATAACAATCGTCAGCACACGAGGCTGTTGAAATGGCTGAGGATACCTATCAACAGGTCCAGTCTCGCTATGGTGAGATCGCCAAACGCACAGGCGTCACAGTCCATGACAAGGAAGACGATATCGCATTAGCGTTTGGGTACAGCGCGAAAGACCTCCGTGCTCTTCCAGACAAAGCAAACCTAGGACTGAGTTGTGGTAACCCAGTGGCACATGCCAATATCAAGGAGGTACCTGATCCATGATATGTGGTTGTAGACTCACAAATTCTAACTCTTTGACAATTGAACTAGGGAGAGACAATTGTCGACCTCGGAAGTGGAGGCGGCATCGATGTCCTTCTAGCCGCTCGCAAGGTGGGACCAGAAGGAAATGCCATCGGGATTGACATGACGAAGGTTAGCTAGCGATTCTGTCGCCTGAGGAGCTACGAACTAATACCTCGACCAGGATATGATTAATCTCGCGAAGAAAAACGCCGAAGCAGCTGGCCTGTCCAATACACGGTTCATTGAGGCATCTATCACCTCGATCCCGCTTCCGGATGCCAGTGTCGACTGTATTATCAGCAACTGTGTTATCAATCTTATCCCATCAAAGGATAAATACTCTGTATTCCAAGAAATCGCTCGCTTGCTGAAGCCGGGTGGAAGGGTTGCTATCAGTGACATCCTGGCTAGGAAGGAGCTCCCATCGAACATCGTTAACGATATAGCTCTCCATGTCGGGTGCATTGCAGGGGCCAGTCAGGTTACAGAGTATGAGGAATATCTCCAACGCGCAGGATTCAAAGGTACATACTTCGATTCCACCCATATATTGCTCTTCTGTTACTGACAAGACTTCAGATATTCTGATGATCGATACTAAAGCAGACCTCAATCTCTATAAACAGTCCTCCTATCTAGGTCAGAGTAGTTGCTGTGGCCCGGCAGAGTCCCGCAAAGAGTGGCCAGCTGAATATACTGAGATGGACTTCAATGAATGGGTTGGTAAGTTTTCCTCCAAGTCAGTACTGCTTAGATGGAGACATTGATCATCTGTACAGCCTCGTTTCAGATTTATGCTGTCAAAGATAGCAGCGTCGTGTAGGACGGGTCTTAGAGTGCTGGGGTCTGCAATGAAGAATTTGACATACTTGATATCGAGCGATTCAAGCTGATTATCTAGTTCTTTCGCTCTCTTCCGGTTGTCCTGAATTTCACGCTTATTATGAAGTATTCTTTTAGCTAGAGGCAAGCCATAATATTTATCGTCAACCGATCTAATCTTTCCAACCTAATCGCTTTGCCACAGCTTTCACGGCGTAGACAAGTCCCAACAGCACTGGGACCTCAATTAGTGGCCCCACTGTGGATGCAAGAGCCTGGTTGCTGTCCGCTCCAAATGTCGCAACAGCAACAGCGATAGCCAGCTCAAAATTGTTGCTAGCTGCAGTAAAACTCTGTGTTACCGCCAACCTATACCCAAACCCCATCTTATATGTGATAAATAGTGTCGCGAAAAATACGACGGCGAAGTAAACAATAAGAGGAGCCGCAACCCGGACAACGGAGACGATCTGATGCACCACTTGGCGGCCTTGAGAAGCGAACAGCACCAGGATGGTGAACAAGAGACCGATCAATGACCATGGGCTGGCCCACTTCAGGAAGACTTCATCATACCATCTTGGGCTTGCAACCCATCGAAGAGTGAAGCGCGTGAGGATTGCGGCGCCTAACGGGATCCCAAGGAACACAGCCACACTTTTCGCGGCAGTATCATATTCAAATGCGACGGAATCGCCGCTGATAACTCGAATAAAAAAGACCCCCATAGGGGCGAATAAAACCATTTGGAGGATCGAGTTGACAGCAACGAGGATGGCACAGTATTCACCGTCTCCTCCTGCTAATCCTGTCCAGATTAAGACCTAGTGACAATGTAAGTGCCAATACGCATAGGGATAGGTAGAACTGTTGTGGACCGCTTGGAAATGCCTACCATAGCAATACACCGAGCCAGTCCAACCAGGATCAGCCCCTGCCGCAGCTCTGGCTCATCAGGCAGAAACGCCCAAGACAATGCCAACTGAAAGGATTCCATGTCAGCCGGTGATCTATGAGCGACAGCCAGATCAACCTACCATGAAGAACGGGGCTATAATCCAATTGACAAATATGCTAAAGGCAATCTGTATCCAAATCTGACGTGTCCGGAAAACAGAATGCAGGCTCTCATATCGAACTTTGCATAGAATGGGGTACATCATGACAAGAAGGCCGATAGCTGCCGGGGAGAATTAGTACATGGGAGGGCACTATTTGTCGCCAGGAATACTCACCAATTGGGACGGAGACCCCTACAAATTTCCCTTTTTGCAACGCAGGCCCGGTGTTAGATACAAAGTTACCAAGAATGATTCCAATTGCCATGGCGAGGAAGATCCACAAAGCAAGGAATCGGTCGAGTATCCCGAGATTTTTGAACGCAGATTGCTTGCATTGGGCCACATCTGGTAAACTCGGTTCTCTCTGCTTTTCCACATCAGACGCTTGTCCTAGGGATGGGTTGGCAACGTCAGGAATCCTTTCCGGACCTGCTCGAGACATCGTGATCTGTCGTCCTCTGACGATCGTGAAGGGCTTGAGGTTTCGAGAAACTGAATTCGTCGTGATTCATTATCGAATTGGCGGGACATGCAGGCAAAGATATATACTGATCGCTGTGGTTTCTCCTGCTCATCGTTTTCATTTGTTTTTTGATTCACCGTGGCGGAAAGTTCTCAGTTTGAGTGTCACTGGTAAATGGTGATTGGACGTTACTCCGGTGCCACTGTATGGTGACCACCGTGTAATATTACCTTAACTTATCAATCTATCGCATCCCGAAAAGTTTGATCAGACGTTCACACCAGTGTCACTAGCAAGTGCTGATTGGCCAGACTTTGCCCCGCTAAACAATACTGTACTAGGTAGTCAGTTCTTTGGCACATAACAAGTCTGTAATTACCTGGTTATCACTTGAGAATAACCCAGAAGCATCGACTTGAAGCGTCACCAAAATGGCCAAGCATTGCTATGCGCGACCCAGATACTTTTAGCTTACATATCAGTGTAGGTCTCAGCCCATCTAGTTCCTAAGTAACCTTAAGAGAGCGCGTGCGATTTTTCTAATCTCTTCCATCTTCCTTCCCTTACCTACCACAATAATATTCGTTATTCAAATACTGCTCCAAAGGGCAACCTCGCTTCGGGAAATACTACCTATTAATGTCCTAGACGGCATAAGAACCTCCTKACGAGTCCAATCGCGAGCCATCATGTCCGACAAGCCTAGTGTCTTGTTCGTTTGCATCCATAATGCTGGCCGCTCTCAAATGGCCGCTGGATACCTTACCCACCTTGCAGGCGATGCTATCGAAGTTCGATCCGCTGGCTCAGCGCCTGCTGACTCAATCAACCCCATCGTTGTTGAAGCTATGCGTGAAGAAGGCATTGACATCACCGACCAAAAACCAAAAATTCTAAGTACAGATGCTGTCCAGGCCAGCGATGTTGTTATCACCATGGGCTGCGGCGATGCTTGCCCATTCTTTCCGGGCAAGCGCTACCTCGATTGGAAACTCGATGATCCCGCCGGGCAAACCCTTGAAGCTATACGTCCTATCCGTGACGAAATCCGACATCGAGTCGAGAAACTTATCAAAGAGATATTGCAATCCTGTTGAACCTCGTACTTCGCCATCATATAGATGTACGCTGACATGCGAGACTACTGCCTACCAAAAGCTGCATGCCGCATTGCTGTTACCAACTATATGATTCAGGGGCCCAGGGCTTTCCCGGATATACTTCTAGGTCAAACACCTACAACGAATGTATTTAGAAATACTAGGGTCAATTCTTCCTTAGCCACTAGCAGCATATCATTGTTGTAAAGACAGTGTCTCTCCTCTAGTCTGCTATAACTTAAGGGAGTCATCGGTTAACAACTCCTCTAAATGAGCATTATGATGTTAATACTTGCAGTGAACCCGTCTTCTACTAATCATGTGCCACTCCCATTGCTATCCACTTCATCATACAGGTAATAAATAAGCCGGGATTACCTCTTTAAGAACAATGAATAGGCCAGGTCTACGAAACCATACATCAGCTGTTGTGGCAGAGACGCCTGTAACTGAGCTTAGTTTCTTATCAACCTAGCACAACATCACTACGAACTTCCTGGCAATAATAAAGGTATACGCGTTCTGGACTACGATTATTGGCTGACTTCTAGTCAGCAAGGAGACAACAATGCCCCAAGCATGGATAGAAATGCATGTTTATACAATTAGTCATCACATTATATGTAACACGGCACTATTCTTCAGTCAGACCCCCTGTGGTCATTTTCGGTTTACCAATGATCAATGGCGATCTTACCCAAATCGACGAAGGGTAGGAAAGGAATGCGCGAAAGTATTAGCAAAACCTAACCTTGTTTGTCTAAGGTAGGTTAAAGTAAGAATATTTTGGATAATAACCACTGCTTGAGAAATCAAGCATTGGTAGAACAGCCTCTCATGAAGGGCAAAAGAAAACTCCAAATTGAAAAAATAATTACTATCCGCTGGTCAACTAGACCCTTCAAATTGCAGCCTTGACGACTAAAGGCTCCAACTTGCTGTGAATATAAGATGAATTACAAGTCACAAACATCGATTTGAAGGAGGATTTGTGTTCATCACCATACATAGCATTTAGTATGGTTCATATTAAAAACTCATCTGGAACCTCTAGGAAGCATCAGTGAACTGCTATCCCACCTGCGTGAAATGCTGCAAAATCACCGGTTCGAAATCGGCAATGATTTGCTCTAATCGACCATCTGCCATCGTTGCCACGGCATCCCTTCCAGCTTTTGTGTGCTTCTCCAAAGGGCCAAGCCTATGAGCAACAATGATGACAGTGTGACCCTTTTCGGTAAATTCATCGTCAATGATACGATGAATGGTGCTTTCCGTAACTGGGTCGAGGGAATATGTGGCTTCGTCCAAGAGGACTATAGGCTTCACTCCAGAATCTCGTAACGAGCTAGCTTTGACAAGCGCTCGACAGAGTGCGAACAGTTGACTCCGTCCTACAGATAGCTTCCGAAACAGTGAGACCTTCTGGTCAAGCATTGGATGACGACCAGAGCCTGAGATGTTGAGAGCGGTAGCTGGCTCTCCCCCAGAGTACGTGTGGCCCTCGAAGAAATGTGACCACAGTCCGGCTTTGTTTAATGCAGCAACGAGGACATCATCTGGCATTGACCCATCGGGGTCTAGGTTAAACCGCAAGGTCTCGTTGGGCAACACTAGAGGCTCTTGGGAGACCGCGACAAAACACCGTCGTCGTAGTAAATCTAGCCTTACATGCCTGATATCAATGCCATCGAGCTCGACCTGCCCGGACTCTGGCTCCAGAAGCCGTAGGAGTGATAGGAGTAACGTGCTTTTACCACTAGCATACGTAGTGAGCCGTCGCATATCTCAACTGTATTTTATGTAGAGACTCACCTGCCTGTACGCCCGCACACGATGAGTTTCTGGCCTGCGGTAACATCCAGGTTAAGATTCCGTAGAGCAACCGAACCCGGCCTTGATGGTGCACTTATCAGCTATTGGAAAGAGCGGTATTGGGCAGAATACGTACTCGTAAGATGCAGTGACATTTTTGAATTTTATATGTCCCCTGGAAGGCCATTTTTCCGGGGGTTCCAAGTTCCAGCTTCTTCCACCCTCCACCGCGGTCGTTTCTTCAAGCCTTTTCAATCGAGCAATGGCACCGAGAGAAGTCTCTAGTGTAGTCCAATTCTCCACAAGCTTTAGTAATGTCGAGCTTGCTACGAGCATAACGTTGAGCGCGATTCCAACTTGTCCACCGCTGACATGCCCTCGAAATGCTACAGCTACCGCAACAACACTTGTTGCAACAGCCGCACCCAAAAGATCTAGGACCAGGTTGAGCCATCTCTGGAGGCACAAACGGAGAAATTCTGGACGTTGGGAGTTGTCGATGCTTCGCATATTGTCCTGTATTGCAGCCCTAGACCAACCAAATGACCGTATGGTTTCGAGGCCCTCGATCTGGGAAATCAGTATCAGCTGGTTACAGCGATCAAACTTGAATACCTACACATTCCAAAAAGCTCAAGAAGACCCCTGCGCGGGACTCCAGCTCCAAAGACCGGAGTTGTCTCGACGTCCGAAGGTAAACTTTTTGAACGACATACACCAACAGCATACTGGCTGGTAAAGATACTGCGAGCCATTTTTCGGCCATGCAAAGAAGTATGATCTGCATGAGCAGCTTGAAGATTTCTGGCAACGTCGTTACCTAAAGGCCTTTCCTGGAGGGATTTGATACCTACGAGTTAGAGCAGTTTGAAGCGCTGATGGCAGCTGTTTATCAATGAGCTGGATGTCTTGACTAAATCTGAAATCATTAACATTAATAGGACCATGCGAGCATACACCCTTACCTGTTGAGGATTGAGCCATTATCGGTTTTGGAGAAATACGACAGAGGCGCGCTAGGTATGATTAGCCTTCTCTTGGATCGGGTCTTCAATATAGGGCATAAAAACCTCGTTACGATGTGCAATAGACGTTGATGCAACCGCGACCCAGACTGCGGAGCAAGTCTGATAAGAATGGACCTATTGGATTGTCAATGACGATTCACAGCTGCTATCCCTTGGAAACTTACCACATCTGAGCGCTGGTCGAGATCCATGACAAGCTTGATAGAAAGAGGAATCCGCCAACATAGAACGCAGTGTTTCTGCCACCTAGCTCTGTCCACAACCGAAGCCAGTACTGCGGAATAGTGATGAATAAAGCATATGATGCGGTGCTGGTGATAAGGAAGAAGATGTTCATAAAATCAATGGAGCTCAAGTAGTAACCTATGCTCCTATTAGTCGCATCCATGTATTTGTGAGGGGAAATTACCATATAAAGCGGGATCTCCGGTCTGTCGTGCCAGGTCTATTTCAGTTTCATCTTTTGCTCGTAAATGGGCGCTGAGTTCATCAGAGTTCGCCGACAGGACGGCCTTGTCCCTGGTGCGATGGCCGGAAGTGAACTTCGCTATGGATGCAGCTTTTACCCTGATGTCCTGCCAATTCCCTTGATCTATAATCCGGTGGTCTCCCAGAACCACGACGTGATCCGCAGCTTGGAAATACTGGGCTATCCCGGAGTAAGCCAATGAACTCAAGACTCAGCATAAACGAACTTACACGAATTACAAACGAGGACTACTGTGGTCTCCAACCGTCGGGTTAGGCCTGTCACCCCGAATAGGTTATCAAAGATGATTTGCTCTGTTTCGCCATCCAGCCCACTGAAGGTGTCATCCAGCAGAAGTATGTCGCATTTTGAAAACAAGGCACGCGCGAGTGCCTGCAATTATTAGCTCCGCCCATACCATCAATTCCGAAACTTACTACCCGCTGCCTCTGTCCTCCAGATAGATTGAGCCCCCCGCTGCCAATTCGAGTTAGATCTCCATGGGGAAGGGAGTCGAAGTCATGGGTAAGACAACACATATTTGTTACCTCATGATACCATCTTTCGTTATCTGGGTCACTAACATTGTAAATTTCAGTAGCACCACGAATAGCCTCTTTGATAGTACCATTAGGGAGCCACGGTTTCTGAGCGCAATACGCTATCTGTCGTGCTGATAGACTTATTGTCCCTTGGACAGGGAGGACTTCCCCAAGAATGGCGCGCAACAGAGTCGATTTGCCGCTGCCAGTAGGGCCCGATATTATCGCAAGTGACCCAGCAGCTACTTCAATGTCGCTATGCTCTAAGACAGGCGATTTATGTCCAATTCTCAATTGTCGTATTTGAATAGCAGGGTTAGAATTTTTCAAGTGGCCATATGCCAGGTTCCGGGAGGACCTGTTCGTAGAAACATTCGGCAATGTTCCGCGATGATCATCTAAAGATTCCCGGAGCAGAAATTCTTGGATCCTTTCGAATCCAGAGAATGCCGTCGCTGCGCGCGGCACAATAGTCATGACCATATTTGCAGGATGCGTTATCATGCTCAAGATGGCCATGGTAGTGAAGGCCGTTTCCGTCTCCAGGTGGACGCCACGAGCAACTGATATCACAGCATAGATAGCGAGGGTAATAGCTGGAGAGAATATCCCAAGGGCATTGGCTATAGTCACATCAGCTTATATGCAAGTGTCAACTTTATTCAGAGCTCTGGCATACCGGAGGCGTTATAGTATACCATTATCCACCCAAGTTTCGACGCTGTCCGGAGCTCAGCTCCGCGGAGCTCCTGAATGCGACGGGCGAAATTCTGTTGGAGTCCAAGCATCTTGACGACTTTAATTGCGCTTAGCATAGAGCTTGTAGCTGCTATGCGGTTTTGGGTTGCGTTGCTCCAAGCCTTTTGGCGAGGTTGTAAATGCTTTGCAGCATACCGACTCATATATGAACATACTACACATATCAGCATCAAGGCAAAAGATTGCGAAATACACTTACAGTAAATCAAGAAGAGTGGAAGAGGCCAGATCCAGCCAACTTGACCAGCTAGAAGTCTAATACCAATCAGCACCTCAATGACCTGGGCCCATGTTTCGTGGACCATTTCAGCGATCCCATCGAGACTCTCAGCATCACTATTCATGAGTGTGGTGGCCTCGCCGTTATCGTAAGCCTTGCTAGGTGACTTCATAATCTTGTCATGAATAAGCCCTACGAGGGCACTCCTAGTCATAAGCTTCAGCCTGTTTATACGATGTTGGTACATGGCGGTTGACAGCTAAGGTTGAACGTTAGCACCCAGCTAGAGAGGGCGAGAACCGATCTTACCGCAAGGCAAACATAAATGAAGAAGGCTGATACCACAAGCCAGAACCCACGGTTGCCTTCTGTGCCAGCATGGTATTCCACAACGTATCTGATACACTCCCTGACCATGATAGGCTGAGAATAGCGAAAGACGATCAAGAATAAGCGAGGGAAGACAGCAACGAGAAACGGTTTCCACAGGCATTTGATCAAAGCGATAGGCAAAGTCTTGTTAGTTTCGGGCTTGGCTAGTCTTGTGAGAAATAAGAAGATAAGTTCAAGGTTCCTGACTAACCCCGCTGAGACCACGCTTGCAGCATTGCCTTTCTTGTGAACTCTGGCTTCATGTCTTTAGTGAGGGGTGGCGAATCCTGGTTGATGAGGATATTCCTGTAACCTCGAAGAAGAATTGGATTGATCCATGTGAAAAAGAGTCTACTAAACACACCGTAGTGTTCTTCAGGAGACTGGTGCTTATTGAGATCACTGAATGCTGGGCCCCCATCGGTGCAACATTCAAGTACCAGAAGCGCCAAATGCACGCAGCAACGAAGAAGTACTGGATGCGAAGTATTCGCGTCGCTAGCGATCTTCGAACGCACGGCTACGTGAATAGCATCGCAGAGTATCGTTGCGAGAAGATATAGTGTAGCGAGATCTGAGGATCTATGAGAGCGCTGTTGCTCCTGGAGCAGAAGAATGCTCAGTCCCAAGGCAGCAGGTACAGAAGCAAACAGTGAGGCCAAAAACAAGGTTTTGTGCTGCACATGCGAGTTTGAGATTTTTATGTAATATGAGACCAATATGACCGAGAGCAATACCCCAAGAGCCTAAGCCATTATGAGATATAGAACTTGGAACCTCGGAGAGGAGAAATACTGACGGATTTGAAGAGTCCTTGGCAGCTTGGAGTGCAACTGATGCTCGAKTTACGAAGCTCCCAGAGTCTGACAGGGAGGATCAACAGAAATATCGCGGCACAGACTGTAGATACAGTAAGCAACACCGGTGTTGGCTCTGGAGCCATTGTGGCTGCGTCAAGAGGTTGCGGTCGCGACGAGCAGCGGCCAGTTGAAGTTCCTCCCAACAACTTATGAGATTATCCCTAAGGGTCAAATGCTGGCATTTAAAGGTACGAAACAAGCGGTCAAATGCAGGACATGGTGGACAAGACACTCGCTAGAACTTGTTTAATGTGGGCCTCACAGTCCATGTTGGATTACAGCATACTGGTCGAAGGACCAATTGACGTGCATGTCCTTCTTGCCTAGCGTTTGGAAATCCTGACAGCCCCATGTTGGGACTTGTAAGCAGGCTACTGGCATGTACGACATGGAATACAGGGACACAATGAGGTTTTGTCTTTGATTGGTCGCTTGTTGACATGTTAGTGGGTGGTAAGCTAACGGATACACCCTTACGAAGCCCACCGTAAAGCCGACTATAAGGTTTACAGTACTCGTAATTCCTGGCGCTTGGTACTCCCTAAGATGACAAGCTATATCAAGGTCAGTCTTCTGTATCCGGAAGCCCGAATTAAGAAATATTGGCTACTGCAACTGTTGCGACCCAGAAGTCGTGTATCCAGCGTGCGACTACTCCCCGGCTGAGCCTTCACTGGAGATTGGCTAACGTTGACGCAACTAAAGCCACTGATGAGTACATGGATCTAATATGCATGACTTGAAGCAGACTTTGGAACCCAAATGCCTATTAGAAACCCCTGATGCGGAGTCAAGAGGTCAAGCATCCGGATTGTTTATCAAATACAAAGATCGCGTTTTGTAGAGGTCCAAGAGCAGAGATGAGTTTGAAATATGGCCTCAACTTTGTTCGATAATCGGTTTGGGGCAAATCTGGTAGCAAATAGATTAACGCCTTTACAAAAGTCAACCTCACTGTTCAACTTGGCTTGATATCGGCACGTCAATGGTTAGTGAGGGATTTCTAGGTTGAAGCGTGCGATATTACTCTACTTTAGTGGGGCGAGAACAAAAATATATAAGGTGCTTCTTGAGATATTTTAACTTCACAAACATTCCTTTGATTTCCAGATTTGACCTTATCTTTGCGGGGATGGAGCATTAAAAAAAATGAAAATAAAAAAAAAACAAGTGGCGCTGCCCGGAATCGAACCGGGGCTGGCACGGCCACAACGTGACGTCCTACCACTAGACCACAGCACCTGATTTTGATTTTATTAAAACGCTTGAGCTACAAAAGCGAGTTTAAATTCAACAGTCCAAGCACTATCAACATCAGGCCAGTACGTTCCAGGCATTTTTGTCCAAGAGAAAGTTGGCTCTTCATTGATGATGTAGTCGCAGTAGTGGTCGTCTTTGTTGGACGAGGTCCAAAACGTCTCCATTGCGCGGTGGCAATGTCGGCTAAATCGAACTACTAGGCTATGCACCAATATATACATCTCTATATATGCTAAGGAATTAGAAGACAGTGTGCTTCTGCTGCTTTGTAGCGTAAGTCTGCATACGGAGTGGAAGAGTTAATTCACCTAGTTAACTTTTTTAGTACATAAGGCACGGCACCGACCATTCATTCTCTCTTTGTTGAATTTCCTGCATTGGATTACCAGAACATGGCCCCTACAAGAAGACCAGCGATGACATTCAGAGCTGACCAGCTGATAGATTACGACGCAGTGCCGCTTTACAAGGGTAGTGCCTGGGTTGAAGTCTGGACGTTACCGTTGCTCTGGTATTTCTGCTTTAGACTCAGGACTGCTCGGCCGATAGCTGCAAAGTCATTGTAGGTTAACCTGCAAGCTTGTCTTCTTTGCTAAATCTGATAGTGAAACTCGGAGTCCACTGCATGGTACTTAATAACATAGTCATTTTCTGTGAGCAAAAGTACCAACAGAAAGATCCTGGCGCATGCATAGGTCAATACTTCTGCCTTGACTCCTGATAACGAAGGTCAATTCCAGGTCATCTTGGCCGCTCTCCTCTCGACGATAGCAATGAAAGATGTAATAAGGTAAGATGCTGCATAATTGGCCATATTAAATAAGCCTTCAGATGATAAAACTTCTACTTCAACCGATATACCAGTGACATAGTGAACTTGTGAAATGAAAATGACCGCTAGACCACAAAAAGTGTGAACACACCAGATGCGTCTGGTACAGTGAAATTTCATGTAGTTCGGGATTGTGACAGACCTAGTGTAAGGATATACCCACAGCCAACCCTGGACTGCGTCATGTCGCCATGTTTCTTTACCCCTTACCTGGGTTGCGTCTCTATGGCGCCTTGTAGCCCTGCTTATCCGGTGGCTGCGACTCTTTGATCTTGTTCTCGGCCCATTTATCGCCGTACTTGAGAGCCCACCTGGTTATCGCTGCTGTCACATCCGCAGCAGTGGCCATAAGAGCAACATCCTTCTTGGACTTGGCTGCAACGCCCGCGACGAGGTACGCCAGGGCCCCGAAGATGCCTAAGGAACCGTCGAAGAAACGCAGGTACGCGTGGAGAAGCTTTAATGCATGGAAATTACCGGTGAAAAACTCGAACCGAATGATTGGGAAATTGATGGCAAACTTCACCCCCGCCCTAAGAAGGTCGAACTATCCAATGGTAGGGTGCTTCATAAAATCCGCTATGTCAATTCCCATTGTGCTGACCCAACGATACACTCTGATGCTAACGGTGGCCACTTCAAGCTGGAGGGAACGAGTGTGCCCGAGGCATTCAGCAAGCTGCCAATAGCTTGGAAGAAACTGCCTAAACGGCAGAAGTTAGGAGTTGTGACACCAGGATCGCACATACCTTCGTTGCCTGACTCAATTCCGGAGCCAGTGCCAGTGTTTGGTTAATGGATAGAGGCTTGCGAAAGGGGACGAATACCAGCAGAGAAGCAGTTACCACCGCACCACGATATAGAGGATCAATCTCCATTAGCCCATTGGAAGGATGGTAGGTTCGTGGGCATATTGTCAAGGCGAAGGGGAACGTTAAGATGAGCAATATCTCAGCAGGATGGTAACATGGAAGAATGTCTAGTTCTTGCTATCTGTAGGGTAAACCACACACTCTCTTTCTATCCAACCTCTGAATACTCTGCGTCCCAGACCTCACTCACCACGACAGGTTGTATTGGCTGTGGGACCGGGCCATTCTAGTAGTGTGAACTAGACAAAGAATATACTGTGAAAACGTACGGGGGGACTCCCGCTCATCTGTAAATACGATCCTTGTCCGGACAAGAATCGAGGATGCCCGCCCTCCCTCAAGCCTTCCATCCAACTATTTCTCGCAAGGCCTGAGTCATGGCACCGAGCCGCTCAGGATTCTTCGTCGTGTTCCCTTTCTGATATCCTTCTCTATACGGAATGCGATCCTCTCCTACCACTTATCAGTGACTACTTCCATGCAGAGTCGCTCACGTCCAACAGACTCACCGAGCAGGGCCTTGATCCATGATTTCGGACCGCGTTGTTCTCACCATCCCATACGGTCAAAAGATATAACGCGGTGGTTCCATATTCAGTCTGGTGTCGAAGCTTAGAATTGTTGAATTCCGGGTTGACCCTCTCTGCAAGATCATAACGGTTCTTCGTAGCCTTTGCCGCTATCTCTGGCGTAACGAACCGCTCATGCGAGTGGAGATCGTCCAGCCCTAGATCCTTCGCCACGGGAGCCCAAACGGTAGCATCGAAGTGGACATCATCCCCGAAGTAGATATCGTTGCGAGTAAGCGAGCCGTCCACTTCAATCGTGTCGTGTCTGGCGAGATCGAAAAGATGGAAAGTCTCATTGGGTCGGTTCGTAGTGGAGATGTTGAATTGGAAGACCATATCAACGACGCTGATGAAAGAGCCTGGCGCCCAGCCGTATGCGACTTGTGTAGCTTCGTTGATCATGTCGTAGTCAATGTTCTTGCCGTCGCGTGGGAGATAGCCGTGGTTTGCTAGAGCATTTAAGCCAGGGCATGGTGAGCGACCTGTTCTATCGTCAGCACACTCTTACCGGATTCATTTCCCTGCCTTGGAGGGTTTACTGTCGAAAGGACCTGGGGTCCGGAATCTATGATCCCCTAGCTCGGGGAATGCAACACCGGATGTCGCAAACGCGACCAGAGTAAGGACATAGGTCTTCATTATGTCTGTTCAGTAAAACTAAGCAATGCGAAGGGGATGTTTACAAGCACGATCCTTGGTTTCTTGATATGGATCCTGAGTTCGGACAGCAGGTGTTTAAGTAGACTTGCTTGATGACGGAGTACTGGTGCCTGATTTCAAATCGAGGCAGTGTGATACAACAGACCATTTCATTGGGAATATTTAGCCTCATAAGCAACATCATCTTAGTAGCTGGACATTGGTATATCGGTCACGAATACGCTTGATCAATCTCTGTTGTAGGAATACGCTACAGGAAGCATGGACGCCTTACGGATACGCCCCAGAAACATGCTTATTAATACGCCCAGTAATATAACTACTTAGAGAGCCTATCACATCGGTGCTTCAGAGCAAAACAAAGCCAATTCGTGACTACCAAGAATATAGCCTGTAGCAAAATTCTGTTGGTTATTGGTCAACAGATACGTGGTGTATATGTCAGGTGATGGCCACAACCAACGAGGGACGCGTTGATATGCAGTGATAATGCAAACTCACTGCGGCAGACTGATCCCCCGCACCCTTGGTGAGCTGAGACCGTCGCCGGGGTTCAGGGAAGATATATTTGTCTTAACCCTTGGAGGCGACAATTTCTCCTGACTAGGTAGATGCATCCAACCAGACATCTGCCACGACACGAGAAATGTCCATTCCTCTACTTCAGTCATTAGCCTCAGTGCTAATAGTAGCGTGATGAGGGATATTTGGCGTCTCGATATCCCAGGTACCAATCTAACAAGACTACATTTAGTTGTCTCCACACTTCGGATACAGTTAGAAGTTCAGGCGGTTCTGCTGTCCACTGAAAAGCTCCTCCATGAGACTCCGGGCAATACAGCACTTTCTAAACCGCTAGTAATGAGAATCAAAAATCTCATGAGATTTGTTTTCGAGTTAAACTCAAGCGATAAAAAAGACAAGAACGCTTGAAGAAGCTAGACTGCTCCTCTCTAAAGCTTTGGGGTCTATCATACACTGTTAGGGAAATCATTGAACTCCCTGCCTATACTTTTGATTTTCTGGTCGACAATATCACTGACTCGCTCCGTTGCTTTGCTGGGATAATATTAACATAATTATTCTAGGCGATTTTGATCCGGAGGATGAGGAGTAATTTAAATATTTTGTGATATATATATTGCTCTTAATGGCAAATAGAAAGGAGCCTTGAGGAGCTGTGCAATTAAATTCACTCATGGCGATCTCTATCACAGTAACAATATGGTCACAGCGACACCCCCATACCGTATTCTGGCGGTTGTCGACTGGGAACAATCTGATTGGCTGCCTGAGTACTAGGAGTCTCGCAAGGCGCAATATACCGCTGATAGAGGTGAATCATGGTCGACCACCTACCTGCTTGAGATCCTAGACCAATTTGCTAGTACTTGGGATCCGTGGGACTACTACACGTCGGCAATGGGATGTTGAGTCGTTACACAGTGCTCGGATGTTCCTTGCGGCTCATCGCTAGTGATGGTTAGTCAGGAAAACTTTATCCACCATGAGAAAATCGACATCTCATATACCCGTCAGATCAGTCAAAGCAAATTGATTTGTTACTGCATAAACCTGCGATTTGGATGTAAAAAGGACCAAAAAAAGGATAAGAATGTCACTTAGCATCCTTCAGAGAACCTTTTAATACATACTAGCGTGCTTTTGCTCATATCCTTCATCCACTGGAACCAATGACAGACAATGGCGTTCTGTTTAAAGTTGACAGATGGGACGATGGTCGCAAAGACCACATAATGTTGCTGTCTGGTCCTCTTGGAGCGGCGACAGCAAGGCACAGAGCATCGCTAGCCCTGAGCAGCCGCCATAGCCTCTGTTTACTTTGCACCCGGACTTTGAGGAGTTATCGGTTTTAATGAAGCAAATGTATCTGCGGATGTCGTAACTTTTTGAAGCTGCCGAGGAAGACTTCAGCTGGTTGTCCACAGCTCAGTGGGGACACGCTTAACTGGTTTCGGAAAGGCCAAACCCTAATGCTGACTGCCAAGCCTTTGGCAGGTGGATTGGATGATATAGATCTGCTCGGGGTCGATATCTAGCTGCCGGCGCTTTCATATTTAACAGGAGCAGGCCCTCCTCTAGAGGGAACGGCGGAATAGAGCTCAGTGTCTCATTCTAATCTTGTGATTGAGCATGGGTGCCCTAATATCTTCCCAAACACCTCCTTTGACCGAGAGAAATCTCGAAGATCAAACCGGCAAGGTGAGCGTCTTTCAGGTATCCTCCAATGACCCACTCCTGGTTTAAAACTGAATGCGTGAAAAAGGTCTTCATAGTGACTGGTGCAACGTCGGGATACGGGCTTCGTTTAGTCAGAATCCTCTACCAGCACAATGGCAAGGTGTATCTTGCCGCTCGCAACGCCAGCAAGGCGCAACAAGTGATTGAGGACATGAAGAGAGATTTTCCTGGATCGCGGGGCCAACTCCATTTCTTGCATCTCGATCTCAGCGACCTCTCAACTGTCAAAGGTTCCGCTGAAGAATTTCTCAGCCAGGAGTCCCAGCTCCATGTTCTTTGGAACAACGCCGGCGTCATGGTCCCCCCTCAAGGCTCCAAAACCCAACAAGGCTACGAGCTGCAGCTGGGTACGAACAATCTCGGCCCGTTTCTGTTGACTAAGTTGCTCTATCCAGCTCTTGCCAAAACAGCAGCAGTCTCGCCAGGAAACACAGTTCGAGTTGTCTGGGTCTCGTCCTCTGCCGTCTCCCTTGCTCCGAAGCCTGCAGTTGACTTCTCGAACATGGATTATCACCGTAATGAAGGAGCATGGACAAAATACGCAAGGAGCAAAGCAGGTAATGTCCTTCAGGCTGCAGAGCTCGCAAGGCGCTCGAGGAAGGATGGTGTCGTGAGTGTGGTAAGTTTTCTGACCAAAAGAAAAGCATGTTAAAGCAACTCTGCTCAAATGTATACCAGACCCTTGATCCCGGAGTTGCCGCCACAGAGTTGCAGAGAACAATGCCATGGTGGATGTCAATGCTTGTAGTAAGTGCTCGTCCCGTCTCTTTTGCATTCGGGCATTTCTGACCCCTCTGCAGAATCTCCTGGGACAGAAGCTTGAGATCGGTGCTTACACACAGCTCTATGCGGGGCTTCAGTTTGACCTTGACTGCCACAAGGCTGACACATGGAGTAAGTCCCGAGTCATTCATGTACAAATGGTGGTGGAGTTTCTAACACGTCTCCAAGTTGTTCCTCCCGGAAAGTTGGCGCCTGGCCGCAAAGACCTTTTCGACGCTGATCTAGGCCGGAAATACTGGGAGTGGAATGAAGAGCAGATCTCTCCATATTTGTAGTTCCGTTTTCTGGTGCACGGCGTTTTCCATCCCACGGAATAGTTCTGAAGAATAGGTATACATACTAATATACGTGGGTGTCATGACTTTATGGAGTGGCTGCCCATTTTCGGTCTGAACGTTCTGTCTCCCTTCCCAGATAGTCAATCAGAGAGGACCCCGCAGCTTGATTTGGTGAGTGGAACACTTACGATCATACCTAACTGGGAAGCGATGTCAAGCGATTGGTTGGAAAATGCTGAAGGGAGTGCTTACCATAAGCACTGTCCGTCCCAGAATCTCACTTGTGTGATCCCCACCATAAGCTAGTCCTGTACATGGGATCCTCAGGCCCTTCAAGTAGGAAAGCCCATTTCTGTAGAAACCAGGGGGAAGCTTTCCAGCTATGTGAGTCCCAGGCAGCACCCTCGCCACGACCATGTAAGGATGTTCTTGAGTAAGCCGCTGGGCATTGTATGCCGCCATTCATCAAATCAAAACATAGCTCATCCTCAATAAATTGCAGGCGATTGGAGGCTATTGCTGTCAAAGCTCTCTTGCGGAAGGAAGGAAATGGAATTAAGTCCAAATAGGGATGATGGGGAATCGTCATCTGCTCCGAAATCGGTCGCAGGTCAGGTTTCAAGTTTTCAAGATTAGGCGCTTTTGACCCTATAGAGGTACTATCCATAGATTAGTAGCTTTCTCTTGAAAAGCACTGGTGCAACATGCACCAATCTAGACTTTGCTGAGTGCATACCTGGCTACAAAGGGTGATACCGACTCGTCATCGACAAGCTCCTGGAAAGAGAGCCCTAATTGCCGGCCATTCTCCAGAAACGCTGACACGTGAGATACTTGTGGTAATGTTACCACTCCGGGAATGCTGGCCGATAATCCAATACAGAGCGTTGTCTGATCCAGTGCGGAATCGACAAGTTCCCGCTCAAAACGCCAATTTGAAGGTCCGCTTAAATGGGAGAAAATGAGAGCACCAGCACGTAAGACAGATTTGATCCGGACATCCGCATGTCGGTATGACCCAACAACTTTATGTAGCCAACAAAGAAAGCAAGTCTGAAGTGACTCTTCATAGAGCCGGTCATCCATGGAAAGGCCCATTGAAATGAGACCGTATTTCACGACAGCCGCGATTCCGAGGTGCTCTGTTTCGATGATTTTGCAAGTGGTTTCATAGCTTTGGAGAGAGGCAAAACAATCTATAAACTCTGAGTATGCCATTTGAGCATCCTGGGGTTCATTTATGCGATTACAGCACCAAAGCTGTCTGGGAAGCGTTAGCCGAGCACCCCTTAGGTTTCCAATTTCAAGATGCCACCTTGTGAAGGTAGTTTGACTCGAGGCTACAGAAGTGCTAGACGAGCCGAGTAAAGTCACGTCGCTCTCTTCCGGAGCGTTCAGTCGCCTTGTCTTCTGTCGCTGACCTTATTGGGCGTTTTGAGTCAGCAAAAGGTTGAGTCCATTTAGGGCGGTGCAAAGCTTACGACTTCGTCGTTTTGCAAGTTTATTCTGCTCCCGCCTGCGATCCCGAATCCATTCCTTGATGCTGTCGTCGGGCATTGTTATCAACTTAGAACAACAGAAGGAAAATAACCGAGAGAAGGATAATGAGAGGAAAGATTGACAGAAAGCAAGAACTGTTGATATAATTTATCGCTTACCCATTTGGTTAGATCGTCTCGTACGAGAGGATATCCCGCCGGAGAAACAGAGCTTGGGGCGCGTCATCTCGGAGATAATGCGGGGATAAACTAGAACTGAAATCGGCCATCAAATCAGAAAACGAGTGATGAAAATAGAAGATCACAGTGCAGAAGTTCAAGTTAAATTGGCCCAAACAGATATGAAGCTAGCCCTTAGAAAGCACCTACTACAGCCATAATCAAGTAGAACTCCCAACAACTCTGCTCTCCGACTCATCCATCATACTTGATAGCTAGTCTTTCAGGCTTCACGGTTATGTCACTGGAACAAAATATAATAAAGTCGCCGGACTTTATAACCTTGATTTCACTTAATAAGCTGTGATATCACACTAGCAATATTCTTATATCTTTATAAAATCCTTTAGTGAGGACTGTGAGGCAGACAGCTTTAATCGGAGATTATCCTGGGTTATTACTATTAATCTAGTATTTCTACTTTAGATTTAGGACTGCTTGGCTGATAGCTGCAAAGGTATTATAGAAAGATAATTTAATATATAAGCTTATCTGCTTTGCTAAGTCTGATAGTGAAACTTAGAGTCTACTCTATGCTAATTAATAACACTGTTATTTTGCGCGAGCAGAAGTCCTAATAAAAGAATCCTAGAGTATACCTGCATCAGATAACTCATTTATATCAAGGAGATTGTTGCAGACATTGTCCGACCATCTATTCTCATCTGGCGTACTGTCAAGCAGGAAGCTCCGGAATCCCCACTGTATGTTTTGGGTGGTTTCTTTCTAGGTAGGTGAGCTAGAATCTTGACGCAATAATCTCTCATGTTCCTGGGCTCCGCCGCTCCTGTCCGTTTACATTCTTCTGTTTGGGGCAGGGAGCCTCCGCCTTTAAGCATCTCTTGGGGAACTGGAACCCTCGCAGGGGGCACTTTGAGGCGTGATATAGAATAGAGCCTTTTCTCAGTGAGCAAGGTCAGATAGAATGGATCACAACACATGACTTATACTCCCAGAGAGCGATATCCTAGGCTTCAGGGAACAGACGCTCAAGCATGCTGTCGATTTATTTTGAGCATGGCCTGGTTAGCACAGTGACCACCCTGGTACTGCCGATAATTGCATGGACTCGGCCCTCAGTGGAGACACTGCAAATATTGAGCTCAACTTAATATATAACTAGTATTTAAAGATGTTACCTTGCTTCTCAAAACTAGTTCACCTGGGAAGCCATTTCCAAGAGAAAATTGAAGATGATCTGTGTAGTAGGTAACAAAAAGAGTATACAGACAAGCTAGGGGAAGAATACCTCATGCTGAACTTGGTAGTATCCTAATGCTGTCTTAGGTGAAGGTCGATAGAGGAAGTCCGGTTATTTGAGTCGAAAAATAGACTACTATGCCAACCAATTTGTGTGTATACATGGTCTTGGACCTGGATCCATAAGACCAGTGTCATGATATAGATGAGATTTAAGATAAGTGACGGATCAATTACAGCGCTGTTGTACAGCAGAATAACGAAGAGAGCCGTATGGACCCTTCCTACAAGATACAAGTCCTAAATCACCATCTAGGGAGAAGCATGTGTAAAAGCTATTATATTAACGTAAAAATGGCTTCTGGAAATACAATTTCTTCCATAGTATTGGTAAACTGAATCCCATGATCTTAGAATCCAACGGGTCGGTTAAAGAAGAATAAGCGTTAAGAGTACCGGTACCTAACTTAGCCAGACTCTATTCATAATAATCATCTCATGCCGAATTCCACACCTGGTGCATAGCATCCAGAAAGTCTCCTGGGCCAATGGCTCCTCTCCACTGGTTGCCGATATCATGGCCGAGCTTCTGCTTCAGCCGCGCCTTGACCGCGGCAAAATGAGGCGGGTTCCAATGCAGATGAACAACCCAGTAGATCAACCGCTTGATATCTACTTTTCCACCCGGACTAGTAGGCAAACACTTCAGGATCTTCTCCGAGTCATGACCAACAGGATCCTTCGCCTTAGACAGCATTGACAGCAACGCATCTTCCAGATGGCCCGAGAACTCAGCCTTGATCACCTTTTCCAGGCTAGTATGATACTTTGTCTCAAAGGCCTGCGCGACCGCAGCAAGTTTCGCATCCGACGCAGCCATAAATACAGCAAAAACACCAGTCTCATCCGTCCCCGTGCGCGCCTGCGTCGCCTGGTGAAGCTCACGGACATCGGCGTCAACAGAGTGCGCGTCAAAATATGTCCCCGGCTCTGGCCTCGTGGCATTGAGCAACATAACAAAGAACTGCTCCGTCTTGCCGGACAAATCGCTCTTGATGTCCTCGACAAGCGACTTCTGGTACTTAGCGACATACGCGTACTTGATCGCACGCAGGTCGGCATTCGACCGACCGACCAGCACATCCGTGACGATGCCTTCGTTCGTTCCCATTCCTGCTAACGCATCGCGCAAGGCAGCGACGTCCTGCTCGAGTGGGCCTCTGGCTAAGGAGAGAAGGACGTCTTCGAGGTTTCCTGAGAGTTCGGACTTGAGGTCTTTTTCGAGGTTGCGGCCGATGCGATCGGTGTAGGTGTGTCTGATAAGTGCCATTTGCAGGGGGTCAGGCTTGCTCAGGATATTGATGAGGGCCTTTTCATCCGTGCCGAAGCCTTTCATCGCTTTACGGAGGGCTTCAGCTTCGCGGGTTGCGTCGCCGGGAGCGCGTTGGTTAGGATCGTAGCCTAGGGACGGTGGGGTGGGCATTGGTTGAGGAGCTTGATGGGCTGGATAGCCGTGTTGACCTTGCGGCGGGTAACCTCCCTGGGGAGGATACTGGCCTTGGCCTGGTGGCGGGTATTGGCCATGTGGAGCATGTTGGCCCTGCGGAGGGTATTGGCCTTGTGGAGGATACTGACCCTGCGAAGGGTATTGATTCGGATGATATGCCCCCTGAGGCGGATATTGCTGCGGTGGTGGATGACCTCCTTGAGGATACTGTTGCGGTGGTTGGCCCGGCCATTGTTGTTGCGGCGGAGGGGCACCATATGGCTGTTGTTGATACTGACCAGGGGGAGGACGTTGCTGCGGGGGAGGCCCTTGGGGCGGATATCCACCGGGCTGTTGTGGCGGATAATATGCGGCCTGTTGCTGCTGTTGATGCGAGCCAGGCTGAGCATACCCAGCACTGTTGTAGGGCGGTTGCGGGGGACCGCCGTAAGTATTGTGGGGGTGCGACATGACAGAAATGTGATAGGGAAAAAGGMAATGACAAAAGGGACTTATCAAAGGGAGCGCGTCAGCCTTATAACCCCTCAGTACAGGGTATTTTACAAGTTATCTAGCCTGTTCTCAGCTCGTATTTAGCCCATGTCAACACAGCCACAATCAGTTGGAGATTTACCCCTCTCCCCCCCACTGATTGGCACCATCGCAAGCCAAATTACGAAATGCACAGGCACTGCATAGACTCAAAATGACACGAACCAATACCGATGAGGGGCCCTCCCTCGCTTAATCCAATAGGAAACCTAATAAGCCACAGTGCACCGCCATTCTGCCAAGCTTGATTTCCCGATCAGCCCACTGAAACCTTCCTCCTGCCTTTGACACGTGCATGATAGATTAGAACCTGTTGAAATATATAATACCGCTGTATCTATGGATATGAGACCCTAGTCTGATGGCAACCATGTCCGGACACCCTTTTTGGCCTAGTGGCATTATTTTCTAGAACCCTTCTGATTTGGATTTCCCTTCTCCGCTTTTTTCTAGGAAAAAAGGATTGTGTAACCTTGTACAACATAATATTTGATGAATGAAACAGATTCTCAGTATGAGACCTTTTTAGGTTGGTATGGCCACTTCTTAGTCAAACGGAAGTAAACTGTTTCCACAACGTGCTCAATCCGTTCCCAGCTTTCCAGCGCCGGAATAGGATAGGCACCTTTCTTCAAGAAGCAGGACGGAGCTACTCGTGCCATTGGAACTCCCCTCTCTTCTGCGACCTCGGTCAGACGGTTGACAATCTCTTGGTCGTTTGGATTATTTTCCTGGCCTCGCACCAAGAGTTTGACAACTCATTCGTGTGCTCCCGTTCGTGCACATCCATTTTGTGCTCTAGAACTCGACGAGCGCGGGGACTCCAGGACAAGACACTAGAGGCGCAGATCCCCACATAACGGGATCATCTCCCTTTCTTCTTTTCGCTAGAGCAAACGTACCTGTATGGACAATTTCAGCCTCTGTATGAATGTAATCAAGAGCAAGACGGAGATGCATCAGGGACAACTTGACTAGTTTCTCGGGAAGTACCTTGGCCCTGAGTTGGGTGCGAAAATCATATAAACTTACACCCAGGGGAGCATGAACAAGACATCCAAATTTACCCTCTGCAGAAGTAATCTGGAAGCTATCCAATGCTTTGCGAATAAGCTTAGCACCAGCATGATCTACTGTGCTGAGGGAACTCAAATAGTGGTATGTTTTTGTCTCTCTTTGGCCTTTCTGCTGAATTGCGCTCAAATACCTTCAGTGTGGCATAAGCATGCTGTTTAGAGCAGACTGAGTTCGCGTCACTGCTTAATTGTAGGGTAAGCTAACTGTAGGTCCTCGCACAGCCAAATAGTTGAATATCCACCATAGCCCAATTTACCGATCAGCTGATACCTCGATTGAAATATCTCGCCAATGCTCACGGGATAAAAGTTCTCGGTGAGTACCATGGCAGTGTTTCTTCCTCGAGTTTCTCAGTTGAATCGAGAAGAGTGAAGATTAACTGAGAGACTTGAGCACAGGTGATACAGGACGTTGAAACAAGGGCCGCCAGGAAAATGGTTGCCCAGACAGTCGGGATGGAAGGCGGGTCGTTGAGACCATAGTGAGAAGTGCGAGAAGAAATACCACCATGCTATAAGGGTAACGCGGCCTTATACTACAGGTCAACATGAACGTTGTAGGGAATGACTCAGCAAGGTGATCAGGTGCAACTGTTTTGTACATTCAGTCCGCTGTAAACATGTGGCTCAGCCTTGTCCCCCGCCTCCAAGTTAGATAAAACCTCTCCCTGTTCAAGGATGGCTAACAGTGAAGGGCCCATTCGGCTTACGCCGTCAATGATCCCCAACTCTCCCAATTTTGACATCAAAGACTCATCATTTTTTGGCAAATGGCAAGAGTTACCTTCACCAAAAGATGTCCAAGCCCAAGCTGACGCCCAACGTTTTGCGGGATTCAACCCAAACCCTAGAAGAGACTACGAAAGCGCAGCGACTTTTGTAAAGCCAATACCCGTGGTATTTGAAGACATGGACCTATTCATCAAGTGGGGATGCACAGAGCATATTTCCGAGGCCCAGACCCTATTTGCTCTCCGCCGACTCCTGAACGGCCTTGTTCCTGTTCCTGAGTTATACGGGTGGCGCACAGATGGAGATGTGAAGTACATTTATATGGAGTACATCCGAGGGCAGACACTGGAGCAAGCCTGGGATAAACTGGAGCCGGATGATAAGGTTAATATCAGCCGCGAGCTCCGAGCAATATGTGACAATCTGCGTCGACTTGAGCAGGACCCTTCGGATCCGTTCCTGGGTATGTGTACGCGGCCCACAGCAAGATTTCTCTTGGTCTAACTCGTTCCACAGGAAATATTGCACGAGCACCTTTTTATGATAGAGCTTTGAACTTGGATTACATACCAGCAGAGGGGCCATTCGCGAGAGTGCGAGAGTTCCATGATTGGTTCACATTTCTCTACAGGAGACTGATGCCAGATCCTTATTCGGTACCGATCGAGCCATATCGCTATGAGTTGCCAGACGACTGTGCCATCAAGTTCACCCATGGTGATCTCCATCGCAGTAACATCGTTATTAGTTCCTCTCGCCCGTATCGTACTCTGGCTATTGTTGACTGGGAGCAGTCAGGCTGGTTTCCTGCCTATTGGGAGTCCCGCAAGGCGCAATATAGTGTATCGTGGAATGAAGACTGGTCAACGACGTATTTGCCAATGATTTTAGATATGTACCCTGATACTTTGGATCCATGGGACTACTATACTATCGCCATAGGCCCTTAGATTTATTCCGTTGTGACATTCCAATAGCTTACAGGAGGGAATAGCTCAGTACAATACATATTATTTCCATCGTAGAACTCCTCTGTGTCAGCATAGAGATGCCTTCTGAAAACGCAGGAAGCGCCTAGTATGTAGTAAGTGTCGCAGTCTATTTGACATTCTCAAGTAGTTTGAAGGGACAGTAGGGGAGAGATCGGTGCTTGTTGCCTGAATGTGAAGGATGATGGAAGACCCGCTTAGCGTCTGATACCTATTTAGTTCTGCCTTGAATTCCACTTGTGTTCAAAGCTTGCCTGTATCAATAGATAAAAGCAATACGCGTCGGGTCGTATATGCATATATCTTCAAGCAGTCAGAATGTAAATTTGTGAAGCGTCTCACTACAAGTCTCAGGGGCCTGATACTTCGATCGGCTGCCATAGGAGCTAAGACTCGGACTTTCTGTGATCAGAATAATGATAGAAAACGCTGTTCCCCGAGTATTCAGTCTCAGCCTTATGTCTTCAAATAGTAAAACGGTTTCAAGCTCTCACAATGTGTTTCTGACCTAATATGTACATAAGGGAGATTGCAGATCCTGGATATCTATCTAGGAATAGCTATTTCGATACGATCAAGCCTCAAGACAAGTTTTCGTAGGACAGTATTAGTTTGCATAACGGCTGTTCAGACTGCTTCAGGAGCATAAAAGCCACAATCTCCTCGGAGAGCCACTTGGTTCCACGGAGAATTGAAATGTACTGTTTAATTGCTTAATACCTGCTAGAGTGGGGCTTGTCTTTTAGGTTGCCATAGGTTGCCATAGCTTGTCAGTTTTAGTGAAATTGTCTCATTGGCGATGTCGGCAATTCCAACTCCAACCAAAGCATTCACAACTAATTACGGGGCAAGCATCGTCACTGCGGCTTCGGAAATATTTCATCAGTATTCAGTAGGAGATCGCTTGCAATTGAGATTCTGTCATTGTGCGCGCATGCCGAGTTTTATTGAGATCGATAGTCCTTCAACTGCAGACTTTATTCAAGCACCTGATGGATTCCGTTGTACTCCAATGCGTGTGCAAGAACAATATATCTGCTGTTGACGGAATTAAATCTTTGATGTATATGTGCAGCGTTTATGTATTTTATGCCCCGTGGTTCTATACTTATATCATTTTGATAGCGTTGATGGAGATCAGGTTCTCACTGGAATAGGCGTAATCATATATCATTCACTCATAAAAGAAATATTGTACAAACCTACAGGGGGTAACAGGGTATCATTCAGCATGACCATTCTCATTCTCACTTCCATTCCCTCTCCCCCTATGCATCTCCTGCAGCTCTTTCCATCGCTGCACCACCATGGCGCGCTCATCAGCCGAAGACGCGCACATTTCATCAATCCCCTGCTGTATTCTCGAGGCCAAAATCTCCTTGATTTTGCTTTTTGACAGAGAGTTGCGCAGGCTCTTGTGGAGGCCGTCGAGGGGATATCCTGCTAGACCCCAGAATCCTGATATCGTCAGTACGAAGTAATCAAGAGAGAAAGGATGGTCAAACCTGCTAGGGGCTTGAGGATGACACCCCCGAAACCTTTGCCGACGCCTTTTACAAGCCCGATTGGGCCGGACTTTTCCAGACCTTCTGCGGGCAGCATGACGAGGCCGGTGATGCCCTGGTAGACTTCCTGTGTGAATTCCTATTTGCGAGTATTAGTTTCATTCAATCAGATAACAGAAGAGAATAACGAGGTCGTATCAACCTTTCCAGCGGCTCGGAACCCACCCCGCACGCCCATCACCGTCGGGGTTGTGAGCACCGTCCTGTCGTTGTACAGCTTTGGGGCATTGTGGAACCCCTTGGATAGACTCAGCGTCACATCGGTGGGGACCGTAATGGCCCAGTTCAGCAGCCTCTTGCCCCAACGTTTACCGTGATAGCCCGTCTCGCCCAGCACCACATGTATGCCTCCCCGCGCCTCCCTTGTCGCCCGTCGGCTGATCGTCTTTTCGAGATCCAGCTCAGCACCGCCTTCGTCGCTCTCGACACGTGTATCTGTAGATTCCGATTGGACCGTGGACTGGTCCGATATTCCATTTCTTGGCTCCGTCCCGTTATCCCTCGATATGCGATCGTAAGCAGACACAAAACTCGTACTCTCACCATCAAATTCCTCACCCTCATCGTCGACCTCATCCTGGTCCTCATCCTCGTCATTTTCCTCCTCAGCGTCGCGGGAAGGACTCGATATCGAATCGGACTGCGATGGCCGCATCCTCGCCACAGCGCCCAGCTGCGACCGTACCCGGTCTTCCGGGGGAATGCCTCCCGGAAGACCGTTCATTGACTTCGTATTCCTCCGTATACGTTCCTCACAGTTGCGGACGATCTCATCGTCGTGACTATGGCGCCACCCATGTCTCTTGTGGTGATGATGATGGCGCGAGATCGCCTCGGCTAGGTCCAACGGCGCAGTTGTGAGCGCCGACACAAAATCCGTCATAACGCCGTAGAGCACCGCAGCCGACGCAGTGAGGGGGCCCGCCGGGTCGCGGTTGGTATCGTATTCTTTCGACCGGTACAGGACGACATTCTGCGGCTTGAGGAAGCCAGCCTCGACGAGCACAGCCGCTGCAAATGCGCTCAGCCTGATGTGTGAGTGGCGCACCCACCATACTGCCGGACGGTGCGGACAGATCGAGCAGCGCAGCGTCTCCAGGTCCAGGTGCCGGTGGAAACTGGCCACGGCGCACTTGACGCCAGTCTCCTGCCGCATCTTCGCGCCGATCTCGCCCGCTTTCACCTGAATCTCTGGCTCGAGCGACTTGTTGATCGCGTCTGCGAGCTTCTCCGCGTTCAGCTGTTTATATGGGATCGGCGCCGGGCCTGCACCGGCTCGGTACACTATCGAGCCCCAGAAGGGCTGGTCGCCGAAGAACGGGATGATGATGGTCGGCCGGCCGAGCGCAAGCCCGGCTGCGGTGGTTCCTGCTCCGCCGTGATGGACCACGCATGAGACGTGCTCGAACAGCCAGTCGTGCGGAACGCTGCCGATCATGAACACGTTCTTGGGGATTTCGGCTTCCCCGGCGCCGATGTTGCCCCAGCCTTTGTTGACGAGTGCGCGCTGGCCGCTTTTGACGATCGCCTCGAAAACGATCTTGGTTAATTTTGTTGGGTTATCGACGACAATGGAGCCGAAGCCGACATAGATGGGTGGGGGCCCGTCTTCCAGAAACTTGACCAGGTCATCGGGCGGCGTGAAGCTGCTTGGAGCGGGCAGCATGCTGAAGCCACAGATGTCAACATTGCCCAGCCAGTCAACTGGTTTAGGGAGCAGTGCTGGTGACCTGCTATTGTCAGTATTCGAAACCCAAACAAATCGAGGATACTAACCAGAGATAAGTGAAGGGAATGCGAAGTCTATGAACGATACCCGGCGCGCGAAAGGCGTCCAACGGGTCGAGCCCCAACTCTCGCTTGCGGAATTTATTCAGCAGATCTCCCAACCCCTCATAGAGCATCATCTCGACAATCGCATACGAGGCAAAATTCGCGACGGATCGCTTCGTACGTGTCGGACGCACATTGGCCAGCGGATGCGGAAAGGCCTGAGTTGCCGTCCAGGGCATTGTGAACATGAGAGTCAGTGGCACGCCCAATTTCTCCGCGCAGCTGAGATGCGCAAAACTCGGCGGGTTGGCAATGATCGCGTCCGCCACGAACGGCTGCTCCCGGTAGTCCACCGTCTCGCTCCACGGATCCTCAGGGACATGATGCAACCCCGTTCCATCGCCCGTCTCGAAACATGACCGCCAACACCCGGAAAATATCGCTGCCATTTCCCTCCGCCGGCGCCGAATCGCCCCGCTGCGCAGCGTTTTTACCCCCGGCAGCAGCCCGGGGTTCTTCACCATGAACGCCATGAGCTCGGCGGGATCGCCGCCAATGCTGAAGAATTCGAGATCGTGGTCCTGAACGAAATCACGGAAGGCCAGGTGCGTTGCGAGTCGGACGCGGTGGCCCCGTTCTTTGAGGGCCATGCCGAGGGCGACAAAGGGCTGTACGTCGCCGCGCGATCCGACAACATGGATGACGATGTTGAGACGGAGCGGGAATGGTTGGGGTTTCTCGATGGAGGGCTGGGGAATGGATGCCCTTCGTACCTCTTCCGCCGTTGGTTGGATTGGCTTTTCTATGGGCCTGAGGATGTTCGCGAGGCTGCTTTTTCCGCCGCGGAACTTGATCTCGAGTCGTCCGTCGTCTGCAGCAACAATCACATCAGCTTTGCTGTTTATCCGACGATACAGCACTCATACCCATCACCCGCACACCCGTGTACATCCCATGGTCCAGCAGGGGGGTGGCAGGACGGTCCACCGTGGCCGGGACGCTGAGGAACTCCTGTGGCCAGTCGGCCGCCATGATGCCACCTGTGGAGTGTTGCAGAGGCATCGTGTCCTGGATGGAATCAAAATCCCAGGTCTAAGGATTAATGAATTGAGAATCTCCATGAGAGAGTAAAGCGAAACTGATACTTTGAGGCATAAATTTGTGGTCTCGCGATGCGGTGGCATCACCGATGATGTCATGGCCCGTTAATCTTTATTGGTCGGTCGACCGAGATACCTCGGCATCGCGATCTTCTTCATACGCAGTAAATTATTTCAGAGTTGATCAACTCATTCAGCACAGCAGATGACCTAAAATAAGCTATGCCGATCCTATTCTTCCGCCATAGCCGGCTCGGCCTCGGAATGGCGACCTTTGGCCGACGTATGTCGATCCCGTGGTGTCGATCATTTCCTATTCAATATCTATATAAAACATAAATACTCCGGACCTTGGAGTTTCTTGTTCTAAATATCCATGACTAAGAAGTTCTTGACAGCTTCGATGTTCGTGGCGAGCGTAATGGTGGCTTGCCGTGTCTTGGGAAGTTGATAGAGATTCCGTTCAAAGTTGATAGAGATTCTGTTCAATTCATATTGTCAGGGAGCAGATTGAGCAACCTAAGGCACCTAACTTGTCTCATGACCAGCAACAGCCAAATAAGCTACGCTACTTCTGTATCTTAGAATCATATGTATTCGTACTTAGGAGATTCAGGCCTTAATTAGATTGGATCTGAAGGACATGACTCTGTTATTTATTAGTTTCGACCTAGATATTACTTGATTCCGTTAACCTCATCTAACCTAGTTAGTTCTATCATTTCCAGTACCGTCCCACAACCTTTAAGGCTACCATGAATTCAAGCAGTGGAAAACACTTACTCTGGTACCTGCCTGGCCCTGAATTTTACCTATCATGCCTACAGCATGCTCTAATACTGTGTAACCATGTTAGGCTACACTATCACCTAGAAAATCTGCCTAGCAAAAAAGGAATTAGTGTAAGATAGGCCTTATGAAGAAAGTATATAAGTATAGTGAGCTGTGTGATGCTAATATCTGCCTTAGAATATAACTTAGGGAATCTAGTTATATCTTTATATTTCTGTCTAATTCAAACAGATTCTGGTCTAAGCTAGACTCACTGCTTATATATTACACAGGAGCCTTCCTATATTAGTTCATACTGATAAAGTCGATTTCAAAAAACAGTTTTCCCCTTCAGACGCTCATGAATTGTTTCTCGGCTCGTACCCGAAACCGCTGGAGTCTTAAATTGGCTAAGGCCGTAATTAATGCTTTCCTAGAGACAGATCGCTTTTATTTCCAGAACGGATGCATTATAGTACTGTAACTTTCACGCATCAGCACCAGGTAGGTGATATACCCGGAGACCGCAATAATGGGTGACGCGGCTTGTAAGGCGGCCATCCTGAGGTATATGTATCAACCTCTCCCTGTTTCTATTCTAGTCTATGCAAACTCACCACGTTGAGAGGGAACCATGCCGGCCATCGATATTGACCCACCCGCCTGAAAGCACGCAGATGTTAAAAATCATCGCCATAACACACAGTGTGCCCTGTTCTGAATGGAAGATTGATGCCCGTTGAGCTATGGAACCTACCGCAGTGACGGGGAGCACGGTCACAAACAGCCATCGCTGTCGAGGATCCTTCCGCTGTCTCTTGGGGCCACCGTACCCCCAGATTTTCCAAGGTCGGTTTCCAGGGGGCCATACTGGGCGGACAATGTTAGTAGAAGAGAAAAAGGGTCGCAGCTTGATGGTGTCATCATGAGGGAAGATACCATGGACGGACAGTCAAGAGCGGATGGTCTATATCTGAGTGGGAGATTTAAGGTTATCCGCCTTAATCCATGCTCTACGGAGATACGGGACTAAGATAATGCAGAAAAGGCAAAAAGTATATCTTATCAAATCACCAGGTAAATATCCCTGTGAACAAGGACTACTGCGTAAAGGGCAAGTCAAAACATGGCCCTTGATTGTCACGGCTTTCCCTCCTCTGACTCTTCGGGCGCGACAACTCGCGGTGAATAATCTCGACCATTTCCTCCGTTTCATCGAGTGTGGAAAGTGTTCCACGTCTCTGTAAGCCAGCTCTTCCTTCATCTTCGGTATTAACTGTCCCGGCGTCTGGATTCAATTCCTTTCTCGCCAGCTGGGCCTCCTGCTGTACTGCCACTGCTGCCGCAATGCGCTCTTGCATTGCCTTATCATCCGCCTCTTTCTTGATCGCGGCAAAATGAGCACGCCGATAGACACCAATAGAGCTGAGAGCGAGACTGAGAATCTCCCAAGAGAACAGAACGGGAAGTGCGTAGTTGAGTTGTGGGTTGCAACCACCGGACCAGATATCCATGAGAACCTGGAAGACACTGTGCGCCGGGAAAATGTAGCCAACCTGGAAGAAGGCTGGCGAAAGTTCGAATGGAAGTAGGATCGAGGTGACATTCAGCACAATCCACGTGATCAGTGCCATGGGCACATAGGGAGGCGGGGCCCAGATCGAGAACACGTCCAGAGTGAGGAAATTCAAGTGGGCAAATAGCCATAGGATCATCCAGTTTAGCATGAATTGACTGCCGTTCACGTGCCAGCCGTATCGGAAAGCCCAGATAGCACCCGTGACACATAGGGAGCCGACAAATGTATACACTGCAGAGATGATAATACGCACAACCACGATCCGATGAGGCGACACGGCTGTATAGAGTCGGAACTGTAGGTAAAGGCCGTTGATGCAACCCAGGTAGAAGAATTCCTGAATCAAGATCAAAATGATGACTAGTGTATTATAGATCAGTCGAGAGCCTTGTGTTGTTGGTTGGATGTCCACCGAGGTTAAGATCCATGGGTTAGAGAGGACTGAAATAGCTGCCGGGTCGGATGTATTGAGTGCTTGTATCGTTTGCTTTCCACCTCGGTCAGTAAATGCAATTCGTGCCACTTCTGATAGCTCCCGTAAGGGATCAGAAATAACAGAGTCCGAGACTGATGGGTAGCGTGCCTCATTCCAGACCATCGTGAGAACATCGCTTCTGTTATACGAAGAAGCGAGCGAGCCACCCGCGAGGGCAGCTGTGAAGCGATCTGAAGCATTGGGTGAGGTGTAAAAGGCAGCCCAATATTTGATGTCACAAATTGTGCCCTCGAGGTCGTTAGGAGTAGGATAATCCCGTTGAGACCTCTCAATCAGGTTCGGGAATCCCGGGCCTTGAAGCTGAGTATAGGCCTCGCGAACCGCATCGCCTATTGCTCCACCATCATAGTCGACATAAAGAACATTGATATTGTGGACATGGGTTGTTTCTTGATAGAGAGACCCAAAGAGATAGCAAAGCAAGCTGAGGAAAAGGATTTGGAGAATAATGAGATTGAGGGTGGCCGCTTTTAGAACACCCATTCGTAGTGGGCGAACTGTGGGATCATTGATGCTAGGACGGGGCTGGCGCCCCTTCGGATAGATCCCCATGTGACGAGAAGGGTGGAATAACGGTTGGATGGGATCGATAAAATCTACGCAAGCAGATGGTATTTAAAAAATCGAGTATGGATCGGGCTTCGCCGGCATTTGAAGGGTTGAGTATGTCATTCTAAGCTTAGAAGCTTGCGCGAATCCACTCCGGCTACTGCGAGGATAGCGGCACTGACTAAGCACGATTAGAAATCCGTTGACTCAAAGGCCGAAAAAGAATTGCGGTTTTGGCTAGAGAAAAGGACGGAGAAACGGCGTACTCTAGAATAGCGATTACCCATGCTTTATTTCCACATACCAGGGTGCCCCACGAGCCTAGATCTGTAAAGCTACTCCGGTTGAACCAATAGGATCCCATCGTTTGTGAGCCCGAAATTCATGAAGCGGCAAAAGTGGTACTTCATCGAGTGTAGACGTAAGGGGCGCCACGTGCAAAACCTAGTAACTAAACGGACATTCCTGCTGTTTGAAAATCGACATTGAAAATCGACAATGTAAAAGACCAATCGACACTACCTTCAGAAACAAGTAATACATCAGTTCATATCCTAAAATCTTGACTACAGTCTTGCACATTCTTACCATACTATTTATACTAAAAATGGCCCCTTCTAAGCTGATCGTGGTGCTGGGTGCTACTGGAGGCCAGGGGAACTCCGTAGTGGAGGCCTTCCTCACGGAAAAGGACTACATTATTCGCGGTGTGACCCGTCAGCCTCAAAGCGAGAAAGCCCAGGCTTTGTCGAAAAAGGGCGTTGAAGTCGTGGAGGCGGATAACAACGATGAAGCGAGCCTCGTGAAAGCTTTTGAGGGAGCTTCAGCTATTTTTGCGATGACCGATTTCTTTGAGCCATTCGCCAAACATGGCCCCCACAAGGCCATTGAAATTGAGCAGAAACAGGGGGAAAATATTGCACGCGCAGCCTCGAAGACAGCTGGACTCCAGCACTTCCTCTGGAGTACGCTTCCGGATGGCAACACTCTGACCAAAGGCAAATTTGTTATCCCACATTTCGAAGCCAAAAACCGAATCAATCGGTTCATTCAAAACGACAAGGCGCTACTTGCGAAAACAACGTTCCTTTGGTTTGGTTTCTATACCGAGAACCTGTTCTATCCGATCTTCACTCCGATCTATGTGGTACGTACTCTCCACCACGTAGCATCTAGATTGGTTCATTCAATTAATCTCTACTACAGAAAAGCGCACAGAAGTTCATCCAACTGTCTCCGGCGGACCCTTCGACTCCAATCTGGTCCGTTGGTGATCACCGAACTAACACCGGAATCTTCGCCCGTGCCATTGTGAAAAATCCACCCAAAGATGGCGGAACTTTTGTCCGATGCTTTGCAGAGTATCACTCATCTCTCAACGATTATCTTGCTGTGTGGGGTCGCGCGAGTGGTCTTTCCCCGTCGGCAGGCTCGACCATGGTTGTCAAGGTTTCTCTGCATGAGTATAGCCAGCTGTGGCCCGGCTGGGGCGAGGAGATGGGGTCGATGATGGCTATGTGGAGTGCCTTGCGAGAGCGTAGCTGGGCTGGTCTCGATGGTGATCATGTACTGGACATCGATAATATACTGTCTGCGGATGATCGGAAGTCCGTGATCAAAACGGAGGCCGCGTTTCGAGCGCTGGATTGGAAGAAGATCCTGTGAGGAGGTAATGTTTCCATGTCGAAAGACTTATGAAAAAGCTGGAATATTTGTCATCCATGTTGTGACATACACTGCCCCTAGGAGTCGTGACACATAAAAGCACCACTCCTGGTTTTTCACCATCACAATATCCGCCTCTAGCATCTACGTTGTTCTCATCTGGGAGCTCTCCACTGGGCCCTAGGGCATGCCTAGCCCACCGGGGAATGGGGACACACTTGGGAACAGAATCCGGCAACTTATAAGCTAGCTTCGTGATCTATGGTGCTTATGGGATACCAGGTTTGGCTGCCATAACTGATCCCGTGTGATAGTCCAAGACTAACGCTGCGGCGATTACAGCCCTTCACATGGGTATACCCGGGTTGTCACATGGGATTTACATTGGGGACTAGCCTGTTCTTTATATCGGATGAGTGATACTGCATTAAAAATTGAACCAATGGCACCAATGACAGATGCTTATTGTACGCATTGGTAACTGCTTAATGGCTCATTGTTAAGGATATAGGTCCCAATTTCCTGGTATCATACAGCTGGATGCAATACCGTTGCAAATATTCATAATTCTGATTTCTTGTCTTGAACCTCATCCAAAACAGAGGTAAACCGTAGACGGCAAGTTTATGGAATATCTATCAGTCGAGTAATTTAATGTACATAACTATAGTGTAATAATATCACTCATGCCGGTGCGGAAGAGCGTCATTTCGTCGAATATGTATCTACAGCCGAGATGTACCTACATTGATGTATATACAGTCGTGGTAGCCTGCACGTCGTTCGGGCCATATTTGCCGTTAACCATGGAATTTTCAGTGCAAGCCATGTAAATATAGCCCTCAGTATCCCGCAGGACATATATTCAAGAGTCTGATAATGCCTTCATTCCATGTCCCTTTTGACTGCTGGTTTGGTCCAAAATCCCTAACCTTAGATTGACTGTTTTAGGAGAGCAACTTCTATTTGCCAGGTCACAGCCTATAAGAATGTCTTCCGAAGAAAGTATCGCGCCGCATGTTGCCTCTGCTGATACAGGTTCCGGGATTGGGTCATCCGGTCCCAATCCTGCGGTCTGCGTCTCTACCACTTTAGTTACACCACAAGCGAAATCATGGGCGATAACTGGTGGCACAAATTCTGAGGAACCACCGCTTGTGGCATCCCACCTGGAGATTTGCCAGTAACACAGCGGAGCGGCACAGCATGGTGTACCTCCCAGCGTCCCAGGTGACATGACAGTTGGAGCTACACCTTCTGGTGTTCCTCCCGGCGTCTCTGCCAGTAATGGCTTTGAAGCTCCACGGCCTGGTGTATCTCCAGTGTCCCTGGTGACATGACTACTGGAGCGCTTCCTGTCGGACTCATAAGCCTGTCTGACGACGATCCCGTGGACAAGGAAGGCTATGAAGCAAGTGGCGACGATGACAGATTGAAACTTTCCAAGGGAAACCAAAATGCAGTGATCAAGACACTTTGGTTGCGAAATTGGAGGCCCTACTACCAGAGGGCAAACGGAAGTCCTCCAGCAACTTCAGGAGATTTTGACACCAAGTGGGGTTCTGAAAACCAGAAGAAGCGCCTTCAGCACAAAACAGTACAATCTCGTCATCTAACCGAAGGCAAGCGCTAACATCGAGCAGATATACAGAAAGCCATTAGTGCTGGGAAGAACCCTAACTGGGACCACCATCGCGGTGGACCAAGCATATCAGCGTCCCCAGTTCCAAAGTTGCACCCTGTAAGGAAGCGTATAGGGAAGAAACTCGATACCTGCACATGATTGCGCATGTTACAATCAAGGAACCCAGAATGAATGGGCATGATGATGGCGCAGGCAGGGGCTGCTTCAGACACTGATGCAGAAATAATGCGGTTCAACCAGCAGGGCGAACTTGATGCGCACACTTGCACTATTTGAAGTCGATTTGCTCGCTTTGGCACGACATAAACGGTGCGAATAGGCCAGAAGCAAAACAAACCAGCAAGATAGCACTCAAGAGCTTATGTGATGGATACTATAATTTCGTAGATTCGTGATGCAATCGCTGCCAGGCCGCCATCCTGAGGCCCATGGGACAGCGTGGCCATGACTGGCGCGTAAATGAATCATCTTCAAGCGGCTTTCCTATTCGCGACTTGAGTTTTCCTCTAACTTCCATTTAGAGACGGACTTTTCCTTCAAGGTCCAAGTGCGCGTATGATGAGCCAACGCAGCCTCACAGGTACTGAGCTACGCTTGGCTGAGGACGAGAACGTACGTATCGAGGAACTGCTAGGGGAGAGATCGCCGGCGTCCCTGGGTGGCCGATACAAATAGGGTCAGCGAGTGTATGATATCTACCGACCAAACAGTGTCGCTGTTCCAGTGGTTCTTTCCAGAGAAGCTTGCATTTTCTGCCGGCCACGACCAAATTAATGAGTGAAGTTGGTAATATTGGAAGGGAAGCACTAAGCTCCCGATCTCAAGGCAAAATCTGGGTCTCTGCTAGCCTGAACACCTGGCTTTAGTGTAACTCCCATGTCCCCTACTTCCTCTGAGAGGATCTGCAAACCCGCAAGGCACTGAAGAGAGTGAGATGCATAGTAGCAGCCGAAGAGTAGCACTTAGGAGGTTCGCCGTTACCTCCTAAGATATGCGGGGCCTAATGAGTTGGTCTTGATGTGGGCAACAACCACCGTTATAAAGTGCTTTAATGCTGACCACTGCCAGCTTGTTACAAAGAATGGGATCACACATGAAGGATGTACAAACCTGGATGGAGCAAGTTACGACTGTGCTACGGCAGAGATTTGGGGAGGCGCCGGAACCGGCTATAGAAAATGGGTTCAATGCAGAGGACGTCTGATTAATATCATGTACTTTCCTGAGAATCTTATTATCGGCCCAGAATCAGCAAAAGCAGTGAGCTTTCATGTTTTGCGCATAAGTCAGCCTTGATATCCCGCACTGAGTTATATGACTGTGAAATGCCCATAAGTAAGTAGCATTGGTGATCTAGAATAAGCGTAGGGCTTGCGTCGCCTGGCTTATCCAGGGGATATGCTCTGCTTCGACTGAAGAGAAGTCGCAACCTTCAGCAGCGTCCGTTTGGAAAACAAATCTGACCTCTGTTCAAAGGGTCGTTGGATGATACAATGTAGCTCAGCTTTGAGAGTATTAATAGCAAGAGTAAGCTTGGTTGAACATCCAGTTATGACGGCGGCGATTGATCCGCCTCCTGAATGGATAAAGGTAGAGAGTGGCAGTCTCGAAAGGACCATATGGCCGCTGAATTCATACAGGGACTATGGGGTGCGACTGACGGACTGGTTCGGTCTGAGGGGAGTGAAGAACTACCGTCGCACGAAAGAGACGTACGTACAGTGCGGATTTACCTTGACGGGGTTGAGAGAGTGGGTGTCTTCTATGGACGATGTAGCAAGCCATCCTGAATGGGGAGAGGAAGCCCATCGTCCGAACTTCCTTCTGATCAGTGCTGAGATTCCGCCGACGGCACGATAGCATTATGTCGAATACATTATATTCATATGTTTCCCTTCATTTGTGTTATTCTAGTCTTCATGGATGTCGAAAATATATCGTGCCGCTATTTAATAGGAGGACTTCCCATTGCAAGCCCCGAATCTGCCTCAATCAGTTATGCTTAAACAGCGCAGGATGAGAGGGAGAACCTACCAACTTCAATCTGCTGTCCAGTCATGGATGTATTCTTTGCCAAAGTCATGAACATATTCGTGTAATCCTCCAGGTCGGTCTACTAGAAAGTGAGCAAGCAATCAGAAGATACTAAGGACAAGAGCATCACCTCATGCTTCAAGATGGCCTTCTGATTGAGCCACTCAATCGCCGTCTTGCCGTACTTTTTACCCTCATCATCATCTTAATGCCGGAAGAATATTTGAATGACAACAAGGAGGGACTCACCCAGTCAGCCAACAACTGTCCCGACAACAGCGTTGACTCAGATTTTTGATCCCATGGACAACGCAGGATTTAGGTGTAAAGCGGCGGCTTTGGTCACCGAGTAGCCCATGCTGCTTCCGTCTGGAGTGATGCCCTAATCATATATAGACGCTGCCGTCCGCATTCTCCTCGACATCATGCAGAGACCTCTAGGCTCTGATAAAAAGGAGCGGTTATAGAAGTAGAGGTTGTCAATATCATGTTGCTTTACATTCTGATTCTGTACCGTACCACAGCCACTAGTGGAATCGAAGTATTATAAACAACAAAGCCGTAACCAGAGTGCACAGGAAATAGTAGGATGGCTTCTCTGATGAATGATGGCGATATCCTTGAATAGAATCACGGCGCCTTGAGGGTCTTTGATTCCTCGCTTAGTTTCGTATTTTGGCGTAATGGTTGAGAACACTCTGGCCTTTACCACATAGACGCAGTTTGGCATTCTGGATTTCTTTCCCAAATTTGGCTCTTATGAATCCTTGTTCCTTGCCCGATCGCAAGCGTTTGCAAAACATTCCCCAAAGCGACTGTTCGACTTAATCTAAACCTGAACTTGGCGCAACCAAATATCCGACTAATCCCAAGATTATTTCGCTGGTTGGTACCACCACAGCATTGCCTGCTATCCGCCCCACTGCTTTCCAATAGGCATCCCTTCGTGGTTGCGACCGATCTCGTTCCTTATATCATAAACTTTCCTTGAAGAGCCAGAGAGCCTATTCCTGCTATGGCTGATTCTAGTCGCGTTGTTTGCGTGGCTATATCATTGGTCCTAACTCTAGGCGCCCTTATCGCTATGCTTTGTGGCAATGCACCTGGTATTGCACGCCAAGACATCTACCTATTCCAGGTCCTGGCAACCGGCAACCACTTCTTCTCTTCCTCTAGCTATACAGATCCAGCTGGCTTTTGCAGACTAAAAACGGCCCGCCTCAAAACACACAGCTTATTCAACGAAATCCACAATACCTGCCCTCGTCGCAATAAGAGAACAATCAGATTTAATGCGGCCGACATTGGTGTCCGTGCCGTGTACAATGTGAGCCTATGGGGCTATTGCCATACCCCTCAAAATGGTTCCCAGGTGTGCTCAGAACCTAGACTCAACTGGGCGGAGGCATCACTGAATGCGGCCAAACGCAACGTTGAAGATTGGATCAACGCAAAGGACCGTCACATAGCCCTACCGGAGCGCTTTACAGACATGATTCAAAAATTTCGCCTCTGGACCCTCGTGGCCGAGGTTTTCTCTGTTATTTCCATTATGGCACTTAGTGCCGAGTTATTTTTTGGCATCTTCGCGACTCGCAGCCTTGTTGTCTCCTGTGCCACATTCCTCGTGGCGTGCGTCGCCACTGTTGCCGTCTGCATTACGGCATTCGCTGCGACACTCATGTTTGTTGTTTCTACGTTCTCTATAGATTTCGGGGTCATCCCTAGTAGGTGGTTTCTGGCACTCCCGATTAGCGCCGTTTTCGCTATCGCTGCCTGCGTCTCCTGGCTTTTTACCACATGCTGCTGCTGTGCTCCAGATAACGGCCGCCACCAGCGTGGTAGGGATCGCAAAAGAGAGACGCTCGTTCCGTCTAGCTCCTATGGAGCTCAGGCACAGCATCCAACGCTTGGTCCACAGTAACGCTGATGTGTTAGTGTTACAGTCGAAGACGGGTCTTTGTAAGGAGTTCCCGCACATATCAGCTTAGCGGCTTGCATGAGTTGTAAATGCGATATAATGTTCACTTTCCAACACTGCAATAATTAGCATTTTAAACAAGAACAGACAGGCTGCATCTTGCCTTGTCCCATTCTTTAAAAGACAAATCATAAAAGTTCTGTCTATCAGCAAACCAAGTCCACCCAGCATTTGCAATAATGATATCCAGGCTGATAATTGCTCCTTTGCCTCTTGAACAATATGTTGATTATCCTCTGGGCGTTCAGAGTCCTATATAATATTAATCCTCCTCTAAAGTGCTTTCGGAAATTAAACTGACCCCTTAGAGAATAATACACTTGGTAGAGTACTTATTACCTAATCAACTGGCGAGGTTATCTGCAACCTTGCAGCTCAAGTAGTAGCTAATGACTACATTGCACCCGTCAGCTGTGAATTTCTAGCACATCACAGCGCCCAAGCCCCTGAACCGACGTTAGCTTTGGAAGGGAAAGGAGAAATATGGGATGTTACCTTAAGCCTGCCATGATGAGCACATTCTTCCCCTTGAGACTATATAGCATTATGTATTGCGTTGCAATCTGAGGTGGGTGATGGTTGAAGTGAGAGTGAGTCAATGACAGCCAAATGTCGAGACTAATGCGGGGTAGAGTTGGCCCCTAATCTTCATTCTCTTATTCACACTCTTTCCATGACAAGTCAGAGAATGGCGGTATTGAATGTTTTGAAATTACCCTATGCAGCCACATGACAGTACCTATGGATAGGCTTGACCCTTGAGCGTATTAGTGCATAGAATTCAAACAACTTCCAGAACTCCTGCCTTACAAGCACTAAATAGACCTGCCATATGATATGCCGCAGAAAGAGACTGAGTTACTAAAAAAATTGCCAGTTAGCTACCTGGACTGCCTTTGTTTATATAAGCATATACTAGTAAATCCCCAGTTCAACTTACTTAAGAGGAGATCTGGCAGGCTTAGGTGCATGCCTCTATAGCGAGATACGTTACGTAGTTCCAATAGTTAACTTCAAATATGTCCATTCCCAGCTAATGTTCACTTGTGAGATAAGATGGAATTGAACAAAAATACAGGTAGATAAATTTCAAAGGCTGAAATATTGTAGTTCTCCATTCCTCCGGGCGTCGTGCCTCGAGATACAGAGGGAAAACTTCGAGTGATAGTCTGCCCTCTAATTCAGCATCTAGCGCATTCAGAGTGACCCCTTCATTCCGTCTTCAGCTAATTTCAAGATTGGCCTCATATTCCCTGGCTGCACTCTTTCCCATAGAGTGACCCCACCGTCCTTTAATCCTTGCTCGTTTGCCACACGAAACCATTGCTCAGCAGTCCTGATTCTGTTTGGGTGTATCTCATCAAGCAGCTTATAGTCCCTCTTGATGATCCCCTGATTCTTACCCGAGTCCCTCCACAGATTCCAAAACCCAGTGAAATTCTCCCGGACCGTCATGAAAGCCGGGTCACTAGGATCGGAGTTATACCCTCCCCCCAGCTCTGCCGCCATGCTCAAAGGTCCTCTGGCCCAGTAGTTGTCCAGATCTTCGTCAATAAACCGCGCTGGATGGCCTGTGACTGCCTCAAAAGCACGAGCTAGGTCCTCGTAGTGTACGTGCTCAATCGCAACTTCCAGGTCCAATCCATTTGCTCTGTCGGGGTTGTCAAACATCCATCGAACATAATACCCGCAATCGTCAAGAGACACATGTGGTATGGCGCCGGAACCTAATGGCACCCGCCATGTAACAATCCCGTCTTCCACCGTTGGAGACATAGGGGTCCCGATCGCAATCGTCATTTCGATATATGGACCGCTTGTGAAAACAGCGGCCCTCATCCGCCCCTGATTGAATTGGTTTTGGAAAAGCACCCACTCTGCGATGCGTCCTTTCCCGTCATAGTGTCCACAGAGGTATTTCGGGTCGTATCCACTCTTCTTGTAGCCGTAGTCCAGGTTCCCATAGACAAAGAATTTTATGCCTTCTTCAATGGCGAGCTCATAGGCGCGTATTGCCCAGTATGTCTCGGTTTTCTCGCCACAGTTAAATCCATCTATGTTGATAAATGCGCCATCGCATCCGCGGTACCCCCTGCGAAGATCGTATTCACTGGCGAATGAGCCCTCGATAAACTCGACGTTTCCAAGTGATTCCAGCTGCCTAGCACGTGGTGATGTGCTATTGCGTGTGAGTACCCTAGCCTGATACTTTTTGTCGCGCACTAGGCCTGAGATGACTGATATACCCTGGGCACCAGTGCCCCCAACCACAAATATTTTGACAATCCCCTGTGATGCCATTTGGACAATAGAAGCAGCAAAAAAAGAATATGGACGGTGTAGTAAAAGGTCGACTCGTAACCTTACTTCTGGGAAAGAGCTCGGTAATCTGAAGGAAAAAATTTATGGTTAGAGATTTGGATTAAGTAGTAATTGCAGACTCGTTACGTCAACGTTATTAGTCGAATAACTAGTTCACCGGCTGAGTAGATTTCCGTGTTCACTAATCATTCGAATGCAGGGAGCCGCCACTGATATATCAGACCGTGGTTGAAACATGGATCGAGCACTGCTTCCACTGAAAAGGTTAATATAGAGCTGTTTTGTTGAAGCAAAGTCGGCCTTGATTTGTAATGTTCAGTAACCAAACAGACATCTTGAACTTGGTTAACTGGCGCTCTAGTCTAGTTAGTTATTCGGTGGGCCATTAGATAAACTCTGCCCCCACTAAAAAAGAACCTTAAAACCACAAGCTTCCAGCTTGTAAAGATTCGAGCGGAGTGAATTGGCTGATTACTATTCAGGATTTGTCAACCATGCGGGATTACGCAGCGACGCCGGAACGAGTGGCAAGTTCAACTCTTCAAAAGGTCAGACGGTTAACCACTTGAGAATTACGTTGTTGGAAACCACACGTCATCACATACCACTTTTTTTAGTGCTAGCACTCACGCTATTTACTTACAAATATCTCGGAAGCTACCCTCATTCCATGTAGCTTAAAATATCGGCCATTATCTCATATTTATATTGACACAATACTAAAGTATCGACATATCCCTACGCATAATAACACGATGGTCGACTTGAAAGAAATTGCCGTAATCGGAGGCACTGGCGCTCAGGGCATGCCTGTGGTCAAAGGCGAGGGAGTACAAATCATTAAATTTGCTACCTTGAGTCTCGCTAACTTCGGAGTAGCCTTGGCTGAGAGCGGACGATACCGTCCCCTATCCAGATAGCGTCAGTGAAAAGGTTAACTCCAAGCGTGAAGATAGCGAAGCTATCTCCTGAAGTTGTGGTTAAATTCGGATCCCACATCACACTCAGTGAGGCTAAAAGCATGATATTTGTCGAAGAAAACACGGAAACTATACCGGTACCAAAAATGTGCGCTTGCTAGTCTTACGGTCCAATACAACGAGATTAGAGTTGCATAACCGAACCGCAAAAATCGAAGCCGACCCCACCGAACTCGCAGCGGTGCAGGGTCGGGGGTAAGCCTAGGGAATCGCTTCGGGTTCGGTTTCTCTACCCCAGACCCGATTCTGGTTCGATTAAAACCATCAGGTTACGGTTTTTGAGGGTTTAACTGTTAGGTTTAACTAACCCTTACTGTTTTACTTAGTAATCACTAATTCCTAGGATTTCTCAAGAAATATTAATATTACTAGATAGCCTAGTATCTAGTCTATCTAAATATGAAATATCAATTCAAAATATCTAGTGGTTAGTAAGATATAAGGGAATAATCATTTCTATCAGGGGTTGGTGTAAAGGGTCGACTACAACCACTCTGTACCACTCTGTTATGCTGCCATCCCTTCCTTCCTAATTATTTTTAACCTTCTGCATTATACCTTGAACTATTTTCAAATTGTTGCTGCAAGCATCTAGGATAGGCAGCGAAGATAAATAGTATTCCCCTTGTCTGATATTCAAGAAGACAAGGATTAGTTTTGTGCTTATACAATCTACTACTCTTTACTATTCTCCCTCATTGATTATTGTCATCAATGCTTACCTGGTCAACGGGCTATCTACCCTGTCACATAGATCCTTACAACTAGGCTATATTTAATTCTCTTATTACTATCTTAAGCTAGTAATTACTTTTAAAAATACTATTCTATAATATTAGAGCTATATTAAGTTTATTTACAGAAGCTAATAGGAGAATAAGATCTCTAATAGAGACCTAGACTTCTCACAGAAGGTTATTTAGAAGCTGGATATTGCATGTCCGGGGATATTCATGTTTGGCGAGCGGAACGTTGGCTTGCCCTGGCTTGGGGAGTTGACAGAAATTCCGTTCAATTCGTACTGTCAGGCAGCAGATTGGAATAAGGCACCTAACTTGTCTCGTGACCAGCAACAGCCAATAAGCTACGCTACTTCTGTATCTTAGAATCATATTTATTGTACTTAGGAGATTCAGGCCTTAATTAGATTGAATCTGAAGGACATGACTCTGTTATTTATTAACTTCGACCTGGATCTTACTTGATTCCATTAACCACATCTAACCCAGTTAGTTCTATCTTTTCCAGTAATTTCGTATGTATTCGGAGCCACTGGAGATGGCGGATTGCCTGGTGGTGAATACTTAAATTCAGCAGGCGATATATTTTCGTGTGATTGTAGGCAAACAATATCCAGGCGGTTGTGACAAATCAATGAGAGAAGCCATGGCGGCGAGTTAGCGAGTAGACTGCGAAGCCTGTTGACATAGCACCTATATCTGAGTCTCCGGTGTAACCAAATAGGGAAGCCACTGCAAAATATACAGACGAATCTAAATCCCCAGGTATGCCGAGACTGTCTGTTTAATTTGCCCAGTTTGAGCGGTGTGAGTGATCTATTCCAGATATTTTATTATTCTGGAAGCGGGCGCGTGAATAATGGACAACGTACAAGGTACAGGGCAATATCGGAAGGAGCAGAAAAGAAAAGGAGCGAAAGATCGGATAGACCGCAAAAGAGGAGCAAAAGATCTGATAAGGTGCAAAAGAAAGAGATCAAGGCGAAGGATGCTGTTGCTTTGCCCAGTCTACTGCATGAGTCTCACTGGTCAGCCAATCCACATTTTTCTAGCGACCCCAGGCATCGGGGGAGCAGGAATTGAGTGGAGACTGGTGGGTATGGTCACTAGTACTGGGCCTGGAACTGGGAAGTGGGAACATTTATTCGAGAGATCGGCAGGAAAGATATGGAGACAAGGGGAGGTAAATGCCAGGAGGGGTTTCGATGCAGGTAAACTATTCCACTTATGTACTAGATACTATCCCTTGTCGGCGCTAGTCGAGAATTGCGACAGGTACGCATGGGAAGAAATCAAGCGACTTCTCTATATCCAAGCCATTGGTTGGTGATGTCTGGGTGGTCGGGACCCAGTCACTCACATAGGGACCCACCCAGTCACTGACATAGGCACCCGGTCACTGACACAGAAACCCGGTCACTGACATAGGTCCGTCGGTCTTTGGATCACATCTCTACTGTGCTTCGTGCCTCTTGAGATCAGAATCTGTGAGTTGTTGTTCACTCGAGTCTCAAGGCTCAAGCTTCTCCAAATGAAACTATCTAAATAGCTCATTCATCTCTCTCGAGCGCTCAGTATTTTATTTCTCCGTATAGAACATCAATTCTACTTGTATTTCGAAGAGATTATAATTCTTGTTTCCGTTCTCAGCTACTAGATGTCGAGTCCTGTCCCTTCCGTCTACAGAGACCCACCCCATTATGTATATTCTTTCGACGTTGACACCCACTTGGGTTCTTCCAGTCAGACTGGAGACTCTACTCTCCATTACCCTGTTCAGGAGCAATCACTGGCCTTTGCGACCGATCCGACGGCTGCTACATATCCGTCGCAAATCGTTCCTCCTGGTATAGCTTCGCGATCTGATTGGCATATGCCAGTGTCAGCAATGTCTCAACCAGCATTTGCCCCGGATTTACTTTCTCTTAATCCAGGAACAGAGGCATTTCTCAACCAGCGATGGGACAATCAACCTTTTGTGGAGAGACGCTCTCGCCAGTCTCGGGGTCATATCATTGAGAATGGCGGGCATGGTGACTCAATTCCACCTTTGATAGATCAGTTTCATCCTCTCCGGTCTCTGAACGAGGACGGAGTCTACCAGACTACCAGCAAAACGTAGGTTTCCCGAGCTGTCTCAGATACCGCTGCTGATTGCCCCGCTCATAGGCTACCAGCTGAAAACGCCCAGCTTGTCTGCAAGTGGGAGGGATGTACCTACAAAAAGCCATTCAACAGAAAGGCGGACCTAACTCGTCATGTCGAGTCGATGCATATTGCGCCACGATCGTACTGCTGTCTCGTTGAGGGTTGCCCTAGACTTTTCAGCAGGAAGGACAGACGCGATGCACATATGCTGCAACGGCATTTGGTCTCGAGTTCACAGAGGCAGGCTGGAGAGTAGTGACTTGCATGAGATCTATTTGATCCTTTGCTTGCAAGAATTTTTGCGTTGGCGACTGGCTTTTGCTCTTTTGTTCTTTTCTTTTCTTATTTTGTCTTTGATGGTGATATGCAAGCGAGTTGTATCAATTGGTTATCGTCTCTTACTGTAAGATGAAGAGACCATCCGGTGGTGAGGTAAAGGGTACTTGATGCTGAGGGCATAGAGAAAAGGTACCAACTAGCTGACGAGCACATTTCATCAAAGACTTGTAGTAATGCACTCGGCATTGAAGAGGAAGATGATTGGTCCGGTGGAGCGTGTGGACTTGAAAGCAGGCGGGGAGGTTGTTGAGACTTGGGGTGTTTAGGTTCCTCCTCTGGGGAAGGGTAATTCCGCACATGATAATGGTGCTATGATAATGCACTCGTGTTCAAAACTTGAAAATAATATATAATATTCGACATACTCATTCAACGAGAAGTATATCGGAACGTTCCAAGTGCCGAGAAATTTAATCTCTATACCACGGCAGGGCTTTTCGTTACCGACGATCTATCGTTAGAATACCGAGCTACGAATCAGGCGCTCCAGTCTATCTTAAGCTGTTGTTTACCTGAACTAGAAAAGTGGTAAAAAGTCATGTCAAGCTTCGACCCCGCACTGTGGCCTTTCGGGAAATAGCGAGACTTGTCTGGATTTCGGGGGAACAATGGCCGAGACTGTCACCTGCTTTCGTCTACTCAACGGTTTTGCGTAGAATACTGTGCAGAGGATGACCAGCTTATGTTTTAGAAGGTATTTTCGATTAAAGAAAAGAGGATTGCATCTCAGTGGGTAGCCCGGAGAAATATGAGAGATCTGAAGTCCCCTGAAGAGCGGCAACTGAAGTTCATATCGATATCTCATTCTATATGCAGGCTCTATATATGATTCATCTATATCCATGTCATATCTAAAAAGCTCAAAATCTTTTGCAGCGGAAGACATGTCCTAACCCAGCCACGACATGTTCCTGACGATATGGCTGCAGCCCACACAACCGGACGTAGCCATTAGCACTAGTGCAAGTATGCAATGTCCTGCAGATGGTTTTGACACGCAAGACCACATGCCCTCAATCCCGTTTCAAGCCAACTTTACCCGCCTTCCGCAGGCCAAAGTACCCGAGAAGAGTACAAAGAACCATAAACCCAAACATCGTCCAGAAACTAGCGCGGTATCCAGCCATCAGCGCACCAGTCTCATCAGCGCCAGACTCCTCCGTCACAATCGTCGAGATAACCTGCAGGATCGCCAGGCCTAGGGCACTGCCGAACTGCGCGGCCGTATTGAAGACGGCACCTGCCAGCGCCTGTGTGTCATCCGGGAAACTGTTCGTGATGATGATTAGGCCGATGGTGTAGAGCGCGTTGAAGCTGACGGCCTGCAGGAGTTGCGCGACGAAAGCATTTCCCCAGTAAGGCCAGGACGGCTGGGTAACGGCCATGAGTAATGGGGAACCAGCGCAGAGGAGGGAGGTCACTGTGGCGATCCAGAAGGCGGGGACTTTGTGTACGAAGACGCCGATGACGAGGTTCAGGAGGACGCCGACAATGAGGCTGGGGAGGATGCGGACGGAGGCGTCCAGCGCCGATAGGCCTTGGACTTCTTGGAAGCTGGGCCGGGTTAATGAGAGGGCCACAAGGGGGACGGAGGGAAGGCTTACAATAAGCTGGCAAAGAGCTCCATTGAATTGACGACTGTTGTTGAGATGGCGAGGGCAGCGCAGATGCTCGAAAAGGCTGTGTTTTTCCACAATGCATTGGGAATGAGGGCTGGCTTGTTCCTCTTGACTTGGTAATGAACCCAGCCGATAAATGAGGGAAGGGCAAGGGCAGCCAGGCACAGAATGACGATGCTATCGGCAGATTTTATCCGTGATGGATTGGCGCTCACAATACTATTCTTCCGGTTAGCTTCAGCCGATGTTATTGTCACAGGACGACCTACGCCAGGAGATAACAGAGCAACGCCATGAACGCGGATGCCAGCCCAGCACCAACCCAGTCGATTTTAGTCCTGATGTTGTGAAGGAGATCCGAGTACTGCGTGGTCTTACTCCGAGGCAAAGCCCAGACACCGGCAACCGAGAATACCAGCGTGATACCGCCCGAAAGAAACCACCCCGATCTCCAACCGATAGTGTCGACCAGGACGCCCCCGACCACCAGGCCCAAAGAAAATCCAAGTGGTTGGCTGACCCCCAAGCACGAAAAAGCGACATTACGGCTTCTTCCTGGAGGCAGAAGCTGTGTCACGATAGAGATGGAAGAAGCCAAGTGCATCGCGAGACCGACACCTTGGAGTGCCCTCAAAACCACCAACTCCTGCCCGGTGCGAGCCACTCCCTGACCGATCATCAATGCACCACTGGCAAAGGAGCCCACGAGTTCGACCCATCGTGGACCAACAGTGTCTGCCAGGGACCCCGCCAAGAGAAGAGTCGCGGCGGTCGCGAGGCTACTCACCGATGAAGGCCAGAAGGATAGAGAAGGGGGAAGTTGAAGCTCCTTGGTGATAGTTGGCAGACCGACAATCACCAGCCCATTGATCACGCTTGCTGTTAAAGTCACAGCGAAAAGCTGGCTGAGTACAATGACCTTTCGCAACTGCGATTCTCGGGACTTTTCTGGCGACCGAAGATTTGTCGCTTCCAATACCAGAGAATTGATGGGTGTAATCGTCGCAGTCGTAGTGGTAGACATGTTGCCGACTGCTGAAGTATCGCTAAAGTTCGGAATCCTTCAGGGCCTTTATTTAGATAGGAGCTGGTTAATATATGACTCAAAGGACTAGACCACGCCCTGGGAGATACATTTTTCCCTTCAGTTCAGAAGAAGCGAGACTAAGAGACATGCCACGCGACGCTAGGGCGCGCTAAAGTCTAAAACTGGGGATATTAGGCAATAGAAACGTATTCCTCCGGTGTCGCCCGCTCCGGCTTCATGGTTCGTGCGCCCGAGCTCGGAGATTCGCTCTGATAGCCGAGCCCGACCCACTCAGCGGACTATAGACTACCAGTATGAGATCTTATGAGTTTAGTTCGTCTTGGAGATGTTCCGAATCTCAAACGTCAAGTATCCGTCCTATTCCAGTTTTTACTACTCCGTACAGTCTACAAGTGGGACAGCACTTGACCTTTCTTCGACTCAATGGCGTAAAGCGGACTAAATGATCTAATATTTAAGAGATGACGGTTTCTTCAAGAGCATCCCGTTCTGTGACACTCTCAAGTCACTCGCTATTCCGTGGAAAGAGCCGTTAGTTTCAAATCAGTAAGGCACGTTGGTGTACTGATGCAGGCATCGTGAAAGGAAATGAGATGCATCAGGGAATACAGCGGCCTTGATTTTAGGCTTCAACCAGTGCTTCTGTCGGGCTCAGGAGCGCACTTGCTGGTCGCTAATACAGAGTTCAGTGAGTTTTCAAGAGAAGGAGCCGGTCACGACTTGGTAGTAACGACACGAAGAAAGAACTATGTGAATCATACTAAGGTCACTTCTCACTCACTCCTTCCTCGACCGGTGATCATCCGACCGAATATTGTTCCACCAACGGGCATCAGCATCTACTGCATCTCCATCCCCAAGCTCCCTTTCCGTGCTGCCTATACCTTTGCAAAACATCCACGTTCTTACTCGAGACTTTGCCTCTTGAATCMGTCTTCTCTACCCATTGCTCATTGTACAAGATGACCGACAATAACACCTCAAACAAGACGAGTCATCCATCCACCTCCGCTGCCAACGAGAGCACCCTCCAGACACCAGGTGGTATGCTGTATCTTTCTCCTTCCCATGGATACTTGAATATAAACACACTAATAACATCAGATGTCCGCCCGTGTCAACGTTGCCCCAATCCAACAGGTCACCCGGCCGACCGTTGTCCCCTACGACCTCTGTCGACCGGGGTGAGACGCGCTACTCCCACGGTCACCACTCGACCCGGCCCCGGGAGCGCTACAACACCCACCTTAGTGGTTTCTGTCGGCGGAGCTCATATTTGGCACTACGGCGGTGGCAGCGCCACGGTTAACATCCAGATTCCCGCGGTTGCGATCGAGCCACCGACGATTGCCATCCAGGTGCGCGACAAGCAGAGACGCAGGCGTAGAAAGAGACCAAACAAAGCCGCTAGAAGGGCTCAAAAGGCTGCAGAAGAGACCAATGCTCAAGAGCATACCCCCGCAGCGGTGAAAGCGGAGGATAATGATGACAAGGCGGTCCAGTGAGGTTCCTTATTCTCTGCGTCGAGACTCGCTCATTGCGCAGATCTGGTCTGTCTACTTGCTACAGTAAAGCTGGAGGAAATGATGATGCTGTTTGATGTTCGGCTACAGTTCTTATCTTACAAAGAAGGCAAGGGAGTTGATTGAGAGGAGTTGCTTACAATTGATCCAACGCATGTACTTAATTACAAGAGAGAGAAAGGAAGTGTTCACCCGCTCTGAGGCATATTCCTGCCGTCGACTAATCATGAATCTACTTCGATAGGAATATCGCATGCCAGCTAAGCTTTGTAATCAGGTCATGAACACTTTCGCGATGGTAAACCGGGACTATTGGATGCCACTCGACCGCGTCATTGTTCAGTGTGGAACATCTCGCCATTGAACTTCGTGTGCAGCAATGCTCGGCAGATAGTTAAGGCTAGTGCTTCAAATAAAAATCCTCGACCCTACAAGCATTGTTGAAATCACAGTATCCAGTCATTTTCACGGCTACAGTCAGTCAATGGCCATGGATCGTATATCCACATACAATTCCACGAGATCAAATGTGTCTTTCTAGACTCTGTGGATTGAGTTCAATGTCTATTCTCCCCAAAAGACTTATAATACTCGGTAATGTCGAATCCACCAGTCTCCTCGAGCTCTTCAAGAGAAATCTGCTTTACTTCGTCCGGCACAGAGACACATAGCTCGATGTAAGCCATGTTGGCACCTCTCCCGTTGTAGAGCACCCCCATCTCAATCTCCGCATACGGTTTGTCGGGCACATTGTCAAGAACAAGCGTGGAGGTATGCTCGAACATACACTTCCGTGGTACAATTGAATACGTCGAATCGCGTCCAAAGTCGAGGCAACCACACTCTAGAATCCTTGCTTCCAGATCACAGAGATACTTTGGGTTGGGCTCTCGCGAGCGTCTTCCGTCAGATTAACATCCGGGTCGGCATCAAGCTCGTCCCAGTAGTCGCTGTAATCGCGCAGGATACAGGCCCTCGCCACAGCCGGTCTCATGGATGGCACGCGCCGAAGTAGCTCTTTGCAAGTCGCGAGACGAGGAAAGGATGGGTACCAGATGCAGTAAGGGAGCTCGTCTGAGTCGCTCATCCCAGGAATCCTATCGCTCGTGATCTCTCTGGCGTTTAATGCACGGGTGAATTTGGGCAATAATCCACGAAGTTCGGTGGCAAAGCCTGGATGGTATCGAATTCCGCGCACGACACATATCTGAGTGATTTCTTTTCCCAGGGCTCTGAGGATTCGTTGACTGCGGACAGCAAGAAGGCAATCCTGTTTATTTGTATTTTTTGTTCGAGAGCCTGTGAATGGAGACGAGGCCCATGATGGATCGATAGCCTAGAGTAAGGAGACTGATTTGCGGAAAAGGCAGGAGAGCGAGCGGCGAGGAGGTCAAATGCCCTAATATAGTAAAGCTTGCCGTGAATGTAACCTTGGCAGGGGCTCAGGGGCAGGGAACACTCTATCGTCCATGGTAGCTATTTCATAAAGCTGGCCTTATCTGGATGCTAAGCGAACTGCAACCCACTCCAATCAGCGCGGAGTGAGTCTAGACCTGTTGGACCGGGACGAAGTAGGGCTTCCATTTTCCGTCCTCAAGATGATGGTTCGTCGCAGAGGGCGAGGAAAAGGCGATGATCCTCAGATTCATTATGGTTTTCATGTTCTACATTGAACACTATACAAACAGCGGCACTCCACGCTCAATTCTCATGCCATGTAGTTTATGTATACTGGATATGATTTAAGTATATCGGGGGCATTGAGGCCAAAGCCAGACTCAGCGTTTCATCCAATTAGGTTGACAATCCTGCTTTGACTTCTATTCCAGCCAGACCTCTACAGCCTCCTTGAGATGACTCGACAACCACTCCTCCTCAAGCGGCACCTCTTTATCAAACCCATGATCTCCTTCTCGCAGCGTCAAAACAATCTTATCCCCACCAGGCTTCCCCTTTACGACTTCCCGCGCCTTGGCAACGAACTTCTCACTCTGCTCCACCGGCACAATCGCATCCTGCAACCCATGCATAATCGCAATACCTCCACGCGGGATTTTCACATCAGGCCGATCTAGCCATTCAAGCGGATACCGCAGTTCCCGCGGCGAGCCCTCCGCGCCGTCTTCGTAGAATTGTCCCAGACCACCATAGTATACAGCCGCTAGCATCAGATCGAATCGGTCCGGAGGAATACCCGACGAGCGAATCACGCTTCTATCCATTCGAGCCAGATAATCATCCACCGTGGACGCAGGCACATCTGGGAAGGGCTCAGAGCTCGTAGGTGTGCGGAAGTACTCCGACGCCATGTCGACGCCGGGATACGAAGCTGTCGTCGCGCGGACTTCATCCGTGTGTGCCAATCCAACGCAGATACTCAGTAAGCCGCCGGCGGATTCTCCAGCTGTTAGGATCCGGTCCAGGTCAAGTTGTGTTGGTGTGGAAGATGTTGCGAGCAGCTCCGTGACGGCAGATGAATGCAGCCAGGCCCAGAAATCTTCAATGTCGGAGAATATCTCCGGGCTGGTTGATTCGGGGAGCAGCCGGTGGTTTGGGCTTACGATGACTGCGTCGTGCTTTTTGGCGAGCTCGAGTAGCCAACCGGGGAACCATTCCATGAGGAGGGAGTCGCCGGTTATCTGGTTGTGTTAGTCGTGCAATTGATCCATGAAGGGGTGGAAGTCTTACCAGGCCTCCGCCGTGGAAGCGGACGATTACTGGGCGTTTGCCGGTGAATGTAGACTTGGGGATGATAAAGTCTGCACGGATGGCGTGGTCTCCAATCTGTTTATAGTGCGTCTGGATCAGGTTGAAGCCAGCGAGTTTTTCGTAAGTTTCGATGGAGCCCATTTTTGATGATATGTGTGATAGAACTTGAAGGATATTTCTGTTGTCGGGAAGTTATCTCCATTTCGGTGTCTACCAAGGCTATATATAAGCTTCTCGCGGATTATTCATATACATCTATTCAACGCGCCTAATATCATGGAGATAATTCCGGAGACCGTGCACTATCTCCACCGATTGTTTTCATCGTTTGCATGTTTTGCACACCCTTTAGACCGACCAATTATAGTGTAGATCTATATTAGGTACACTGAAAGGACACTGACGATGGCAGGGAGTCTATGCACGAAGCTGTTTGTCTCAATACATTCATTTATTTCTGCCCAACTGTTTCGTAATGCTAGACATCCAAGTGACTCATCAAGGTATTGGCAAATAGCCTTTCACATGACGAAGTAAGACAAAACACGCAAATGTTCCCGATATTAAGATAGGCAACCACCACGACAGGTCAAAAAAAGTTGGGATCCAGCCAGCAACGATCCACCATAGGAATTCCCTGGAGCTCAAGGAGTATATCCTCGTTCCATCCTGCTTTGCTAGTCTCAATAAACTCCCGACTCCAACCCAAACGTCTGGCATCAACGCCACCGGCGCTAGCAGGATTTGTCGATTCTCTGATCCTGTCCCGGACCGTGTGAAACACCATGCTCCTCCAGAAGGCATTGGCCGGTTTGCAGAGTGTATCGCAGTAAAAAACCCACAGCCGTGGTAAAATCAGAACATTCTGCAAATGATAATCGAGGATTGCCTGTTTGAGAGGCCGCTCTTTGAAGACAGCATCGCTTCCTCCCTTTGCTGGAACACGCAGCTGGCTCACAGTGCTGTGAACCTGCTTCCACAGCGCGAGCGCCCTTGCAGGAGGGGGCGCGTCTTCCTCGACGCACGTCTCCAAGCGTGCAGCCTGAGCTTGCAGGGCGCGCGGATATTGCGTCGCGAGTTGCATGACCTGGAGATCTTTGATACCGTTCAGGCGGATTCCGTGGTGATTGAACAGGGAGGCAGATGCGTTACCGACGTCGAAAAGGATCTTGGACACGGCAGGAGATTCAAGGAGGAGCTTCAGCGAGTTGTCGGCGAGACTGGTGGTAGTAAAGGCGTCGTCGCCTAGCGTGAGCACGTCAATCAGGAACACCTTTTTGATTGGTCGAACAAAGAGGGAGATGATTGAGATTGATCCATCTTGTCCTGGATCTATGGTCTGAACGTCGAGGAACAGAGCTGCGGGTTTATGCAATTGGTGATCGAGCTCGTTGAGTAATTTCTCCAGAGCACCGATGGAGTCGATCATCTGCATAGCAGCAGTCGCGGTTTGCAATGCCATGATTGATGTAGCCATATGGCTTCAGACGGCAATGATTTGCTTGGTGGATTTTTCAGAAAAGATAAAACAATACCTGATCGATTCTCGTAGACCTGTATGTTTGTAGTTCGAGGAAGTAGGACGCACCACTACGTCAGCTCTAGGTGTGGACATAAGGTACCGAGTAGTTGAGAACCACGGCTTGCAACCGAAGTTGGACCTGGGTTCTGGATACAGCCATCAGATAATAACAGAGGAGGCAAAGATCGTGAATGTGAGCTCTTGTTGCGGGATATTCCGAAAGCGTATAATCTGTCCTCCTAAATTTGTTAAATCAACAAGATTAAGTGAATGGTGGGTTTGGAATTCTCTCACGCAAGTTCACAGTGATCTTTGATGACATATAATGACGCAAGATCTTGTTCGCCTGTTATGATCATATTTTGCCTTTTTAAATGGTAGAATATTAGAGATATGGCAGCTCAGTGGTATGGAATATAAAGCCTGCTGGATCTGGAGTTTGTCTACTTCCCTCATCGAAAGCATAGGATGTCGATTTGAATACTCTCCAGCCAGCTTCATAGCGTTCTGCTTGTATTAGCAGAGTTCTATCATTACCTCCAGTAGATTAAACAAGTGGTTATCATCAATGCTCAACGATGCTGTAGTCAGAAACTGACTGAGGCGCAGTTGTCACGACACTAGGAAATTACAGAATAATGTATTGCCAGTTATCACCCGAACAGCTAGATCTATGAGTTAGTAGCTTGTATACTTAGTCAAGTGATAAATGGCCTGTCTAAGCTCCAACTGCGATTAACAACACATGAGCAGACATTTCCGATCAATCCAAATAAAGATAGGAAGCCGAGGTCTGCTGCAATTTTCCGAATAGGCTAATTAGAGCGGAATTAAGCGACAGGGTCCCGACTAGGCCGTACAGAGTAGAGAGCTTCATACCGTGTTAAAAGACCAGCACAACCCGTATCTGCCAGAGTTGTACTTATATTCGGTCACTTTGGCTCAATGAAGAGTACGCTTCGTTAGAAGTGATTCTTCAACAGAAAGGATTCTATTGCCAGTGGGCATCGGCCATGACTCATAGTACCCAAATTTAACATCTGCTATGGGAGTAACCTCAATTAAATACGAAGCTGGGCGCCACAATCTCGGACTGACTCATTCCTTGCAAACTACAATTAACCCATATATATATATAATACCAACATGTCCATTGTGTCTTTCCCCTCTTTCCAATCCTTATATCACACTGTATGACCCTACTTCAACATGGCGAAACAACCCTCCCGGCAAATTCGCGCCAAATACACCTCCACGACCATCACCGTCTACCAAGCCTACAGCCCCTCCATTGCAGATGCCGCAGTGGATGCCCAAAGATTTGTCCCTCCGTTTTCCCGCACACGCATGACCTGGATCAAACCCTCCTTTCTGTGGATGGCGTATCGATGCGGCTGGGCCCGGAAACCCAAGCAGGAACGCGTCCTGGCCATTGAGATCACACGGGAAGGCTTTGAGTGGGCTTTACGGCATTCATGTCTAGCACATTGTCCTGGGGATGATGCAGAGGAGAAGGCAAAGTGGCAGGAGCGGCTACGAAGCAGTCCGGTGCGGGTGCAGTGGGATCCGGAGCGGGACTTTCAGCTTAGGCCGTTGGATTTCCGGTCTATTCAGATTGGGCTGAGTGCAGAGGCAGTGAATAAATACGTAGACGAGTGGATTGTTGGGATTACGGATGTGACGGAAGTCATGAGGGAGATTGAGAAATGTCTGGACGAGGCGAGGATGGAGGATGCAGTGAGGTTAATGCCAGTGGAAGACGTGTATCCGTTGTCCGAGGAGTTAAAGGAGATTCTGGATGCTAGTAAATGAACTGCAGGATGTCCAGTATTACAACTGATTTATATCAGCTGAGTGCTTTCTCTCTAAAAGGTCATGGACATGGACAACCCATCACTGATTGGTCAATCACACAGCGTATTAAAGTAAGACATAAGGGTCTCGGATTGATCCCGAAGTCTTTCCTTTTGAGTCGAAGATCTTACCCTTAGCGTGGAGATAAAACCGTCTTGAAACGCCGGCGGCGGCTACGGAGCAGCTGTACTATACACCACGATTAAGGGATGAACAGCCGAGATCTTGCAGTAGTTTGCTAAAGTAGAGACACCTCACATTGTCGAATTCTTCTACTTTCATTTCGAAAGGATAACAGTATAACTCTCATTTGGTGCCAGCGCCTGCGCACAATATATCTAGCTAGAATAGCTCACGACTCCGTCAATCGTCGGGAGCGTATTAAATACAGGATATGAAAGGTAGACGGTCAGGCCTAATGCAACTCGGCATTAAATGCTTAAGCCTTGATGCACTGGTGGTAGTAAGGGTTCCACTGCTGGCAGACGAGACCAGCCTCACAGCTTGTGGCACCGGAGTAGTTCTTGCCACCGCACTGCATGTAGATCTTGACCGAGCCGCTGGCGCTTCCGGAGCCGGAAGAGCCGGAGCCGGAGCTGGAGCCAGTGTTGGAGCCAGTGYTGGAGCCAGTGTTGGAGCCAGTGTTGGAGCCAGTGTTGGAGCCAGTGTTGGAGCCAGTGTTGGAGCCAGTGTTGGAGCCAGTGTTGGAGCCAGTGTTGGAGCCGGAGCTGGAGCTGGAGCTGGAGCTGGCGGGAGGAGCAGCGGCAGGAGCAGTGCTGGTGGGCTTGGCGACAGTAGCGAAGGTGGTGGGCGCGACAGTTGTGTCGGCGGATCCCTGCTTCGTGGGAGCGGCGGTCACGGCCGCACTGGAGGCAGACGTAGCAGGGCTGGAGGAGCCAGAAGAGCCGGAGGAGGAGCCGTCCCAGACAGCAGGGCCAGGAATGGGGTAGCTGGTGAAGGAGTTGTAGATGTCGAAAAGGACGCCGGGGTCGGTGGCCTTGTAGGCACCGGGGATGGAAACACCCGCAGGAAGGGTCTTGGTGCCGGCAGAGGTGACCTTGACCTGGACACACTCCATGTAGAACTGGGCGCCACCCTGGCGGTTACCCTCGTGCAGGGCGATGATCTCAGGACGCAACAGGTACTCGCCAGCGGGGACGTCGGGAACGGTGATCGAGTGCTTGCCCTTGTTGGCGATCAGATTATCAACCGCCCATTTGCCGTTCGAGTAGCCCTCCTCAGCGATCTTGACCCAGCCGTTGCCAGCAGTGCCCTTCTCGGTGGGMGCCRTGTMGACCATGATGGGACCATGGTGGGAGGAAGCGATGATGTCGTCGGAGGCAGAACGAGAGTCGTGGTGCCACTCGAAGGTGACCTTGTCACCGGCCTTGACGGAGAGGGTCTTAGCGACAGCCTTCTTGCCGTTGACGTTGCAGGTCATGTCGGAGGAGGTGACATCGGTGAGAGGGCTGTTGTTGGGGGGACTGCGAATGTATCCGTCAGCGGAGTTTCCCGTACCCTGGTCCACGTCGTTGATCCAGACGGCGTAGACGGTGGCGTGGGCGCTGACGAGTTTAGCTGCCGCTGCCAGAGCGAGCAATCCGAAGGTCGACTTCATTTTGAAAGAGTGTTAAAATGTAAAGAATGACTGAAATGAAGGAGAGAAAGAGAGAGAAGAACGAAAGAACACAGATAATCAAGGAGAGATGAATGCTGAAGACTTAGAGGAATCATGATGAATCGGGGGTAGAAGGGTTTATATAGCAATGGTGGTTAGAGGACGGAGTACTGGCGATAGCATTAACAGTCTAGTTGGAGCGATGGGGCCACAGGAGATGAACCAGTCCCTGCCAAGACATAGGGGTCCCTTGGCTTCCCTGTCACCAACGGCGCCAAGAAGGGGTTTCATCTATATGTTTCAGTGACTGACTCGCGCTTTTGATCTATCCTGTTTGTCATTGACCAGTGCCGTGTCTTGTCGGCTAAATGCACCGGATGTCCTCCGAATAGGCAGCGGGGTTTGTAGTCAGTACCAATAGCCTTAGGGACCCCAGTTGATGGTAAAGTACGAGATCCATCTTCGCCGCCCAATAAGCGGCCATTCTCTCACCATGGCCGTGTCCGGACTGTGGAGTGGGCAGAATCATGTACCTTAGTCCAKCACTTCTGCTTGGTCATATAGAAATATATTAACTTATACTGCTTTGTCTCACTATGGTGTCGTCACTTTGCGTTTCCGGAATATCCTCCGATGCTAACAACTTACCGCGAGCTTCTAGCTGGAGCTGTCTCACTTGTTCTCCTGTTCTAGGAATTAAGGGACCATCGTTTACTAATTCTGGACATCTTCCATTGGATCGATCCTGCGTCGCTACAGCCTGAGCTGATACAGCGTCTCCTCCCTACCCGTGGCCTAGAATCGGAACGGAGGAAAGGACCAGGATGAAACAGACCCTGCATAGGCGTCTAGGTAGAAATTATCCGCAACAAATTCCCGAAAGATACTCGTCAGTAATCCGTATAGCTCTCTTCTCTATACGAGTTCGTTGAACAAGCTCAGGGAGACAGTTTCACGGGCATAACAGGCGCCACTCGGCGACTCATGTATCCAGAATATGACTCCCGAACCCTGATGTTCCCAGGACTACAGGTCTCTTCAATTCTACTAGTCCGAGGTGTCTCAGCCTTTTATCATTCGACTGTTTATATGGATCAGCGTGTCACCATGGTTTTTCAACAGGGGAAATTAGGCGCCATCGGTCGTGACCTTGGAACATACCACCTTATTTCTGGCAGGCTATTTTACACGACTCAGGGATGATTAACCTTGTCTGATTGTGACCAGGCGTCAATCTCGCGGTGAATGCATTATCCAAAAATGAGTGGTTGTCAGTTCTTTATTGGTGTCATCTTTCAAGAAATATATATGTTTGACTCTGTTGAAGATGGAGAAGAGACCATGGACAAATACGTAGCTGGATTTATTGGCCAATACCTTAGTCGGTGCTTCAATAATTATTACAGTGTGGAATATATCCATTTTTCTTTCCTTTTTTATTCTTAGTGCTGTTAATTTATTTATCGCGATAAATTGGGGGATTTTATTGCTTCATATGTATCCGTGCTGGCTAATAAAACGAAATGAAAGTGACAATTTCAACAACAGCATGTTAGCTCAGGGGAAGAGCGCCGGGCTCATAACCCGGAGGTCCCTGGATCGAAACCAGGACATGCTATTCAGTTCTTTTTCCTTTTCGTTGGTTTTTTGTGCACCCCATTCTCTCTTTTCCTTTTTGTCTGGGCTGCTGCACAATGATTGGTTCCTTTCCCAATGCCAAGTCCGGCTAACCTACTTTAAGCGATCAAGCATAACTCAAGTACTGACTCATGCGACCAGGGGGGAAACCTTCCCAGTCAGGACAGGACTACTCGCTTCGGCTCTGGGCATGTCACAAAAGAACCAAAGCATTCATCTCGGACAATGAACGATGAAAGCAACTTTTCAAATAGATAACCAACCCCGACTCTGGTTTATAATTGACAATGGTGAGATCACATAGTCCAACGGTCCTATGCATCGTGCCGGTCGCAGTTCGACTGCCATGTCGGGACAACATCAGACGCCGAGACTGTACAAGCTTTGCTCCACTTATACCATGATTGATACTCCGCACCTAAATTCTAATGCTCGGATGAGAATATTATAATATAATGTCACCAATCTCTCCGCTGAGGGAAATGTTATGAGTCTTGCGCGACAACTGCGCACTGGTTCCCTCAGAATCCGCAGAGTGCTGCCATATCATCGGTCTCGCATCCCTGCACGCAAGACGAACAATACGGACCTGCAGCTCTTGGGCCACCCAGTTAGCCCTTGATCATCTCTTTGGATTAATGCGGCTTCGATGCAGATAGCCATCCAACGAAAGTCTCTTTGATCTCTGGTGCTTATCGCGAAGAACGGACAGCCGTGGGTCTTGCCGAGTGTGAGACAAGCAAGTCACCTTCTCTTGGATTAAATATGTGGATGGGATTAAAAGCAACAGGCAAAAAACTGTGTCGCTCGCTCCGATCATGAATATCCAGGGCTTCACCGGTTCGCCTCCCTGAGTGACCCGGCGAGATCGAGGCCATGCCCTCCTTCCTGGCCACTATGGCCGAAGCGAACAACGTAATCGGCCTCCATGCATGCGCGCGCAATCCTACTAGCACGGATCTTACAGAGTCCCACTGGATCGAGGTAGCGGACCTAGTCTAGGAGAAGAGCGTCTTCCCCGTCTTCGACAGTGCCAACCAAGAATTCGCGACGGGGAACGTCCACGACGCCTGGGCAATTCGGTTCTCCACCGAATGGGTGCTCTCCGACTGACTCGAAACCCCCCTGAGTATGTGTCGTGCAATCCTTCTCGAAGAACTTCGGCTGTATGGTGACTGCGTTGGTGCTTTGCATTTGGTTTCCCCCTGGGCGTGGCTACTGGAGAAGCCAAACCCAGGTTAACTCTCAGGGCGAGAGCGGAGTACTCGAGTTCGGTCAAGTTCGGGCGAGCCTTATTGAGACAGTCCCTGGGGATCTGGAACTGAACGCCCAGTGGAAGGGAGATGTGGTTACGACGAAACCAAGGATCAAGACTACGCGGTTGGATTCTGTGGCAAGCTGGAGGAATATAGGGCTTGCGGGCATTGGTCGTTTATTGGGAGCCTGATGGGATGCTTTGCTATGCGGAGCTGAGTTAGGACAATGTGAGCAGGTTACGGGAGGAAAATACTAGATATCTGCCACATCAGGCAGGGTGAGTATTTGTGGCTGACAGAAGGCAATGTGGACTATGTTATCTGAGCAATCTGGGACGTCGGCGGTCTCGGCTTAGCGGGATTTCGGACAGATCAGTCGGTCTTCGAGATGGATACAATCATACAAGTCGTCAGTAGATTATTGTCCATTTGTCATCCAATTTCCCCGTCCTTTGGCAAATGCCGGAAAAGCCGGCAAAAAGTCCATCAAAATTCTTGGAGATACGCACCCTTTATCTCCGAATTAAATCCGGATATGATATTCAAGTATATAAATCCCACACCACGACATCCTTAACAATCAAGTGCCTTGTTATTAGTACTAATAAAGACCAAAATGCCCTCTATCAAAAACTCTACAATCGTCATCTTCGGCGGCAGCGCCGGCATCGGCTACGGCGTCGCCGACAAATGTCTCTCCGAAGGCGCCATCGTGCACATCTCCTCCTCCAACCCCTCCCGCATCACTCAGGCCGTCTCTTCCCTGAAAGGAAAGTACCTCGCCGGGCAAGTAACAGGACACACCTGCGATCTCTCCCTCCCAGACGTCGAGCAACGCCTCGTCAAACTCTTCGAGGAAATCGGCTCTTGCGATCACATCGTCTACACTGCCGGGGACGCCTTGGCCGTTAAAACGCTTAAGGACATCGATCTCCAATTCATCCAAAAGGCTGGACACATCCGCTTCCATGTCCCGCTGCTCGTCGCGAAACTTGCCCTGCGGGTCCTGAAGCCGGGGTATACCTCGTCGCTGATCCTGACGGGGGGTGTAATCGGGAATCGGCCGCAGCCGGATTGGGCTGTTATTGCGGGATATTCGGCCGGCCTACACGGGATGGTGCCCGGTCTGGCATTGGACATGAAGCCCCTGCGGGTGAATTTCGTTAGTCCCGGGCCTGTGAAGACGGATTTGTTTTCGGATGAGGTGGCGGAGATGTTGGCGAAGAAGACGGCGCTGGGGAAGGTTGGAAGTGTGGAGGAGGTGGCAGAGGCGTATGTTTATCTGATGAAGGATACGAATGCCACGGGGAGCTGTGTGAGCTCAAATGCAGGATCATTGTTTGTTTGAGCATTTAGTATCTTGCAGGGCGTATGCATAAGGTAGAGGGTTGTTACAATATAATTCCGCATTTGTTCGCAAATTCAGAGGAAGATCTATCCGGTTTAGTACCAAGGTGTGATCATGTTCTTTCTTCACTCAAATCATAACTGTTCAGTTTGGGATATCAGTAGTATGCCCTTGATATGATAGATAACATTTGATAGGCAGTGGCTGTCTTATCTCTATATTAGTGGAGATAAGGACGGAGATGCCCTAACGGGATAATCCGATAACCTGGTGGCCATTGAATACACTATGGGATCTATCTTGATATGCCACTTCAGCATGCCTGATTTTGTTAGCTAATGGATACAAATCTGCAGTGCTGACCTAATGACCTGCCGGACAACAACCCCGCATCCAAGTGTCCTCGCTCTTGTTCAGCTTGACGCATTCCTGACCTAGAACAGTAACACCAAGAATATTCCTCTACAGTAGCAGTCAATGGATTCAGAAATCCAGTACGTCCTCGGGCTAAAAGCTGTCCGTGAACGAGCGCATCGAGTCCTGCAACTGGCAGAGGAGAACCGCCTGAACCACTTCCAGTACCATCCTGATCGCCTCCGTGATGCAGTACAATACGTGATAAGCATCATCAAAGTTCGTTTATTCAGACTAAAACAGGAAAGATACTGACAGCCTTTAGCGCGACTTTGGACCAGACGAGTACCATCTCATCCCGCCCCATGGTCGCTGGCAACACTTTGATCTCGGGGGGTGTCAAGCAACCTGAGGATCTACTGAAGCAGTGGAAGAGTAACGGGGCGGATGAACTCGAGCAGACCCGTAGTTTATTGGACTTATTCTTCGTCTCGGTGCTGCTTGACGCGGGAGCAGGTGACAAATATGTTCCGTTGAAATGGGCTCGTCTAGCTCTTTGCACGTAAGTCAGTCGAATACGAAAGAATCCCTACCTGATACTGTCAAAGATGCAACCACCAAGCAACAGGTACAGGCCATCAATGGAAGCATTTATGTTTTCTGGCTAAAGAGGAAAATACAGGAAGTCACAACTCAAGTCAGGAAGACTATAAACTCATAACTACAGTTCCTTTCTTCCATGTTCATCTCTTTTCTGATCCTTGAAAAGGGCAGCAATAGGAGGGTAGTCGCCTGGATCCGCATAGAATGTCGCCTGCCATTTTTCCAAGATAGCACATTGCTCATCCATATCCTGGACATCACGCAAAGCATCCAGCAGCTCACGCGGTTGGAGATGTGGGGCTGAATTATACTCATAGACCCAGAGCCCCTTGCTGTTGGATGGCCAGGCATAGATTGATTGATGATATTTTCGCTGCCCACTTTGTTCACCCTCATTGTAGTATTCTTTCTCACATCTCTCTTGATCCTCCCACTCCTGTGCGCCAATGAGTCGCAGTCGGTCTGCAAATGCATCCTCCTCCTCCTGAGATGATGATCGTTGAACCAGCATATCCGATGGGTTGAGGCCAATGTATATCATATCCGCCGGGGTGGGGTTTTCTTTGCACAAAAAAGTGCCATTCGATGGCCAGGCTTGCACGAAGAGTCGACGACGTCTCTTCGTGACCCGAAATTCAGGGTTCACACCTTTTATAATGCTAGTCCCATAGTTGATATCAATGGTATGCGTATCATCTTGACCATGTCCTTGCATGTTGCCTTGTCCAATGGACTGTTGAGTGGTGTTCGGCGAAAAAATTCTAGGGCTAAGGGTATCAACATGTACTTAGCGGGGGACAATCATCTCTGGAATGAGCACCCACAAGAAGAGTAGAGTAGTACAGACCCCAAGGACTGTGAGAAAGAGTTGGATCATTCTTTGCACGTTGGGAGCTCGGGAATATGGGCAATCTCCTGGAACGGATGGCACCATATAACTTTAGGCATCTAGTAGTGCTAGAAATCTTGTCGATTTTGGCGATGATATCCGTGAGGTCAAGGGTAAATACAACGTGGTTGCACGAAAGAGGGGAAGCTTATTAATGAACAAAGTAAAAGCGAACTAGACTAGGCTTGGGACAAGGCTGACAAGCTGCTTGTGTTATGGCCTCATAGCTCCAAAAGGCCATATAAGCAATATTTCCGCACTAAAACGAGGCCGAAGTAACTAACGCAGTTAGTGTTATGGTCCATGCTGTAATTACTGGCATGGGAACGGAAACAGGAGTAACCCTCAAGAAACTAGGTGCTGCCAAGCCAATTTCGAAGATTAGCACTCAAACCATTTCTTTTGATGTTGTATCACATTGTATATTTTACACTCACTGTATTACCTTCTTTTGGTTTTGGCAACTGGATCTGGGTTTTCTGACTGTGCTGCTTATTACAAAGATTGGTACATAGGTGAATGGACATATAAGCACCTTGTCTAGTCTGACCGTAATATGCCTTGATTCCTCGTGTAGTCGTGTTGCCAAGTTACCAAGAAACTGATAGAAAGTTGGAAATCAATGACGGCCAACGACCTCAGCAAATTAAATGAATGATTTTGATCGATAAGCCACATACCGTGGGGGTCCGAAAAACTTTTTGGACCCCCTTGTAGTATCATACGATTCCAATTCTTGGTTTATTAAAGTAATTGCTCGTTTTAGAATACCTCCTGCGCCGCTCATTGATCTTGGCCATCCAAGCCTGCCATGCTGGGTTGACCTGCCCCAAACTCCTAGCCCCTACACGAGGGCGATATCACATGTCCTCCATTCCCTGCTAAGTAGTTCAAAAGCCATAAATTAGCCACCGCCGACTTCGTTATGAGACATACAGATGACGGATCCAAGAGTGGTCCTCCAATGCAGATTTACTCCTTAGAATTCTTAATATAACAAATGACAAGAGGGTTACATCGGCGCATTCTGCACAAACTGGTGGCGKATTATAATGTAATAGCGGAAGGTTGCGCATGCCAAATTTGCTGTATAGTCGTTGACCTCAGGCCTAATAGGACGATTGACATCCTGTTCGCGTTATCTGATGGAGGCACACTAAGCAGTAGCCAATATCGCTAAAAAGTGTACAAGAGGCCTCTTGGGGCGAATGGCATTAGCACGTCAGAAAGTCGCCGTAGATTATGATATCCCTCCTCATATCTCCTCCTAGCCTACATTATAGAAAATTATTCAGCTCAATTGATGAAAGCTCTGTGATATATTAGAAAAAGGACTAGGGTCCATCGACTACTATACCACAACATTCGGGAATTTTCCTATTTGGGATAATGAAGCTATTTCGACGTCGTCCACGACCCATGAGTTATTTTATCAAACAAATGTACATCTTGTATCTCATACCCCTCACTGCATCTCTTTTATCTGAGCATATGGTAGCCTTTAGCGGTCCTGTACTAGGTGGAAAATGCGCTATGCGCACATCCTTGGACGCAACTAGCTTAGGGCAACTACTATGGTGGGCATCGTCTAGTCGGGATAGCCTCGTTTTGAGACTTCATCTTCTTACCAATCTTTTTTTCTTACGTACCTGCTTCATTCTGATGGCTCTCTACTGTATTTGACAATATCCTAGGGGGTTTAGACACGATTTGTAGATATAAAAGATGGCTCCCATTCAAGCTATCAATTATCAGTCTTGCATACTGACAGTCTTTCTTATATTTTTACGCTTGTCACTCTTTGGTATCTATAATCATCACACTTTCCTTTGTTCCTTCCCATATCATCCTTTGAATAGGTTCTCTCTTTATCAGCCTATTCTTCACATTCACTTCTTGATTTCCAGGTATTCTACTAGATCTTGATATCTTATTCGCGTGAAAAAAATGCTATGGTGGTTGCTACTCTTGGCTATTTGGCTAGGATGCCATAAAGCACATGCCAGAGCCGTTTTCGCTCACTTTATGGTATGGCGCATGAAGGTGCTGCAGGATCCTCCTCTGTTTGACCTACTAACTCTTGCGGCCCTAGGTCACCAACTCTGCCAATTACACCATATCGGACTGGGAGAATGATATCAAACTTGCCCAAGACGCTCATATCGATGCTTTCGCCCTCAATATGGCTTGGAATGATCCGACAAATGACCCATCGCTCGTTGATGCCTTTAACACCGCAAATTCTCTCGGATTCAAATTGTTCTTCTCTCTGGACTATGCCGGGAATGGTCCCTGGCCGGTAGATGAGGTTTTGAATCTGTTGGGCAAGTTCAGCTCCCAGTCATCATACTACCGGTATCACGGAAAACCGTTCGTCTCAACTTTTGAAGGACCGGAAAGTGCGGATGATTGGAAGCTCATCAAGGAGAGAACAGGAGCCTTTTTCGTGCCTGATTATTCTTCCCTTGGGGCTAAGGCGGCCATGGAACTGGGAGTAGCTGATGGTCTCTTCAGCTGGGCCGCCTGGCCATGGGGAGGTCAGGAAATGGATACTTATACCGATGTCTCGTACCGCCAGTATCTTGAAAGCGGCATGCCTTACATGATGCCTGCTTCTCCGTGGTTTTATACAAACCTCCCGGGATATAAGAAGAACTGGGTCTGGCGAGGGGACAATCTTTGGTTTGACCGCTGGCAGGAAATCATGTTCGTCCAACCTGAATTTGTGGAAATCATTTCCTGGAATGATTATGGAGAGTCTCACTACATTGGGCCTCTGTATGATAAGGCAATGGAAGCTTTTGACATTGGAAAAGCTCCCTATAACTATGCCACAGATATGCCCCATGATGGGTGGCGGGAATTCCTCCCCTTCCTTATTGACACCTACAAAAGCGGCCAGGCGACAATCAATCAGGAGAGTCTCACGGCATGGTACCGCCTCCACCCGGTCGATGCTTGTTCAGATGGTGGCACTTCAGGGAACACTGCATCTCAGCTACAGCTCGAGTTCAGCCCCAGTAGCGTTTTCCAAGATCGCATTTTCTACTCCGCTCTGCTAGGGTCACAAGCCTCAGTGACTGTCACAATTGGTGGCGCATTCCAGGAAGGTGGATGGGACTATGTCCCTGACGGCAACATCGGTGTCTACCATGGCAGCGTACCTACAAATGGCCAAACCGGGCAGGTGATAGTGACCATTCACCGGTCTGGCGCCACCGTTGCCCAAATGCAGGGCCAGGCAATCACCACAAGCTGCACTCAGGGTATCCAAAACTACAACGCTTGGGTAGGAAGTGCCAAAGGAGGACAGGTCTCTGCAACACCATCCACGAAGCTCACCGATCAGAAATGTATCCGAGGGACTGGTGCCAACAATTTCGCGGGTCTCTGCGAATACAGCTGCAAGTACGGTTACTGCCCCGACGCTTGTGTCTGTCAGGCCATGGGCGCTCCCCGAACGCTACCCAATGCGACCGGCATCACTGGCTACCCGCTTGAGGGAGAAAGCCCCAGCTACCTTGGGCTCTGCAGTTTTGATTGCAACTATGGCTACTGTCCCGAAACTGCTTGCGGCACTGTGAGTGCCCCCTTGGTGACACCCACCGTGTCTGACTTTGCTCCGCCGGCTTGCATTGCGGGGACAGGCGACGGTAATCTTGCAGGGCTGTGTAGCTACGCTTGCGGATTTGGGTACTGCCCCCGAAGTTCATGTAAATGCACAGCTACCGGCCCGCTGGTAGTACCGCCTGCAATGACCGGGCCCGCCGGATTCGCGGCAGCGGGCCTTGATGAGAATATCTACGGAGGGCTCTGTGACTTTGCCTGTAAGCGTGGGTATTGCCCCTCTGGCGCATGTACCTCCATCGGCCCTGAGAAACCTGCTCCTTCTGGTGAGCTGTATCCTAATGATGGAGACTATGCAGTGACGGGAAATGCAAAAGGTACTCGACTCTTCTTTAACAAAGACGATTGTACCGTCTCTCAAAAGAATTTTATCAAGGGGGCATACGACGAATACCGGATTCTGGCTCGTCGTGAAGCAGTCACCAAGATCGACTTCAATTCAATTGCAGCTTCAGAATATCTTTCGCTTGCTGCCAGGAACAAAGATCAACAGGAAGCAATTCAGGATATTTTCGAATATCTTTCTTCCGTCTACCCATCGTGGATAGGCAGTCGTTTGTTCAATCAGTACATCCTAGCACGATGCGATGACCCCCAGCATCAATGCATTGATCCTTGCAACCCAAGCAGATCTTCATCGACTGTCGCATATACTGTGAATGCGGGTGAATATCCATACGTTAATTTCTGTCCTCGGTTCTTTTCCTATCTCACACTGGCTGATGCCATTACCTATGGAAAAGCCGTAGAGGGTTTCGGGCAGTATAACATGAATAGCTATTTCAAAAATCGCGCGACGGTCTTTTACCACGAGATGTGCCATGTCGACCAGAACATCCATCGACCACCCAATCCCCATATTACGGATCTCTGGGTCAATACTGAAGAAATCCATGGGGACCTTCCCGTTATTTTCTCTCATAAAGCTTATGGTCCTGAGTATACCAAAGTCCTGGCACGATTCGAAGGCGACATTTTCAACTCGGCTGGATATTATGTTCAACGCAACGCCGACAACTTGGCCATGTATGCGCTAGCGAGCTACGTGCAGGAACAACTGGGTAATATATATCCAGCATGGCCCATTGTTACGGATAAGCCATTTGATTCCCCGTATCAAAAGCAAAACGTCATTCAGTACGCCATTGATGATGGGAAAGTTGTGTTCACCAACCTTGCAAACAATACCGCCGAGGCAGATGACTGTGGGCTTTCGGCGAATGCCACCTCCATTGCAGATATCAACCAACTGATACCTTCGTGGGCCTATCCAACGGCCTACCGGCAGGCGAAAGCTTCGTGGGAAGAAGACCTCTTCCCAACCAAGGAGCTGAAGAATATGAAACTACGCATCTTGCCGTTTGGAGGTATGTTTTGTTGACTCTGACCTCAAGTGGCAATAACAGTCTGATGTATATCCGCAGACTCAATTACCGTAGGTAGCAAGAGCTCTGACGGCAATGGGTATCGTGAAAAGTTGGTTCTGAACCTAGCAGGGAATACTGTCAACATGATAGGATCTGTACAAGCGGGATCAATGTCCGATAACGACAATGAAGGCCATGCGGATGCCACAATTCACGATCTTCGGTCCTACAGCGAGGTACTTGAGAATCGTCCAAATGTCGTGCTTCTACATGCAGGTACAAACGACATGGCCGGCAAGTCCACCGTGAATTCGGCAATCATCGATCTAGGCGAACTGGTTGATGATATTTTCAATGCTTGTCCTGATACTGTTCTTCTGTTGGCACTGATTCTTCCCTCAAGCGATTCTACCGTGAACGATCGGATCAACCAATTTAACGAACAGGCAGTTCGGCTCGTTCGAAGAAAATTTGAAAGTGGAAAGCACATTCTCCTCGTTGATATGAATTCCTTTGTGACTACGGACGATTTGGACGATGGAAAGAATCCCAACGACAAGGGGTATCAGATCATGGCTGATGCCTGGGCACGCGGCCTCCAGCGTGCGAATGCGATGGGATGGATATTTGATCCCATCACCTCCGTCACTACTACCGTCTATACCACCGTTCATCCGACAGTGACTAGCACAGTTGTGGTGACAAGTACATCTAACCCGACACCGGCGCCCGCTGGCTACGTATACTGGTTCTTCGGCTTCGAGGAAATGGGTGACTTCCCTCTCTTTAAGATTCAAGGTTATGGCTCGAGTACAAGCTTTGACGGATGTGAAAGCAGCCCACAATGGGAGGAAAACAATGTTGTATCAATGCCTAAGAGCTTGAAGGGAGTGACCATCCAGGACGACCAATGTGATTATGCTGAGACCAATAGTTGGAATCAGGCAGCGAAAAATACGCAGGTGGGCGAGTTGGTCTGCGCTAAATTTGCCCAGGCGAAGTGTTATAAAGCAGACATGACAAGCTGGGGCTGTTCAGGAGGTGTTACGGTTAATGCATGGGCTTATTGTGAGTGGTGAAGTGAGGCATAGCACTGCGATTTCACCATGTAAAGTATTCAGCTTGCTTCGCTATTTGCTATGCTTTGATCGATAGCCCTAAGTCCATGACCTATTTTTAAAAGACAAGTTCATCAAAGATGTTGCGGAATCGAAAGGATTATCGCGTGATTGACTAATAGGCTTTAACTTCAAGATCTAGGTCAATAACTCAACATTTGACCCTCCAATTAGAAAAGAATGAATATCTTGCAAAATCATTACGTATGGGATGACTGTCATGATAACCAAGGTAAAGCCTTCACATGGCGTGAGGGGAGGAAGGCTGGTGGCTGCCCGCAGTTTTGTATCTCCTTTAGATCGCAGGATTCTTCCTCCGATTTATGATTCTATTATTACCCTAGGCACTATATAGTGCTATCATACATATACATATACAAGCTATCCCACTCTGTGTTGCACACTGAACCCCCTGATATAGTAGTTGGATTCTTAGATTGATCACCTTGCGCACAGGAACACCCGAAATAGATATACAGTCACCGACTTCATTCAAGGACTGGTAGGTAATCAATATTTTCAGATCTCCGTTGACAGTATAGACCCTAAGACTATGCTGCCTAGGTATAATGAATGCAACTACTGTCAGGGAGACAATAAAAGCTGTTAGTTACTGGACCATTTTGCCAGCAGTACTCCTGACAAATCCAAGGTGAAGGCGCATTTATACAGTGACAACACATGCAGAATTGTCAGAATATGGATAGACAAAAACAACAAGGCAACCCCCTAACAATGACAGGACCGACTACAAGATCTACAGATTGTACCGGTTCTTCAGATGGCGCCACCAGTCACGGAGCATCCAGATATCGAACTCGGTAATCTGTGTCGCACTCCCTGCCAGCATGATGAAGTTCGTTTGGCCAGTGGGAGTCCAGTCGTAGAAATCTTATATGCAGTGTCAGCACATACTTATCCAAGGAAACAAGGAGCCGACTAACCATCCAAGCCAAACGTATGTCCAAGCTCATGCAGATGAATGTGGATATTCTCCGAGTTGACATTCTGCATGAAATACTCTTGGCCCACGCGCTGGCCCCAGTCGCCACCCGCGCCGCCCTGGAAGCCATCGGTGAGCCATAGGCTCTGGTCTACGATCGTTAGCCAATTTAGTTACAGTAGGGAAATGCGCATACCGTAGTGACGACTTGCACCGGCTGGACAACGACTATAATCACCGTCCTGGTGGAAGAACCGTCCGCACGCCGGATCGCATTCGGGGATCCCGCCTTCATCCTTGTTGGTGTAGATCTCTAGTCCCGAGGTGTCGCCTTCCAGGAGGGATCGATCGCGCACGGCGTACCCAACGACATTCACCTCCACCGTCTTATACGGCCAGCCATCGAAGCCGGCAAGTCCAGCGATCCACTTATTGAAAGAGCGGTTCAACGCAGTGGCGATCTGCTTGCGTTGTGCGGCAGTTACCTTCTTGTTCGAGTCCCAGCGCACACAATAGTTGATTTTACCGCGGGTTGCCATGACCTGGTCGAAGCCATAGTTCTTGAATCCCATAGGGTTGCTGTACGTGGACATTTGGTGCTCCCAGACCTGGATGTGTGCAGAGGGTTAGCCGGTGGGCTTCTGATGGCTAGAGGTGGGAGGATGTGTACCTCGTTGAGAGGCTTGACAAGATTAGCTGGGGGGTTCCAAGTCGAAGTGCTCTGGCGCTTCTCCGCCCAAGCGCTGCCAGCGGGGGCGTCGAGATGTCCTGGGATCTGGCTGTCCTGCAGCGGAAGAGCGCAAACAGAGCTGACCAGCAGCTGGATTGCGGCGAGATAGAAAGTAGCCTTCATTATATATGAGTAATGCAATATAGAGATAAAGAGAGAAGTAGCTAGTCAATAGCTATGGAAGGGATAGCGAAGGCAACCAACATGGGTTCCAGGAGAACTATATATGCCCGCAATAGGGCGGAAGAAAACGCCAAGAATGGGGGTTTCATAGTTCTGGTTAGACGGTAAGACATTTCCTCGTAATTCTTCCCTCTTTGGTCATTCTTCAGGGTCGTCTCCGCCAATGGAACTGTTTCTGTATGTCGAAACGGAGCGCCAAGTGTTGGGTCCAGAGGGCAGACTCTTTGGCGCTCAACCATTTCATGGACCAAACAATTTCCAGACAGCGGAACGGACATGCCAAGCGTCCGTCAATCTATTAAAAACAGCCCCTGAATCCAACAGGCGCATGACTCGTGGTCGCATGACTCGTAGAACATGGGATGTTTGCCGTCAATGGGGACAGGTCAATCTATTTCAGGAATGTGGTTCTGCTAGTCTGGAGATTTACATGTCTTCAGTTAGGATGTCCACTTCCTCAACCCACGCAACCGCCCTTGCATCATTGGCCTCATCTCGGTAGATGGCGCGAATACGAATCATGTCGCTTGTGTCATACACTCATCCCATTCGAGGGCCGCCTTCTTCGGTCCCAGCTCCTCACGGATGCACCTCCGAGCCTCCTTGTTCGCTTGCTCGATTGTGGCCTTCGTGTCCACTGCAGTTGGGTGACGAGCCGCCATTATGGGATCGACAGAAAAATCTTCTTCAATCTGCATCTTGACTTTGTACACCTTTCTATACGAAGGGGTATTTAGCTTTCCGTAAAGGAACAGTATGACCGTAGACATGGGACCTGTACTTTGGCCCGTCAACCATTCTGCAATGATTGGTTCAATATATTCTGTATAGGCCCTCCATTCTGGCGAGGCCATTTGGTGGTGGCTCCGGACCATGGCGAGAGGGTCGACTGGAGGGCGCTCGGCATCTTGATCAATCCAACTAATAGACACTTCATTCAGAGAGTCTTGTAGCTTTTTTTTCTCGGCTGGACTTATGTTGCCTGGCGTTTCAATCCAGTGATAGAAAGCATCTTCCAAGACCAATACACGAGCATAATGATCAATGGCTCCCAGCTTCCGAGAGAATGAGAACATGTTTTGTAAGATTGTCGCCAAGCGGGGTTGGTCGTGTAGCACTTCAGTCTGGACCAAAACAGCCAGCCACCAGACCAAGGGGTTAGTGTGAGAGTGGCCCTAGCGTCCTTGATTATCTTCACAAAGAATTTATTGGCCATCTTACCGAGAACCTTGAGTGACTGTCCTGACAAGGCATAGTACCGAATGGCGTCGATGTCATCCTTGAGAGTCCAAGATAGGTTCAGTCCCATAGACTCTAGGGCACCGTCTGCACCATACGACTTCCAATTAAAGACCAGAACCGCCAGCAATGATATCCATATAGAGATGGCCTGCTTCCGCCCCTCCTGATCCCACGATCGTGCCCATGTCCCAAACTCTATGGCAAGCGGGGCCGCAGATCGCGGGAATTGGTTCATGAGTTTCAGGATATCCGAGGGCCATCGTTGAACCATTGCGTCGTTGGCAATGAAAGTCTGTGTGATTGCGACCTCAATTCTGTCGATGATGCCTTTCGTGGTCGGGCCATTTGCTGTGTGGAAGCGCTGCAGGGCTTCAGCGATTGCTTGCTGCTGAACATCCGTGAAACCAGCGGAGCGATACCATTCTTGAAGGACAGAATCCATTTTGGATTTTATTGCTGGGTGAGAGGTTTCTGATGGTAGCCTATTTATGCGAGCTGGAGGTTGCCAATGAGTAAGTCGACGCGTGGGAACAACGCGTGAGGGGAATTAGCCAAGCAGTTACCCCTCCATCATCCATGCATCCTGCAGGCTTACATCTATCACCAAATCATTCAGGAGACAAGATCGCCGTATTAGCGCGTCAACTCTTTCTGCTGAGCATAGAACCTAATTTAAACCAAGGATTGAGTGTGGGCACACCTTTGCATTCATTAGAGATATTTATCTCCCTTTCACAAATGGCAGGCCAAAAGCGCAAAGATGCGACACAATCATCAAAGCAACCATCTAAAATGCCCCGAAGAGCTCCAAGCAAGATGAAAAAGAAAGACAGCACCTCTGATACCCAGCTCTGCAATCAAGATGCGTCGGTCTTGTTCCGTCTTCCCCGCGAAATCCGCGACATCATCTATCGAGAAATCTTCGTCTTCCCCGTAACCGTCCACCTCGCCTACGTGGGAACCAGCAGAATCCGCAAATTCCGTAGCTTTCTCTGCAAGTTATCCAAAGATGAGCAGCCCGAGAAGCGCCCGCAGCCGCTCTGTCCACGATGTCGAGTCAACCACCACCGCTGCTCACCACGGAAGGGGACGTCTGACGACGTCGTGGGGCGTCCTTCACCCGAGGTCCAAACCCAAGCTAGGGCCCTGGCGTTGCTGCTGAGCTGTAGAAGGGTGTATGTTTACTAATCCTCTGTTGCTGAATGATTGTTGCTGAGAAAGGTAGGCACGACGAGACGGCTGAAATGCTCTACCGCGAAAACACATTCTACATTGAGAATCCGCGCACCCTGCTGGAACTCCCGTCCGCCTTATCCCAGGCGCAACTCAGTTCGTTCMGGCATCTGTATCTGGAATCGGCTCGGTATGGTGAGAATACCCCGGCTGACCGATTGGATAAATGGGCAGCCGTTGTTGCAGTGCTGGAACGACTTGACGGACTTGAAACCCTGGTAGTTATTCTACGGCCGATGTTTGGGTTGGAATGGGAGGTTGAGGAGCTTGTAAAGCCACTTGAGGCGGCTGGGCTTCCGACGTTGAGGGTAGTGATAGATCCCATGATATACATGGCTCGTTCCACTACGACGCCTTGTTGTAATTTTCATGCGCTGAGATGAGAATATTTGACATGGTGGAGTGTATGCGGTGATCATGCATGTTCTGGAAACGGATAGGTGTTTTATCAGTCAGAGCATGCTTCTAGTTCATATGGATCTTTTGGATACCATTTTAGCTTATACTTAAATATCTAGAAGCGTAGCTACGACACATGTTAATCAGACAGTACAGCTTCACTGCCGAACTACATTTGCATCGGGAAACAATATAGCCTAGTACTAAATTCGAACGCAGTAACCCCAGGATACATCCAATTAGAATGTCAAGATTAAGTGAGTGAATGATGGTCTGCAATCCAGCTGGCAGTCTAATCCAAGCCTAGAAGTATCCACCGTCAAGAAATCAAGATTTGGGCAGCCTACTTTTACTATTGTGTAGAGACCAATCAATCTATGATGCAGACACTTGAACATATCGAATAAAGACTGTAACTGTTGAACCTTGCCGGAGATTTGGTTGCATTCATTGGTGCATCGAGAGCAACCGTTGGCCGTGTTCCATTCCAGTCTCCACTGCGGATGCCCGCGGAAGCATCCTCCATAATTCCATTCCCGCATTGCATTCCCCATGGTAATGATCAGGTTTATCTGAGGAATTCCAGGTTCCTGATTCATGAATTTTGTTAGAGCAAGATATGTACCGAGACATAGGTGGACATCACGATGTCGACTCCCTGGGTCAGTCTGTGCATAATTCAATGCTTAGGACAACTCGACCAGGCTCTGGCCTGGTCTGTGAGGGACGAATTGACTTTACTGGAGCTTATCCTGTGCACCTTCTAAACCTTATAATCTACAGACTCTTAGCTCCAGAGGTGCTCATCACATGCCTTTATGATTGAATGCAACCGCAGTGGACCAGCTTAGTGCCAATCATAATAGGCCAGTGAGCCTAACCAGGATTCCAGGGCTGTGAGGCTGTAAGTGGGTGTTGGACGTCATACTCCTCTAATCGTTTGATTTTGCATTTGATACCAAGTCGATGATTAAGAGCGAGGATCAGGGGATACATAATCTATTGAGGACAGTTCTCGCTCTCACCAGCAACCATCTCTTTGATCGCTTGAATCTATCTGCAGATACAATATTCTTACCACGCCATGAGGTCAGGATCCGCCCGAAAACGCCCCTCAGACGCCGACGATCACTGCCAAGCGACCCATGGGACGCGCAGACGGATCAGCAGGGCCTGCGATCGGTGCCGTGCGCAAAAGGCCAGAGTAAGTCATTCGTTCTTGTAAGTGGTATACACAGCGCTGACTTCTCAGTGCGATGGAGGAAAACCATGCATTCGCTGCGGGGACAACGTCCCTTGCGTCTATCAGGAGAAGAAACCGCTGCGACGCAAGTATCCCGCTGGGTAAGTCCTCTACCTCGTTGTTAGATGAAACTGACAATGAAGATATGTGGATATGTTAGAGGAACACCAGGCGTATCTGATTACCGGTCTGAGGAAGTTATATGAATCCATTCAGCAGGATGCAAAACTCCCAGAAGTCGATCGCGATGGCAACAACCGACCGATTGTCCACGAACTGCTCGATAAACTCGGTATCTTTGAGGAACCGATGAAGGAGCACAAGCCCACAATGACTGGAAGCAAAGCGGACGCAAAACCGTCTCTGCGACGTCTGAATGGAAACGATATCATGGGCGGAGCGATAACCAGGTTGCCAGAGTCATCTAGAGCCTGGTCATCCACTCAAGAGGTTAAACCCTCGCTTGCCTCAAATCCGAAACCCGCAGTAAATCTCCCTCGCGCCTTGACACTGCCAAACCATATCCCTCTCAATACGGGGATGGCACAACAGCGGGGTGCGCGCCAGTGCCACGGTCAAGCTGGTGCGGCGGGCCTCAAGCGTCAACGACCAGTCGCTCTCAGTAACGGATTCTGGAGGTGGTCGTTTGACTTTTCCGACTTTCTGGCTGTCTCGAGTCGGGATGGATTGTGATGATCCCGCTTGTTTGATGGATGAGAGCGCTGCGATCATCAATGCGTAGCTTGTAATAGCGTCGCGAACGCAGCAGACTCTACAGCCTGATGGCTTCGACCTGAAAGGACCGGATATGAAGTTGTCCAACCTACTGGGGAGTGAAAGCTCGAATAAATTGATCATGAATACTAATCCAGGTAAGGTATCAACGAAACAATTTGAAGCGTCTAAAAACTATCCACATGCACCGAGTGCAAAATATCCGATCATCTACAGCCTGCAACAAACCTACATTGCTCTTCACACGGCCATGGAAAGACAGGTTTACGACTCCGCCAGAGCCGCTTCGCCCTCGTAAAACTTAGGCAACGGCTCGAGCTTCTGCCGAAGAATCCAAACCCGAAAATGCCAAACGGCGTTCCTAATCTGATACGCAGCGTGCTTCCTTGTCGGAACCGAAAACACCTGGTCCAGTTCCTCCAACGTAAGAGCTGCAACCGTTAGTATTAGCACGCATACGAATGACATGACCCAAAACTTACCCTTCGTCTCGGGAACAAAAAGCAAGATCAACACCCAGCCGATCAAACACCACGCCGCGTACCACCCAAAGGCACCCTGCGGCTTGAACGCATCCAGCAGCATCGGCCACGTAAACGAGAGGATGAAGTTGAAACACCACGTCGTCGCCGTCGCCCACGACATCCCTACCTCACGCACGTGCAGCGGGAATGCTTCCGCCGAGTATGTGAACGGCACGGGACCCTCGCCGGGCGAGTAAAAGACCTCGAACAGATACATCCCTGTCGTGACCATCGCGACGCGCTTCTTGCTGAAGGGATTGTCCGGTTCGATCCAGAAGGAGAAGCCGGACCAGAAGAGGCAGATGGCGAGGAAGGGGAAGGTGAAGAGGAGGAGGTTGCGGCGGCCCCAGGTGTCGATTGTGAAGAAGGCGGGCAGAGCGAAGACCCAGTTGAGGATTCCGGTGCCCATGGATGCGAGGAGGGCTTGTTGGATGCTGTAGCCGGAATCGACGAAGATGGTGGTGGAATAATAGGCGATTACGTTGACGCCGCAGAACTGTTGGAATTAGTTACTTAACTGGACTGTGGTAGAAATGGTGCAAAGAGTGATGTAAATGTTTTCGAAGATGAAATACTGGAAGTCTTACCTGCTGCATGAACATGACGATCCAGGTAGCCAGAGTAGCCCGACGATTGCGGGGAATCGTAAACAGTTCGATAAACATGGTGAAAAAGTTCTTGCCCTTGTTCACCTTCCTCTCCAGCTCCACTCCGACATATGCGTAGTACAGATCTCGGGCGGCTTGCAGGTCGGTCGGCCGGAGGATACGGAACGCGGCAAACGCCTTGTCGATCTTGTTGTGCTCGATCAACCATCGAGGAGACTCGGGACAGTAGTAGACTTGTGCACAGACAATCAGCGGGAGGACAACGGTCGAGCCCAGCATCAGACGCCAGGAGAGGTTGTCAGACAACCCCATGAATGCGACGCCCATGATGTTCCCCAGCATGATACCGAACGCCGTCCACATCTGCCACATCATGACCAGGGCGCCTCGGATCGGGGCTGGTGAGCATTCAGCCGCGTAGACGGGTACAGTCGATGACTTGGAACCGATCCCGAGACCGAGCACGAAGCGAGCGATGAAGAGGTTGACCCAGGAGTTGGCAACTCCCTCCCAGATCGAGGCGACGGCGGCGATGAAGCAGGAGAGGAAAATTGTACCTCGTCGGGCGAGATAGCGGTTCAGAGGTTCGGTGAGCCAGCATCCGAGAATGGCGCAGGCCAGGTACGGTGCACCGACAATGAGGCCGGTGAGGTATCTCTGCATGGATGGGGAAAATCTCGAGTTTTCAGGGTGATCCTTGTCCGTGATGTTGAACTGCTTCAGGTAGATGGCTTGAGCGCCATTGTTGACTGTTTCATCCATGCCTTGAACTGCTGCGGCCAGCGAGCACATGGCTGGTGGAGATCAGCTCTGCTTTAGGTACTCTGCTATCCATTGCGGTATACCTACAAGCCAAGAAATAAAGTCGCCATGGCTGGGACCATTTGTGGGTATCCTCCCGACGAAGAACAGCCTTCTCGTCCTCGTTGAGCTCGGGCAAGTCCAGAGCACCAGCCGGATTCTGCGAGATGAGGGCTCCTTTGCGAAATGCGTCGATGTGGTCCATCAAACCGTATTTCTGACAGAAGTCTTCCACATTTTGCAGCAGTTTATCCCGAGGGACATTGGCAAGGGGGTTCTGAAATACCGCATTCAGCCTACTGGGCGACCGGCCTTCGAGGTCGAAAATGTCCTTTCGCTGAGTGGTATCCTCATCATGTTGAAAAGCCGTGGGCTTTTCTCCTTTGGGACCAACCAACTCCTCCGAGGGAGTGGAAGGCAAGTCACCTTCTTTCATCGTGTGGATAGTAATCTTTCAAGGTAACAGAGAGTCGAGAGATGGAACAAAGTCTACGGTGTCTTCTCACCCAGCCGTATCCGTGCAAGGGACATAACCTGGGGTAATGCGGGCACAACGTCTCCACTGCATGAGTTGTGGGGATTGTTCCAGTCTTATATCGTCTGGGGAAGAGTGTCCAAAATACGGGAGATGTCTCCATGAGGGCTGATTGACTCGCTGACGGACACGCTCATTGGACGGCTAGTCAACTGATGAGGCATATTCCACTCCAGTTCCAACACTGGAGGGGATACGTGACAGCCTATTGGAAGACCATCGCGATTCTATACACAATCCCGGAAATATAGTCGACCATTGTCTCTGACTGGGCTGTCCCGGCCGCAGAAACTCGGGTATGCTGTCATAATTTCAGGGATCCCTGTTCTCTTAGACGGTTTGCTTTGAGTTCAGAGAGACCAAGGACGAAGGATATCCGAGTAGCCGAGCGCAAGCGAATCGGAGATGGCATCTTCGAGGGTGGGATGAGATCAGTGGCTGCATGGATATTCACTTGTCTATCACTTGACACCCGTCTCTGCCAATCATTGCAACTGCCGGTCCTTTTGGGAGAGTTTTGCGCCCATGCGGGGGCCTGAAGCCACCCGTCATTAGCACTTGGGCTTACTATTAGTGGCCACTGGTTTCTCCGCAGTTAGGTACTGTGGAGGTACTTAAGTGGATCCTATCGCGGCCAAAACGCCTCCCGTGCGCCAATCCGGCTCAAGCGTAACCAAGCAGCCTCATACAGTCTTGACTGCCTTGTCATGCATTGGCATTACAGCAGCTGTAGATTATGTGTAGAACACACTTTCTATATTGATCTTAGTCATACATTATGCTGGTTGACTGACTGTTTTAATTGCACAACGCAAGCCATTTCGCTATGCCAAGAAGCTACGATGTCGTCGCCTAAGTGGAATAATACGTGCAATCTGCATGCAGTCACTGTTCTGAGTCAGGCATATCTCTGTTTATAGAGGGCCAATACTCATACAGCAGATATTAGAATTATGAAAAATGATAACCAATATAATGTCTCAGCCTCGTCCGTCCATGCATATCCATCCATGAAATGGTGGTCAGCATTAACCCTGTCAATGAATGAGGCCTCCACGACACCACAGCTGTTCGAGGACAGAGGAGTCTGGCTTAATCGCAGTATTTGATAGAATTCTTTTACAACATGACCGATAAAATCCAGTTCGATTGGCAATCCATACCTTGTTGTCGGCAGATCGCAGGGTGTGTTAGTAGGCGGAATACATAATCAAGACTGTACCTCTTAGCCTTCCCACTCAGAGTTAGCAGCAGGCAAGGGAGAACAATGACAATCGTTTGCTGTCAATTTGGAGAGCAATAAATAAACATACAACCAACGAAAATTTACCTCTTTCCTCTTTTCTTCCCATTACGCCCAAAGAGAACCTAGAAATCAGCAATAGGTCACGTGACACGAGTTTGACCTGGTGGATGGCCACGTGACATATAGCTCAAACACCGTAAAGGTCATGTGATATAAATGCTGGTAGAATCAACAGATCCATCTTCCCTCGTTGTCGCACAATCATCCGCGTTCCATGCAAGCATGCTGTTTCCTGCAATTTAGTTCCACTGCTGACGCGTTCCTTGAATCAAGGGTGACAGCAGTTTTGCTACCATGGAAGCTCAGCCCATCATGGTGGACGCAGTACGCCATGACGCGCAGGAGATTTCATTGGCTCGAGGAGGAGGACAAGGCTGAAATGATCCTCTGACGCTGAAGCTGACGCCAAGCCTAGCCTCGCATCCTCAAGTTGACTTACCCCACTCAACACCGCGTCGCACCGATTCAGGGGTTTTCGAGAATGTTGTGGGCACAAGATCTCTTTCAGATTCGTTGTAACCATGCATGGATCGCGATCGCACTATGATTATACCGTGGCATGGATCAGCGCGCTGCCGCTGGAGATGGCCGCTGCGAGACAGATGTTCGACAAATTCCACGACAGACTGCCGCAGCCATTGACCGATACAAACACGTACACGCTGGGTAATATCTGCGGTCACAATGTGGTTCTGGCATGTCTTCCGTCCGGTGTCTACGGTACTACTTCGGCTGCTACAGTCGTCGCTCAAATGCGCTCTACCTTCCCTAGGCTTCAATATGGGCTGCTGGTGGGGATCGGGGGAGGCGCACCCAGCGAAAAAGTTGATATACGGCTAGGCGATGTGGTGGTTAGTAAGCCCACACGCACCTAGTTACGGCGGAGTAGTACAATATGACTACGGCAAAACCGTGGCTGGTGGGCGGTTTGAGCAGAGTGGCATGCTCAACAGGCCTCCTGAAATACTTCTCACACCGATGTCGAAGCTACAGGCAGAGCTGCACTGTCATGAGAACCCAATAGCTAATCCACTCCTGGAGCGGTCCGAAGCTAATGGAGGAATTGGCTTCGGTTTCCCCTATCCAGGCCACAGCCACGACCTATTGTTTGAGTCAACATATGCGCATGTGGGGTCAGATGATACATGCCAGAACTGTGATGCGCTCCACCTGGTTCCCAGAAAAGCCCGTGCATCGGACGAGCCCAAGATTCACTACGGCTTAATTGCCTCCGCGAACCAGGTTATGAAGGACGGCCCAACACGCGACATGCTGACTCGGAACCTCGATATTTTATGCTTCGAGATGGAAGCAGCTGGGCTGATGAATCATCTTCCCTCAATTGTGATTCGTGGCATTTGCGACTATTCTGACTCCCACAAACACAAGGATTGGCAGCCGTATGCAGCACTAACAGCAGCTGCTTATGGCCGTTTACTTCTATCAGTCGTTCCTGTTCCATATTCTGGGAAGAATGATCAATTCCTCACAATGGAGGAAAAGGAGTGTTTAGAAAAGCTTTTCCTGACAGACCCCGGAGATGACCTAAACGCGCTCAAGCGTAGGAAAGGAGGTCGGGGACGTGTGAATGGGTTCTGGAATCACCGGAAATCAGGCGATGGCTTGGAAGGAAAGTCGAGCTGCAGGGCGTGAATCGAACATTCTGTGGCTTCACGGCAATCCAGGAACAGGCAAATCAACGATGGCTATCACCCTCGCGGAAAAGCTGCTTGAAGATCCCTTATTTGCAGGTGAAGATGCCATACTTGCCTCCTTCTTCTGCGACTCGAGTTCTGAAAACCACAGGACTGCCACGGCTGTATTGCGTGGCTTGCTCTACCAAACAATCAAGAAACGTCCGTCATCACTGGGACCCCTTGTATCAAAGTACCGCGGTCACAAGGATAAGCTATTCTCCTCCTTTGATGCTTTGTGGTCAGTCTTGATGGAAATTGGGAATAGCAGCGATTCGAAACTGTACTGTATCATTGATGCCTTGGATGAATGCGACGATGAAGTGCTGGAATCTCTGCTGCCACAGCTGAACCGAAGCTTTCAATCCGGTGATTCCCGCAACAATCATTACGGAATTCACATCTTGATAACAAGCCGTCCGTATGAAGAAATCAGAGTACATTTGGCTGAGTTTCCGAATCAAAATCTTGCTTCATATTCTCAGATCCGCAACGATCTTGCAATTTTCATCGAGCAGAAGGTCGAAGAATTGAGTGTGAAGAAGCAATACTCTGCTAATATTCGCCGCAATGTTGCAGCAATATTGAATGATAAGGCCGAGGGAACGTTCCTATGGGCTGGTTTGGCATGTGGTGAATTAGTCAGAGTTCGATCGAGGGACGCAGTTGCGACACTAGAAAAATTACCGAGTGGCCTTAGTTCAATGTACAAGAGGATGCTCGACATGGCTGTTGAAGATTGCCAGGAGGACAAAAGCACGATCATCCAGTTATTGACCGTCATTGTGGTTGCCCGTCGTCCATTGACTCTGTTAGACGTAGCGGAAGCTTGCAATCTCTATGAAGCAGATGACCCGGAGGACCGAGTAGCGTATGTCCGTGAGGATGTCTTCGATTGTCGCCTACTGGTCGTAATTCACGATGACAGGGTGATGCTGCTCCACAAATCCGTCAAGGACTTCTTAACTCGTTATCAAAATGTCCATATCATCAATGAGCAGCTAGCTCACGCGGAGTTCGTTAGCCGTTGCATTGACGTCCTGATGCAGGGTTTGGGTGAAGAAAGACCGGTACTATCTTCAATTCTGGGCAATGCTATTGGCGACCGTTCCTTTCTGCTTTATTGTGTGGAATTCTGGCCTGAGCATGCTCATTTGGCAGGATCCGAATTCAAAATCGCGGAACGCCACGATGCCTTTTTCGAACTAGACTCCTCAGCACGAGAGACATGGTTAGACCTTCTTCGCCAATTCAATCTGTCCGTCGGTTATGTTCCATTCAAGTTCTCTATTTTTCACATTGCGGCGAGATGGGGCATTCCTGCCCTCATTTCCCATGCACTATCCAGGCGGAGTCGTCTGTGCGAGCCAGGGAACGCAGAAGCGGAAAACTTCCATCTGCTGCGGGATCATCTTATTAATTCACGTTGTTCGAAAGGAACCACCCCGCTCGAAGAGAGTGCTATCCGGGGCCATTCCGACGTATTCGGCCTTCTGCTGGATTTGACAGATGGTCTAACACCGCTGCCCGATGAAGCTATCGCCGCGGCAATTCAGAATCCGCGCAGAGGGGCGGGCCTCGTCAAGCTTCTCATTGATAGAGGAAGACTGCAGGCTATCCCAGAGAGGCGTTTGATGCTAGCTTCTACCGAAACGTGGGATTTGCTGCTGGATTACTTTGGCCTCGAATTTCCTGTTTCTGAACAAATGCTTCTACAAATTTGCTGTAGTGAAAATGGCGCCGATATATTGAGGGCATTGTCAAGAAATCTGCAAGGTCGATTACCAATCACCAAGGGAGTTCTTACAGACGCCGCCTTGAACCGCGACGCAAGGTTCGCGGAGTTTCTGCTGGATGACGTCGGAAAAACGATCCCAATCAGTGCAGACTTCACCTATTACGCTTTGCTCAATAGGAAGCATGGGCCAGGTATAATTGACCTTGTGCTGGCTCTTTGGCAGAGGGGCTCGCTAGTCTTGGAGTGCCCGCAAGAAGACCCTATCCTGCTACTCATACAGCAGCTGCAGAGCCACACTGTTATCCCAGAGCAGGTAGCATGTGTCTTGCGCGTGATTCAGAACAGGGGGTTCAAACTTTCGCCCTCGATGGCCCTCGTAAGACTGGTGGCAAAAACCGGAGACGACAATCTTTACAAGGAAGTTCTGCGGAATCGGGAGGCGGTGGCCTTTATAAATGAGAGAATCTTGGTCTGCATGGTAGAGCGAATGACTGCAGAGATGTTTGACTTCTCCCTGGACACCCTGGGCGGTGAGCTTCCCATCAGCGCTCACGTCGTTGAGGCTGCGGCTGCGAATTTTGAACATGGAGACCAGATGATGCAAAAACTGTTCAAGATCTCAGGGGGTAACCTTCCTGTCTCCGCCTTGACTTTTAGCCGTGCAGCAGAAATAGTACAAACGCAGCGGCATGGCAGTCAAACGCTCACGTTTCTGCTCCAGCATTCCAAAGACCGCGTTCCGGCCTCACCAAGTGTCATTAGATTTGCTGCTGCATCGGGGAGAGAGGGATACCCGATCATTGAAGCAATACTCGATTGCTTAGAAACCAATGGTTTGACTGCAGAAGCCGACTTGATTCCCACTGTCATATCCGATGGCTGTGCAGAGTTAGTGTTGTTTATACTGGATCGAACTGGCAGCTCACTCCCAATCACCGAGGAGACACTTGCTTTGGCCACCGGAAATCATTGGGATGGCATACGAATGGTTAGACTCCTAGCACAGCGTGCTTGCGGGCGATTGCCCTGGCACGAGGAAGCGTTCAGACGATGTGATGAAGTCAATATGCGTCCCATCTTTACCGAATGGTCGAATGAAGGCGCCCTCACACATGAGATGATCCACGCTGCAGCGATCTACATAGCCCAGAAGTCTATTACACGGGAGACTCCGTGCATAAGGCTCTTATCAGTTACTGGAAGCGCGTCGATTTTGCCGAAGATATTGTCGCAGTAATATGAAGATTCTAACAAATCTGCTAACTCTGTACGATGACATCTCGCTCATTGACAAGGAGACGATGCAACTCGCAGCGAAGACCAATTCACCTGGGACCTTGATCGATTTAATGATTAGACACCGCCAGGAGGATCTAATTTTGACCGAGGAGGTTGTCGAAGTCGCGGCGTGGAATTCATGGGGGAGGGATGAGGCCATCACCTTCTTATTGGAGCAGTACGGAGAGATGACCCCTGTCTCAGAGCACGCACTCGTCTTTCTGTTGCTCAATTTCTCGGACAGAAATCGTACCGTGGCGCGCTTCCTCGAGGGCCGGCCGGATGCAATCTTGGGGTCGCCGACGATTCTCAAAGCTGCCGCTGCAGGGCGTAATCGGCAAATCGTCAGAAGGATCCTTGAGTCTTATCCGTTCGAGATCACGGATGAGATCTTTGAAGCAGCAGCAGGGGACTCTCCAGCTGCGAAAGATATCTTTTGCATGCTTCTTGCCAAAAGCGGACATCACATTACGGAGAGAATGATTCAGATTTCGCCGAAAAGAAGCGTTGAGATCTATTCATTCCTTATTGATGAGACCAGAGATAGAATTCCAATTAGCACCGGCACGCTTATTGCCGCCTTGAATGGTTCATTGGATGCGGTCAAAACGCTACTCAGATATCCCATCGATGTGAACCAGATTACGGAAGAGTTTTTGGTAATGGCAGGACAGCACTGGGCGCCTGAACAGCTGTTTCCTCTCCTCTTCGAACGATTTGGTGACCAGATAAAAATCACCGAAAAGGTTGTTGCAGCCACGATCGAAAGTTCTCATAACAGTCTATTCATTGCACAGTTACTGAGCCGTCTCCATAGCGCGACGCCTCTCACTGAGGCGGTGCTAGTAGCCGCGGCAAAAAGCAAACTGCATATGCCTGAGCTCGTCGAACTTTTCAATCGCCTTCTGAGCATGGTCGGAGATGATAAGGTCATTACAGAAGCGACATTTGTTGCCGCGGCCGGCAATGGATTAAATGGTGCATGGATAATGCAGCTGCTACTCAGTCGTAGGAGTGATTTCCAGATTACGGAATCAGTGAGCAAGGCAGCAGTGTTCAGCGCCATGTCATCTGGTCCCTATGTAATGGAAGTGCTTCTGGATCTGAAAGAAGACACAGTCCCTATCACCGAGGGGGTTCTGCTGATGGCCACTCGGAACCCCACTGATAGGTACAATATCTTCAGATTATTGGTAAGAGAAAGATTTATCTCTGTTCGCGCTTGTATCACCCAGAGACTTTTGCTCACTATCGCGGCGAGCGGGGATATGATGATTCTGTCACTCTTGGAAAGAAGGTTTGAAATCCCAATCACAAATGAACGGCGCTCGATCTGTCGGCTGTATATTGGCGCCCGTGATGGCAACAGGCGGGCGGTACAGTCCCTTCTTCGTCAAGGGGTGCCGCCAGATACACGAAGCGCCAGAGGAGAGACTCCTCTTTGGATGGCAACAGCCGGTCAGCACGATTTGATAGTCAAAGACCTCTTGGCAACAAAAGCGGTAGACGTTGACGCTGTTTCAATGACCGGAGACTCGCCACTTATCAGAGCAGTGGAAAGTTACAATGTCCCCATTGTACGCCTTTTACTGGCTGCAGGTGCGAATCCGAACCTGGCCAAGTACGGAAAGACAGCCTATGCGTTAGCAAAGGAGCGGTCCTACTTGCGTATGATGGCTATCATGAGAGAATATGGGGTTAAATGAAACAAGTAATAAATTGGCGCGTCCGCCCTTGGAAAGAATGGCAGCCTGAATATCTTCTCAACAACATTGTACTACAACCCCACACCAGTCAACCACTTCTTAATATGTGGTATCAATCCAACTGTTCCAGCCGCTGCCAAGGACCGTGTTCTTGCTAACAGCAGCAGAGATGGTAGTCTCATACTCTCTCTTCGAGGTATCCGATCCAGTACCCGTGTTATTGTACTCATAGTAGAGCGGTGTCGCGCCCGCGGCCATGGTCGTCCAGCCCTTGGCGTTGATGATGTTTGACAACTCGGAATTCTGGTAGATGACACGGGCAAGCACACGCCATGGACGGCCGAGGTAGACATCACCGGCAAGATCGAGGCCGGATTTCCCATAGATGTTGCAGTGGTCGATCGCGTACCAGGTGGTCTCGGAGGAGCTCGTGCGCGACATGGCGGTGATTGCACCGCCGCCCACGGAGACGATGTCACATTCGCCGAACCAGGCGGAGGCGTCACCGAAGATGTAGTCCACGGCTCCTAGAGGACATTAGCATATGTGGATGGACATGGATGCAGTGGAGAATACATACCCTCGATGTAGCAGTTAGAGTAGTATTGAAGGCCCGCTTTGGCGTAGAGAGTGTCCTGGTAGCCGACGAAACTGCATCCGTAGAAGCCAAGTTTGTCGGCATTGGCAACGAGACTATAACATCCTGTCAGTTACCTTCGGTAGATGGCTCTTGGGAGGCAGCGTACGCCACGGCCTGCGCGCCCTTGCCGTAACCATTGACAACGTTGATGTTGTACATCTTGAACCCGGCCGACACGACGTTGACCGTGGCACTCTTATCGAGCGATCCCGCCTCCGGAGAGGAGATGGTATGGGTGATAGTGACCCCGTTCTTCTTGTAAGAACTCGTGTCGGTCGTCTCGCCGTACATGGTCAGCTTTCCGGAGTAGTTGATGGTGATCTGCTCCGTGTACGTGCCAGAGGCAATGTAGATGCAGGCATCGGACGTGGACGAGCCAAGAGCGTTCAACGCAGCGCCGATGGTCGAGTATTTGCCCGACGAGCCGACAGTGAGGCATCCGGACGGGGCGCTTGTGCGGCTACTCCGTTCCTCGATGGGGCTTGCAGAGCCCGCGAGGGTAAGGCCCAGAAGGCCGAGGACGACAGAGGGAAGATACATTCCAGAGTGTGGAGTCTGGATGTCTTTGAGAAACGATTGTTGATACTCCAGGAAATCTCAAGAGCGATGGGCTTCTTCAATTAAAACAAATCTTGTAGTCTAGTACAAAGCTCGATATGGAGAAGTCACATGGCGCACCCCTTGAGACGAATTTCTCCGTAGTTGAGGCCCAAGCTATTTCATTTTTTCCATGAATCGACTGGCCAATCAACCATACCTCCAATTCTTCAGGATCCTCAGGATCCTGGGAAATCTGCGGATCCCTCGGAGGATGCTAAAGAAAGCCGAGTTGTCCTTTATTGATTTATTTGCCGGGTTTTCTCCACAAACCCCCTGTTTTTCCAGCATGGCTGAAAATCCCCCTATCCAAGCTGGGGACGTACTGACTCTGAAACGCGCTGAAAACGGATAGTAGCGAGATGCAGTTAGTCTACCACACTTAGAGTGCGGTAGTGGGGAAGGCATAGATGAAGACCTAGATTTTCCTCGAATGACGCGGAGTATGCATTAATTTAGTACCCCGTGCCCCAGATGTCTTGGAGTCTAAACGCGCGTTGGGTCCATTATGGTTTTGGCTGAACGTAAAATCATCAAAGTTGAATGATGATTGCTTTAAGTCCGACTCTCATCAGTTCTCTGCCTGATCAATTTATCCGTCTCGTCCAATGTAGTATATATATGTTTTCGATCTCTCGTCGCGTCTCAGCCATCATTGATTGTAGAAGTAATTGGACAACATGGCGCCTTATCGCAATCTCGCTCTTCTCTCTCTATTGAGCCTAGGCAGCGCTGCTCCCTCGCAGGTTGAGCGCTCTCCTGATGCAGTCATCCAGCCTCGTGCCGTCTGCACTCCCACCGCTGGTGGAAGTGCGTCCATCGACGATGTTCCGGCCATCACCAAGGCCATTTCCTCATGCGGCAATGGAGGCACGATAGTATTTCCCGCTGGGTCAACCTACTACTTGAACAGTGTGCTGGACCTTGCTGGGTGTTCGAACTGTGACATTCAGGTGGAGGGTTTGCTCAAGTTCAGTGGCTCGACCGACTACTGGGGTGGCAGGACCGCAATGATCAATGTCAATAAGATCAATGGCTTGAAGCTCCGATCGTTGACTGGTTCGGGTGTTATCGATGCTAATGGACAGAATGCGTAAGGTGCATCTATCCTTCTGAAGCTGGAGCTAATCGACAGTATAGATACGATCTTTTTGCATCCAATAGCAGCTATAAACGACCCACACTGCTCTACATTACCGGTGGTAGCAACATCGAAGTGTCCGGCCTCCGCCAGAAGAACCCACCGAACGTGTTCAATTCGGTCAACGGCAACGCGGAGAACGTCATTTTTACGAACCTCCGTATGGACGCAACCTCCAAGTCCGCGAATCCCGCGAAAAACACGGACGGCTTCGACATCGGTGCCAGCACGTATGTCACCATCTCCTCCGTCAACGTGAGCAACGACGACGACTGCGTGGCCTTTAAGCCGGGCTGCAACTATGCGACCGTCGAGAATGTCACCTGCACCGGATCGCACGGTATCTCCGTCGGCTCTCTGGGGAAAAGCAGCGCCGATACGGTGCAGAATGTCTACGCGCATGGCATCACCATGATCAATTCTAGCAAGGCAGCCGGTATCAAGACCTACCCCAGCGGTAACGGCCATGGCTTGTCAACAGTGAAGAATGTGACTTTCTCCGACTTCACCGTGCAAGGGTGCGACTATGCCTTCCAGATCCAGAGCTGCTATGGTGAAAGCGCCTCCTACTGCGCGAGTAACCCGGGCAATGCCGTCCTGCAGGATATCGTCGTGAAGGGGTTCTCAGGAACCACGAGCAGCAAGTATGATCCCGTTGTCGCGAACCTGGATTGTGGCGCCGATGGCACTTGCGGTGTTAGTGTCAGTGATTTTACGGTCAAGGCGCCATCTGGAAAGGCAACAGTTCAGTGTGCTAACACGCCTTCAAATCTGGGTGTGACCTGCACCTCGGGTGCTTCGGGTTGATTCTTCAGCAGATTATTGTTTCTGACTGATTCGTAAGAGAACTCGGTCGTTGGGTTTCTATGGTTTACCTGCTTTGGCGTGAAAGACCACAGGATGACCAGCCAGTCTCCTATGTCCTCTGGGGTTGCGTATTATGTTGGCTCTATCTTGCCTTCTCTGCTGCGATCGATTCTCGCTTGACTATATGACTGTTCGTAATTTCGAATGATCGAAGTAGCCCGAGTCTACAAGCAAAGATCGATTCCTTGCCCAGCCAACATGGTTATATAAATATCTTTCTTGGCGCGTCTCAGAAGTTAAAGTCCGAGCAGTCCCCAGTTATATATATCCTTAGCAGGTCTTTTTAGGATCTTAAATATAACGATGCCCCAAATCGCTAGGCATTTAGAAACTTGTGACCTATTTTTGTAGGACGCACAAGAGATGCCATGAGTTGATAAATTTGTGCTACCTGTCTCCCGAGTAAGGGCTACCACAGTCTCCAAATAAGGCATTGCCAGAGTGTCCTTGTAGGAAAAGGTATGCAGTCAATCTATGGCATTCTATAGGGCATGAAGTCGCGTAGTTTATCCAATACCGTGGCTTGCCGCAGGGCATCTCATACCACAGGGCAATGCGCAGTCCACGGAAAACCGTGGCTTGCCTAGGAGAGAGACATCAGTACGGAATCAACAACTTGAGTAGGAAGTGGCACTCACGTTATTCGGTCTGCGTTCGCATTGAGCAGATCCGCCAGTGGGACTATGCCTTTGGACAGCTGCTCCTCTTCCTCATCGGTCACATAGCCACCCTCCCCGGCGCCTTCTTCGACCTCCTCTTCGGGCTTGCGGCGGGCGGGTTCGATGTTGTGCTGACAAGGGGACGTTTGATGCGGTGTCGCTTTCGGAGGAGAAGGTCGGCCAGGGTGAGAGGCGCTTGTGCGAGCGGTACCCTGGTATTGTGCGGCGGCTCGTCCGGAAGGGTGGGTTTGTTGTTGTTACCAGCTGCAATTGGACCGAGGAGGAGCTTGTTGCGTGGTTACGCGGGGGGATCAGGCCCAGAACGAGGATAGATTGGTTGTGTATGGGAGGGTCGAGTATCTGCGGTTTCGGTTGGGGGGATGGAGGGGCAGGGGGTTTGTACGGTGTGTTTTCAGCGTGTCTAGATAAAGTAAAGTACTTGGTATGGAAGATCATATATACATCAGTCATGGGAGCCACGTCTATACAGGAAACAAAAGACTGTACTCCGTACAGTCAGATGCTACTCCCTCCTTTGTAAAAGAGCAACCACACACMATCTCCGCCGATTCTCCGGCCCCTCGCCTTCACGCTCGGGCATCCACTCACGCCGCACCTCGCCCCCATCCTCGCTGGTGGCAATAAGATCCCGCTCGTAAATGCGCTCGATCTTCAGTCCATTCTGCACGGCCGTCTCGAAGAACCACGCTACAATCGCGCGCCCCGTGTGGAACCCGGCCACGACCCAGACCTTCCCGCTCGGCGCCAGGAACCAATTCATCGTGCGCACCAGGTTCTCATGCTGCGAGCGCATCCAGTAGCAGTCGGCCGCGATGATGCGGGTGAAGGTGCCGCGGTGCGCGACGGCCCACGGGTCCGATTCCAGCGTGCCCCATTTATGCGGCTGGCTCGTGACTTTCGTTTCTGTCGCCGCCAGATTACGGCGAATGTTAAAGTGGATAGCGCCGGTTAATGCAGGCGACGACGGGTGATCGGTGATGGTGACAGCCGCAGCGTGCGCACGCGCACATATAACAGAAGGCAACGCAGCGCCAGCGCCGAGTTCCAGCACGCGCTCGCCGCGCACCGTCCACATGGCCGTGTCGGCGTCGAGCTCGCCGCGCGCGGCGAGGGTGTCGGCCTTTTCCACGCCCTCGGCAACCACCATCGCAGCGCTCCAGAGGAAATGCGCAAACAGCTTGCGACCCTCGTCGACGGCGTTCACGCTGCCATCTTCTGACGGCAAGCCGGCGGCGATCTCCTCCGAGCGGCGCTCGCTCTGGCTCGGGTAGGAGGGTACCATGATCTCGAGGTCGCCGTAGCGCGGAGAGGTGTACAGGAGGCGCTGGCCGGGGTCTCCGTGGAAGGAGGGCGCGTCGTCGGGGAAAAGATGGGGGAGGAAGGCGGAGAAGAGGTCCTCGGCGGAGGAGTAGTCGTCGCTGTTGTCTTCATCGTGGAAGTCGGGGGGAGGGGCAGACTCGGTGGGGATGGAAGATGCCGGTTGGAGGCGGGGGAGCGGACGGATGCGTGAATGGAGCATGTTGAATCTCCGTCGAGGAGCTCCTTCAGATCCCTTCCTGGATGGGGGAGAACCTCCCTTGGAAGTGTTCCAAGTTGTTGTGTTGTATTGTGCTGTATACTGGGACGGAGGACACGATTTTCTTGGTAGAGGATCATGGCGTAAGCTGATTGGCGGATATCTTGGCGGTGAGACTATGCCAGCGGAACCCTTCCGCCTGATCAMATGATTTATTCTCGAGCCAACGATGGACGGCGTTCGATCTGCCATTAATGCCATGAGCAGGCATACACAGTACATCAAGAGGCACCATCTAGTTCATACAGCGCTTGCAGACTCTGTAGATTATATTAACATGGAAACAGACTTTCCAGATATGCTGAGCTCAACCAGGATCACTACCCCTGAGTCTAATCTTACTCAAAGAGTAACTAAGGAGAGGAAATAACAGGTCTTCTATTAGATAGATCCTGGGCAGCAAGACCAATTACTAATGCATCTCTGTCTAGCAGCTGACCATTGCCTAGATCCTACATTAAAAATTGCATTAGACATTGATAGTGTGGGTGGATTTGTGAGTAGTTTGGCAGTGGCTTATTTGCGGGATCAATAGTATCCTACACAGGTGCCTGTCTTTGATCCCCAGTCCGTCCTACATTCAAATCTGATTTTGGTGTAGTATCTTGACCTGAATAGGTGGGTCTATACCATTTGACAACCTGTGGATCAAGTCCCTCACTATTCCTTTAGCTGCCTAATTAGGTTTGAGGATATTTCTCCATATCTGCTCTTTCCCTGACTATACTGTGAAAATTAATAATTAAGCCATCTGTTAGACCATAATTTCAAATAATTGATGGATGATATTCTCCTCCCAATTCTTAATCACTGTCATTCAGGCAATCTTATCCAACACTACCCATCTAGCTTTGATTACAGTTGGCTCAACGCGACCACCTATGGTGTGGAAATACAGTCACAGCAAGTTAATCCACTAGCATGTAAGCAGCTTCTCTTTTACTTTCTTCCTCCTGAGGCGCTCACCACTGTCTAGGAAGAGATTCTCAAGGTGACCCAACGCCCAGGTTTCCAGGACATGAGATCCTGATTGAGGGGAAAAATCTGAAGACCCTGACCAAGGCGCAAATGTTGGCCAATCTGATGGAGGACTTTCAACCGCACTGGCAGAATGCCGTCCACGAGACCTATCTCTCGGAGCCGTTCTTCATGATATTGGAAAGGTAACATGTCCAACAGCCGTATTCAAGCCCTCTGAGAGCCAGCCGCAGACATTGCTCTGGCGGCGATGCCGCCTAGACACCTATAGCCAGTGGATTCATTGCAAACTGCCACCGGATGCTCCCCATGCTCTTCAGCAATTCTGCCCAATCAACATTCTTGAGGATACAAGCTGCCTCACTACAGCCAATTCTACGCCAGCGTGAAAGAGGTCTTTACCGCAAGCAATATCTATTCTTTTACCAACTCCAGTTTGGAGACCCTAACGCTCAACCCGAAGCTCCAAAAGACCTGGTAAACTGTCGGGGGGCGGTCTGAGCTACCAAGCCACTATGCTGGTTGAGCATAAGTCCGGCATTAGAGTATAAGCGTCCGGTCAGAGAATTAGACACCGGTCCCAGCATTATCATAACAGCACTGACGACGATCCCCAATGGCTCCGTCTTCAGAACCCGCTCCCATCTCGACAACAGTACAAGAGAAGGAGCAAAGTCTAGTGGAAAGCAACTATTTATACGCAAGTCCCCCAAGATCACTTCTCGAGCATCAGTCGATAGCTGCTTGCTGCTTTCATTCACCGAGGTCTTCCGAGCTCCGACTCCAATTCAGTCCACCGGGGGGTGGGATGTACCCACGGGGTGGCAAACTGCAGGGCGGAAGAATCAGGCCAGTGAGGCGTGAGATGCCGACTCGGGCCGGTGGCTCTCGTCCGACCTCACCGCCGGAAATAACATAGTACGGAGCACGATGACTCGGGATCCCGGAGTCGGCTTGTGTTGCATCAGTCTCTGCCGCTTGTCCCTGTTTTCGGTCGTTGTGGGGGGTTGGATCGTCATGGGCCCACGGCTGGGTCGATCTCGGGGGAGTTCCGAAACCGTGATGTCGCCTTGGCAGGCCATGTTTCGAGTGGGATCCCTTTGTATACTTTAATATCATGGATGTGAGCTTTACTGTCTACTGTTGCAAAGGCTGTGACTGTCAATTCAGAGATGGCGAGTATACATAGTGCTATAGCCTGAGGTGATGGTTGCGGTCTGGGATGAAGTGAGGCAAAGTTTCTCCGAAGTTTACGCAGGATATGAAAAATCTTCGAGGTGACCCACAGCAGTTGGAGTACGGTGTATCTGGCCATCAGTAAGAGAGATCACGCCTCATCTCAGAGTAGTGCAGTTGGAGACAAACCTGATGCTGCGAGGCGGACTCCGTAACCACCCGAGACGGGCCATCATTCACTGCCAGAGACGTCGCACTATGGAGCACGAGTCATGCATTGGCCTGCTCTGTCGCTCTAAAAGCAACTCACCGCATGATTTATGCAGCTTGATGACAGAGCACACTCGCCTTCCATATTTAAACAAACTGTCCCAGACTTAGGACATCCACCGATACCATCCACCCCTCCCCATACTCCCGCCATGGACAAGACCGACAAGTCCCAGCCTGTCCAGGCGTCTCACGCTGAGAATGCCCATTCCCACCCTCAAACTCAGCAGCACCAGCGTGGGCGTGTTGCCGGTGGAAAGTACCTACAGGAGCTCTACGATGACCATGCTTTTGCTCCCAACGATGGTCCAATTCAAAAGGTCGACGTCGATATGCCGCTCACCATGACGGAGACGATATACCACAACGGGAATCAATACATTKTGCTGGACTTTGCAGAGGGAGACAAAGAGAACCCTTTCAACTGGAGTCCGAAGCGAAAGGCGTTCATCTCCCTGCTTCTCTGCCTCATGACTCTGTTCATCGGTCTGGCAACCACAGCGTACAGCTCAGGCATTTCCAGAATGACAACAGAGTTCGGTGTCTCCTCTGAACTAGGCCAGCTCGGTCTATTCACGTTCAACTTCACCTGTGCCCTGGCTCCGCTCTTCCTAGCCCCCTTCTGCGAACTCGCCGGCCGCCGGGTCGTCTACGTCGGCGCCTACGTCCTCTTCGCGATCATGTTCATCGGCCTCGCGCTCGGCCAGAACATCGCGACTATCATCGTCTGCCGCGCCCTGCTCGGCCTCTTCGGTTGCGTCGGCACCATCCTCGTCGGTGGCACCTTCGGCGACATGTACACGCCCAACCAGCGCGCCGTCCCCATGGCCACCTTCTCCTACGTCGCCATCCTCGGCACCGTCGGCGCCCCCATCTACGCCGGCTTCATCGACGAGACCCTCGGCTGGCGCTGGATCGAAGGCATCCAGGGCCTCGCCAACGTGCCTCTCGCCATCATCATCGCTCTCTGTCTCCGCGAAACCCGCGGCAGCGTCACCCTCGCCAAACGCGCCAAGATCCTCCGCCAGCAGACCGGCGACGACCGCTACGTCACACAAAAGGACCTCGAGGCGCCCGGCATCAAGGAAATGCTGCACAATTCCTCCGTCAAGGCAATCCACATGCTAGTCACCGAGCCCGTCGTCCTCGCCTTCGGCCTCTGGATCTCCTTCGCTTGGTTCCTCACATTCCTCTTCCTCTCCGTCATCCCCATCACCTTCCAAGAGAAGAAAGGCTGGAGCGAGGGCGTTGCTGGTCTACCGTATATCGCTCTCTGCATAGGCACGACCATCGGCTTCGCGCTCAACTTCCTCCAAATCCGGAAATACCGCTCCATCGTCGCCGATCCCGCCCGCGAGACAACGCCCGAAGCCCGCCTCTACGGCGCCATGCTCGGCTCCATCTGGCTGCCTATTGGCTTATTCATCTACAGCTTCACGCAGTACAAGGAGTTGCACTGGATTGCGCCGGTGATTGCACTGGTCCTCATTACGGTCGGGATTTTCTTTATCTTCGAGAGCTGCTACAGCTTTACTTCTGATTGCTACGGGGAGAACTCGAGCTCCGCGATTGCGGGCCAGGGGTTCATGCGGAATACGCTCGGTGCGGTATCGCCGCTTTTTGCCTCGCAGTTTTTTCATAATGTCGGCAGTCAGTATGCGGGGTTGTTGTTGGCCGTTGTGGCGACGCTGTTGACGTTTATTCCGTTTGTGTTTTACTGGTATGGGCCAAGGTTGAGGGCGAGGTCGAAGTTGGCGGCTGGCATCACGGGCGCCAAGGCTGAGGAGATTGAGTTGTGATACTATCCTACCAGATTATGAGAATGACAATGTCAAATGACTAGATTGATGGAATTAAGAACTCCGTGTATGTGCATCCGATCGGCAGCTATCTCGACAGGGAACTTCGTGTGCGATCCATCGGATCGTATATCAACAGGGAAGACAACATAAATCCAACGTTATATGTGCCATATAATCATTATTTACCGCCGCAGGCTAGTCGTGCCTGCCTGGAGGACCAGTACGTTACCCACAATTCTATTCTCAGTCCGTACCAGCGCCTGGCCAACAGCCCCAAGGGCCTGTCTGGCATCGGGCCCGACCTCGTCCGGAGATGAAACGGTTGCTGAAGTCAAAGTCTGGTCCAGCCCGTTGTGGCGTCTTCCCACTACGACAATGTTTCCAGCTTTCGGTGTCGTCTGCGACATTTCTTCTTTCACGGCGTTGATAGTGAACTCGACCACATTGTCGTCAGCTTTCGGGGTGAGACGTGTAAAGACGACGCGAGACCTGAACTCGTCCGGGAGTGAATCTCGCGTCAAGGCGAAGAAGGTACCATCGCTCTCGGGTTGTTGTGATGCGACTGTCGAAGGGCTGGTTGAGCTCTCCCCTTGGGAAACTTTGGTGTTAGCGGCGGGTTTTATTGGAGGGGAGGAAAGGACATCAATGTGCAGGACGGTCGCCGTGACTTGGTCGTTTTGAGCCAGCTGAAGAAGGAATTTCAGGGCGAAGCGGTCATCATCACCGCCAAAGAACGGTAACACAATATGATGCGATCGCGCGGCGGCCGTCGTACCGCCCCAGATGGAACTGCGGATACTGAGAGCGCTGGCTTTTTTGGTGAGTTGTGGCCGTTGCTTGCCGGAGCTGCGGCTGTATAAGTTCCTCTCGACGAGGACGCCCACATTGCTCGTCGTATTAGAGAGCACATTCGAAACAAAGTTGGTGTAGGGACCATTGACAAATCTACTGGCCTCGTCGATTCCAAGACCAGTTTGCACCTCGCTCATGCCACCCGTTTCACTCCACGGGATTAACAGGAGATCGGCGGATTCTTCACGAGCCATCCCCACGACGGTGTCCGCATAAGAATACTCGGGAACGACGGATACCCCAGCCATGATCGCAATATCGCGCCATTGGCCGAAAGCCCGGAAGGTGTTGATGACGGGATCCCACAGAGTGTACTCGTCGATCTCGGAGACCTTCATGACACTCGAGTCTCGATCGGTCAGTTCCATCAGCCTGACGCCATGGACCTGCAGCGCAGGCTCCGGCTGGACTTCGGTCTCGGCGGACTCTTCCACTGCTGGTTCCGGAGATGACAGAGCTTCTTTGACCTTGGTCGGATGCAGCTTCGGGGATGGCGGCGCGGCGGGTTGATTGGGACCCAACAGGGCAGCCAACGTACAAATGCTGGAAAGTCCGTCCAGGCGCAGATAAACGAGCATCTTGCGGACTGGTGCAGTCTTCAGCTGCTCTTTGGCAGCAGCAACACTATCCTGGCGTCCATCGGATTGGATCGGGTGACCATTCCAGTCAATTTCCCCACGACGCCAGCGCTCCACCTTTATCTGGTACCATTTTGGATACAAGAGGCTGGTCAAAGGCGTGGTTGCAAAAGTTGTCACTAGGGCCATGACGACGAAAATCGTGAATGTGCGGGTGCTGAGGATGCGCGCTTGGAGACCAATGTTCTATCACGGTCAGTTGTCATTTGGCAGATCAACGCAAGAAAGTAACTTACCAAGACAATCAGCTCGACAAGACCCTTGCAACTCATCAAAACGCCAATGGAGAGACTCTCCCGCCAGAGCAGGCCACATAATCTCGAAGCTAGAGCACCTCCGGCCACCTTGGCGAGGAAGGCAATGGCAATCACGCCGATGACATATCCCCAGACCGTGCCGGAATCGAGCAGGCCGAGATTGGTGGAGAGCCCGGAGAGAGTGAAATACAATGGAAGAAACAGAACAGCAACCAAGTCTTCAATCTTCTCGGTCAGCTTGATAGCGAAACCACCTTCGTGGGGACATAGCAAGCCAATGATGAATCCTCCAAAGATGGCGTGAATTCCAATGATCTGAGTAAAGAATGCCGAGGCCAGAGCAATGAGAATGGTGATTGTCACGACCGACTGGCTGGGACCCTTTTGCAAGCTTCCGGTCTTCTTGAGGAAGCGCAAGAACAACGGACGGAATACGAGAGCCAAAAAGACGATATAGCCGGCTGCGACGAGTAGCACCCAGAGGGCCGTGATGCCGCTTCCAGCATTGACAAGAGCGACGCAAAGGGCGAGTAAGATCCAGCCAACCACATCGTTACCTACACCGGCAGACAGTACAATGACACCGACATTGGTTCCGAGGAGTTTTAATTCGGTCAAGATACGGCACAACACCGGGAAAGCCTGCCTAATGAGTAGCTGACATCATCATAGTTGAGTGATACAGGGCTCACCGTGATCGCCATTGCAATGCCAATAAAGAGCAGATAAGTGCCGAAATCGATATGAGCCATGCCGGATTCCGCTCGAAACGTGTGATACAGACCATACGAGATAGCGGAACCCAATCCGAAGGGCAGAATCATCCCCGCGGCTGAGACACTGGCCGCCACGCGCCAGTTACTGATGAGAAAACGCAAGTTGGTCTCGAGGCCGACGAGGAACAGGAAAAGCACGAGACCCAGGTTGGCGACAAGAGTCAGGTTGGGAATTGATGCAGCAGGGAAGATTGCATTCGTAAATCCGGGGATCCGTCCCATTACCGATGGACCCAAGACAATGCCAGCAATGACCTCTGCGATCACCCGCGGCTGCCGGATCTTGGAAAGCGGCCAGTGAATCAGGCGACATAGAATAATGATGATTGAAGCCTGGTCGATTTAGTTTCGAGATCCGGTTACCATGATGGAATACTGACCTGAATGATGAAAGTAACAATTGGGTTCTTGGGGTCATAGTGGGATGGATTCCCACCTTCGAGGATGCCACCTTGCGGCGGGACGGTCGCGGAGCTGGCGACCGACGAGGTGGTGGTGGTGGCCATCGCCTCAGGGAGTGGCACTAGGAGTGCCTGCACTCGGAAAATCACTGGCAAATGGGTGAGATTGATGAAAGGAGAATGAAGGATGAAAAGAGAGAAACTACGAGGGGAATAGATGGAGATAAGAGATTATATTCACGTCACTCGATCGGGGATGCCTGGTGATGCCTGGGGTCCTGGGGATTCTAGATCCGGCGGCAGAGTCTTGGCAGCTGATCCACGTGGATTACCTGAGGCAGAGCCTCTTGGCGCGGGGACGTTCGGGAAGAAAACGTGTAGGCCACATTATGTACACCAGATAGATTAACCCCTGCAGGATTGAATTAATCTCAATCTCAATGTACAAGCTATAGATGCAAATTGGATCTTAACCATTATAAATTCATATTCATTTGCGCCCTTTCAATGGCACTTTGCTTCATCTCCTGGTTCGGTGGAAGGATGCATGGTCATTCGGGCATCCTCTCTCCAAGCCACACTCATGGCTGGGACTCCACACAATCATATGTTAATCTACCCTGGCCAATCCAATCCCTTGCGCAGTAACGTCAGTCATTTATCTATTAGCTACCCCAGTCTTTGTCTTCATCTTCTATTGGCTGATGTAGTTTACATAATACATAACAAAACACGCATTACCAGAAACAAAACTTCTGGTGACTACTGATGATTGGTATTGCCAGGATTCTCGAACATAGCTCCACTAGATTCACGAGGCACAAATTGATCATACATCGTTTGCAGTGTGGGATGTACAACTATATTCTGCGACAGAGACACATGCGACTGTGTCAGTTGCAGCCCATCTTGCATCGCTCGTAGGATATTGCTCTGGGGTGGTAACGGTGAAGTAGAGGCGGAAGGTGTGGTCATCATGCTGTCAACAGGCGTTAGGGAAATGCAGCAGTAGAGGCTATGGCAGACCTCCCATGCTCGTTGAGCAGCGAGGTTATCTGCCGCCATTGCAAGAAGCCACCCCATAGCTTTCTCCACCATCAGAGTGATTTTGGGGGTCTCTTCGACGTCAAACTTGACGCAGAAATCGAGCTCAATTAGTAAAATAGTCGCGGACTGCATCAGATAATGAATGATACACCACCAGGGTGATAGCTGGACCAGCCAGAGCACATCCGGCGTGTCTGGTAATAGGTCTAGGATATCGCAGGCCGAATCGACGCATATTTTTGCGTTCTTCCGCTGGTCCAGCGGGGGATTTTGGAGTTGACCGGGGCGAAGCCGATCGGTGCGGCAAAGAGAAGGGCGAGAAATAGTGATTTTGGTGCTATAGAAGCGAAAGGCAAGGCTCCATCGCTGCCGTTCAAATAACTTGGACTTCTGCATCGGCCTAAACTGGAATACTTCTGGAAGACTGCTACTCCACGCGTCTGCGTCTCTTACCAAGTCCACTATCGTTGCGCCGACTTTCGGCCAGGGTTCTCTAGACCCGCCTGGCGCATACAGCACATCAATTGCTCGCCGCATGATCGTCGTTATGTCGATGAAATACAGAAAGTAAAGAGAATTACTAGGCGCGGCCTCGTTGATGGTCGAAGCCAAGTAGTGTCCTACAGACGGTGCAGGTTTCGGTGAAAATTGGGAAGCGGGGTGTTTGTGCCTTCGCGAGGAGAAGGCTTGCATATAGCTATGTCGGACACTGTAGTCCGAGAGAAGTTGCGAGGCGACAGGCCCATGGAACTGGTCCTCTTCGTAAGGAATAGGGAGAGGTGTGGTGCAGAACGTATCCGCAGCACTCGTGGGACGGCCAGTCATGATGGAGAGGGTGTTCTCCAGCGTGTAGATGGACCACCAGACCCGATACCGGAGCTCTTTAGAGAAATTCGGCGTGTCCTTGCTCTCGCTGCGGAGATTAATCCCCAAAGCGATGGCGGACCTGATGGAGACACCACAGGTTCTCCATGCCCTGCAGATCGTATTAGATGTGTCATTCTGGGTTTATGAGAATGGAATATGTACCTGTTGACGTGTCCCATGGACATGAGCCAAAATGCGCTCAAGCCTTCGGCTTGCACCTGCTGCAGGTTGGGGTGGTCGAAGAGCTGGCCATTCGTAAAATTGAGCTTCTGAGCCCGGGAAAAATACTCCAAGGGCCCATCGGTATCTTCCGTCCACGTTTCAGAAAGAAGATGACCAAATTTGGCCCCCAGCGCAAAGATTAAGTTAAGAATCGCGAGCCACTTGCCCGGTGGCCGCATATTTGGCTGGGAATAATATAATGCATACTGCTGCATAAACGGAATCCTACCGACAATGGGAAAAGACGGATGAACCGCGTCAAAATAGAGATGTATAAGCTTGTCTCCAATAGTACGAGAAGGACGATCATAGGCGGCAATACCCCGATCGACTAACAGATTCTGATCATCCAGAAAATAACTTACCGAGGTCAACGCCTTGGCACCGTTGCCCGGTGAAGCTGCCTTCGACTCCGCCAAAGGTGTGGCCCTGCCTATTTCCTTCCTCAAATCACGTATCCATGAAATTTCGGAATGCGACCCTAGGTAGCCGAACGCGTGCAGCTGCTGATTCCGATGGTAGTCCTCCTCAACATAGTCCACGGCAAAAGAAGGCTGAGGAGCGGTCGCATGTGTCGCGCTGACTGGATCCGGCGACGGGGGGCTAGTGATAGAGCTCCTCTATTGAAATATTGTCAAAATTGAGAAGGTGAACGGACAGGGCGGATTGTGACTTACTCTGTGCAATGTCCTTGTAATAAGCTCTGCGTCTTGAATATTGACCCTGGGTCGTAGGTGTTGCAGTAACTCTTCGTAAAGAGCCACCTGCTGCTCTAGTTCTTCGACTTGCCTATATAACACTAAGTCAAAGGTCCAAAATTGTCCCGGTCTCCTACTAACCTTTCCCTACTCTCGCGCTTGCTTTCAAGCGACGTGCAAGTGATGCCGAAACTGACGCAGCGAAGGCATGGCCGGTATTCACTACACTTGGCTTTTTGTTCCCTGCATGCCGCACATGCTGTTCTGATGCGACGATTGCCAGTGGTCCTAGGAGGAGCGAGTCGCGGAATAGCAACCTTCGATGAGGGGACTTCCTCAGATTGTTGTCCCTCCGTTGATCCTCTCCTTAACAACGGACCTGAGACGTTTTCGGCTGGGTCAGAAGAACGCGACTGCTCTAGCCTTTGTTCATCTTCAGACTCCATAACATATCAAAAAAATTATTAAAGGCTGAAGCTGCAGAGTGAGCGAGGTCAGACCGCAAAACATGATTGTTATTGCTGCCATATTAGGTCAGCATTGATGACATCAATCCGCTCCACTAGTATGAAGCTTTCACAGCACTGATTGGCTGGAAGGCAACGCCGGACATGCCAAGGCTTTCCAGAGGCGCGGGGGGAATGAATGTCTTTGATTGATTTGGTGCTAGTTTGCTCTGGCATTACTGCCGCGTCATAATGATGTGGGTGGGGTCTCATGAAAAAGGAAAGTGACAAACTCTTATTCACAGACTGCAGATCTTGAACACCCCATCATCCATGATCCGTCAGCCCTGAAAAAGGGCAGCATGAATAGAGTTCAGGACTTGAGGTACTGTACCTTATGATCCGTCAACCACTGCGACAGCCCACCAATAATAAAGCCAATCTGTAGCAGAATCCACCGTTCCACGGCTCCGACCCGGCTCCGACTCATGACAAGACAGGTACTGTCCCTGCCCTCTGTTAATCTACCGTGATGCAAGGGGGAATTGGGCAAGTGAATAGAATGCCAATTCTGAATAGATTGTTTGGTTCCATGGCAATGGATTAGATCTATCCAGCGCCACAGAAAATCGTCCGAGCTTAGTCCCACAGTCTAGATAAGATCTTTGGATCTATCACTGCTGATGTCCACGTCAGGAATGCGCGTATACGGAATGGAGTCTTTTCAGGGATCTTCTAACAGTGGCGTTTTAATTTTGAATAACTGAATCAGTGTTCCATGTTCATAAGTACCAGGGACGGAACTTTTATATCTCCTCTTCGCGCCTGGATATTGCCATGAGTCTTTGATAACGAGGGTTTTCTCATCCCCTTCACTGTGCGCTTTCCAGCATGTTGTAGCTCTGCTGGCAACACATTGACTGTCCTTCAAGAGGCTGTCAAGAACGAGACATTCCGACCGGCCATTGCGCGTAATCTCAATAAAGCGCTTTCCATTTGAAGAGGACATGATGCTAGGATCATATCCCAATTGTTCATTGACATCTGAATAAATCCCAGAATAGACAAGACAAACTGAAGAGCATCTTTGTTGATGTTAAATGGTGATGAGGCGATGGCCCCTATGTGATTGAACTCCCACAGTCGCATATGGGTCCACAAAGTGTAAAACCCAAAGCAAAGCATACTGACGGGTGTCTTAGGCGGTAATGACTCGCATAGCGACCCAAATCATCCCATGTTTTTGAGGCCGTATCAGCACCTGGGTTACTCTTTCAGCTCGCTCAGTACCAGGACATGTGACCAGTGAGATTTTGCTTGATCAGTCGTATCCAAGCAGCGAACGAATCCGACATCCAGCTTACGGTCAGCAGTAGATCCTTGCAAAGGCTGGTTAGGTTGCGTCAAGACCGTGTTATGGATTAGCATAGTAAAGCCCTCCTCAATCACAATGTTGTGGAGCACATTGATCTGTGTAGTAAGCCACCCTAAGACCTCCTTTTCCTTAGCATCATTAGGCCAGTTGTGCCAACCGTCTTCTTCACTGAACAGAGGGCTATCCCCTTCTCTGCATCTCCTATAACAGCTGCACTTGCTTCTTCAAGGCCATCGACATCCTAAAGTAGGCTTCGTAGAAGCCCGGAACGTTGACGTATATCGAACCCAATTCATCTTTTAGCACATTATCCACATATTTCTGTGCTAGATGAGTAGACAAAGCTGCTCATTGTGTGTAGGTAGGGAGTTTGATTAAGGAATGATAGTTTCTCGGTGGAGGGGTGGATTCGACGACCGCCGCGTAAGCCTTGTTCCTTATCACTTCATCCGGTTGGCCATCATAAATTGCATCCATAAGAGGGAAAGGTGCGCAATATCGAATTTGTCGGAGTCAACAACTGATATGAACCGTCTGAGATCGTTATGAAGAGTTCCTTGGGTAGTCGTTGATGGTAAATGCGAGGACGCGGGAAGCTTTGTAGGGTCATAATCAGGTCGACTAACTGATTTTTGAATCCTATTTGAATGAGAGAAGGCAACTTGGAGAAGTGGCGTTGAATTACCTTTATTATTTTCCAATTTGGCCGCATCAAAAGGTCGAGCGATGTTTAACTGTGCGCACAGTTCTCTTAGGGCATCACGAAAAGCGTCAAGGCCATCCCCAATGGGCTGTATACGGTAATGCATACACAAGACCCCATAAGTAAAACCCCATAAGTAAACAAGATAGGCGGTTTCCTTGGCATACAGTGGGGGGAATCAGTGTTGGCTGCCCTAATATAGGTCAACTAGATCGCCTGGTTGAAATGCCAGCGAAAATGCTTGACGCGTTTACAGACAGTTCAATATTATCATCCCCCATGGCATCTTTTCCCGAAGATTGATCTTCCCAAATGAAGTGGGAAAGTGCTCAACGCTAAGATCCGTAAAACATAGTGGGAACAACTGCTATAGACATCGAAGGTCATGAGGCAGGGTCCAGCAAAGTAAAGCGGTAAGTCGTGTCTGGAGAGCTCCATGATCTATACCAATCATTAACTCCCACGTCAACATCACCATCCGAGTATCTACACATCGATCTAATATAATATGACCACGTCACATTACAGATTAATCTATACTTCCTCACTACTTCTGTAGCTTATATTTAGCGCTATCAGCTATTTAGTCCCACTCTTTCTCAGGCAATCTAGATTCAGATTTAATTTGGATATTAGCCGCTTCTTAGACCTCTTTTCTTCCAGGTTTATTAGGATTTTTCTTAGACTTTATCTAGAACGTATAATACTATTCTTTTACTTTTTACTGGGCTTTCTTTTATAACTATCTAACCTTCAGAGGAAAGAGATCTTTTAAAGGTAATACTAATATACTAAATTTATTATATAAAAAGACTGCCATTTCTAAAAGGTATACACTAGGCTTTTCTATGAGGTGATCACGGAGAGCTTCAAGTATTAGTAGAGTTATACTTCATAGTTGCCCTCCATGATTAAGTGGTGGGCTTTTGCTGCCAATTAAGCATAGGTTAGTATAAATATTTTTAATAGAACTTTCACTGCATTTAGCAGCATTAATAATCTAGGCAGTAGTAAAACATTTTCTGTGGATCATATTATGGATAAGCATAGTTTCTAAGGTTCAAGATGCATCCTATGGTGTGCAGTCACTGTATGTTGTCGGTCATGAAATGATTGAACCAGGATTATGCAGCTAGAATACAACAGGTCATATATGACGTGTTATGCATATTGTTCACATCCCTGGAATTCTTAACTCAGGCTTCTCACTTCACACCTATTGATACTTGCCATCTTGAAGAAGTCAAATTCCACACAATATGGGATCAATCACAGAACCTGATCATCTTCCGTCAATCAGCTACGCTGATCTTCGACACGAGGATACAGGGATCAGAGATAGAGCGGCCAGAGCTTTCACGCAAGCCCTCCGGGACTACGGAGCATGCCGAATACGAGATCATGGAATCCCGCAGGATAGACTTGACATGTGCTTTGAGAAGGTGAGTGCCACACCACGCCAGAACACATTCATTAGGTTGCTGTATTGATGAATTGAATTCCGTCAGTGCCGGCAGTTCTTCGAACGAGACCCTAGAGAAAAGGTAGCTGATTACGCCAAGTCCGGGGTAGCCAGCAGAGCGCGATTCGTCCCGTACGGAAGTGAAAAGACACGGGGGGAAGCACACTTGGAAGAGGTTCTGCAGCTCCGAGATGGGATTTATGATACGGGCGGGAATTGGTCCCTCGAGGCACGAGAGCTTATCTGTGCATCGGAAAAACTGCACAGCACATGTAGTGTCATTCATTGCACGCTGCTTGAGTGTTTGTCGTCCTCTCTGCATCTGACTCAATCTTTGACCTCTATCCACCACAAAGAGAACTCGTTCTTCGCGCCCACCTATTTTGCTCCATGCTATCATGATGAAGACATACTCCGTGTCCCTGTCCACATCGACCCTACGACGATGCTGTTCAATTTTCCGGACTCGCATGGCGGCCTCAGAGTCGCAGATCTGAGAAACAGGGTTGGAAATCTCTCTGCTGTAGAGATGCAAAATACAGCGACGTTTATTCCGACAGGCTGTCAGCCCGGGGAATTCATTGTTCTAGCGGGTAATCTTTTAAGGAGACTGGCTGCAGGAATAAAACATGCAGTGCATTACATAGAGCGGCCGCTGGGGTCGTCCGGGTTTCATTTGAATTACTGGACAGTGCCGGACATGGATACTCCTTGTGACTTTGGCGGCAAACGAGAGACTGTGGAGAAGTATTTGATGAGGGTATTTCCATCAACATTTGGTCAGTCTTAGTACATATGTGGGTTGTTGTGAAGACAAGTTGACCGAGCTCCCTCAGCTCTCTTAAAAGTCCGCAGTGCCCTTGTGGTCGTTTAATCGCACGATAAGGATTTTATCTGAAGGGAAGAGCCTCCAGGTAGCTTCGTTTTTCTTATGAAAGTGAAAGAATTTTGAAAGGAAATCTCCCAGAAAGTGGCTAGATATAGTATAGGTCTAGCTCTAATGCAGTAGCGAGAAAGTAGTATACTTATCTATAATATAATACAGAGAAAATATCTACTACTGCCTAGATTGCTGATGCTGCTAAATGTAGTGAAATTCTATTAGGAATATTTATACTAACCTACATTTTATTAGTAGTGAAAGCCTACTACTTAATTATAGAGGTTACCCCTGAAGTATAACTCATTAACTCTATCATGCTGACCCCATGATACGCACCGCATGGTGTTTACATACCTATGAACTCCCATCCAAACTGGACACCAGCTGGTGACTTTATGCTAATTAATATACTAGTCTACCCTCCGCATGTTGCAGCACAGCCACACTACTGGCATCCGCCAACTGAGATACGTCCCACGTGGCTTAACTCCTCTCCTTTTCGAGTCTGCCACGACTCTTCCAGAATAGGGCGTTCCCTCTTTCCCTCCCTCTTGCTGTACGGGTTCATGCATGTACACCCAACACCGGCGGGTTAGAACTCGAGTCATAGGCACAACGTGTTCTCAGATACATACATATATACATGCACCTAGAGCCTGATGGAATGTTTAGTCACATCAAGCACTAGTGCACTGACTGTGGAGTTTACAGAGCGTGCTATGACCCTTCAGTCCAGGGAGCACACATTTGGCTCAAACGCTCTGGTATTATGCCCCGAGTCTTCTATTATTTATTTCCCGTTGTGCTGTATTGTTCGCACCTACTTGACAAATTCTCAAATTTCTCAATGAAAGTGTAACAATAAAGAATGGTCGTCGCTGAATAGCTATTCACGTAATATCCCACTTGATGCGCATACACAAGGAGAAGTACTTTCAACCAGCAAGATCAACTATTGCTGCGGGCAAAACTCTCTCTCAAACTCCCGCCTCTCCAGCTCATCTTCCTCCTCTCGACTCAACCGCGGCGCAGGATTAGCCTGACCCTGCTCCACGCGTTGTCGCACCCGCTCGATATCGACCTGCTGGTTTGGAGGAGTAGCCAGCATCTCTTCAACCACTGCCGCTTCTGTGTGGTGATTTCTCCTTTGCAGATGTCGCTGGAACGCGCGCAGCATGTACGATCGCAGTTGATTGTCTTCCTGACCCTGCGCCGATCCAGGGGGACGATTACTTGGCGCGCTGGAGGGGCCTGCATTGGCAGCGCGCATTGGAATGGTTCGCACGGGAGCAACAGGAAACGGCGTTCCGTTGATCTTCCTGTGTGCGTAGTCGGCTATTGTTCGCAGACACATATTGCGCACGCCGTTCTGGAGCCGCCAGGCCCTGATCTCCTCGGGTACGACGGGCCCGACATAGACTGTGTTCGGGTGGTCGAGAGCAAGAGGCCATAGATCTTCTAGTAACGCGGCTTGTGATGCATGCACGGCGTACAGATCTCCCCAGACCAGGCTGCCCAGGATTCGCATCTGTCCGTGGTACCCCGGGGATTCGTCTGGACGATCGGGACCCTCGGCTGGATTCCACTCAGCGTCGACGGCTAGCACGAAACCTGCAAAGTCGCCTTCGCGCGTGATGAGCAGGGCGGCGGAGTAGTTTGAGCTCGTGTACGAGGCGACACTGGGCTCGTCGACTACGAGAAACACTCGATCGTTGATCAGGTCCTCAGCATCTAATGATGAGGGACCAAGGTCATGGAAGTGCTTTCTTGCGCCCTCGACGTCTCCTTCAGCAATTCGTAAATCCTTCCCATCCATCCAGTGCAGCTTCAAATGCGGCTTGATCGCACTCGAGCCTGTCTGTCCGCGACCCCAGTCCGCAATGTGTTGCTCTATTTTCTCTTTGCACACATTCCATTCGGCATCGCTCTGCTTATATGTCAGCCGGTAGATGGCCAGCCCGAAGCTCCGACGTCGATCGTTCGGATTCTGAATCGAATACAACAATCTCGTAATCCATGGCTCGCGGGGTACCGGCTCAATCGGGTTGCCGCGCACTTCACGTCGTAACTGATGCTGGCTGTTGATCTGGTCGAGGCACGCCTGGTGCAGTGACACCGGATCCGCAATGTGGTGAGCCTCGCCTCTTGCGCGCGCCTGCATGAGGCTCTGGTATCGCGCTGTCTGTGTGACCTGCTTGAGCCTCCGCGAGTATGTTCCTCCACGCTCGGACCAGACAGTTGAACGAAGAGCAGGAGGGACATTTGACGGGACAGCTGGTGCAGTGTAGCCCTTGTATCCATCCATCGGAATAAGAATGCCGTAGTCGGCGACGCTAGTGATTTCAGCCAGCCTGTGCAGCGCGTCGGTTGTCCGCCATTGAATTCTGTCTACCGTGTCCAGATCCACGGGACGATGCGAACGCAGCGTGGTGAGTAATGGAGCCCGAAGGGCGCTGACTTGGACCGTCACCCAGCGGTGTGCTCGCTCCGTCATGACCTCAAAATGGGCTGCCATGTATGCCGTCCACAGGCTCGTCACGCTCACAGACGGCTGCTGCTTCTCTGCGCGCTGTCGATTCAGCATAACTTCTAGCTCCCTCCAATGCTCCCAGATCAGGTTGAACGTGTCGCGCATATTCGCCATCACTTTGGGCTGATTCAAATATTCAAATGCTGCGCAAACGGCCGAAAGATGCTGACACGCTACGTCAAAATTATCCGTCTTGTTGAGGCCTTTTTCTTTCCATCGCTCCTCACAGAGCGGGACAATGCCCTCCCACAATCTGTTCTTCAGGGAATGGATATTCTTCCCGACACAGCACAACCGGTCCCCATCCTGCATGGACCCAATGCGATTCATCACCCTGTCCATGATGACGGTTTGATCAGCATCCGGGTCAGGACTGGTCTGCGTCAACGGGATTTCATCCGGTGTCATCCGCACAAGGCCACATTCCTTGCCATTGGGGAGAGGACCGCCCAGCGCAAACTCTAAGAAGTGTGCTATGGTCTGCGGCTCAACAAGGCGATCGACTAGAGGTCGATCTTAGCATGAGGCTCATCCGGTGATCCGGCGCGTCTTGTTGGCAGTAACTTACCGATTTCCAGCTCTTGGTTCTCGATGTGCACCTTTGTGAGCACACTGTTCATTGACACATTGTTGAAATTTGTGTGTGAATACGGCCGCGTTCCGCTCGCCATTTTGTCCCTGTGTTGCGAACTGCGATTCGCTTTACGTGGGATGCGACAGAAAGGGGCGTTGGAGTTTTGAGGCACAGGAGGGCCCAGGCACCAAGCGGCCAAGCGAGGTGTTGCCTGGTGCGCTTGTTTGCCAAGATCGTTAGCCCGTTTAGTTTTCTGGTCGCGATGGCTTTTTGACGAATCCCCGATCGGGAAACTGAGGCTAGCATGTTGGTGGAGAGATTTAGGCGGCCTAATCTCCAATGGTTGCCTGAGGCAGCACCGTCTGCCTGATCGCCTAGCCAGGCTTGGAAATAAAAGGAATATGGAAATTAGCGTCCTCTTGCCAGATAGATAACCCCAGATAACAGAGAATCCATGATATATATCAAATGGGCCTTACCAGCGGTTGTAATGCTGGCTGCAGTGACAGCCCATTTGTATAGATACTGTTCTTGCAGGCGAACTTGTCTCTTGCTCCTCTTGGCGCGCTTAATACTCCTCCTCCTATTGTGCCTAGACAATCAAGTTAAATTTCTCGATTTATATCTGAACCTGGAGCCTGGACTACCCTGGAACCTCAATCTTGGTTGTAATTGTTGACTGGTTAGAGATGGCCCTAGTGTGACATGGCAATTATCCTTGCACGCGGGGTTGACAGAGCTCAGCCCCTAAATAACCGGTCTCATCCGGTCTACAGTCCCCCAGATTCAAGAACCTCATGCGTTGCCCATAACATGTGGCTCTACAACTTGTATCTAAGGCTTTGTCAGTCTTTCAGCTACTTCAGGCGAAGAGAACAAGAAAAGAAAGCCACACTCGTTCATGCCGAACAGCATGCATCCCGGATAGTTGGCTACCTTGAACGGCACGAGTGGAGGAATCTGCGACAGCAATGCGTTGCTCCGTTGCGATGGTTCTTCTCTGAATTATTTCTAGCGAACCAATGGAGGGCAATTCTCGCTAATTGCGGCTCTCTTCAACAAACTGGTCATCCCACCGTCACTTTGGGCTGGTTCATCATTACTGCCAAAGTACCCCTCCGATTCAGTCGTGTGTCCCTAGTCTTATCACTTCACATGACACCTTCCGGCAGAATCATTGGTCTGCGAGTCCTCACATTGCAAGCGGCGGGCATAAGTGCACCCTGGCAGCCACCACCTTATGGAGCGGAGGATGTCACTCGCATCCCTCTCACGCTCGGCAAAGGCCTGTACAGAGTAGCAGCAGAACTAACCCTGCCAGTCCCCGTCAAGACTGGCCAGAAATTCCCCTGTATCGTATTCATCGGCGGCTCCGGCCCCATGGACAAAGACTCCACTATTGGCGCCCTGAAACCATTCAAGGACATGGCCCTTGGTCTCGCAAGTCGCGGTATTGCATCGTGTCGGTTCGACAAGTTTGCGTGCACGATTGCTGGGAGACTTCTCACGCGCACCACAACAGCCACGCTTACAGATGAATACATCTATCATGTCAGGCATGCCATCCGTAAGGTCCGTCAACATCCTAATATTGACCACGACAAGATATTCCACCTGGGCCATAGCTTGGGGGGTGTGATTGCTGCTCGCCTTGCGACAGCTGAGCCCTCAGTAGCAGGCTGTGTCCTCATGGCGTGTCCGGCGCAACCTCTCTACCGGTGTGCGATTCGACAACTGCGGTATTTCAAGAGTCTTGACGAGTGTGGGGGAGCACCCTCCGGCGATGAACTAGATAATACAATTGAGGCGCTGGAAAAGCAAGCAGAGCTTGCTGATAGTCCGTCATTGACCCCATCAACACCAGCCAGCCAACTACCATTTGGTCTTGGCCCGGCATATTGGCTCCAGTATCGTGAATTTGATCCCATTCAGTCCCTGCAGAGATCTGTGTGCCCTGTCTTGGTTCTGCAGGGTGCACGGGATTATCAAGTTACCGTCAATGACGACTATGCAGAGTTCTGTGCAAAGTTCCAGGATCGTCAGAATGTACACTTTCGGCTGTATGACAACTTAAATCACTTGTTTGTACCGGGGGAGGGGAACTGTACTCCGGCCGAGTATGATATTGGAGGAAGTGTGGATGTGGCTGTTGTGGATGATATCGAGCGATGGGTTAAGAGCTGTTGAGTCTACTCGAAGTATATCCTAGAAGCTTATTTATACTTGTGAATATCAGATCATAAGATAATCAATAGTAATGGACTGACTATATCCAGCGCACATGTCGCCGTCAAGCTCACAGCTCGAGAGGCTGACATGCTTGCTTGATACAAGCCTGACAGGCGTCTCACTTGGCCATCCTCGAGGACACAAAATCTACCAAATCAAAGAAACTCTTCTTGTAATACCGCTCCTGCGTCGTCCGATTAACGACCTGCAGCCCAAACTGCTGCTTGTAGTCTCCAAACTCCCAATTATCCGCCCACGACCACGCCAACGCTCCCATAACGTGCACCCCGTCTTCATGAATTGCCTTGAGAATCTCCGACATGAATGAAAGATAATATATACTCCGCGGGGTATCAAACAGCTGATCCGACAGGTCCGTCTTCTCGGCTTCTCCGAAAACAGGGAACCCAAACTCTGACACGAAGACCGGGCTGCGGAACGTGTTCCACAGATAGTTGAGATACTCCCGCAGGTAGGTTGGGGTGATGTAGACGTAGCTCTGGGAGCGGTAGCCGATGTTCCACCCATATCTAGTCTTCGTTTCCTGCACCACGCAGTACGGGAAGAGCTTGCTGGAGGCGTTGGCAGCGCAGGCTTCAATCCCCTCTGGGGCAGGTGAGACTACCGTCGCAGTGTATGGATCGATGCCGAAGAAATCGGACGTGTTCGCGATATAGGACAGGTCCTGCTCGCTGAGTGGTTTGGCACCAGGCAGGGTATCCAGAATGGAATCTGGGTACTGCTTCCCGAGGAAGATCGGGTTCGCGAAGAGCCCCAGCTGCATCTCCTGGAAGCGGTTCGCGGCTTGCACGTCGCTGCCATTATGGGGGTCCTGAGGCACGCCGAAGTTGTCGTTGAACTTGATGCCCATTTGGCCGGTTGCATTTAGGACGTCGTGGTAGAAGTGGTACACTTGGGCGTGCGCGCGCACGACGTTATCGGCGCCCTTGAAATTGAACGAGTAGAGAAGTGGTTCGTTGAATGTAACCCAGATAGGGACTCGATCGGCAAAGTGCGTGAGAGCGATCTTGGCGTAGTTAACAAAGGCATCGACGAACGTCTCGTTGTGGTAGCCTCCATTGTTGTAGCCAATATCCGGAGTAGCTGTGAAGTTGCCGCCGGCGACGAACATCCAGGGGCTGTCGAAATGAAGAAGGGTTACGATGGGCAGCATGCCAGCCTCAAGGACAGTATTGATTAGATCATCATAGTGCTTGATGCCATGCTCGTTTACCGGGGTCCCGGGTAGAACAAAGGGTAGGATGCGCGTCCACGGAATGGAGAAGCTGTAGTACTTGACTCCAATGGCTGCTAGACGTTGAATATCCTGTTTGTACAAGTAGTAGTTCTCGTTCGTCACGTAGTCCTTTGGCTGAGTCGTGTTGCCTAGTTTCTCCAGGATAGTCGGACTGCGCCCCTCCAAGCCTACTGCACCCTCGACCTGCGCAGCACTGCCTGCCACTCCAAAGACGAAGTCATTAGGAAAGCTATAGCAGTCCGTTGGGCCAAAGTAGTCAGCGGGCGGCAGGACTAGTGAACTGCTCGGCACCGGCGTGGGGCTGACTGTTGTCGAGTACAGACCGGTCGTCGTATAATTCTGGATGCTGGCCTGCCGCCACAGCCTTGACCAGGCGGCTTGTCCGTAAGGGTCTGTGGTGTCTGTGGCTCCGATGACGGTCCGATTAGGCAACCAATTACCCCATGTTGTCGTCGCTGGAACGGGGCTGAGATGTTTCACAGCAGATGCATAGTGAGGCCCATACGTATGCGTGGTCGTTGGCCTTGGTACGGAAGTCGCAAACCTGTAACCATTAGCATAGTTACTCTTCTGGTTCACTATGGCAGTCTGTCTACTCACCGAACGGTCTCATTTAGAGTATACGAGAACGGGTGAAAGTAGTACTCCGGGGAGGAAGCTGGCTGCGTGCACTGTGGACGATCGGGATAGCCAGTCGTCGTGATGTACAGCTGCTGTGCGTCAGCTGCGCCCAGGAGTATAACAAACCATGAAAATATAGTCCGCATTTTTTCAGGTGGTACGAACTCGAGTCACGCATTGCTTACAGCCAGGGGTACCCCTCTTATACCCTTTTCATAGCGCCAGGCATAATCCAGTCGCATTTCCGGCCGATCCAGCTTGGATGCCGGCAAACAGGCAATGATCAACGGGTACACTGGATTGTATGGACAGAACTAGTTGGCCACCCCGCAACTCCAGGTTTCCCCAACCTCCACATCCGAAGTATTCCCGAGATGGCCTATGACTGCATGTGGGGATCTTACCCTTTGGGGGGCCCACAACGGGGTTAAATGGTAACGAACAGCCGGAAAATATATTCCTAAGGACAGGGCAGGTAGATTCCAAATGGAACCGAATTCTCAGCGTCTTATGACCTTATCATATTCCCGACATGTTCTCCACTTGCAATATGGCATCAGCTCCTTGCATTCAGGCCACGCAACAATATCATCGCCCTGATCCATACATTTACCGGTGCAGAGCCGAATTAGGCACGAACAGTGGCGTCGAATCCTCCCACATCGAGTCCGTAAGCATGCGCTTGTTCTTTCCATCCGCATCCATGATCATAATCTGGCCGTAGGGCTGAAACGTATTGTCGTACAAGGCACACTCATACCGGAACCCATACATGCCGGTAGAGTACATGATCCTTCCATCATGCGACCACACCGCATGAGCGTCGTTGGCGCCGCTGCTCGTAAGCACGCGAAGATCACTTCCATCCGGCCGGATCGTACAGACGTCGTAATTAGTTGCGTTCATCTTGCGGGTGAAGGCGATGCGTTCACCGTCCGGTGAGAAGAAGGGGAGGTTGTCCCATCCTGTGGTGAGGACGGTAACCTTGCGGGACTCGAGGTCCAGGATGCGCAGGCCAAGTTGGGACATGTCGCCTTGGGCGGAATTCGCGCCCCAGACACGATAGACGACCTTCTTTCCGTCGTGGGAGAAACTGGGGAAACCGGAGTTGATTGCCGTGGAGTTGCTGGTGAGATTGGCGCTGCTGGTGGTTAGCAGTTCAGCGTAAGTGCCGTTCGCACTGGCCCGTGCCAGCCATCCGCCGTACTGTGCGCGATCCTGGAACCAGGAGCCGACGCCGAAGACGAGCCATTGGCCGTCGGTGGACCAGGAGGGTTGGAAGGCACCGGCTAGTCCTTGGCGGACCAGCGTTTCGTCGACGAGATCTGTGTGCAACACGTCAAAACCCAGACGGGCGTTCTGTCCGGTCGGTGACATGGTGACGATGGACGAGTTGCCGAGCTGCTTTTGGGTGATGACAAGCCTGTCCTGCTGGGACAGCTGGGGGAAAACGTCGGTGAAGCGGTACTCCCAGTCTGAGTCCCAGCTGTAGAGCTTCTTCTCCATAGGCCTGATGGCCCATGTAGTCTTTTCGTAGACGACCTTCTTGCCGTCTGGTGACCAGGCGGGCGAGCGAATGGAGACGGATGTGTTGCTGGTGGTGTTCCAGTAGGATCCGGCTGTGCTGTATAATCCTTCCTTTGTAGTGCCCTTGATCTGGTACGCAATATCCTCGTTGGAGATGTACTGCGGAAAGATCTTGACGCCAGACCCCGCCACCTCAACTCTACGATCTGTTCCTGTGGCAAAGTCAACGGATACAATGCTTGAGTTGGCAGAAGCAATTGATTCAGGACGGTGAGAGTCCCAGGTCGCCTGACGGGTCATCTCGTAGTAGACGATGCGCTTGCCGTCAGGGGACCACTTGGGCGAACCCAGCGCATAGCCCGGCTTGGTGGCGATCTGTCTGAAGCCAGATCCGTCCGGTCGCACGGCGTAGATCGACAGCTCCTGCGTGTGCTCCCAACCGCTGAGTCCCATGAAAGTTTCTTCCCCGTGGCCGTCCCATTGCACGTTGCGGTCTGACGAAAAGGCAATCCACTCGCCATCTGGTGACCAGGCCGGTCGGAAGTATCCATTCATCCGGGATGGGTCGGCGACGGTAGCTGCGGTGTCAGTTAGATTCCAGCGCTTTCCCGTCTCCAGATCCATAACCCAGATATTGGCCTTGTAACCATTGGCGGTAGAGACGTAGGCGGCCAGACTGCCGGTCGGGGAGAGGACAACCGAGTCTTCGACCGAAGGCGTGGCCACGAGCTCTTGTAGATCTGAACCATCTGTCCGAACGCGGTAGATATCCGCGTTACCGTCTCCGTTGCGCTCGCCGGTGAAGGCGACCCATTGTCCGTCGGGCGAAAAGGTCGCATGGTACTCGTACATAGGGTCCGAGAGAAGGGATCGTTCGTTACGGCCATCGGCATCTGCGATATAGAGCTGGGAGGTGCCAGGGGCAATTCTGTTCATCAAGAAGATGCCTTTCTTGCCATGCGAGGCAGTGAGGTCCCGCGCTGGGTGACTGAGGGGTAGTGGCATAGCCTTTGAGTCCACGCCTATCTGCGAAGCATAGGGGCATGAGGCAAGGGCCTCAGCATCCAGTAGTCCCAGAACCGTCAGGATAAAAGTATACGACCACATTGTGTCAGATCTGATTTGGTTTTTAGCAGGCAAAGGCCCACCCTGATGCAGGGGAAAGTGGCAGGGTACCTATATATCCAAGATGTCTGTTTCCAAGAATCCTACCCGTCCAGGCTTCAGCCCAATTGATTATCTGATTATCCAGGACTTGGGCTCCCCACCAGCAGTGGGGACATTCGGACATGATTGTCTTGTCTGATTTTAACTCGGTCGCCTTGACTTAGCTGGGTTTAGTTTCCTTTCATCCTTCAGTCCTTCATTTCCTCGGCAGGATAGTCTCCCAATCGCAGGGTCAGAATAAAAATGCCAAGTCTGTCAACAAGCGAGCGAGATTGTGATCAGCTGTCCCCACGTCTTGGAATCGACAAGCAATAGATTGCTAGGCTGTCCCCACGGTTTATCTCCGAGACTTGAAGGACCTTCAGGTTCGGACATTAGGCAGCAGGAGTAGTAGTATGTAGTGGCGGAAGTGTGTCGAAGTCGCTGAAGACAAGTAGCTTCTAACGGCCAGCTTGATTTCATGCTACTTTTCAAGACCGGCCGGTGAGGTGTGACTATGGAATGGACGCTTATGGGCAGTTTTGGCTAGGGTCTATGGCTCTGACTGGTCCATGCTCAGTCGTCTAAGTGAGTCTTCGCTTACAGGAAATCGTTCAAACCAATCATAAACCACATATCCAACCACCTCTTTCAGCCATATCTATTTGACAAACTGAACTTGGTCCCTTCTCCACATCAGCGCCACCACTAAGAACTGACCTGCGCTGAATGCCCCAACAGCCATCATTTGCAGGTTATACCCTGCTCCATAAACCTCCCTTATCCGTCGTACAGCATCGGGAGCAAACCCCGAAAGCGCATTGGGATCCGCTGCAGCTTCGATAGGGTTTAGATGTGCCTTGACGTAGTTGACCAAGATACTGTTCACAATGGCGATGCCGAGTGACGCCCCCAGCATACGAGTCTGGAGGGATAGACAAACGGCGATGGCTGGTTGTTTGTCAGAAACGGTGTCGGAGTCATGGCCATTGAAAGTATAATACTTACCTTGATCGTCTTTCCTCACAATCATGGGGACGGCCATATAAAACGATGTCATTGACATTCCCACCCCGACCCCTGTCAGAACCATGTACCMATACTGACCTCCCCAGACATGGAGAGTTGTGGGGACGGAAGACAGCAGAAAGGATCCGACGGTTTGGAGAACCGCGCCCATCATTATGGTATGAACAAACGGCAGGTGGAATTTCCCGGCAAACAGGGTACATAAAAAACTCCCTGTAGGGGAGCCCAGGGCAAATGCAAGAAGTTTCACACCGGCGCTAAGTGGACTATTGTGATTTGTTGTTTGGAGACGCTGTGGGATTTGAATGTATAGGATCGTGGTGGCAGGGCCAGATACAAAGAACCCACTAAGGCGCATTGTTAGCATTTCAAGCGGTTTCCACGAAGGTATCGGGAAATGGTTAAGACCAACAGTAAGACACCCATCCACACCCGGTCCCGCACCATTCTCCAAGGAAACATAGGCTCGAGAATGCCCGTCCGATGGCTCCCAATGTACCATTCCCAGAGAATGAACGTGATTCCAAGTACCCCTGACACCGTCAAGAAAGCAATGATAAGTGTGGAGGACCATTCATACGTGACGTTGGCCTCTTCCAGGGCGGTCACAAACAGTATCGAGAATCCTAAGAGGAGGAAGCATCCGACAGGGTCTGCGGTGGTCACAAAGAGCTTCGTTTTCTGCGATAGATAATCCAAGATGCCTGCACGCCTGTCGGGCATACTTGAGTGGGCGAAGTTGTTTGGTATTGCTAAACAAATAAGGACCCATGCAACCACACCTGCAGGAACACTTTTGTCTCATCAGCTCCAGTAGTAGGGGATCCCTTACACGCGCGCTCACTTGTACAGAAAGATCCAGCGCCATGCACCTGCACTGCATATGGCACCTCCCAGGATTGCCCCAAGAACCATGCCAATTGCGATCACAGCGGATCCAGCGGCACTGACGGCGTCGAACTTTCCTGGCGGCGCAATGCGTATAAGACTGAAGAGCGACAGGGAGAAGACTCCTGAACCACCAATCCCCTGGAAAGCACGACAAATAATCCTAAGCGAGGTCAGATGCACTGAATGGATAATGAGTTAAAATCTTCACAACAACGGGTTTACTGACAGCTGGTTCATTGTCTGGGAAGCACCACATCCGCCGGAGAAAGCGACGAAGATGAGTAGCGAGCTGAGTAGGGATGTCTTCAGTCCATATACATGTGTACACTTTGCCCAGAGGGTAAGAAACCCCGTAAATGTCAGAAGATATGCCGTTATCAACCAGCTGCCTTGCTCATGATTCATCAGTTCGTCGGCGATGGTCACCAGAGATGTGCTGATAATTGTGATCTCTGAGGCCGACAAAAAGATGCTTAGTGCAATTCTAAATCCCATAAAAGATATTAGATATCATGAACCAGACCTTCAGTAATTAGTCTTTCCTTACCCGATTGCGACAAGCCATAGCCGTCCTCCGGCCAAATGCGACGTATGGGGGTGCTGGCTTTCTGTGGCCCCCAACGAGGCATCCGGGAGAGTCTTTGTCATGCCCTATACTAGGCTCTAAGGGCAAATGTGAAGTTTCAGAAGGATAGGAGAGTAAAAAAGAAATTATAAAACCATCCGGACACAACCACTGCCGGTAAAGGCCAACTAGTACCGAGATGCAACCCTTCCGCAGGATACCACCTCGCCCCCCTCAAAATCTACCAGATACTGAGGATCTCATTTGGACTCATATGGTTACACTATGGAAGTTTCGGAACCATGAATTGCAGATGAGGGAACCAAAAGAGTGACTTCGATGATGCGTTCATTAACTAGAAATTAATATTTGATCCACATGTCGTGGCTCCACTACTGAATAAGCTCAACACAACCACTTGTTCAGACTCCTTGACTGCTCCCTCGGTCATCAGCGGTTTCCAGGGCCCTACGGATATTGTTCACTATGCGAGTCACCTCGAGACGGGAACCGGCACCGGGAACCTCATGGCCCCGTTCGTGGACATAGATCCATTTCATGTCATCCCTACAGACCTCAGCCGCTCTAGAAGCGCTTTCTGTGTCGTCATCCAATGCACCCCATATGTGGACGGTAGGAATGTCCACCGCGCCTTTGGCATGTTCCGGGCGAATTTCAATGACCTGACCTCGCTGCAATGCCTCATAATCAAGCGGGGACTGGACGATCGAAAGAAAGATTGCAAATCTGAATGGTGCGATAGTGTGAAGGCCCAAGGCCTTTTGTCGTGCAACGTAGGCGAGGTAGGTGAGAATCATGGTGGCAGCCTGGCTAAACGCAATAACTCCATCGTATGGGCCTTCCTCTTCGAGGTATTCCTCCAGGTTCTGGTATGCTGTCACTCCGGTTTCTGGCTCCTGAGGGTCCATGAAGGCATACACAGACTCGCCCTCTAGCGCTATTCTTTCCACGCCTACGTCGAAGTTGAGTCTCTGCGATCTACGGAAGGGGCTCGAGCTAACACGTACCTGGGTACATCTGCCAGGGAATTGTTCCCTCCACAAAATCGTAAGTGTGATTGTCTCCGAGCTCATATCGCATGGCAGCTTCGAACATTAGATTCGCAGCGTTTTTGATCTCGGGATTGTCCTGTACCTGTCTGCAGCTCGAATATCTGAATCACCACCATGGAGTCAGCAGTGGACATCGTAGGGAGAGCTTCCTCGCTAATATGGCTCTTACCCGAGAATTCGTACCAGCGCCGTGAAGACTACTCAATGTTAGCATACTCTTCACAAGGGATGTATCGATGCACGATATGTATATACCAGAGAATGCGCATCTTGACCTTAACCGGAGGATGATGATGCTCGCAGCGTTCAGGACTCGATGTGCGTGGGCATATATAGTGCCCAAAGCTCAGTCAATTATCTATATGATCACGCTAAAAGTGAGAGTGCTGAGGGTGGACCTGGATACTTCATGACGTCGATATGGACCCGCCTATGTAGCCAGGGTAGTATTGGCTATATCCAGTCCTTTTGAATCATCATTGATTCTACTCTCTCGGATACCAACATTGAACATAGGCCCCACTGAACCAGCGATTGGGCACATAGCAATGGCTACCAGGAGATCCTAGACATATTAACTCTCATTTATTCGTGCCATCCATCCTGTCATTCTCCAAGACCGTAAAAGAAACATCCCACATCATGGCGTCCAAGAATTCGGAGGATATTGTCACGCCATTGGCTGTCGTTGGGTTGTCGTTCAATTTTCCACAAAATGCTACGTCGCCCGAGGGCTTTTGGGATATGCTGGAAGCTGGGCGATCTGCATCAACTGAGTTTCCCGCCAGCAGGATGAATATCGATGCCCACTACCACCAAGACCGTTCTCGCCTGGATGCAATCTCTGTCCGCGGAGGACACTTCATGACAGAAGATCTGGGGGCCTTTGATGCACCCTTTTTCGGCATCAGTGTCTCTGAGGCGCAGGCTATGGATCCGCAGCAGCGACTTGCCTTGGAGACAGTGTATCGAGCATTTGAAAATTCGGGTCTCTCGCTCGCAGACATTGCGGGCTCAAAGACCAGCGTCATTGCAGGATCTTTCTGCGATGACTATCATATATTGCAAGTGAAAGACCCTCTGGAGACGAGTCAACACGATGCCAGCGGTAATGCGAAAAATATGATCTCAAATCGAGTCAGCTGGTTCTTTGACTTGCGGGGTCCAAGCATCACACTCGACACGGCTTGCTCTAGCAGCCTCGTTGCATTGGACATGGTTTGTCAGTCTATTTGGGGTGGTGATGCGAGAATGGTGAGTGACTATATCAATAGGTTATCATATGTGGTAATTTGAGTTGACAGTATGTCAGGGCGTCGCCGTCGGGAGCAATATCATAATTGTCCCCGAGATGACGATCGGCTTAGACAACCTTGGTCTCTTGTCCCCTGACAGTCGCAGCTACAGCTTTGATGACCGGGCTGATGGGTACGCAAGAGGAGAGGGGGTGGGCGCGGTAGTAGTGAGACCACTACAGGATGCCATCGACAACGGGGATACTATTAGGGCCGTTATTAGGTCGTCGAGCTGTAACCAGGACGGAAAGACACCCGGAATTCTTCAGCCCAGCAAGGATGCCCAGGTGCGTCTGATCCGCGATACCTACGCGAAAGCCGGCCTAGACATGGCAGTGACAAGGTATTTTGAAGCGCATGGCACAGGTTCGTTTTCTATTCTCTCGCTGCCCCATCGTACATCTAATTACCCAACTTTTAGGAACCCCTGTTGGCGATCCCATCGAGACGAGAGCCATCGGAACAGCCTTTCGCAAGTACCGCTCAAAAGACGACCCTCTATACGTGTAGGCTATTCCGCTGTACGGAGCTGGATAAAATGGTATCTAACGTGTCACAGCGGCTCCGTCAAATCAAACATCGGCCATCTAGAGGGAGCGAGTGGCATTGCCGGAGTGATAAAGGTGATATTAGCACTTGAGAAAGGCATAATTCCACCAAACAGTGAAAATCTGCAGAACCTGAACCCCCAGATAGACGAGGAATTTTTCAATCTGAAGGTGGATCTATCCTTCCTAAAGATGTTGCCAGCTTATCTGACAAGGCTTAATAGGTTCTTAAAAACGCCATACAGTGGCCAACGAATGGTCTGCGCCGGGCTTCGGTGAGCTCCTTTGGGTTTGGGGGAGCAAACTGCCACATTGTCTTGGACGATGCGTACAATTCCCTTCGCCTTCGGGGGATTGAAAGTGTATGCCACCAAACAGCCGTCGTTCCTTCATTGCGGGATGAAGATCACATACTAGTCAATGGTACTAGCGGCGATTGCCAATCCAAACCTGAGGAAGATTATGAACTGCTAGTCTGGTCATCAGCAGATGAGGGCGCAATCAAGAGGACTCAGGATTCTTGGGCTGCGTATCTCTCAGAAATCACGGTGCCAGATTCCAAGAGGAACGAGTTTCTGCATAACCTTGCACATACACTTGCAGCCCGACGGAGTCACCTTACATGGAGAACATTTGCAGTTGCAGACCATACCGAAAGCCTGCGGAACTTGGCCAATAACTTCCAGCCAGCCGTCAAGTCCAAGGGCTCTCTGAAACTGGCTTATATCTTTACAGGCGTAAGATCTTTCAATCCGCCGTAGCTCATTTCGCTAATCCCTAGTAGCAAGGGGCTCAATGGTACGCTATGGGTCGCGAGCTTATTGAACGATACGAAGTTTTCACTCAAAGTTTAGCCGAAGCGGGAAATTACTTGAGGGAACTTGGATGTGCATGGGATGTGCTAGGTATCCGATATGACATGAGAAGCAGTTTGTAACACTATTGCTGATCAACCTGGGCAGACGAGCTACGTAAACCAATGTCTGAGTCCAATGTTGATGACCCTTCATTTGGTCAGCCATTATGCACGGCGCTCCAAATCGCTTTGGTCGATCTGTTGAGTAGTTGGAATGTCGTTCCAGCGGCCGTTATTGGCCATTCATCCGGTGAAATTGCAGCAGCGTGCGTATTAGCCCCAGGGAAATAACAAACCATCTACTGACTGGTTTACTTGACTAGCTACTCGTCAGGAGCTCTTTCAAGGCACTCGGCACTGAAGGTCGCATACTTTAGAGGCCGTCTTGCAGGAGAACTGGGGAGAACTAGTGACACCAAGGGAGCCATGCTTGCAGTTGGCCTCTCGCAGTTTAACGTCGGACCGTACTTAAAGAAGGTCAGCGAGACTTCTGGACAATTGCGCTTGGTTGTTGCTTGCGTAAACAGTCCAAAAAGCATTACTGTTTCCGGAGAGAGTGAGCAAATTGAGTATCTGGAACGGCTTTTGACACAGGATGATATATTTTCACGCAAGCTGGTAGTTAATGTCGCGTATCATTCCTTCCAGATGGAAGAGGTCGCAGCTCGGTATGAAGCTGTACTTGGAAACCTCGAGGTTCCATGCCCTCGTCTGAAGAGACGTCCCACTATGATTTCATCGGTCACAGGAAATGTCATTCATGGAGAGGAATTGGCTAACCCGGCGTATTGGGTGAGAAATATGGTTTCTCCTGTCCTATTCGCTGATGCCCTGAGAAATCTGTGCATCCAGCCAGCCAACCAGACAAAGAAAATCGATGGCAGCCACCGACACTCAGTGCGAGTGAACCATCTTCTGGAGATAGGCCCACACTCAGCACTCCAGGGGCCATGCAAGGATATTCTGAAGGCCGCCAACATGGACAAGAATATTGGTTATATTGCTTCGCTACGACGCAAGTACTCTGCTGTGCGAAGTGTCTTGGAATGCGTAGGTCATCTACATTGCGAGGGCTATCCTGTCAATGTATCGCTGGCCAATCTGTCAAGCACAAAACAGGGTCGTGTCTTGGTTGACCTTCCAGAATACCCCTTCAACCATGACACTTCATATTGGCATGAGAGCCGGCACAGCAAAAACTTCAGATTCCGGGATACTGGCCGGTTAGACCTACTTGGAATCAGAGATGTTGATGGGAATCCCATGGAAGCTCATTGGAGGAATATTATCAGCGTGGGAAACCTTCCGTGGGTTAAAGATCACAAAATCAACAACGAGATTCTCTACCCAGCTGCCGGAATGGTCGTCATGGCTGTTGAGGCAATTAAACAGCTCGTGGATGTGAATCGGCGAGTCTCTGGCTTTTCCGTCAAGGACTGCAATTTTCTCTCGCCCATTCGCATCGCCACCCATGCACAGGGTATTGAGACAAGTTTTCACATGAAGCGAGTCAAGCTTGGAAAATCAGATACCACAGGCTGGTATGACTTTCGGGTCTGCTCTTATGACAAGGAAACGTGGACTGAAAACTGCACTGGCTCCATCCAGGCAGCATATGAATCCAGCGAGGCTGGATCGGGTCGCAATGAGCATGAGGATGCCAAGTGGCAGGCTCATCTTTCTAAAAATTACCACGACATAGCTCAGCGGTGCACAGTTTCAATGGATCCAGCCCAATTTTATAAGGATCTCATTGCCAATGGATACCAGTACGGGCATGCATTTGCTGCCATAAATGGCTTGAGTATCAATCAAACTGATCCCAATGAGCTGGTGTCCACTATTCGGACGTTCCGAGGATCAAGCCTGGATAATTCAGACTTCATACAGCCACACACGATCCATCCAACGACCTTGGATGCAATCATCCATACTATGACGGCTATGATAGTGAAGACTGGGGCTCAGCGGAGGGTTGTAGCGCTTCCTAAGAGAATTGAGGAACTGTGGATATGCAACAGTGGAGCCCTAAGCTATTCAGCTGCAGATACCGTGGAGGCATATGCATGCACAGAACGAAGTACTGTCACCGAATCCCGGTACTCAATGGCTGTGTTTGACAAAGACATCAAGCAGTCTCTGCTCACTCTTGATGGGCTTGGAGTCGCCGAAGTTGAGAACACCCTGGTACCCAAAGAGGAGGACGCCTGGGTCACGGAGGATCTTTGCCACCATTTCCACTGGAAGCCCGATGTGGACTTATTCGGGCCTAAGGAGGTAGATGCCTTCTTCCCAAAATCCGGGGTGGGAAGTATGGATACCATCCAGCTTTGCGAAAAGATTGAGTTACTCGCATCTATCTATATCAGTCGGGTCCCAAAAAGCTTGATCGAACAAGCGAGGACGAGGAGCCCTCCGCATATGGTTAGGTACATTGACTGGCTAGCAAAACAACAAGACGCCATACGTTTTCGTCTTTCAGGTTCCGGTTCTCTGGATTGGAAGGCCTACATGGAGGATGAGCAGCTTCTTAGAGATCTTCACGATGAACTTCATGGCGGAACAAAACGGTCTCGTTTAGCCAGCACTGTCGGCAAGAACCTCAGCAAGTTTATCTCCGGTGATGCTGATCCTATCAGTGTGTGTTTTGAGGGGAACTTACTTCCAGACTTCTATTTCGAGATGGTTATTTTCTTCTCCCTTCAAATGGATATTATGAGATGGTGACTAATAATCTTCTAGCTCTATTCTGTCCCCAAGATAGACCAAATTGCAAGATACATTGACGCGCTCGGCCACAAGAATCCGCAAATGAAGATTCTTGAGCTCGGTGCAGGAAGCGGCGCGTTGACGGATTTATGCTTGAGAACGCTGAACACGGACGATGGAAACAGGGCCCGGGTCCCTCGTTACAGCCAATGGGACTTTACCGACATCTCGAGTTCCTTTTTTCCACAGGCGCAGAGTCTATTTGCAGATTATGAACGTATGAGGTTCATACCTCTGGATATCGAGAAAGACCCCGAGAGTCAGGGATTCGAATGTGGCACATATGACTTGGTTGCTGCTTACTTAGTAGGGCTATCATACCGATATGGATAAGACCCTCCATTGCTAAACTAGGTATACAGGTCTTTCACGCTACAGTAGATCTTACCGTCAGCCTAAAGAATGCGCGAAAACTGTTGAAACCGTATGTATCTGCTTTATTACCTTGTCAGAATACTAATATTTCCCTAGAGGTGGTAAACTCTTATTTATCGAAATAACCAAGCCTGGGGCTCTAGTGACAGATCTTATGTTTGGTCTATTTGACGGTTGGTGGAGAGGTGAGCTTTTCCACCCTTCTTTTCAGGATCGCGTGTGTTAATCTACAAAGGCTCCGAGTCCTATCGTCAATCTGGTCCATGCGTTGACGAGGTGAAATGGGGGGAGCTATTGCAATGTACCGGGTTCTCAGGATGCGATATTGTCGTGCACGACTATGACGATGACCGTTGCCACGAAACGAGTATGATTGTGTCGACTGCAGTCAACGATTATCAGTCCCAGAATCCGAAGGGAGTTGATATCATACTAAATCCTCTGAGTCAGACACAAATTCAGCTGGCTTCAAAGATAAGGGAGTGCCTTTTGAAAGCAGGGATTGAGCAAGTGACACACGTACCCCTGATAGAAGATCTCAACGAGAAATTGTCTCCTGAGAAGTTTCACATCTCCTTGTTGGAAGTGGAGCACCCATTCCTGTATGGCATGAACAGAGACGAGTTCCAGCGCCTCCATGGCCTAATTATACAGACGAATAATCTTCTCTGGGTCAACGGGGGGGGAGGTCTTCAACCCTGTCCAAAGTTCCGACTTGGTGATGGACTTTTTCGTGTTGTAATGGAGGAGGATCCAAGCACTATGTTATGCATCCTATCTCTCGAACGATCATCTTGTTTGGACCATCAATCCGAGCAGATTCTGAAGGTATTACTAGCAATTATGGAGGACTCTGATAGGATGGCCGATACTGAGTACACTGAGATTGGGGGACTGCTACATGTGGGCCGTTTGGTCAATGCGAGCTCGATAAACCAGGAAGTCACTTTGAGAAAGACTCCGCAGCAAACACTGGTGAGGGAGTATGGGGCGGGACCCCCGTTGTGCCTGCAGATTGGCACCCCCGGCCTGCTAAATACTTTACATTTCATAGAGGACAAGTCCCTACAGCAGCATCTGGGACATAATGAGATTGAAATTCGGGCGGAGGCCGTTGGGCTGAATTTTCGCGATGTCCTCACTGCCCTAGGACGCTTGGATAGCCGGACTCTGGGAGGCGAGTTTGCTGGAGAGGTGGTTCGAGTCGGGCATTCGTGTGAGAGATTCCAGCCGGGAGACCGAGTTATCGCATACTATCCAAGCAACTTTGCGAACTACGTGCGCGTTCAAGAAGACATGGCTGTGATCAAAATCCCTAACAATGAGCTCTCATTTGAGGACGCTGCTGCCATACCGGTAGCATATGGGACGGCATGGTTAACACTAAATCGCATCGCAAGGCTCCAACCTGGAGAATCCGTCCTGGTCCATTCAGGTGCTGGCGGGACTGGACAAGCGGCGATACAGGTTGCTCAATATCTTGGTGCTACCGTTTTTACTACAGTGTCAAGTCAGGCGAAGAAGAATTTTCTTGTGCACGAATATGGTATACCTGAGGAACGCATTTTTTCAAGTCGAAATACGCTGTTCGTGAAAGGGATCCGACGCCTCACTGGGGGCAGGGGCGTGGATGTTGTGCTCAACTCACTGTCATCTGATGAGCTTGTTGCATCATGGGAGTGTGTGGCACCGTACGGCCGGTTTGTGGAGATCGGCAAGCATGACATTCTTTCTAACTCTAAGCTTCCAATGGCTCAATTCATGAAAAATGTCAGCTTTAACGCATTCGATCTTGCGGCAATGATGCAGGACCGACCCCAGCTGTTAGTCACCGCGCTGCAGGAGATTCTCTCACTGATAAAAGCTGGAAAGTTTTCGCAACCGAATTCTGTCCAGGTATATGGGATATCCGAGATCGAGCAAGCATTTAGGCATATGCAGAGCGGAAAAAACATTGGGAAAACGGTGTTGAAATTGAGGCCAACAGATCAAGTCACGGTAGGTAGATCACTACATAACCCGATACGAGATCGTTAACTGTTACAGACCATCGTGGACACGAAGCCGACCTACTTTTTTGACGCGGATTCAACCTACGTGATTGCTGGTGGCTTAGGCGGCCTTGGTCGGAGCATTGCTCACTGGTTTGTCGACCGCGGGGCCCGCAATTTGATACTGCTTTCACGATCTGGAAACAAGAACGTGTACGCAACAAAAATCACGGGAGACTTACAGGAGAAGGGCGCTACGGTCGTGACGCCCTCATGCGACATAACAGACCGTACAGCGCTGGCAAGGACCTTGGACACTTGTAGCCGGACTATGCCGCCAATCAAGGGATGTGTTCAAGCGACGATGGTTATCAGTGTGAGTCACCGTTACAGTTCAGTCGATATCCTTCGATGTGCAGATGAGCTGACCTCCAGAAGAGTTCACACTTCGGGGCCTTGGCATATGAATCGTGGAGGGCATCGACTGCCCCAAAGGCGCAGGGGTCCTGGAATCTACACGAGCTGCTCCCTCAAGGGCTAGACTTCTTCATTCTCCTATCATCAGTGGCTGGTATTTTGGGAGCAAGAGGAGACTCGGGATATGCGGCCGGCAACACATTCCTAGACGGACTGGCTCGATATCGCACAGGAATAGGGGAGAAGACAGTCTCATTAGACTTGGGCCTTTTCCTCTCAGCAGGCTGCCTGCATGAAAACAAACAGGCCCGCGAGTACTTCCTATCCAACAATGTCCTCAGACCGCTTAGCGAGTCCGATCTTCACGCCCTCCTAGATATATACTGCAACCACTCTTTGAAAAGCATTCCTATGGAGAAAAGCCAGACTGTGGTAGGCATCACGCCTATTGTACAGGAAAAGGGGGCGGGTACGACGGACTGGCTGCAGCGGCCATTCGCCCGTCATATCAACATGTCCGGCTTAGGCGGATCGAGCGCCTCGAAGGGTGGAAAAACGAATTTCGCGGAACTCTTTGCGAGTGCGAAGTCCCTGGAAGAGGTGTCTTGTGTTATTGCACAGAGAATGAAGACAAAATTGTCGCGGATGCTATCCATTTCAGCGGACGAGTTAGATCTGGGCAAGCCGATTCACCAGTATGGGGTAGACTCCCTCACTGCCGTAGAGCTACGCAACTGGTTCGCACGTGAGATGCGGGCGGATGTCGCCATCTTCGATATCTTGGGAGGAACGAGCATTACATCGGTGGTGGCCCTCGCTGCTGGGAGGAGTGAGTATTGCTTGCTGAATCAGGCTAAATAGGATACAATCTCAGGAATCTGATAACTCGACAGAGTATATATACTCAACTAGTGATTAATTCCTCGGTTCGAACGTATATTAGACTTAAACCCGTTTTGTAGACTTCCCAAAGTAGTTGTTAAACTGCTCGAATGAGCTTGATGTCAAGGACATTATCCTATATCCAATGTCGAAACCGTTGCTCCACTTCGGTAAACATCTCCATTCCTTCTGGCCCCTCAAGTCACCTAGGACCGGGGCATGGAATATCTGTCCTGATATCATACCTTTCAGAGTTCCAGGCTCACTACCGTCCATAGTACTACCACAGAGACCGAAATTATCTACCTCAAATAGTAGACGAGTAAAATTGGAACATTAAAATAGATGAGGTAACGCCACGTTCTTTGAATTTTGAGAATGACGACGGCAGCTTACCCCGAGCCAACATGTGCTACCTGCAAAACACCAGGGAGTGTCCAACGTGATTCCCACCCAACCAAGCTGCCAACCCAGGTGAGCCAAACTTCGATATTCCATTTCCATAAAACGGCACATTTCAAGGCCTTGATATCTCAACACCCAAGCATTTACAGCGGCTGAATTCAGGCATGAGGTATAGTATAGTATATACTTATAATCTATAGCCTCTTAGCGACTACCTAGGCTGTTATAGCCTACCTTAGTATAGCACTAAGTTATTATCTAACCTATAATATAATAGTATAAGAGTATGCAGTACGTATGTCAAAATATATACCTAGTTCCTGCTAGCTAAGATACTGTGAATAATGGATCTCTCTTACTTGTAAAACCTGGAGATAGTAACTCTAACATCTCTAGTACTATAATAACTAGAGGAATTCACTAAAATCAAGGTCAAACTAGACTGTGAGAAAGCAAAAGCAGAAACCTGTACTAGACTGCAGATGCCAGGAATTACTATCTTTTCTAAGTGTGTTAGAATAACAAAACTAGAGTAGCATAACTGAACCACTAAAATCAAATTCAACACTCACCAAATTCACATGGTGCGGGTTCAGTGCCTAGCCTAGGGGACTGTACTGGTTATGGTTTCCCTACCCCTAAAACTAAACTCATTTAGTGAAAACTATTAGTTATGACTTTTGCAGTTCCACCATATTTCTTCCATATTCCTTGTATGATTATGGCGACGTGGGAAACGCTCGAACTCGGACAGCCATCTTGCCAGCAGTGGTACCACCAGGATCTCCATGTACGCAGTAGGCATCATTCAGCTGGAGGTTCGAGCAGTCAGCCTTGAGATCGGGATTCCACTGCTGCAACTGCGCCATAGTAATCCCATACACCGATTCGATCTTGGCGCAATAGTCGCCCGATTGTATCACATACCACTGGGGCCAGGTTAGTGAGTCCCAGTCCAACGATTTCTAAGGTATCACCTTACCTCGTAGCAATTTGCGGTAGTCCCACTGGGCGTGGGTGCCGGTGCGGTCTGATAGCTTGATGTGGTCGTGGTTGTAGTCTGGTTCCAGTCTGCTGTGGGAAGAACGCAGTAATATAGCCCAGGGTTGAGGTTTGAGCATCCCGCGTTAATTTGCGGGTTGATGGCTTCGAATAGGGAAACGGTTATAGTGAAGTTGAGAGCAATGAGCTGGCAGTAATCCCCCTCGTTGACTTTATAATACCTAGAATATTTTGAGATTTTAATCCTTGAAAGAGGCAAAACAATGCAAGGTCAAAGCTAATAACTTTTAACTTACTTGCCACATTTTGGAGTTGTGCCAAAGGCCACGGGCCCTGGCGGAGCGACAGTTGCTGTAGCATAAATGCCAGTCTTGGTGACTGTGGCGCTAGGGATGGCTGTGCCCGTCCAGACAGCGCCTGGCTGGCTAACACAGATCTGATCTCCCGCAATGAGGTTGCTGCAATCAGCATTAATGAATGGGTTCCAAGCGCGAAGCTGGGACAGTGTGATACTTGATGCATTGGTAATCTGCATGCAAGTATCCCCCGACTTGATTGTGTACAGCTGGCAGGTATTTGGGATACAGAGTTTCTGTCCAACTGGACGCCGTTAGCTCATGTTCGTCCATTATGTAGCTCTACGGATCTCTCACTTTGGAGATCGGAACAATCCGGGAGAATGTTATTCATAGACATCAGTGACCCCCGAGGGACACCCTGGTTTGAGGCAATTTTCCCGCAGTCATCGCCCGAGACCACGGTATATGTCTTCCCGGTCAAGCATTGGGCCGTCGCATAACCCGGGGGCGCGTATCCGGGTAAGTCTGTCCGGTTGCCGGTCACAGGCTGGACTGCGGTCGGATAGGATACGCCGCAGGTCGCTTGAATGGCAGCCCATTCCTTGGCCATTCGCGGACTGTAATTGCTGAATGGAGTGGATTGGATCAATCGACCCAGAAGGAGTACGCATTCCGAACACAACACGCTCTTCGGGAGGCTGGCCATAGAGGCGTCATCGGCCGGAAGCGTGAGGTTCGCGAGAACATCTAAAAGATTATTCAGTAAACTTGATTCCTGGCATGGTTGCCCCCAGATTTATAAATACTTTGGCAATAATTTCCCTTCGAGTCTTTGAAACAGGACACGTTGTATTGCGCCCAGAGCTGGTCCCCATACAGGGTTGCTGGCGTATCTGCCCAGGGCTGCGCACTCCCGGCGCACGCCTTCTGGACCGCAGCATGATAGTTGGATAGCGATTGGGAGCAAGTTGTAGTGCATATGGTGTTACGAACCGTGGAATCAATATAGCTAAAGGCATCCGCCATTACCTGCAGCCGAAGATACGGGTCACAAGCAATGGTGGCTTCCATGGCGGAGATGCATCCTGGGGCCAGTGATCCATCTGCCGCGGTATCACTGCTATTTGCAATTAGTCCCGGATCGAAGATCACGATATCGGAGAGTGCGTGGCTCGAGAACAACGCAAAGACTATGAGGCTGAGAAGCCGTGACGAGGAAATCAAGTGCATCTTCGTTTCTGGCGGAATCAATTCATGCTGGGGAGAAGAAAATAGCAGTTGCGGGATTAAGTCTCATCTCGATGTTCAGCTCTTCTTGCCGTCTTATGTTGCTCGGACTCATAAACTTTTGGACCCCTCCGCAGGGGAAGCTTAGCGGATGCCGATCATGTTAGTCAGTTGCTTCATTGTAACATCATTCGAGTCGGATGACCAGAAATTGACAGGGATTATAGCATGATTCTGCAATCCTTCAAGGCAGAAACCAACAATAGGACGGAATCCCTGCACGGGGTTGGGCTGAGTTACATTGTCTGCGTCCATATTAGGCCCCCCATCTGCAGTAAGCTCTTGGCGGGCTGGAAACAATAATAAGATGGATGGCTTTCCGAATGGTCGAATGCTTCATCCGGTCAAGCGAACGCTCGAACGGTGATTTTTTTTCTCTCACGATGAGAATAAGCATAGTTTTGGCAGCCTTCGCGTCCGTTGTTTGGGGATTGACGTCGCAGGACCCGGCATCTGCCACAGATTATACATGGTAGGTAGCTCAAATCGCACTGATTACATTCAAGCTGATGGTCATTCAGCTCTGCTACAAAGCCCTGCAAGATAGGATGCTGCAGCAACACCGGAGTATGTGGACTGGGCCCTGACTTTTGTGGTAAGAGCTGCATCTCGTCGTGCGATCAGAAAAGGTAAGAATGGCAAACCCGAGCCCGCAGACAAATTACAAGCGATGAGTGCATAACTTCTTTCGTAAACAAAGTGAATGTGATCCTGGATGGGGCGCCCAGTGGTCTCAGAAGGAGAAATGCCCCCTGAACGTGTGCTGCAGTAAGTTTGGTTTCTGCGGCACCACTAAGGACTTCTGCGGCAACACGACAGTCACCAAACCGTCATGTTCTGGAAGCAGGTAGGGGCATTCTGGGGTTGATATTTGAACCATAGACTCACTGACGATCGTAGCTCCAACAAAAGGTCTATCGGTGTGTTGTGATGATCACTCAACCCTGCGAGGACGTGGCTTGCTAATTGACCCAGGATACTATGAAGGATGGTCCAATACCCGAGCATGTTATGGAAGTGAGTCGTTCCAGATGGAGAGCATTGCTAGGTGGTACGGGCTAAAAGACAGTACAGTGATGCCAGAACAAATCCCTGTTGGCGCCTACACACATCTCAACTTTGCCTTTGCCTTTATTGATCCCAAGTCCTTCAAGGTTGCCCCCATGAGTGCTGCTGACACCGAGCTATATTCACGTTTCACGGGCCTCAAAGACTCAAACCCCGGGCTACAGACGTGGATCTCGGTTGGCGGATGGTCGATGAATGACCCCGATCAGCCAACGGCCACAACCTTCTCTGACCTGGCGGGATCCAGCAGTGCCCAATCGGCATTTTTTAGCTCGCTGATCTCCTTCCTTCAGACATGGGGATTCGACGGCGTTGACATCGATTGGGAGTACCCCGTTGCAACTGAAAGGTCTGGGAAACCACAAGACTTCCAGAATTATGTCTCATTTTTAAAAAATCTTCGCTCGGCTTTGGGAGGCAGTGGCCACAACTACGGGTTGACGATCACAGTCCCTTCAAGCTATTGGTATGGCCCCAGTCAGTGCAGACGAACAGCTGAAAGAGAACTGTGGCAATTAACCCCTTTTCCATCCTAGGTATATGCAGAACTTCGACATTGTGGCAATTGAGAAGGTGGTGGATTGGTTTAACGTGATGACATACGATTTACACGGCACATGGGACTCCACAGACAAGTTTATCGGGCCGATTGTAAATGCCCATACTAATCTCACGGAGATCGATCTGACCATGGACCTGTTCTGGAGAAACAAGGTAAGTGAATTGAGCTTCGATGCGGCAGTAGCTGACGGAAGGACAGATTGATCCGGATAAAATTGTAATGGGCCTGGGATTCTACGGCCGAAGTTTCACGCTTACTGACCCCTCCTGCACTACGCCCGGCTGTCCATTCAGTGGAGGAGGGAACCCAGGAAAATGCTCTGCCAGTGCCGGGGTTGGTCCCCTCCCCTTCCAGTACCTACGCGCCATAAACATTCAGACCTACTAACCAGAGATTAGACGCTCATGTATTCGGAAATCCAAGACATCCTGACGGCTGGAGCGAAGGCGACCCTGGACAAGGATGCAGCAGTGAAACAGGTCGTCTGGGATAATAACCAATGGGTGTCATTTGACGATGCGGACACTCTCAAGATGAAGACCGACTACGCCAATGGCAAATGCCTAGGCGGTACTATGGTTTGGGCTGCATCTACCGATGACACGGTAGGGTCTGCGGCCCAGGCATATATCAAGAACAACGGACTGGTCGCTCGTAGCCTCTTCGGGGGCGGGGCAAATCCCAAGCAGGAGGATGTCCTCTCGGCCTGTATCTGGGGCGAGTGTGGAAAAGACTGTCCGGATAACTCTCTCCCAGCACAGCGAAGTGATGGTAAAAACCGCGGAAATGCAGGCATCTACACGGGTTGTAGTGATGGCGTGACCAGGAACTATTGCTGCCCGAAAGGCCAGGAAATGCCAACATGCCAATGGCGTGGACGTGCGCCTTTCTGCGGCGGAGAATGCCATTCAGGCGAGGTGCAAGTCTCGTCGGACACCAGTGGTACAGGCGCCGAGTGCTGGACGGGCCATAAGGTGTTGTGCTGCACTTCAACCAAGTCGGATGCCGGTATAGGACAATGCAGTGAGTCTTCCCCGGGTAGCTTCAACCCTGTGCAATCAATCATCTGAGCTCACATACGTCGCTAGAATGGGAGGGAGCTGCGCCCTTCTGTGGAAAGCACGGGAGAGTAGGCGAGCATTACGGATGCGACGAATCCGACCGCTACGAAGAGACATACGATTCGTTGGGTGCTGGTGGTGAAGAGTATTGCGTTTCAGGCTACAAATCCTTCTGCTGCACCAAACCTCCTCCCTTTACGGGATGTGGATGGTAAGAATAACCTCGCCCCCTTGTAGCGCCAGGAGCTGTAGGATCGCTGAACTGTGTATGATTAGGACATCAAAAGATCATCCTTGGCTACACCCTTTCACTTGTCCGGCAGGATGTCCAGCTGGAAAACAGGTAACACAATCATGATCATCCGATGAATTGAATCAGCTACTAACGAGCCTAGATTATCGCCCAAGATCCCACACAGCTGAGCTTCTGTGATAGTGGGTCCGCTTTCTACTGCTGCGATATCCCCCTTGCAGATACTGTAGGCGATATTGAACCGCTTTGCTTCGCACGGCTGACATCCTCTAGCCCGACAGTGATAGTGATTTGAACTTCTGCGAGAGCACCGATGGCGACTATGTGCTTAGTATTCAAGACACCAAGGAGAACAACTATGATGATGATGGCAACCCCGCGGACATTCTAGAACTCTGGTGGTAAGTTTGACGTTCCTCAAAGCATCATCCTCTACCCAGGGAATCGGAGAGATAACGTTCCTCAATTCAGGTACGAAGAGGATGTGTTCGTAGTGCCCAACGACGCCTCGCCCGATAACATGAAGCGTGGGGTGGGCATCCTCGATGAGCTGCAGGCGCTAAGAATCAACCGTCAGTGGGACATAGGTTCTAGTCTGGACAACCGGACTCTGCCACAGATATGCAATACACCGGACGACTGCTTCTTTGCTTTGGAGCCCGACCTTCCCGAAGTTCAGGCGCTTCTGGACGAAGTGCGTCAGTCTTGGGAATACAGTGGGACAGTCAGCCAGACTTCCAAGCACCCGGATCTAGTCGAACGCGCCCGTGTGCGTTCATCGGTCGTTAAACTACCGAAAAATCGACGAACAAAGTTCATTGCCTCGACGTATTATACCGTCGCCGAACTCGCCGGCAAAGGGAGACAGTTTTGGGCCAATGGTGCAGGGAAGGCTACTGCTATTTGCTTGAAAAACGCCGCTGCTTTTCAGGCACGGAAGTTAGCTCGTAAGTGTCCATGGTAACACGTGTCGGGATTGAAAGAAAGTGACTCTGATTTCCGGGGGAAAAATAACACAGGCAAATATGTCACTGAACATGTCACGGAGCTGCAAACGCCGGCACAATTTGCGCAGTCGATGATCGATAACAAATATCCGGATAAAAGCATCCCTCAGGGAATCTCGAGTGGATATAGTTGGGAAGACGGTGGGTCTATTTTCTGTTACGCACACATGCTAGATACCTACGTTAATGCTGTTCAGTCTTTGGTGACAACGGGTACGTGCACTGGACGTGGAAAGACCTCGGAGTTGCACAGCCTGCTGGCTTAGACGGCGACACGCCGATTGAGTATGTTTCTCTCCTAACACCAAGCGGGGGGATACTTGGCTGACGGTCTCAGGGCAATTTACCATGCCCTTGGGAGTAAATCGGGCAATGCCGACTATCAGAACCTGATGATCTGCGATGCTCAGACGAATTCCTTGAAGACATCCGTAAGTAAAGTGACCTCCGTCGAGTCGGCTGGCTGACGATTTGCCTAGGCGTGGGCGATCCACACGAATGTCATCGGCGATGACAGATGGAACAAGGCGAGCCCGTCCGTGCGGCTTGCATATCTCAATAACATAGATCAATCTCTTCTTCCTGTACGTATTACTGGCTACCCATGTGCAAATGGTGGAAGAAAAAGAAGCAGGAGGCTGACCCACATATTATTAGTATATGAACTCCCCCGAGGTAAGATCCTGCGCATATTCCAAGACTCACTTCCCCGATAGGCTAACCACAGCATTGAAATTCTCTTCGCGCAGGCCCAGGCTGCACTAAAGCATGCCTACGAGGTACAGCAGCAGATCTTCAAAGCTCTTGATAGCGCCGCTCAAAACAATCCCAAGGTCATTGGACCGGGAGTCAGTTTTGCGGCACTGCACAAAACGTGGTATCAGCGGTTCTTCGCGGCGTTCAATGACAATTTGCAGACCTTTTACCAGGCTAAAGTGGACAAGGAAATAACAAACTGGACTGGCGGCAGCCAAGCTTATGGACTGTACAAGTCTCTACAGAGGAACAAGATCGTTTCAGGTATGTTCCTTGCGCGAAGGTGCCCCCTGGTGTTTATAGGAGAGAGCTTTTGCAATACTAACGGCCGTAGACCTAAAAGGCAGGTCGAGTAAGCTGTCGAGCCTGACAGTGCTCACTGCCTGGCTTACGTGAAGCCATTGGGCAAGTGAAGAGAAAGGTTTGGTAGGATGAGGGGCACATATGGATGTGCTGGTTTAGTCAGGTTGCACCTGGAAGAACGCTTTTGTGCACGATATCAAATAGTAGTAACTTCAATGCTGTCTTACACGTAGCATCGTGTGTCCTGTAAAAATGGGACAACATGATTCACTTTGAACAATCTCCATGAGTAGCGTATGAGATGAATCGGTCATTCAATCCACCCTGTCTGTCTCCTCATCAATCGCGGGAGTTTCGGGGTTCACGCCCCCCAAATTGCATCCTCCGTTGGTGGCACAAGATCCGAGGTGTCCTGACAGTCAAGCAGCGCGGGGTAGAACTTGGTGATCAGCGAAGCGATCGCCACCTTGAAAGTCCCGGAGTACGACAATCGCTGCTCTCCCAGGGTGACGTCAACCGCCTTCATGAACGGCGCAGGGGAACCCGGTTTGGCATCCACGACGGAACGCATACAATCCTCGTCGACCATGAGGCACATCCGTGTGTGGAGACCAGGCTCAAGCCTGTCCTCCTCAGCATCGTCGTCCATCTCCTCCGCGGACAGGCGATAGGCATACGCCACCCTTGCTGGCGGCTCCCCCGCCATTGCTTCATCCGACACAAATTTGAGGAAAATCCGGTCGCGAATCCGCTCAATCCCGGATTCTGCTGGGGCAGCACTTATCCCCTCATCGAGGAACGCGTCGTACTGAACCAGGAACTTTTCCCAGAGCGGCTCATCGGAATAATACGTGCGGAACACCAAAAAGCCGAAATCAGGCCAGTCTTCCTCCTCGACCAGCGAGACTAGCGTTTTCAGGTTTTCGAGAGTTGTCGAATTTGTCTGGTCTGCTTCAGCTTCCCCTGTCCCGACCGGTGCGGCGTCATCGGCTGCCGGTGATGGGATTTGCATTGGGGGAGCCCCGCGCGCGATGCGCCCCTCATTTATGCGGGCCATGTTTTGCGCACTGATGAGCTTGGCTTCGGCTGCCTGGCGCTCCATCAGATTTTGTAGTTCCTAGTCATGTCAGCATCCACCGCGCGACTGTACGGATGACACCAAGAGCTCATCTCTCCTGCTTTCTTTGCTCTTATTAATATGTACCCACGCACCTGTTCGGAAAGGGCTTCAAGGGCGGCGTCAGTCTGGTTCTGATACATCTCCTCCGTCCATCCTGGCGGCAGGTAATGTAAGATTCGATCATCAGCCATTGTAAAATGTTTTGGTGAGCTACTGAAGAGTGAGTCGAGATAGAACCGGGCGTTTGGAGGGGGGAAACAAGCAAACCAGTGACGAGGATGATCATCACATGATCTCACTGTTAGACCTCGCCAAATCGCGGACTTCCCCTCATTATTATATTATAGTTATATTTATTTTCCTGATTAATCGCTCTCTAGAGCGTTAAATACTAATTAGCTTATTGCAAAGCCATTTCCCAGTCCCAGACCCAGCCTCTTTCCACTGTGGAGGATTCTCTGGCAACTCTCAAACGCGTTGGTCCTGACTATAGAAAGAAGTCGGTTCTATGACACGGCATATAGAGATGATTTCGCAGCCTGCGTTATAAACAAAAGTATGGGCGACAGTTAAATGGAAGTAGAAGATTAAGGATTAAAAAATTAAATAGTTAAGACATGCTCTGCTGAGGTATAGGATCAATTTAACCAGGTGGCAGACATATATACAGGTATATTAGTCTTGCTTAACTTTGTTGGACCACCCTCACTATAAATCTTAAGGTACCAGCGCCATGGGAAGGCACCAGAAGTTAAATAGTCGTTGAAAGGGTAAGAAAAGGGTAACTTAGTAAACTCTAATCTAGAATTTAAGGGGCCGCAGACACTACATGAACTATGGTGTAACTATTAAGAGAATAACAACTCCTAGATCAAAATCTTTACTATGACCGCAGATAATGCTACTAATGATAATACTTTAATTCAGGGGCTATAGGATATATTACCGTCTGCTAGCACTATTACCTCTTAAGATTTTATTATTTATATTCCTTATATAGCCTATGTAATCCAGCTTTGCCTTAATAACTTCTAGGCTGTATTAGGGTAGCCCCTAAAAATAAGGAAGTAGGGATATCATGGTTAGATGTTAAAGTTAGCTTTCTAAGGGACTCCTTTGATTGCAAGATTGTAATCAAAACCATAACATGAGATACACAAGAACCTTGCAGCAGCCCCTCGCTGGAGATAAACACCAAATGCTCTCATTCCCTTCACAGTCCAGCCAATACAACTGATTGTGCTCTCAATCCTGCGTCCTCACGGTTTCAGACACGCCCCGTGGTCGATCGATTCCGCGAACCCTGCGATCGAGTCCGAGCGCCCTTATGTCGTGTCGATGTTCCTAGATGTGAGGGGGCGTCATTGCCCCTGTCCGAGGGCTCTTCCTCCCGCTGCTTCGAGCGGATGGCATTCTCGTAATCGTCAATTGGCTCGTCATCGCGGGTCACGCCGTGTACCTTCTTCGGTTGAAGCGGAGGGTCTGCGAGTGGTTTGGAAGGCATTGTGTCCTCAGGAGTATTAAATATATAGCTTAACGCGTGATGCGCAAGTGCAGTAGAGAGTGGCCCTTAAATGCAAGTAGAAGGTTCACTTTATATATTGATTTTATATGCTGCGCCGCGGAATGATCCTAGCATGACGTGCAGATTGTCAATAGTCAGGGACACAGCMTGGTATGTCGAATCATAAGCTTATATTCCTTGTGGCAAGCCAAGAAGCTTCGCGGACTGCCAATCAACAGCCCCATGTATCGAGTCACGGTGACATGGTACTACAGACGGCACATTCCCGTCATACTTATGTCAACCAAAAGGGGTATAATCAATCTTGAGAGCCAGGAATGATGCATAATCAGATAGAATTGCTGAGGCTTGTCCATAGAATAACTTCATACAACATGAGTATCGCGACAGAAAATCTCTATAAACTCAAACGAACTAAGACAGTATGTAATACAGAATACAGCACAACGACGGGAATGCTAAGCCTAAAAACTAACCACTGGCCAACTTCCTCAACTGCGTCATGGGCCCGTTGAACTTATCCGAGTCTCCTCCGTGCTCATACTTGTCCGAATTCTGCCAGATGGTCCATGTCTTCCAGTCACCTGGGATCGTCTTCGGAGAAGAGCTGCTATACACCGCCAGCACCAGAGGACATTTATCGCCGAAGCCCTTGGCGTTGCCCGTGCAGCGATTCCACCAGTCTGCGGTGGTGTAGATCATGGGCCACCGATTCGTCGCATGATGGTACTCATCGACAAAGTCGTGGATCCAAGCGACCATCTGGGAATGGCTGAGGCCGTAGCATGTCTCTCCGTAAGGGTTGTACTCGATGTCCAGCATCCCCGGCAGCGTCCGGTTATCGTTGCTCCACCCGCCGCCATTCTTCAGGAAGAATTTGGCCTGCGTGCTGCCATTGGACTTGTCAGGGCGGGCAAAGTGGTATCCACCGCGGAGAAGGCCGGCCTTGGTGGCGCCTGTGTAGTGGGAGTTGAAGACGGTGTCTTTGTACGTCGTGCCTTCGGTAGCCTGTAGTTCATGTTGGCTGAGTGAGCTGTGGGATTGTCGGACAAAAACGAACCTTAATCATCACGAACTCTGCGCCATCCTTCTTGGCAGCTTCAAAGTTGACGCTCGACTGGTGGTTGGAGACGTCGAAGCCTTGGATGGTGGTTGCGCGGGCCACGGGCTGACTGGGGAGGGCCGAAGCCAGACCAGCAATGGTGGCAATAACAGCAATGGAGAACTTCATTTTGCAGCGGAGGTGATGGTATTCAGTGTCTTGTTGTGGTTTCTGTTGACTCGGGCAGGATGTCGCTGGTATATATACTCGTTGTACACACAGTCTTCGCCGACACTATGATTGACTTTGATTGCGATGTTCGCATCCCAAAATAGATCCAGACTGATACGAGATACCGAGTCGACCGTCGTCTGAAGATTGCTCTTCAAATTCAGGCCATTCAATCGTATGAGGAGATTCAAACAACTCGAGTGAGGAGATACGAGTGAAATCATCACATCCCGTCTGTGGGGCATGTATACGAGAGGATCGTCATCTCTAATCTCGGTCAAGAGCACTATTTGGCCAGATGGGTATCATTTTGCGAGGCCGCGCTCAGCCTAAAATGGTTAAGAGAAACTCACAGATGATCAAGGGTGCCTGACTAGCCCGTGTTCGTTCCTTGCATGGCCAATTCTGGGGCCAAATGCGAAGATCTTTTCCTTCATGGATATTGAACGGGGACGAATACGGGTCGGTCACGCCACTTCCGTCGCTCGTGTTGATGTGAAGATGTACTAAAAATAGCTTCATATTCAGAATGATTCAATGTTGCATCTGAACGATACTTTAACTTCACTCCAAGGTATCCATCTATGTCCAATTGTTGAGGACGAAACGAACGGCCTTGTTGTCAACTTTAGGGAGGAACTCTGTTTTGTTGGGATCTAAAGGCCACCAGCAGATATAATACTACATTAGAGGTCGACAAATTGCCAGACACTGCATCCTGCCAGCTCACCTCCGACGAATAATCAGCCGAGATCGTCCAGGATTGCGAGTTGGCAACGAGGTCGCTGCTTGGGAAGACTGATAACTGTCAGTCGTAGGATGAAACCATTCAGACTGGGGTCGCGCAGAAATGGGATCATTACCTAGCTTAAAAACAGTTCATCTTGCTCTTCGGTGCTCTTGCCTCAGCAATGGTGGTTGACAGACTGTTAAGTCGCTGATGCAGAACAGAGGTCGTGTCACAACCGTAGCTTGCAGCTGAGAGCTGTCCACTAGAGTCGGACGATGGTTTGGAAGGGAGGGCAAAGGTCAATGCTGTTCCTATGGGAATGTAGCTGCATAGCAAGAGGGGTGCGAGAAAGAGATCCATGTCTACCACCTTCACCGTTCGAGACTCATTCATTTAGTTATCCTTGACTGTACGACTTCTATGTACACACTCTATGCTTTCCTTCAGGAATATCATTCCAGATGAACATGATCGAGTTGAAACCTTATGGAGAATTTCCCCAGTCGACCAACCTAATCCCCCATTTATTGTCTTTTGCATATGTCTTTGGCAAGGGCATATACCATCCAACAGATAATCTTTCCTTCCAGGCAATGGCAAACCTTGTCTTTTGCTTGAACATTTCAAGCTTCCTAGCCATACAGCATGACTCGTGACCTCGGCAGGCATTATACCGAGCTCTGGAATTCTGCATTCTGACTGGCTCTTCTGATTGAAGCAACAGGAATAGATAGTGCTCTTATTGGCAGACGCGATTCATGTCGAAGTTGCTTTCAAGACGTCAAATCACATGAGCGTCAGCACTAGAGACCATACTGGTGGAGAATTTCTCCCCGTCCATTAGGAGATGGGTTATTCTGGCTACAAGCAATCAGTGGCTGAGATGAGAGATCCCAATTTGTCCAGCCCGTCAAGTCCCCGCGGGGATATTTGATCTGATCCTGGGTTCCCCGCATGGACTGGACTCCGGGATTCGGGCGGCCAAGTCCATACACTTATGCAACGTGGAAGATGCTTAAAGAGTTTATTTGCCCAGCAGGGATCAACGATCCGGTTCGGGTCAGGTCACTGCTGGCCTGTTGTTCGTTTCGCTATGTCATTCGCTATGACAACCATCAAGGATTTTGATAAGGGCTCGCAGAAGACTAGATTGGATGAGATAGCCAAAGCACAGGTCGATAATGTCGAACATTCTCATCCCGCCGAGATGGATTCTGCAACTGGCAAGGAAGCTGCCCCCTTAATGCGCTGCAAGGAGGACGACCTCACTGTTTGGCAATCGGTAAGACGATACCGGATGGTTGCTGTGATTGCAATGGCTGCAGCATTCAGCGCTTCACTGGATGGTTACCGTAAGTTCCAATCCATGGTATAAGAGATATGAAGAGCTATGAAATTGATATATCGGCAGAAATAAATCTTAACGGAGGCATCGTCTCTAATAAAGGCTTTATCCGACAAATGGCCACGTCTGATACGGCGATCATAGCAGGCAAATACATCGCAGCCTGGGGCGGAATTCAATCGACTGGCCAGACAATCGGTCAGATTGTATGATCTCATCTTTTTGCGAAGAGTCAAGTTGTACTAAGAGGAACAGCTTCTCCAATACGCGACCGAGGCCTTTGGGCGAAAATCAGCTCTGTATATCATCTGGCTCACATTCGTGGTGGTGAGTATTCACTGAGCATCTGAAATTCTAGTCACTCTGACAGTCCAACAGAGCGTCCTGATAGAATCATTCTCTGCTAGATGGTATCACTGGCTCGTCGCAAAGCTGTTCTCGGGGATGGGCGTTGGTATGCTCCAATGCACAATGCCACTGTATCTGTCCGAAATTGCTCCAACACAGCTCAGAGGGTTCTTCATCAATGCGTACAGCTTGTCCGTAACTCCCTATCAAGTATCTCGAGTTCATGGATAGGATATTAACTCAAGTAGCTGGTTCGTGGTAGGCCAATTGTTCGCCTCGGTGGCTTTGAATAGGCTGAGCGCCACGGATCCATACGATTTCCGCACTCCAATCTACACTCAAGTTAGTCACGATCAGGCGTCTGTGCACTTCAAGGCTGAGGTTAATCGGTAGTAGTGGGCTATGATAGGCGCCGCAGGTGTCATTTTCGTCCTGATCCCGGAGACCCCTTGGTGGCTTGTCAGCAAAGGGAAGATGCAAAAAGCAGAGAAGGTTCTAAAGACATGCAACGGTACTGTGCCAGATTATAATATCGATGACCAGATTGTCCGTACTCTCACTGCCAGTAATGCATGGGGCTAACGCATGTAGAACGTGATGACTTCCACGGTGGTGCACGAGCGAATCGTCGCCGAACGGAACAAGGAGCAAGGCATGTGGGCCATTTTCAAAGGTCGAAACATGATCCGGTTTATCATTGCTGGATGGCCAAAGATCACGCAGCAGTTTGTCGGGTTGGCTGTGTTCAACACCTACGCCACCTACTTCTGTAAGGCTGTTCCCTTGTTCGTGCTTCGCAAGCTGACCTCTCAGTCCAATACGCTGGTAATAAGAATCCGTTCCTCGTGACTGTCATCCTTTCTTGCGTCCAGCTTCTTTCCATGCTACTCACAGCAACCTTGACCGATCAATTCGGTCGTCGTCCGTTGACGGTCTATCCTTATGCCATAACCGTTCTCTCGGTGCTGTGTCTGGGCATCGTTGGCTGCTTCGACTACAAGTCGCCAGCTCTCAGTTCTCTGTTGGTTCGTTTGCACAGCCTCGCTGACACTTCATATGTTATTTCCGCATACTAATGCGATATAGATCTTCTTTGCCTGTCTGGCCACCTTCTCCACCACTGGTGCGTCCGCCATCGGATACGCCTATGCAGCGGAGATCCCTCAGCAACGGCTCCGTGCCCAGACAGCCGCCTGGTCTCTGGCTTCGTCGAATATGATTAGCATCATGTTTAGCTTCTGTACCCCGTTGATGATCAATAACCCTCCTACCAAATGGGGTCCAAAGACCGGCTTTTTGTGCGTATCCATGGTTGCTTCAGCGGACAGGGATTAATCGTTGCGAATAGCTTTGCTGGTACCGGGACCGTAGCCGTGGTTATTGCGTGGTTTATCCTTCCGGAGGTAACGCGTCGTACACCGGGTGAAATCGATGAGTTGTGAGTCTCGTTTCTTGATAGTCCTCTTTGGGTCCCTTGAATAGAATCTAACAGCTGTATTGTAGGTTTGAGAAGAGGGTCAACCTGCGCAAGTTCAAGAACTATGTCACTGACGCGCAAATTACTGCGGATGAACACCACAGGAAAATGGAGTTGGCTTGATGGGCCGCTTGCAAGTTTCACTCAAAGGCGTCATGAAGTGCAGCTGTGTCAGCCCCCCGGCTAGTTTGCGATCTCAAGACATGCATAAGTTTGGTGGAAATTTTTCGAGGGATTTGGCTTGTGTAAAAATCCTACCCATGACAATAGGTCTGCAGATTTGGTCCGCCACATACCTTAGTACTCATATCAAATTCTTTTTGTCCGTCATTGTGCAGAAATACAACGCCGACCCCCGATATCACCGGGCACAACCCGAGGTTTCGGATAAAACGCATCAACGAAAGCTTCGGCTAGTTGGAAATCTACCTGACTGAGACATAATAGTGCACACTGGCGATACGTAGACCGTCGTTCCGATACCGTTCCACAACAGCGGCAGAGTTACCCTGAGCATCCCGAACCCCAGTCGGCCTTTTCGGAGATACTGTGAGGAAGATGATAGACGTCAAGTGCTCGCCATAAGGCTCCCTCCGCTCGTATCAGCTAATTCTGACTATAAGTTTAAGACTTTTAAATCTAACTCTCACCTCATATCCTCTCACCGTCTGATTCCAGTCTATTATCGCTATATCCAAGAGGCAACCGCCCTAGAAAATGACTGCTGAAAAGCTTCGCATTATCATCGTCGGCTCTGGTTTGGCAGGCCTAGCTGCGGCCCGGATCCTCCGCGAGCATCACGATGTCACCGTCTACGAGCGCGACGGTCCAGATACGGCCACCGGTGGACAGGGTATCTGTCTGTTCTCCAACGGGGTGAAGATCCTTCAAACCATGGGATTTGACCGTTGTCGTGCTGGTGCAGTGCCCTGTTACGGTTACCGTCTGTTTGACAAAAATGGTAATCAATTGCAAGACTTCCCAATTGACTTCAAGGCCCGATATGGAGCAGAGACCCTCAGTATGAAGCGGTCTGATTTCCGTGAGGAGCTTCTTCGACTTGCTACTGCCCCATCTGATGAGCTCGGTATCCAAGGCAGTCCGGCGCAGATGGTGTTCAATACCAATGTCATTGATATCGACCTTGAGAAGGCTACTGTGACGTTGGAAGACGGGTCCGTGGTGAAAGCAGATGTGGTCATTGGTTAGTTCTCCAGCAACAACCCAGGAGGCAGAAGAATCTGACTCTAAAATATAGTTGCTGATGGCGTGCATTCACGTCTCCGTCGCCGGATTGTCGGCTGTGACAGTTATCAGGCGAAGAAGAATGGGCTGACTTGCTACCGCATTGCCGCCCCCGCTGAGGCAGTTAAAAAAGCCCTTGGCTATCTCCCAGTGTGGTGGGAGCCGAATACAGCAGAAGGTCGCATCTCTGGGCTGCAGGCAGGGGATGGAAGTAACCGTATGATTGCAGCCTACGCTATACGGAATTATGAGTACATGAACTTCTCGTGCCTCTTTCCCACCCGCCATAACAAAGGAAATGTCCTGGAGTCATGGCACGCAGACGGTGACCGCCGGGAGATGATTGAGGTCTTTAGCGACTACTACGACCCTATACGCAAGATTCTAAGGTATGTACCCGGCGGCTTTTTATGGGTTCAAGCTAATGATATCAGTATCGCCACCGAGGTGAAAGTGTGGGAGCTCCAAGATATGGACCCCCTTCCCAACTGGAATCGAGGACGAGCAATCGTCATCGGAGATGCAGCCCATGCGATGACCCCATTGCAGGGTCAAGGGGCGAACATGGCAGTCGAAGATGCTGACAGTCTCCGCTTGTTGCGTCCAGGGCTTTCCCATGCGGAAATCGAGTCGGTTCTTAAGCAGGTGGACAATATTCGCCGCCCGCGTGCTACAAAGGTCCTGGAGGACACTCGTGTCCAGGCAAAGGATATTACCATGGAGGAAAGACTGGCCAATGTAGACTATAACTGTGGATACAATGGTGTGTTTGAAGCTCTAAAGGAGATTCAATGAGCCCTCGGCAATGCTGAGGAAGACTTTTGTCAATGGTGTTTAACCCGAAGCGCATTCAGTCGGAGTGTGTTTTGTATGTTACCAATAGTCAGGTTGATTTCCTTCCCTCCTGGCTATAGGAAGAGCAAAGCAGGATAGAGAATTGAATGGGATTTCATGCAGCAGAATTCACTCTTCAGATTGCCGCTCAAAAGGACTTTCAAGTCTCTTAGAGGTAGTATGTTTATCTTCATCAGGAGATACCTCGCGTTAGTTATACAAAATCCGACCTTTCTGGACAGTAGTACTATGTCGAGAAGGCTGCCTCATTTGCTGCTCTCGTGTCGGAAACCCTGGACTTCCTTTGCGAGGAAATCCACTAATGTTAATCGGAGGATCGTCTATCTAGATTTCGTAATCATCGATCTAGAATCCGTCCGCGTAAATGACAGATCAGGCTACAGGATAGTCCCCGGACTTAAGTATGCAAGTTTCGGAGATATCGGCACCTTGTGACGTCCCATACTGTTTCGGAGATAACATTTAATCCTCCTCCGCCCATGAACGACGAAAGCAAAATCAGTTTTTTTGACTTTTGTGTCCGAGTCAATATGCCGACCTAACGAAACGAACGAGTCTTTGTTCTTGTCCGGTAACCTATACTAATGGCTGGGCCGACTGAACCCAGAAGACGCCGTCGCCCAGCGTTGTCCTGCGTAGAGTGTCGGCGGCGCAAGGTCAAATGCGACCGAAACAGCCCCTGCGGGCAATGCAGAGCATTTTGCACATATGGGGTAGCCCGCACCACAGGCTTAGAGAGACAGGCATCACAACGGTCACACGAACCGGTGGTGCAAGCAGCAGCCGACCAAGACGCGAGCGTACTACAACGGCCTGCCTCCAGGTCGCACAATCTATTAATTGACGAAAGCACTGTACCAGTGGTATCTATTGTGGCAGAGGGCCCTGCGCGATGCATCCCACAGGATCCGGACAGAACCCACAATATCCCGCAAATCTCTTCCACACCCCAAGCTCCTCCTCGCCCATTTCACGGCATCCTATCCAAGACAAGGGTCTTTGGTCACGGTCATTGGATGAGCTCGGTGCCTCTGGTACGTCGCCCAACTATGTGTAGAGTGGCTCCCGATCAATATTAACCAACCAAAGGTGGATGGCCTACCTTACAACAAAGACATGCCTTCTGAACGTTCTGGCGAACAGATCTCAGAGGCAATTGCCAAATGCAAACAATTGGCTCGAGATATTAAGAAGCAATTGCCGAGTCGGAGTCCACTTCCTACCAGTATCCATCAACTCCTCCCCGGCCGCGTGGTGCTCGACGAACTAGTGCGACTGTATTTCGACACGTTTGAAACATGCTACCGAATTCTCCACACTAAGTTGTTCAGAGCAGAATACGAGAGCTATCTGGGGGACCCTGAAACGGCAACGACACCTTTCAAGGTGAAACTTCTACTGGTCATAGCTATTGCCGCCCCATTGCACGGTGATGCCCAAGCCTATACTGAACTGGCTTCCAAAGCCAGATCATGGATCCATATCGCTCAAGGATGGCTTTCCGCGCCTTTTGAGAAGGATCGTTTGACTCTAGATGGGATTCAGATCCATTGCCTGCTTCTAATTGCTCGTCAAGTAAACCGGGTAGGAGCAGATCTGGCCTGGATTTCGGCCGGTTCATTAATCAGGATGGCCATGCAGATGGGCTTGCATCAAGATCCCAGCTGCCTAGGCGAGATGACTGTGCTTCAGAAGGAATTACGAAGGCGACTGTGGTATACAATCTTGGAGCTTAATGTACAGGCTGCGTTGGATTCAGGTATGGATCCCATGATGACAGCTGCAGACTATAATACCCAGCCACCATCCAACCTGGACGACGACGATTTGGTCGAGGCATTTGGAGAAGGCCCTACAGCCAAAGCAAGTTCCATATCCACCCAGACCTCGGTCCAGCGTCTGCTGGCGGACTCTCTGCCTTTAAGACTGGAAGCTACAAGAGTCATCAACAACTTGCAGGACGAACCTTCATATGACCAAGTTCTTCGTCTTGGGAATGAGCTGGCGTCAGTTTGCCGTAGTGCAACGATCTTCGTGGATCAACACATGTCAACTGAGCATGACATGCTGACTCATGAAGCACGTCGGTTCAAATATAATTTCTGCGCGCATTATCTGTGTCGCTTCCTCCTAAGTCTCCACTATCCGTACGCAATCCAGAGCAAAGGCAATCCTCTATACAGTTACTCCCAGAAACTGTGTCTCGAAGCTGCCCTTGACTTGGTTTCGCTCCTCGAGGACAAACTGTACCGTCGCTTGCTACTCTCTGGGGGTGGCATGTTTCGAGATATTATCACCCGGGGTGCCGTGGTCTTATTCCTGGAACTCATCACACAACTGGAAGCAAACAACTCTATATTATCAAAGCAGCGAAACCGTGCTCGCAGAGAGCCATTGCTGGAAGACGCGCGCAAGGTGGTGCAATATACGCATGATAGACTGTGGTATGGTGAAACAAACGTCAGAGGCTACCTTTTTGTCTGCATGGCAATGGCCCAAGTAGAGGCACTACTTGATGGACTTCCCGTCAAAGAAGCTGTAATCAATGCGGCCGGCCAGAGCTTGGCAGTATGCGGCCATATTTTGGAATCCATGGCGGCCAGTTCCCTCTCGACCAGTGCCAGTCCTCCAGATATTGCATCCTGGACATACGGGGATATGCTGGCTATGCCTACAATGGCCGATGCCGACTTGGACTTTCTGAGCAACGAGAACATCAATTTTGACCTTTCGGATCCTTATTTTGTTCAGCAATGGACAGATCAATCTTGGCTCCAGCATTAGTTAATGTAGAAGAGGAATCGAGACAAGGCGGCGGAGTGAATCCGGGAGGAACAGCAGAAGTACCCATTAGGAGCCGGGCCCAGGATGCAACGACAGATCACTTGTGATAGCGTCGTTATTTGGAAGGGACAGGGAGAGGAGCATACACTTGGGAGAAACGAGGTCGGATTCGGAAAGGAATTTTGCTTTCATTCTGTCATCTGTTGGTAAATAAGCAGATCTGCCGTGATTTTGTCGGATGGACTCTGGACAAGGTCAAGATTGGCGGGAGTGCATGTCCGATATATTTATAATCTTAAGCCCTGGCCATTTTGGTCTGGTACTCTAGGGAGAATGATCACCTTGCTAATATGGATGTGAGACTGCAATTTGAATTATGGGCGATCAACATTGCTCCGAACCGAGGACCACTCCCATGTCCTTCAATAGCATTAACAGACCATATTAAGCATACTTTCAGTAAGGATACGATCACCCACTACTGCCTGTTAGATTCTCTCTGTGTATGGGGAGCCGGAGAAAACTTCATTATCCCGAACGCTGCCGACGTCTCCGGCCCAAATTCTGATACCGAGACATGAGACCAGTAACGGAGATAAAGCTGCGATTTGCCTGTGACACTCTGTCCCACCCGGGACCGACGACTATTTCTACCTTGAAAGAGCATGGCCAGACCGGAGATATTATCCCCGTCAAGAGCAGACGGAATAATCGGATGGAGTATATATAGGCCCTATTTCCAGCTCCTTCAGTCGAACTTGGAACATCCTTGTCTTGGCTACAGATACATATCCTACCCTGTAGCACCGAGATAGCCATGGCACAGTTGAAGGTCCTCATCTGCGGTGCAGGCATTGCCGGCAACGCGCTTGCTTTCTGGCTTTCCAAAATGGGCCATGACGTGACGGTTATCGAGCGGTTCCCGGCCCTGCGCGCCACGGGCCTGCAAATCGATCTGCGGGGCCACGGGATCGAGGTCATGCGACGAATGGGGCTCGAGCCATCGTTCCGCGCGAAATCCGTTAAAGAGCAAGGCTTGGAAGTTGTTGATCGCTCTGGCAGACGAAGGGCCTATTTTCCGGCGAACAGGTCAGGCAAAGGGATACAGAGCTTCACCACCGACTTTGAGATATTAAGGGGCGATTTATGTCGGCTTCTTTACGACACCACGGTGAACCGTGTCAAGTACGTCTTCGGAACGAGTCTTGAAAGCATCAACGACAATGATGGCTTTGTCGAGGCCGTCTTCTCAGGTGGTGGGAAGGAAACTTATGATTTCATAGTCGGTGCGGACGGCCAGGGATCACGCACTCGCAGGTTGATCCTCGACTCTGACACTGCGGATCCTTTCCATTCCCTCGGGGTCTACATAGCGTATTTCACGCTCCCCCGGCCCAGCACAGGGGATCAATACCTTGCCTCTGTATATATCGCTCCTCAAAGGCGGTTTGTGGCCGTTCGCAGGCATAGTCCACGCCAGATTCAGGTGTACCTCGCCTGCAAGCCCGATTCGTGCAAGCCGAAGTCGGACCGACTGGGGAATGCCCAGAAGGGTGACGTCGTGGAAGAAAAGCATGGCTTTGCGGAGATCTTCCGCGGCGCAGGGTGGCAGACGGACGATATCCTCAAAGCACTCGAGCATGCTGACGACTTTTACTGCGAGCGACTCGGAGTGGTCAAGTTGGACTGTTGGTCCCGCGGCCGGGTGGTTCTTCTGGGAGATGCAGCATTTTGCCCGTCGGCAACCACTGGAATGGGCACCACCTGCAGCCTTGTTGGTGCTTATGTACTGGCTGGCGAGATAGGTAAACATTGCGGAGGAGGTTCTGGGGTGGATACTGATGGAAGTGCGATGAAAGGTGCTTTGTCCAGCGCGTTCAAAGCTTATGAACAAACGTTTCGGCCCTTCATTGACCAGGTCCAAAAGGGATTATCGGAGGGGTCTAGTTCTTGGGATCAGGTTCCATCGACATCCTTCGGTATTGCTGTCCTCTATTTTTTCTTGGCTATAGCCTCATTCTTCAGATTGGATGTCCTGGCAAAGTGGGTCCTCCGCGAAGATGTAAAGGGATGGGCACTCCCTGATTACGAGGAGATGATGTCTGGTTAAGTCTGAGGGATGATGTGGCTGTACTCGTGGCATGGCTGATTGAGTTCCCCTTCTGTATTTCAGTAGACGGAGGAAAGTACATTCGCATTTCGACGATTATATATGTAGAGCGCTGGTAGGGTAGAGGCGTAGAAATACATACAACCTATCCTCCATGGTTAAAATGACTTTTAACCAGCTGTTATCCAGAGTAGATATCAAAATAATGTTATAACATGGGCTGGTATAATGATAATTGCTATATATTCTCCTAGAAAGATTAGTTTTCTACAGGATACTAGAGAGGCGCAATACGGTCATTTAAGCGCCGGAGTCGGGGGAATACATGATTGGGGGATTGGAATCAGTCCGACCGAGACTAACATACGGACTGATGTATTTACCTATCAGTCGGGCAGACAGATCCTCCGTTATCGATGACGGGCTAAATCTTAGTTCCCGTGGCCGTGAACCAACCACTTGTTGCTCCGAGCCAGTCGTTCAGCCTTACCGTCAACTGGAGACCAGACAGGGCTGAAGTCATAAGTCTCATGACTATATTAATCACAGTCTCCCTCTTACGAGATTTTCTGACTCTACACAACCTCATACAAACACACTCCTCTCAAAATGGACTCCGAAAGAACCGCATATTTCGGCGCGACAGGCGGATGCACAAATGCATGTCTGGCCTTCTCCCTCCGGCAAGGCCTCAAAGCAGTCGCACTGGCACGCACACCCAAGAAATTGCACGATATGTTGCTGGCGCAAGGAATCAGCGAGGAAAGCATCAGCGCAAACCTGATTATCATCCAAGGCGATGTCACCGATGTCGCAGCCGTCAAGAAGACCTTGATGTCCGGAGATGAAAGAAAGCTTGTGGACAAGATTGTCTCTGGCATCGGGGCCAGTCCTTCGATGCAACTTTCCCTGACTACCCCGGTCAAAATGGATAATCCACATATCTGCGAGCAAGGGATCAAATCCATCATCGAAGCGCTAGGGGAGATATATGCAGAGTACCCGGACGAGCAACTGTGCAAACCTGTCATCACTGTTATCTCAACCACCGGCGTGGACGGTTCGCATGATGTGCCGTTTGGTTTCAAGTCGCTGTATTCCGTTCTCCTTGCAGTGCCACATAAAGATAAAAAGAAGCTGGAGGAGTTGGTCAAGGGCGATGAGCTGAAGGATGAATCGTCCAGGACTTTCAGTGGAGCAGTGATTGTTCGTCCGTCGTTGCTGGTCGGGGACCATAGAATTGCTAGGATTGGGTCAAAGAAGCTCCGGGTGGGAACAGAGGAGAATCCATCCATTGGGTATACAGTGAATCGTGCCCGTGTCGGGCAATGGATTTTTGAGGAAATTGTCAACAAGACAGAGGTTGACTGGGTGGGAAAGGCTGTGACTTTGACTTATTGATGAGGGTTCTGTGTGCTTTTTGTTTTGATCTGTTGTCCTAAAGATACTCCGTTTGTACTGCGCCTTAGGTTATAGTTTACTCCAATTAATTGAGAATTTATCGTGAAAATAACTAGGAATCTATAAGCGCTGTCCGGCTCACCAGGCAGCAAATAAGCATGGTATAATACGTAAATTCAGAGACTAAAAAGGCTATCTCACCAGGTAAACAGAATGGTCGAGTATTATGCTGATTCCAAATAGCTTCTATTTAAGTTGAGTAGTGCATTCCAGTCAGCCAGTCACAAGGGTTTTGCCGTTCCTGCATGCCCTAGATCCCCTGGAATATTACCGCTGTATAGCAATAATTCTCCTTCTTATTACTGACAGGCTCGTTTTGGCGCCAAAATTTGACTGCATAATAGAATCCATACAGCATATACGAAGGTTAACGAATTCATGCTCTTGGCCGCTTTATCCATTAGATTCGGCGTACGGTACACGCTCTGAATGTCTTCAGGAATCGAGAAGAGGAATGTCAGGAATGGCCGAATTTTGGTTACACAGGTGTGAAGAATCCCGTCGTGATCTGGAATGTTTTGATCATTTTATTTGGTCTAGCCTTGTCAACACTTGCCGACTTATCTACCTTTTGTCTGCTGCTGAGGCAGTCACATCATCACTATCAGCAAATCGTAGAGACCTTTCCTCTTCACTCAGAATTTATCAGTTTCTTTGTCACCATGAGATTGACCCTGAGCATCGCAGCCTTCACTCTCATCACCTCGGTGACTGCCCGTCCGTCCCACCACATCATTCCACGAGGCGAGCCGCAGTTTCCGCTGCTCGATCCTGGGATGACGATCAAAGAAGCTGCACGCAAATGTGGCGACGAAGCGCAGCTCTCCTGCTGCGGCCGAGTCGTCAAAGGTGACGATCGAACCTCGGTCGACGAGGGAATTGGCTCTGGACTTTTGAGCAACCTCGCCGGGGGTGGTTCAGGAGTCAGCGGCATTTTGGCTTTTGATCAATGTTCCAAGTTGGATGCTCAAAGTGAGTAGTCTAAAATGTTCCACTCGTGCAATGGCTAACAGTTGCAGTTGCTGTGATTATTCTACCTATCCAAGATGTGCTCAACCAGCACTGCAAGCAGAATGTGGCTTGTTGCCAGAGAAATCCCGCTGATTCGGTATGCATCCGGCATTATCGGTGGATAGCTGCTAACAGATTTAGTCTTCATCTGGCGTCGCTGCCAGTCTGCCGTGCATTGCTTTGGGATCCGTTGCGTAAGCCTTTAATGATATATGCGCGAAGTTGGGTTACGTGGGGACTGTCGTCTTTAATCTTTCTTGATTTCGTTGCGGTCTAATAGCGGATTATTCCTATATGATATGCTCAATTCACGATACGTAGATCCTCCCCTCGTAGGGCTGTAATGTGCCCAATGCCGAGGGCGGATAGTTGCTGACCAAAAGCCTCATCGCCCCTGCCATGCTGGCTTGGGTGAGTGGCTGAGGTGACGAGGTGAAATTCAAGGCAACCAAGGCCCGCTTCTCCTCCCTCGACTTGACAAAGCAAAAGGTCTCGAGATTCTCAAAGTCCACGACCTCAAACGCACCGTGGATGAATAGCTCAGAGTACTCCTTGCGCAGCCGCAGTACCCTCTTCCAGAACGAAAGCACACTCTGGGGATCAGACTCTTGCTTCTTCACGTTGATCTCTCTATACAAATCGTGAGTGCGCATCCACGGTTTCCCCGTCGTGAATCCCGCATTGGGAGAATCATCCCATTGCATCGGCAGTCGGGCATGATCTCTCGCCAGAATTCGCAGTCCGTCCATGATGCGCTCTGGTCTGCTCGGATCGGTGCCATTTGCAGCCTGGCGCTGGGCCTCCCGATAGTATCCTAGCCCTTCAATGTCCTTATACTCATCGATCGACCACTCCCGCGGCGCATTAATCATCCCGATTTCCTGCCCCTGATACAAGAACAATGTTCCGGTCATGGCCACCATCATCAGCGCCAGCATCTTCGCGGAGCGTCCTCGGAATCCAGGGTCATCGGATCCGAATCGTGACACCGACCTGCCGTTGTCGTGGTTCTCACAGAAGGCCGTCGTCCACCCGTCCGTGCCCTCGACGAAAGACTGCCACTTGCCAACGATGGCCTTCATCTCGGTGAGCTTCCACGGCTGGAGAATATACTTGTCTTCCAGGCTGTTGCCCATACCAATATGGCCAATATCCAAATGAAAGACCATGCTCAGCTGCTTCGCAGACGTACCAACGTACTTGAGCACATCTTTCGGGTCGGGCGTATTCGCCAGCTCGCCGACGGTCATCACGTCGCCATACGGCGCCAGGGCTTCATCGTACATTTCGCGCAGAAACTCGTGGATCCGCGGACCATTGCACCACATCTCCACCGCCGGCTGGATATAGCTCTTCCGGTCAGTGATAGGGGCGTCGGGGAAATCCGTCCGCTTGCTATACTTATTGACGGTGTCGACGCGGAAGCCATCCACCCCCTTGTCAAGCCAGAACCGAATCGCGCTGTTATAGATGGCTTCTCGCGTGGCGCGGTTGTCCCAGTTCAAGTCTGGCTGCTCCTTCGCGTACAGGTGCAGGTAATACTCCTGCGTGTGCTCGTCCCACGTCCACGTACTCCCGGCGAAGTAGCCCCTGTAGTTTGTTGGCGGAAGCCGATTGCCCTGCTCGTCGTACCGGGCTGGCCGCCAGAAATACCAGTCGCGTTTCTCGTTGTTCCTGCTGCTGCGACTTTCCTTGAACCAGGCGTGCTCGTCGCTGGTGTGATTCGCCACTAAATCGAGGATGAGCTTCATCCCGCGCTTGTGGCACTCATCAATCAGCTTTTCGACGTCCTCAACAGTTCCGTACGCCGGTAGCACTTTTTCATAGTCGGAAATGTCGTAGCCCATGTCGTGCATCGGGGAATCGTAGTGCGGTGACAGCCATACTACGTCGACTCCCAGTGAATGGAGATACGGGATCTTCAAGATGAGACCGGGAATATCACCCCATCCGTCGCCGTTGGAATCTTTGAATGATGCGGGGTATACCTGGCCGTGTCAGCTGTGCATGGGGTATCGGTGAAGGAAGAGTACCTGGTAGACCGTGGCCTCCTTCCACCAGTTGTTGGTCCCTGTGGGGACGGCTGTTGTAGCATGTGGTGACATACTTGGGCTCCAACTAAAGTTCTACACATTCGTTGTTTCCCTGAGTTATGTGGCGTTCATTTGACTATTTATTTGAGGAGATTGTCTGGGCTATTCGATCTCTCCGACTTGCATCCGCATCAGCTCCGAATAGAGTCCGCCCCACAATCTGGACGTGGGGGATCATATCTAGTCTCGCAGAGAACGTTCTGATAACAATTAGACAGCTGCGTAATTCATTCTTCCGCATTAGAAAGACTCCTCCGGTTCGCCATTAGTTGAATCGCGGGGCAGCGTCCGCCAAACTACTCTTTCGTCCTGGCGACGGTAAGGGCGCCAGCTCGATGATCATTATGTATGATCGTTCACTCTTCCGTTCGCCCAGCTCCTGACTCGCCTTGGACGTTTCGAGATAATGCCCTTTGCCGAGACCATGATATGATGGATCAATCCATCAACACCGAGGGATTTATCTAAATGACCGATATTTGATTTCACCGAGCCTGCATGCGACTAATGCCATTACTGGTAAAACAAGATAGACCTAACTAGCTAGGGCACCAAACTGACGAGAACATCTGCGCTGCTATGCTGCTGTACCGCTTCCCAGTTGCGTCCCGGTCTCACGGTAAACCGTTACTAAACGCAAAACGGGGGTGTATGAGCGCCTCTGCTATGGCCTCGCCATTCCGACCCAGGATATGTCCGCCGGGAAGCGATGGCCAGAAAGCGATGATGGGAAGCTGTCGCTATCCACCTTTTAACAGAGCAAACGACATGTTCTACTTTCTCAACCCCATTCGAATGTAAGCTGCTTCAGAAGAACTTGAATACATGATCATCTACGGGAGGAAAGAGTCAAGGGAGAATCTAGATCGTTGTTGAGCAGTTCCACTAACATTATCTCACCTCCAGTAACAATCCAGGCCCCTGAGAAGAACCAGGCAAAGCTATCTAAACATATAGATTTGCTTACACCAAAGCTGCAGCTGAATCTTCAATGGATACTTGCATATAATTAAATCGCCGCTGAGCACCTGGCTATGGTGAATGAAATATTAGTCAGATCAGGGAACATACATACATACTAGTATGTCTTCCGTCCAATACAAGCTTGCAGTAGCTTATATTATCAAGGTACCTTATACTTATATCAAACTGTCTTTGCTTTAGCTCATCTGTTCTAATTTGGTGATTAGCTCGCCGTCGGAATGCGGCCAGCTTGGACCGAGGAACTGGCGGGTTGATGGTCATCAATGCGTACTGCGTCTTGAAACACAGACCAAGGAGTCTAACAGTCTAACATCTAGTCCACCTGCAATGAAAGCGAGTGGAGGTCACCCCTGCAATAAGACCAATCTTAAGTTATGGCAACATATGAACCAAGAAGTTCGCAAGAGCACGCCGCCCCGTACTTGCACTTGATTTGCGATTTTCTTACTATCTATAAATATGTGGTACTTTTGGGGCGTTTAGATCCTTGCAGAGGGGTTGTGCTCGAGCTAATCGGCATTGGGCTCATTCCGGAGTGGATTCTTATGGCACTAGGTATTTTCCAATTCTGGCTACGTCGTGCTTTTTGGATATACAAGATAAGCCCACATTGCTTTATGCGAAACCGGATGAGCGCTTGGAGAAGACTTTGGAGGCGGGACATCCGTGACATCCTCCCTACATGCAGGCGACTTGCTCCTCCTCGGGAAACTGTTGAAATGGCAACATATTCCGAACATATTCCGACGGAAAAGTACTAGTCCCCTGAACTTCGACAATTGTACTTCCAGAGGACCGCATTGCACAACACTCAAGCGCGCATGTGGATGTCTGGATCTGGATATGTCTAGCCAAGCTAGAGGTATAAGTGTTCAGACACAGGCTATGAAGGACCCCTTTTGCCGGGAGTATAAATTTCACCCACGACTTCTCCACGCCTCCTTTCTCGACTGACAGGCCTATCTCCTCTTTATCCCCTACGACTTCCAAGCAACAAGGCCAGCAGTATCTGGATCGCATCAAGCTTTACAATGGCTGCGCAAATCATTGACTTGAAGGAGCGACAACAGCTTCCTCAGGCCGATGCTTCCAGCGGCTTCGCATCGTCCAGCGGCCTCAAGGCTGAGACCAGCCAACACCAGCTTAAGATTCCAGATGCTCTGCGAGAGGCCCTTTCTTCTTCTGATTTAGCGTGGTCGCATTCCAATGAGTCATCAAACGACTTCCGGTCGGATAGTTACACAAAGCCTTCATTGCCGATGCTAGAGGCTATCATTGCTACGAGTCTCGGGGACGGCGACACAGACGAGGACGTGGTAACTCGCTCCTTGGAGGAGTATATTGCCGACTTGGTGGGCCACGAAGCCTCTCTTCTGGTGGCCTCAGGTACGATGGGTAACCTGGTGGCTCATCAAGCGGCCCTCAAGACCCCGCCTTATTCCATCCTGGCCGACGCTCGAGGCCACTTTCATACTTTCGAGTGCGGCGGCGCGTCCTATCTTACCGGCGTTTCTGTCCGGCAGGCCTTTCCTTCGAATGGCCATCACCTTACATTGGAGGACGTAAAGCGCCAGGCTACAATGGGGGAGTCAATATACGAAGTCCCCACCAGGATCATCAGCCTGGAGAACACCCTCAACGGCACCATTATGCCCCTCTCCGATGTTCGCGCCATCTCTCAGTGGGCGCACGCACAAAACCCGCCCATTCACCTGCACCTGGATGGTGCTCGCGTCTGGGAAGCAGTCGCCGCCGGAGCGTTCACTCTACGGGAGATTGGGGAGTATTTCGACAGCATCCAATTATGCTTCACCAAAGGGGTTGGAGCACCTCTTGGCAGCATCGTCACTGGGAGCTCCGCCTACATCAAACGTGCACGATGGAGTCGCAAGCTTCTTGGAGGTGGAATGCGCGCCACTGGGCTCATCGCCGCGTCGGCAAGAGTAGCCATCGACGATGTTTTCTTTGGTGGGAAGATGAAAGCAGCTCAGGGGAAGGCCAAGTACGCCTCAGATCTTTGGGAAGAGCTTGGCGGAAAGCTTGCAGTCCCGACCGAGACAAATATTGTCTGGCTCGATCTTCCGGCGTCTGGCCTCAAGTATGAGGATTTCTACCCCGTTGCTAAGAACTTCGACCTCAAATTTCGAGATCTCCAACCGGGACGTCTCGTTTTTCACTACCAGATTTCCGACAGTGCATTGGCAAGACTCGCCGACTTTTTCCGGGCAGTCCTGCTCTAACCATGTTCGCCCAGATACACAGCAATGGTCCGATGCCTACGGAGGACAGGGTTGGTGGATACGCAATTGCATCGGCCAGACTTGTTGGGCGGGTTGCGGCCATTCTCCTTCTACGAGGGTAAGTGGAATGTGCTATGCAGGGACACCGAGTGCGAAGTCATCCCAATGTGTCGGGGTCAGGCTATGGCGATTGCGGCGTGGGCGCCTTTGGGTCAGGGGCGGTTCAAGACAGCGGAGGCCCGCGAGGCGGCGCATACTGGTGGACGCTCGGTCCAGATGAACGAGGATGAAGTTAAAGTCTCTGAGGCGCTCAAAGCAGTTGCGAAGCTGATGAAGACGAGTTTGCATGCTGTGGTATTGTTCTCACTGTATGCAGTCACAGTCACTGACTAGTGCGGGCTTTCGCTTATATCCTGCACAAGTCGCCTTACGTCTACCCCATTATTGGACAGCGAAAGGCCTAGCGCTTTCTGGCAAACATTGAAGCTCTCAATGTTGAGCTGTCCAGGGAGGACATGGACAAGATTGATACAGCTGTATCGTTCGATCCAGGGTTCTCGATGCGTTCCATCTTCCATGACAAGCCCTACAACTTGAATTTGACTGCTGCCGATGTTACTGATACTCCCCTTTCAGCACACTTTCATTCCCCCTTTCATCAACAGCCACTCAGGCCACACAAGGATATTTGACGTGGTAGCTCGATATCCGGTGGGCTTCTATGATGCTATTGAATGTACATCAACCGCTAAGGTCATGGACAAGCTTCCCGTTTTGTATAGAGATGGGATGGCCTTGCCGGCAGACAGCTATATGGTCTATTCAAGGAGCGATGATGGCATTGAAAGTTTGTCATTTATAGAGGAAAAGCTCATATAGTTAACCACGGGAAATGCGCTCATTAAATGCTAGGATATGGCTGGGAGCGGTTATTGAGATAAGTGGATATCAAGCTAATTTATATCGTTAGGCGTGAGCATTACAGTCAAGGTACAAAGGGACCTAGTAGGAATATACTGTGTTTGAATGCTGACGCGCGGCTCGAGAAAAATACTTCGTCTGCTGGCAACTACTTGATGGAATACCATCGATTAGTGTACTTTCGATGCTGCCTGTTTTGCGAGAAATATCAATCTCCGAACGAGGCCCGCAGTGAAGAAAAAGGGCGCGAAACGTCTTGTGGCTCGTGACTCATGGTCAAGGTCAGTAAATATCTCTACTACATTTTCCAGGAGCTGTAGATCACTGCCGAAAGTCGGTGCATCGGTGTTGGTGATCAAATGCCGGAACAGAGAGAAAACGGCAGTTAATATGAACTGAGCATGGATCCTCGAGGTAAAGTCAGCCCACCAGGAGGGAGATAGGTTGTGCTTGCATGAACCTACCAAAAAGTATGCCAGTTAAGAAAATCGCGTATGCCGTATATATAAAGCAGCATGGATCGTGATTCCTGGTAGAAGAGCTCTGCACTGGAGGGTAGGAAGGACCACTCCTGGGGAGAAGGCTGGCTGCAAGCACTCACTGCGCTGTGGATTTTGCCCAGGCAAAAGTAGTACTCCAGGTGCAAGTTGACACCTCGTAAGCTCAGATCATGAAACGAGTAATTGCGCGCGTTTTCGGTTGCAAACAAATCAGGCCAACAGCTATCAGGGAAGCTCGACTTCAGATCATGTAGTTCCTGATCTAGTGCGCGGATGTACTGAAGGCGCCTGGCTTCTGGCTGTGCCCGGCCATAGTCAGAATACAGGAGACGATACACTTTCGACTTGATCAAGGAAAGACGAATGTCCGAGGGAAATAGAAGCTCTTGAGATGACAAAGGTTTGATGAAGAATTGCTGATCTGAAGACGATAGGACGTAGTTTTCGGGCAGTTGCAGGTCGCAATCCTCGTCTTTCATCAAGGGAGGGTAACCAAAGCGGATTGCCATGTCTTTATCAAGACCATAGCAGAGCCAGAACACAGCCCGCAGATGTCTTCCTTCTGCCTCGTGGATGACACAATACCGGTTCCCTCCAAGACTATACAACATCCGAACAGCCATGGCCAGTAATAATGACGCCGATCTCGCCTGACCGATAGGGAGAATATAGGAGAACTGACCATTAGGAACAGACTCAAGTGATTTGTGGTGGAGGTAACCTACCAGTATAACGACAGTCTCTAAAGTTCGCAGGCTAATCTCTTCCATCAAGACTTGGGGCAGCAGTGTCAGCACCGTTTGCATATAAGCATCAGGGTCAGCATCAGCAAACGCAGGATCAAGACGGTGCATTTGCGTCACCATTGCAGTGAGTGCAATGAGGCACGCTACATTGGCAGTAGGAGTTGAGCTCGGCGGGTCATTGAGGATACTTGAATCGAGCAATTCTTCCAATGCATGAGTATTAACGAGAGGGAACACGGAGTATAGCCCAGCTTTTGCGAAATGGTGTATACAGCGTCGTATTAACTCAACTGGTGGCCATTTTTGAGACACGATTCTTTTCGATTTTGCGGGAGCCTGCATCTTGAATGATCACGATAGATGGTATAAGAGCCGATCAACGTCGAAATGTGAGCCAGTCTGTTGGTGAACAACAGAAGAAAACGACGCTCTTTGGGCGGATTGAGTCATTCCCATCCCGCAGTGCGCAAGGTGCCATTGAAACATGCTTAGTGCCGTGTCGCAATCGTATAGATCTGGGAGATAGTCGACGGCCAGATTTTGAAGAGGGAAATATTCCGGACATGCTGATTGACGCGATTTTTTGCTGCTGTTCTCAGCCGCTATCAAAGCTTCGAACTCCTGGATTCGTGCTTCAGCTTCGGCAAGCCGGCTGAAGAGATGTGAGTCTTACGGAAGATTAGACGAGATCTCATTTCTTACGTCTTAGCATCTTTTCGTGGCGGCGGCGAGCTTTCAGTAAAAATACAAGGCACGGACGCAAGACGACAGGTCTCACAGGCCGGCTTAGCATTGTCACACCGGATCTGTCAATCAATTGTGGTGACGGTGAGTGGCTGGTGCCTTCTGGTACGCGAGTATAGGTCTAGATTGTCTTCTACGTACCTTTCTCTGTCGACACAAATCACAAGCAGTCCGTACCCTCCCACCCCGTCGAAAGGGAAGCAATCCACTCATTCTGACCAATATCAACCTGGAGATTGCGTACACAGGTCCAATAGGTCACCGGCAAGTGGCTATGCCGTCGGATTTTGCTGAGAAATCGGAAATCGTTAATTCCAGCCTATATAGAGAGGTACTGTAGGTTATAAAAGGCATCCAGTAAAATCGACGAGTTGATGAGTCATCGGGAATGATCTTGCTCCGCAAGTACGTAGTATACGACTACGGAGTACGTCGCCTATATCCATGATCACCGTTTCAGGCTTCCAAGATGGGAAAATGCACTTGCAGATCGGGATCCATGGACGAATCTTGGCGGAGCCTTGGCAGAAATGCTCATTGAAACAGCTAATTGTTCCGGATCTACTCCGTACCTGTCAAGGTACCCCGGCCATTACTTTGCCATTCTTGCGATTCGTCAGCTCTGTTTCCAACCGAGAGGCTGCTAAGCGTAGCGAAAAGTGGCACTGCTCTAGGTTCACTGTCCTATCAAATATCAACTTTGATTCAATGCTGTTTCTGCTCCTGATTAGAGTTGTCTCTGTCGGTCTCAGATCAGAGTGACTGACGACAGTGATGACGAGTCATCATGACCATGAGCACAGTTACGGACACTACTCCTTCAAAAGGCACTCTTGGCTTCACGAAGAGAGAGATATAAAGTCTCCCTGCGCTATCAAGAATGAAAAGCTTCAACCACATCTTAAGCAAGAACAAGCGAGCAGACACCCTGTGCTCTCTTCTCTCTCCTGTCTTCGGCAATGCATCTCTCCCAACTTGGAAAGCTGGCTGTTGTGGCCATGGCTGGGCTTGCAATTGCTCATCCAGGTGCTCACGAGCCTAGCTCCTATACCCACCTAGCCAAGCGAACCTTTCTTCACAACGCCCGACGAAGCCTGGACAAGTGTGCTGACCACCTTGAGCGAAGGGGAGTTCTTGCCCGTGCTGAAGCTCGCCGTGCTGCCTTGCTGGACAAGTACAAAAAGCGATCCCTTGCAGTTCGTGACACAGACAAAGTGGTGAACACTTCCCACCATTCCAATTTGGACGTGTCGGCCAACACCCCCGAGACAGAGCTCTTTTCCAAGAACCCAGTCTGCATTCTGGCTCCCGAGGGCGAAATTGGACCTTTTTGGGTCAAGGGCGAATTGATCCGGCATGATATATCTGATGGCCAGGCAGGCATCCCCATCATCATCGACGGTCAGTTCATCGACATCAACACCTGCGAGCCCATCTCAGGCCTTTACTGGGATGTCTGGAACTGCAATGCCACCGGTGTCTATTCCGGCGTCCAGAGCAGCATGAATGGCAATGGCGATGACGCCTCGAATCTCGACAAGACCTTCTTGCGCGGCATCCAGAAAACCGATGCGGATGGAGTGGCAGGCTTCAAGACCGTGTTTCCCGGACATTATTCTGGCCGTGCAACGCATGTTCACGTCGTCGCGCATCTTAATGCAACGCTGCTGCCTAACAATACGTTGACCGGCGGCTACGTGCCTCACATCGGTCAGCTGTTCTTTGACCAGGATCTGATCTATGAAGTCGAGGCGACCTACCCCTACAACACCAGCACCATTTCCATTACCAAGAATGCAGATGACCACGTTGTCCAAGCCGAGACCGAGGATAGCAACTCTGATCCGTTCTTTGAGTATGCCTATCTTGGTGACTCCATTGAAGACGGCCTTCTTGCCTGGGTCACCCTGGGAGTCAACGTTACGGCCAACTATGACTCGGCTGTGTCATACGCTGCTACCCTTACATCTGATGGTGGTGTCGCAAACGACGAAAGTAGCGCTGCAGGTGACCAGACTCCCTCCGGCTCCGCCGGTGCAAAGCCGTCGGCATAAGAGTAGTTCCTCGCAGCCCATGGAAATGAAGCTTCCAGACTGCCTACTTCTAGACCAAATCCTTGCAAACATCTGGAGGTCACTTTCATGTGCCTATAGTTCTTTGTTTTCCAAATATTTCCATTATTCCATACTGTAACCCACATAGTCTTTCCTTCAATGCAGTCACTGTTCTCAAGCTACCTTCCGTAACCGTGCATTCTTCCAAGATTAATCGTATTCCGCCTTCCTTTATCCTTGCTATCAATAGCATACCCATTAGCCGCGGCCTATGGGTGGTTGTATAAGGGTCAGAGGCACACCATGTGGCAGTCTCCAGCTTTAGGGTAGCCCGCTCCATAGACTGGATGAATTTCTGTTCTTATGAAAGTGAGCAAGAGAGTTATCATGGCCATTAAGCCAAACAGCACATGCTTTTCACAATCGCATAGAAAGCAATATTAATGTTGTTCGTGGGTGCAGAGATATGCCCCGGGGTGGAGCCGGAGGACTCGCCTAACACCCTAGTACCAATCCCATCTTCAGCGGCTCTGCATTTGTGATCATTTAATAATCGAGACACTGTTCGAAACTATGAGTCAGGCCTAGCAGTTTTTTGGTCGGATTTTTTGGTCGGATTTTTTGGTCGGATTCGCATGAGCCAAGAATCCAAGGTGCCAAGAGAATAAGCATCGAAGGGACTCTTCAGTTTGAGCCCGGCTTTATTTCCCTCGTGCCTCGATAAGCAGAAATGCCGGTCACGAGGCACCGGGAGAAGTGTTATCACCGTATTATGACCTGCAGGTAGCGCTGCTAAGAGTCAGCTATGTAACCCAAGGAATTGCCAAGCATTTTCTCGAGTCAGTCCGACGGACTATAAATGCTTTCTCATTGGACGCAACAAGCACAGTCGCGGCAGTTACTTCCCATATTGTACAACCAAGACCAGCTTGTACCAGCGGCAATATAAAAGTCTTGGTGCAGTAGATTCTGCAGGAAAACGACGCGGACATCCGACGGACAGGTCTCTGAAATCCTCGTGAACATTGCGCCCATAGTCCACTTTCCTAATCAACCATGCAGATCGTTATCTTCAGCGAATTCTCACGCGGTCATGCACTCGATTCAGAGCACTGTCCGCAATGCTTACAGATGAGACTTATCTCTGTTAATTTAACTGTCTCGGAGCAGTGATGCGGGGAAACGGACAGTCACCGTCTTGCAATATCCCATGATGTGTATAGCTCCGGACTGAGTCGGGCCAAGATCGGACGGTTCTGCTTGACGATGATGTGATCTGCAGCAGATAGGCGATGAAGAATCAGCAATGCCAGATGCTCTGGTATAAATACTCAGCTGGAGCTCATAGAGCTCTCCCCAGAAGCAACCCACTCTGAATCTGGTATCTTTCTCCTTCAGATCACATCCTCAACATGCGAGGCCTTCTTTTGGCTGGGGCTCTTGCCCTACCTGCTTCTGTCTTTGCCCATCCCACTCATCAGACTCAGGGACTCCAGCGTCGTACTGTGGATCTGAATGCTTTCCGCTTGAAGTCTCTGGCCAAGTATGTCAATGCGACAGAGACCGTCATTGAAGCCCCGTCCTCCTTTGCCCCTTTCCAACAGCAAAGCTATGTGGAGGCAGCGACTCAGCATGTCAAGACGATTGCCCCTGATGCAACTTTCCGCGTCGTCGATGACCATTATGTTGGTGACAATGGTGTCKCCCATGTCCACTTCCGCCAGACAGCCAACGGTCTCGATATCGACAATGCCGATTTCAACGTCAATGTATATATCATGTTAAGCAGTGTTGTCTCTCGCTAACGAGGTGTACAGGTCGGCAAAGACGGAAAGGTCTTTTCTTATGGCAACTCTTTCTACACCGGCCAGATCCCAAGTTCGGCTGCATTGACTAAGCGCGATTTCTCCGACCCGGTGACTGCTCTCAAGGGAACTACAAATACACTGCAGCTCCCCATTACTGTGGAGGGCGCGTCTTCCGAGAGCGCAGGGGAGAAGGAGTCGTACGTTTTCAAAGGGGTCTCTGGGACCGTCTCCGATCCCAAGGCCAAACTCGTATACTTTGTCAAAGATGATGGAAGCCTCACTTTGACATGGAGAGTGGAGACAGACATTGATAGCAACTGGCTCTTGACCTACATCGATGCCAAAAGCGGCCAGGAGATCCACGGTGTGGTGGACTATGTTGCTGAAGCAGACTACCAAGTATAGTGAGTATCGAGTTAATCCCGTTCGAAGAGGCCTTACTGATGTGATTCCAGCGCCTGGGGAATTAATGACCCAACAGAGGGCTCGCGCACGGTCATCAAGGATCCTTGGGACTCCGTCGCGTCGGAGTTTACCTGGATCAGCGATGGCAGCAAAAATTATACGACCTCGCGCGGCAACAACGGGATCGCACAGTCCAACCCCAGCGGTGGATCAAGCTACCTGAACAATTATCGCCCTAGCAGCCCGAGCTTGTCGTTCAACTATCCCTATACCACGAGCTCGTCGCCTCCATCATCCTACATCGATGCATCGATCATCCAGCTCTTCTACACGGCCAATGAGTATCATGATCTGCTTTACATCCTTGGCTTCAACGAGAAGGCCGGTAACTTCGAGTACAACACCAACGGGCAAGGCGGTCGTGGAAACGACTATGTGATCCTGAACGCCCAGGACGGCTCGGGCACCAACAACGCCAACTTTGCCACTCCTCCTGATGGCCAGCCCGGCCGCATGCGCATGTACGTCTGGACCGAGTCGACGCCCTACCGCGACGGTTCCTTTGAGGCCGGAATCGTGATCCACGAGTATACCCACGGTCGTACGTATACCTGGCTTATTTTCGAGAATCTAGGCATTAACTTTTTGCAGTTTCCACCCGTCTCACCGGAGGCCCTGCCAACTCCAACTGCCTGAATGCCCTCGAGTCAGGCGGCATGGGCGAAGGCTGGGGTGATTTCATGGCGACGGCCATTCGCCTCAAGTCCGGTGACACACGCTCGACCGACTACACCATGGGAGAATGGGCTGCGAACCGGCCAGGCGGAATCCGCGCGTACCCGTACTCGACCTCGTTGAGCACCAACCCCCTCACATACACCAGCCTCAACTCGCAGAACGAGGTCCACGCCATCGGCACGGTCTGGGCTACAATGCTGTACGAGGTGATGTGGAATTTGATCGATAAACACGGCAAAAATGATGCGCCGAAGCCTACGCTCCGCAATGGTGTGCCGACAGATGGCAAGTACCTCGCCATGAAATTGGTCATGGATGGAATGGCATTGTAAGTTGCCGAGAATCCTTCGAGAGTTAATCATGTCGCTAATCAGGACAGGCAACCATGCAATCCCAACTTCGTCCAGGCCCGCGATGCTATCCTTGATGCTGATACTGCTCTTACTGGTGGTGAAAACAAGTGCGAGATTTGGAAGGCCTTTGCCAAGCGTGGATTGGGTGCTGGTGCGCAGTACAGCTCGAGGAACCGTGTCGGAAGTACTCAGGTTCCCAGTGGTGTTTGTTAGTAAGGACGGACTAAGCATTAAGGGGTAGTTTAATGAGGACAATGGCAATTCGTCTTGGCGCTGTTACCTTGTATCCGGCAAGTTCCCTCATAATAAGCGGGGGATAAATTGGGTGAATCCAACTGCGCGCCACGACACAATTAACCAATCCTGGACTGCTGGTACCTGTCTAGCTTGTTGGTGATTTGTAGTCGATACCACCTTAACTTCTACTAATAGGAACACAATTCTGGTCAGGAAATGAGCACAAGATTCTGGGCCAATTGAGCCTCCTGATTTGCAGCCAAGAAATTAGCCGAGTTCAGGCCCAGCAAAAGTCTCGAACACGGCCAATGACTGCCCGCACCAAGATTAACAGCAGGCCCAAAGAGGTTACGGCAGGAAGCTGTCTAAGACCATTAGATGATAGTTGATCCATTGCTGCTCAGTCTTTTGATCATGGGTTCGTAGACCCTACCGCGCTACCTTGGTTCATTTCCGGGGATTATTGTAGAGGCTTCGAGCAGTCCCATACTTAACCCTCGTGGTCCCCTTTCCTATCTTCCAACCGTCAAAGCATCAGTCTGTTCCAACTACTAGTCATTCCTTGCTTTGCATTATCACCAGTCACTCTTTTAAATTCCGTTCATATTCAGCCGCGTTTTCTTCTTCTATTTACCATATTTCTTTTTTCCCCATAGTAGATCCTGAAACCCATCTCAGCGAATCAAACCAATAAGAATACGAGGATCAACATGATGCGCTCCGTGATTCCCCTGATTGTTTCGCTTGGCTCGCTGGCTGCAGCCATCAACATTACCAGTCCTGCGGCCAACACCACCTACACAGCCGGGTCCACTGTGACCGTCAAGTGGACCAGCGTCGATACCGATCCCACCAACTTCAGCCTTTATCTCTGGAACTTTGTCTCCTGGCCTCCGACCTATGTTCCACTGGCCCTGGACATCCCAACGGCCGATCTGTCCCACTCCGTCCAGATCCCCTGCGACACCAACCCCGAATGGGGCTACCAGATCAGCGGCATCAACGGCACCAATGTCTACATCATCTACGCCCAGGGTGCCAAGTTCACCGTCTCCGAGCCTGTCGACGGCACCGACTGTGTCGACCCTGCTCCTGAGCCCACGCCGTCCACCTGCCCCAGCGCTGCGGCGTCTACCGTTTATGTCACGGTGAGCCCTACCGGTTCCAGCTCCCGTCTTTTCCATCATTCCTCCCACGTCTCCTCTCCTTCACCCAGCACCACCAGCACTGCAACCTCCAAATATGTGAAGCCCGGAATCGTGCCTAAGACTATTGGTTGGTGTTCAGACTATTCCCACCCTGTGACCTTGGACAAGGTTCCCACCCCGACTGCAGCGCCTATGGTTACTCCCGCCCCTGGCAAAGATACGGGTGCTCATGGTCGTCGTGTCAAGACCATTACTACGACTGTGAGTGTCGAGGCTTGTCCGATCGACGCGATCTGATGGAAGTCTCCGGGGGAGTCTGTTGAACGGTGCAGTCAAACTTGATTTCTTCATACCGATGTATTTGTCCAGTACTAGGTATATTTAGTAGTAAATATTGTAGGAGATATTTTATGTAACAATAGTCGAGGCTATTTCTCGCTCTAGCTAGTTCTAATCTGCGTAGCATATCATCCCCGGCTGGTTAACTCTCGTCCAATTACTCTACGCATGGCCGATACGAGACAATAACGAAAGCCTTTGGTTCTCTCAAAAGGCCCTGGGCTCGGATGTTCTCCGAGCCAGCCAGCTGATAGGCTTAATCCAAGTCGTAAATGTCGAGATCTGCTATGTTGCCAGGTCTCTTTATTTGTGACATATATCAGTGAAGACTTTCGCATGCTGGCAGAAATAAAAGGTGAACTTTGGTACAGCAATATAGGCTTGCTGGTTGTCCTAGTCTTGGTATAAACTTGGTAGAACCAAGGAAATTATAGAAATGACGTTGGCAGGGCTGGATACGAGCCAGTCACCAAGCATTCTTGGACATTCTCTGGATACATCAACTTGGATTCTTGGTAAAGACTTGTGAATAACAAGACAAATAAACACTCACCAAGATATCCACTCGCCCATATCTTCTGCAGACAGCACTAATGGAATCACTCTCGTAGTACCTGCAGGGGCTAAATTTGGCTGTTCTCGCTGATCGACACGAGGCGGACTCTATTTTTGGATACCAAGCTGTGCCCTGGCAGTCCAGGTACAGGAACACGAACGCTAAGCTTCGTATTATGGTGGCAGCCGAGATCAGTCATCCCCACCACCCAAAAAGGGTCAAGCTAGGATATTTGTCGATATATTTCACGAGATGCATACGAGATAGACCCTGATCCTTCCTCCAGGTGGGGCCAAAAGTTTCCCCAGGGGCTCTCATCCTGCGAGCCATTCCTCTCGTATACGGACGCGGGCTGTTTGGAGTAATTTCCGAAGCAGACAGGAGCAATTCTCATTTGCCCTCATCCTTGTTCTATACGAGGATATGGACGATCACCGTGTTCATGCTCGGGTATGGGGACATTACTGGTCTTCGCAGACTCGAGGTTTACATGTTTTAGAAGATCAGGTAAAGGAACATGATTGACCAGGTTCACTATATAAGGGACAATTGCACCCCTCGGTCTGGGTCTTCTCATCAGCATCAAACATCTTCATCCTCAGTCTTCAAAAATCAAGGCAATTGCCCGAATAATCTCATCAAAACCTCTCCAATCCAACCGACAATATGTTGACCCTTCCTCTCGTTGCCCTCTCCTTTGCTGCCACCGTTCCCCTGGTGAGCGCATACCCCATCAATGGCGATGATGTCCACTGCCGCTCTGGCCCCGGCACCAACTATGCCGTGGTAAAGTCCTACCCCAGGGGCCATGATGTCTCCATTGTCTGCCAAGCTCCCGGCACCGACATCAAGGGCGATCAGCTCTGGGACAAGACCTCCGACGGCTGCTACGTCTCCGATTACTATGTGAAGACCGGTTCCTCCAACTATGTCACCAAGCACTGCGATGGCGGCAGCGGTGGTGGCAGCGGCGGCGGCAGCAGCGGCAGTCTCCCCGGTCTCGATGCCACTCAGTCCGCTCACGCCCACAAGATCATCGATGAGGCAAAGAAGGAAGGCCTGGGCCGTCAGGGCTGCCTGGCTGGTATTGCAACTGGCTTGGTCGAGGTGAGTCGATCCTCTACTCCTTGCTTATACTCATACTGATTGAAATAGTCCGACCTCTTGATGTACGCCAACAGCAAGGTCCCCGCGTCCCTCAACTACCCCCATGATAAAGTCGGCCACGACTACGACAGCGTCGGCATCTTCCAGCAGCGTGCTGTCTACTACCCCGACATCGCTGCTGACATGGACGCTGCCCGCTCTGCCGCTCAGTTCTTTGCCAAGATGAAGAACATCAGCGGCTGGAAGACCATGGATGTTGGCAGGCTTTGCCAGAAGGTCCAGGTCTCGGCCTATCCTGATCGCTATGCGGAGCGTGTGCCTGCTGCTGAGAAGATCTGCGCCGCTGGTGGATTGTAACCGCCTTGCTCCATTCTTTTCTCTCGATGCGTCTGCAACAGTGCAGAGTGTTAGAACTAACTTCTACTTTACCTCTTCTACTTTACCATTCTCATCCCGTCTTGTTTAGATCATGTATATTTTATTCTTCTATATTCTGTCTTGTTGATAGCAATTGACTTGAATCAATCAGCTACGGTATAGCTGACCTTGGACTTGCCGGCCTTCCTCGTAATCTTCCTCACCGTAGTTGGACCACATAGATCCGTCGTATCGACATGCGTGCCTCCACAGGGATACACCTCAGCTCCGACGATATTGACAACGCGAAACTTCTCGCCGGGGGCAATGGCCACGGAACCAGGATCGGGCAGTAACCGCTCCAGCCCCCGTCTTCGAAACTCCTCCTCATCCCACCAGTCCACCTCGACGGGCAACTTGGCATCAATAAACTCGTTCACTTTCGCCTGGATCGGATCCTTCCATTTCCCATCAATAGCACCCAGAAACTCACACGCCGCCGCCTCAGGGAAATGCGAAGCCTTGAGTTCGTCGAAACCCTCCACCTCCTTTTCCAAGAGGTGCCTGACCGCCGCACCCACGACGTGGCCTGCCGTGTGCAGACGCGAGTACAGCAGACGCTTGTCCGCGTCTATTGCTTGTTCGACTGTATCTCCCTTGGAGAAGACGGTGGGTTGATTAAACCGACCGAAGTGGAGGACTTGGCCCTCGCGTACTGCGTCCATGCGCACGGCTGCGACCGTGAACGCTACACCCGAGGCGTGAGTCATGGTGCCGTCGTCCGATGGCTGTCCGCCCCCCTGGGGGTGGAAAATGGTCTGCTCTGTGATAACAGCGTAATCTTCATCGGTGCCTTGCTTGAAGAGCTGACGGTTGGATTCTTCCAAGGCTGCGAATGGGTAGATGGCTTTCACGGTGGTTTGGAGATTGTGGAGCTTGGCATTGTGCTGGAAGGCGAGAAAAGTGCGGTCGGTCGGGGTCATGATTAGTTGTAAGCAAGTCTCAGTAGGATTTAAGCTTATGGAATGAGAATTATTATGGTGTATACATTATGAAAGACAGAAGTTGCTTGATTTCTTTTTCTTGCTGTCATCTTCCCTCGGCACTATAATAGTAACGTAATCTCCCAACGGGGAATAGCGTCAACGCTCTGCGCTGCTGTGCTTATTTATTTCCATCTCAAAGAACGATTTTCTGAAGGACAAGAAAGTGAGGATTCGGCCGTGGATCGTTATACGCTTTACCACGGAGTAAAGCAAGTGGTGCTTTTAGCAGTAATTTCAAGACATACGGACATCTGTCCGTACAAATGCCGACCATCAACATTTACGACGACGCGCCCGATGTCGGACTAGTAGTGAAAGAGTGATAGAATCCAAACAAGCAAGACACAGTCTGCATCAAATGATTGCGATAGGCTAGATATATCTCAGTTGTCGCATGGAGCGCAGCATCCGGTACACCCCAAACAAGGTGGAATAGATGCCTGCGCCGGCTGTGGCCCAGGCAGGGGCCGCCAGACGCAAGGACGAGATGGGAATAGGGCCTGGCTGTTTGTAGGTATCCGATCGGACGACGTGCTTGCGCCTTCGGTCTGTGTCTGAGACAGTTGTTGTCATCCTGTTAACCTAGTCCTTGTGAGGTTCACCATCCACAAGTAGCATACCTGGGGTTTGAAGCCTCTGCCTTAGGTTACCAAAGAGAGGTCTTGAAGAACGGTGGACAATTGTTTGATACATGTTCGTGGTAGACTTCAATCCTTGAATCGGGGACACAGAGATCTTGTTAGTTTTGTGACAGAGATGGGATATTTTTCATAAAATCATTGGACACTACGGTATTATGAGAGTCAAAAAGCAACGACAAGAAGACAAAAGTCTCGATAATAAGAGGCCCGGGGGCGACTGGGGACGATCAAGCTGTCATAAGACCCGACATTCTGTGGTGTGGCGAATTTCATCATGACTTCCCCAGATTCGAGAAACGCAAACGAATCCACCTTCCTACCAAGGTACCGATGCTGTCAGATAAACAGACGGCCAGTCAGTGGCTTGTCGAATAACCAATCGTTTTTATGATCCATCAGACTTCGTCGCGGTTGGCTCGATAAGGTTATGGTTAGCGCGTTCAGGTGTATGGACATTTATATATAGATGCATGTCGTCTACGAGCTTCCCGAGACAGTCCTGCACGAGATCCTGAGCATTCAAAACGAGTTCTTCCCAGGATTGACCCGAGTGCCGCGTTGTGGTGTCGATTAGGCTGATTTTAAATTTTGACAAGGCAAGGAGGATGCGGATAGTTTCATGGTAGTGAATGCTATCCTGGTTCATCACCTGTGAGCGACAATTATGGGAGGGTGACTCCGCCGATTGCGGATTGTCTCGCAAAAGAAAACACGCGGTCCCGTATGACTTTATTGGAAGCTATCTCACAACTGGAAGTTGCTGGCATTGGCAAGCTGTGCGGTGCATATGACTAGGGAAATGGTACTAATATCCCCAAGCGCTACTTTTCAATAGGAGACATCTGGCCACCTCGTCATACCTCTTTCTTAAGCAGATGGAAGAACCCAGGTGGTCACAGATTGGCTAGGAACGTTCCCACTCCACTTCTGCCCACTCTGAAGAGTGACAGTCACGTAGACATCATTGCCAAAGGTGTTTTCAATGACCACGGTGCGGGTTCCATCGGGGTTCAACGAAGCCACTGACTGGATACCGCCACTGCCAGAGTATGTGTAGCTGCCACTGCCATTGAGGACAATCGCGCCAGGGGGCATGAACTTGCTGAATTGCGCCATCATGTAGTATGCAGTGTTGAGCGTGTAGCCTCCGTTGTTAATGGTCACCAAACCTTGACATGTGCTGCAGCCGCCAGTGGACAGATGCGGGCCATCCTGGGCGTTGGTTCCCAGAGTCCATGCTGCAACTCCTGAGGCCCAGTTCTGCAGGGGACCCATGGTGAAGTCAGCCGCCTGATGCCATGCGCCAGATGCTGGAGTCCAGCATTCGGTCATGTATTGATTCACTCCAGGGTTTGTGTTGTGGAACTGGCTTAGCACTGTCCAGTCGAGGTTGGTGGCGTAGCAGTGCCAGGCAACCGACTTGACGTACTGACCGGCCTGGTTAAGGACGGTTTGGGGATACGATGGGACATCTATAACAGGTGAGCTTCGTTTGCTGTTATATCAATGGAACACGTACCAGTGTTGTGGTCATAAGCCCAGATTTCTGTATTTAGCCCGGCACTGGCAAGAGCTGGGCCGATATATTTTTGGATCAGCTGTGCCGACTCATAGTCGTAGACGTACATGGTGGGATAACCGGCCGAGCTGTACAGCGGCTCGTTCTGGATGGTAATCGCGTCGACGTGGGCTCCGAGATTCTGATAGGCTTGAATGTACTTGACAAAGTACTGTGCGAATTGACTGGCATACCCCGTACTACCAGTTCCGCCACTGCTCAGGTATCCATCGTTCAAGTTGTTGTTGTTCGTATTGCCATCGATGACTCCATTCAGTTTCATCCATCCTGGCGCACTCCAAGGAGAGCCGAGGATCTTGAGGTTGGGCTGCAGAGACTTCATTTTTGCCAGCAGCTGGGCCATGGCCGTTCCCCGGTCGCCCAGATTGAATCCCGACAGTGACGGATCCGCATTGCCGCCATTGTCATCGTACGTGTAAGCTGGGTCGCCGGACAGATCGGATGCCCCAATGGTGTGTCGCATCAAAGCAAAGTTTGCGCCGGCAGATGTCATCAATTTATTGAGCAGGTCCTGCAACACAGAGGCAGACAAAGTGTTGAACGAGGAGACCGTGGCATCGGTGACAGCAGCACCAAACCCAACAATAGTCTGTTTGTGACCGGACGATGTGTCGTCAACGGTCAATTGCCAGGTTGACTCAGAGCCAGGGGTTCCTGCTCCTTGGACCGGAGCTGCTATGGCAGAGAGCTTGTAGTTGCCGGCCGAGTTGGAACAGTATGCAGACGCAGATCCGGCTCGTTTCTCTGGTGTGGCATGGCTCAGGGCAGTCAAGCCAAGCAGAGCACCGACGGAGATACGCATTGTCAGAGAGAAGTAAGTGCTTATCTTGCTCTGGGTATTTCTTGGTGTCGCCAGAAGGTACTGGTGGAAAGATCTTGGAACAGACAGGCGCAGTCAGGATTTTATACCCACAGGCGGATTCATAGGCCGACATGAATTCGGCACTTGCCTTTGGCCCGAATTAAGCTACAATTCTTCCCCGAGTGCATTATTGGTCAGAACAATTCAGGTGCATCTCTAGGAGCAGCACAAGCATTAACCCGGCGGAGTACGGGGCATGAAGAATACTACCCCCACAGGATGAGGATACCACAGTATCATGGACTAATGCAAGCCTCAAACCTCTCAGAAGAAGCTCGGTGATCAATTTGGTATTGATCTCCGGCCCTTGGTCAATGCCGACATCTTCAGACCCCGGACTTCATCTTGGCTCGACTTTAGCTCTGATACCTCAGACGGACTCTCGACTAACTAGGCAAAGCCTGCCTCTATAAACAAGCAATGCGTCTCCTGTCAGCAGTAAATTTATATCAAAGCGGAATAGAATTAGCCCCATACCCCACCTTTCTTAACCGTGTTCATCTTACGTGAGAATTAAGGATCATGCAGTGGGTATACTTGACAGTGCGGTTTGGTATAGAGTATGGAGTATGGAGAATGTACTTGGATTCGCCTGGAACAGGTTCTGTACATCATTGACTCTTCAAAAGAGAGTATGATTATCATGACTCCATGAGTCCATGGTCCATTGAGAGTTGAGACCCCCTGAATAAGACGTCTCGCTCAGTCATAAGCCTTTTCGGCATGAAACTAGCGCCCCACAGCACGGTACATGAAAACTCCAGTCCCCGCATTTACACCGTCTTTGTCTTCATCAAAGAGACCATTTTCCCGAAAGGGTAATGCGGAGATGACTTCACCCAAATCATCCAATTCTCCATGAGAAGACAAATGGTGTACGGAGTAATAAGGTACCTGCTCCCATATAGGGTTGTTTGTTACGGAGTACACCCAAGGAAGTAGATGGAGAATTGTTGTGCCTCAGGCATTCAAAGCATCAAAGCATTCCCAAGCTGATTTCCCAATATGGTTAGCTCCTGGTTTTGCCGTGCCCCTCCGATGTCGTTGCGTCAATCAACCAGAGTCGTCATCGAATATACACTCGTTTCCGTCCTCAATTGACAGCCAAAAAGCCAGTTGATTCAATCAATCCGTACAATGGCATCCATTCTACCTCGTACGGGCTTGAGAGCCCTTTCTGCGCTCCCCAGAGCCAGCCCTGTCTCGAGAGTGGCTTTCTCCCGCCAGCTTCCGCGCGCCCAGCCGCTCCTGCAGCCCTTCGGTCGCAGATTCCTTGCGACTGTTCCCCAGGAACAGCCTCGCCTGCGTCTTGGTTCTACTGGTAACATAGCCTCTATCGTTCTTCGTGTATAAACGTCCTGCTAATATATATTCTCTGTCTGTAGCTCCCAACTTCAAGGCTCAGACCACCCAAGGCGAAATTGATTTCCACGAGTTCATCGGAGACAGCTGGACCATTCTCTTCTCTCATCCCGCCGACTTCACCCCAGTATGCACGACCGAACTCGGTGCCTTTGCCAAGTTGAAGGGTGAATTTGACAAGAGGGGCGTCAAGATGATCGGACTGGTAGGTACTTCTCTTAAGTGCGGCACGGTAGCATACTCATCGATCATTTATAGAGCGCGGACGATCTCAGCTCTCACGGTGACTGGGTCAAGGATATCAACGAAGTCGCATCGACCACCGTTCAGTTCCCCATCATTGCCGATCCCGAGCGCAAGGTCGCGTTCCTCTATGACATGATTGATCAACGCGACCTTGACAACATCGCCGAGAAGGGCATTCCTTTCACCATCCGGGCGGTTTTCATCATCGACCCGGCCAAGAAGATCCGTCTGACAATGCTGTACCCTG